TTAATCGCCGATTTGGGCGGGTTTTTGGATGTCTTTTTCAAAAGGCTATTTTATTGATTTTGAAGGCTACAGATTACGAATTTGACCTGAGTCTATTCTTCATCGATGATCAAGTCTTGGGCTTCGATTTGAGCGAATTTTTTTCATGTCCATTTTTGGCAGATTACAAAGGGACACCATCACAAATTTCATGCAACTTTTTCTAAATGTAATTTCCATGGTTTTTGAAGACTATAGATTACGGATTCGCCGGAGGCTATGTCGAATTCATAAATCGTGATGGAAAATCGAATTTACCCCTCCATTCCGATTGCATCAAATTTATCTCCTTGGTATTCTCGAGAACCTCCCCTACCTCCTGAAGTTCTCGATCCCGCCGCTGCTGAAGAAACTAGAGAAACAAGGCAATTAATGCTAAAACCCCTCCGACCTGGACCGTGATCCAAACATGCAATGGCGGGCGACAGGGTGTGAAGTGGAAAGCAGGGAGGACGATGAGGTGTCAGTATATGGTAACAAATATTAACAGAAGGTCAGATTTGGTGTCATGATAATAGTAGGAGGCAAATTAAATGTAAAATAGATTAGAGGAACATGTTTGAAAAAATCATAGTAAAGAGGCGATTTATGCTATTAACCCTATAATGAAATGTCATCCGCACCAATCCCGCTAAGGTCCTCTCTACAAGACCTTCTCTGTAATTATCCAAAATTAGGGCGGTGCACGAACAAGGGCTTGGCCTAGTGGTAACACCACTAGCCTAGAACCTGGAGGTCCCAGGTTCGAATCCCTTAAGTAGTACCTTAATAGCAACAAAATGAACCTATATCACCCTTATCAAAATTAGGGCGGTGCAATGGTTTGGTATGGTAATGATCAGACCAAATTATGAGAACTGCGATTTAATAGTAAAATAAAATTTAGAATCAGTGTTCGGACCATTAACTTGTTAGGTTGGTGTGATTTCGTTTCAAATATCAATTCGATTAATTAGTTTTCAATATTTATAAGAGTTCACGGGACCAAGGATGAGGATGCTTGAGCTCTCACCACGAGGATGGATGTGGATGATGATGCTTGAGCTCTCTCCATGACCACACTCATTCCCCTTTTGGAAGAGGAGGATATTGACCGTCCAATCAATTTCGGAGGTCCTCTTTCAAAAATAAGACGTGGTTCAAAATTTTTAAAATATAGTAAAACAAATTTTTTATTTATTCAATTCAAAATTGTCTTATTCAAAACATAAAATTCTGTATAATAGGAGTTAAATTGACTCTTTCAAGAACTCAAGTTACAGTTATCACTTATGAATTCCAAAAGTATTTAGAGAATATAAATTTTTATGTAATGAGAATTAAATGATATAACTAAATTTAAGAACCAAAACGGTCATAATATTGAAGTGGAGGGATTAAATTGATAGTTTAGTCAAGCTCAATTAAAAATGATAAGAGAATAAGAATGATAATTAATAAAATAAACATGTATATGTAAAGAGTGAGTGAACAAAAGATAACAATACGTTTGGTATTAGAACCATTTTTATCCGATAAGATGTGTATTACAAAAAAAAAAAAAAAAAAATTTTAAGGCAAGTCCAAAGGACATGATACGATCGATGACTCGATTACAAGACTGTCTCCAACTGAATATGTGGTACAACAACTCGCGATTACAAAACTGACTCCAACCCAATATACGGTACAACGACTCGATTACAAGACTGACTCCATACACGTATTATAATATCTAGAAGAGCTGATATATGATTTCAGAGAAGACGATCCACTTACAACCATTTGATATTTGAATAAACCTTAGCTTGCTCCTCCCAAACACTAGCTTGCTCCGCAAACTGTTACTGGACTTACCACGTTAGGAAGCAGGGAAAAAGGCGCGCCTCTAATTAATGACGAACAACACACTTGCAAGAATTGGTTTCACAGTCGCAATCCATGTAGGAAAAGAAAGGGTTCTCACACGCATTATCGCCGTGAGTCTCGATGCAACCATCGTGGGTGCAACCAGCATCACAGTCTGTCTGAACGGAAGCATCGCCGGAAGTTTTACGAGGTCTGCCGGCGACGACAGGTACTGTCGTTATGTTACTGTTAGGTCGTCGGTACAAATGGTGGTTCCTGCGTATTATTACATTATTGACTTTGGATTAAAACTACGATATATATATATATAACCAGAATTTTTAGACAGGTGTGTACGTCAGTCCAAAAAATATAGCACGTAATTACATTGTTTTTTTTTACGCTTTGCAATTACGACAGATGTGTCGCGCAATCACAACTTTTGGAGGTGTGTCGGAGATCTTATGTTAGCTAGAATCGAGGTTCGTACCTGAGATTGATCTGATCATGATCTGTGCGGCTAGAACCGTTGGAAGCCGTTATTGGAGCAATCGTTCTCGCCGATTCGCTTGAAGGCAGAAGGCCTGCACGTACGCATGCATGCACTCGCTAAGACAGATCGCAAATCTTACGGTGTGGTTTGGCTCGACCGCAAAACGCGACTTGGTGCGATTCGGAGTGGTCTGACCGTACCAATGCCCACCCCCGATATGTAAATATAGAAAGCGAGCATAAAAATGAAAGAAGAAATACAGTACATACTTGGGGTTAGGACGACCCATAAGATGATGGGAAGCAAGATGAACAAATTAGTGATAGTATTGGGCATGATCGTCATCGCCATGGCTGGGTGTTCTTGAAGCTTAAGTGGGGATATATATGTATCTATGTATGGATGTTGATGAGCAATGGTGGTAGCTAGGTTGCTGCTTATATACAAAATCAAGAGTGCTCAGGATTTGGATATCTTCATATATATAGCAATTCATTAATAATGCTGTTATTTGAATGAATTGGAATTCCGGCACAGAAGTAAAAAAAAAAAAAAAAAACCCAGGATGTGCGAAAAAAGAAAAGGTACAATATTCCGACACATCATGTTAATGAACAAACCAGTTAACCCTAATAATTCATACTTGCCGGTGGACTATACCATTAGGCTTTGAGTTTGTACATATATTGAACATATCATCTTTGATAGAGTGTTATATTAGAGAATCATCCAAAGAATTCGAAATCATGACATTTCAGCTTAAGGTTATGATATTATGTTAACGAACAAACCATTTAGCTCCAATCATTCAAATTGTCGGGAAATAATTTATTTAGCTTTTATGTCTTACAAGTGCATGTACCTACTTTCTCACTCAAATTTATCTATTGCACTTATAAAATTTCATTAGTAATGCGGTTATTTGGATTAATTGGAAGAAAAAGACATCTTTGTTGCATACGCTTGCATATCATCTAATTATTGGAAGGAAGGTGGTGTTTGTTAGCATAATTACTTGTGATGGTCGACAATGAAACTAGTGTCATGTTCGACAATTAATCGATAAAAACTGCGATTGTTGATTCCGGAACTGTTGTTCGACTTATCTCAGGACAATTAATCGTCAGATCAGATCCCGTTAATAGGAAATGGGGAAGTTGACAAACTAATATATGGTATGATTTAGAATATTAGATAGCACAACCGTTATTTATTTAGTTAAGGATGGATATAATTAAGCTATGGTCCAAACACTTTTGTAAGCAAGACCGGAACATTTGCGATTAGAAAATGGTAATGGCCAGGTTTGGAATGGGTTTGTCTAGACTATTCTTATTTTTTCGTTTTCAAAAATTTTAAATCTATACCCGTCTCGCATCCATGCGGAGAAGGTTTCGCAAACCCATTTCCATATTGATGATTTTTTGGTACCAGTGGAAAATACGCTCCCAGTACATTCAACATTATTATATCTAAATTTATCTAAATTTGCAATTATAACACTAAACATATCTACTATATCATGAGTCAACAAAGATACAATCATTCTTAATACGGTTCAAAGCATCTAATCCTAAAATATCTATTAATCCATAAAGTATAGTGTAATGGTCTCATTGGAACCTTCGATTCTAAACGTTGTATCATGAATATACACGTATTCTGCAAAACAACATGTTTTGACTTGTTTTAATCACATAATGCATGATGTATTCATGATATATATAATATGAATTATATAGAAAATGATGTATACTTAATCTCACTTTTTTTGTGAGATTTTATCCATAGTTCATTTTACATGTATAGTACATGCATTCTTCTATATTTTTCAAACAAAGCATTCTTAAAATCCACACAATTTTAGGATACACATAATCTTGATAAAACACATTCTTGTAATACACCATTTCCGAAATCACAGGTTCCAAACGACCCTAATATTTTTCAAATCATTGTTCTCTAACTCGGTGACTTTGATGCTTCTACTAAGTAATAAATAACTAACATAATCTTCTTAACATGGGTGGAAAAAAATGAAAGATTGAAGGGAGAATTGTGAGGAATGAATTAGGTTTTTATTTGAGAAGCCACTCAATTGCATCTCTACTATTTTTTAGTTACCCTCATTATCATTGATATGTTGCAATGCATTCTTTAAATGTGAAGGAATGCTCTTTGGTGGAGCAGATATGAGTATGAGTATGGGGCGGATGATGAGGCTAAGACCATACCCGCCCACATACCCATCAAACGTTTGCCGATTTTATCCATACGCAGTCAATGCAGGGATTCTCCGTGTTAACTGGATCGGGAACATACGTCCATGTGTTTGATTGACATCCCTATTTGCGATGGGGGACTCGGAACTTTATGGAAGAGGCTGTGGGGTTTGCAGGTCCCACCAAAAGTAAAGACGTTCTTATGGAGGTTCGCCCGCGAGCCTAAAAAGACATACATGGTACAACGACTCGATTGCAAGACCGACTCAAACCGAATTTATGCGATACATAACGACCCGCAATTACAAGATTGAGTCCAACCAACGGCCATATGTGGTACAACAACTCGATTACCAGACTGATTTTACACGCCGTATTATACTTGACAAAGCTGATGATAACAATTCCAGAGACGATCCAGTACTTACAACCATTTATTGTTTGAATAAAATTAAACAAGCTCCTCTCCCACAAGATTGTTCCCAAATTAAACTGTTACTGGACTTAATTATGTGTGTCTAACGGCCCCAACACGCGCAATCATTGGTTTGACAGTCGCAATCCATGTAGTAACGCCTAGGGTCACCACATTCAACAACAGGGTCGTAACGTATAAGGCAATTAAAGTAGGTGCAACCACCACAATCTGTCTGGACGGAAGCATCGCCGGAAGTTTTACGAGGTCCGCCGGCGGCAGGTGTTCTTCCTCTGCTACTGTTAAGTCGTCGGTGTAAATGGTGGTTCCTGCGTATTATCACATTGACCGTTAGGGATGGCAATGGGTTGGGTTGGGTAGGGTTTTGCCAAACCCAAACCCATGAGTTTATCCGTGAAAAAAAGCCGGGGTAAAACCCATTGGGTTTGAAAAACTCAAACCCAACCCAACCCGCTGGGTATCCGTGGGTTCATGGGTACCCACGGGTTTTTGTCGTAAAAAATTTACAATAACAAGTTCCTATCAAAATTAAAGTCAAATATCAATCTCTCAATACAAATTATCCATATATAAAACACCATTCTAGAAAATTCAAGCAAATCACAAATTAACTATACAAATTGTTCAACACCAATCTAGAAAACTCAAGAAAATTAAAGCAAATCACAAATTATCCATAAATAACATGGTTAATTGAAAGCTTCTTCTTTTCAATTAAGTTTCTTCGCTCTCCACTCGATAACATCAACTTCTTTCGACACAATTTGAAAGAAAAAATTAGACATGTCTCCGCAAACATAAATAAGATTATTGTTTAGAATATTAAATATACCGAGAAAATAAACTATATGGGTGTGAGCGGGTACCCATGGGTCGGGTTTACCTAAACCCAAACCCAAACCCAACCCAACACGGTGAATAGTGAACGGGTTTAAATTCAAACCCGGCCCATAACCCGTCAACAAGGATTTTACCCACGTTGACCGGGTTGGGTCGGGATTAAAGCTGCTATATATTATATATCCACTAGCTAGCGAGCTCAGCGTTGGGAAAAAAAACAATAAATTATGTACTCTTGAGGTCCGCCGCTGAGCTCAAGAGGGGATGGGTTAGCGTGCTAATCCCCCTAAGGGGTTGGAAAAATGACACCCTAGTGTATTAAATACAACTATAGAATTTAATACACACATTAGGAATTAAATGCACCATATTAATTATTATCTTTTTTTTTTCAAATTAAAACCTACACTAAATATATTCTCTTTCCCTCTATATGATTTTTCCTTTTTCAGCAACCTCTGACCACCAGACTTCCTCCGACCGCCACACTTCTCCGGTGAAAATCTCCTCAGCAGACTCCCTCCGACCACCTGCAAAAAATATATCACTGCACTGATATGTTGTACCACTACATTGTTAGCTATACCACTGCACTGGTAGTGATATAAGTGCACTGGTACCAATGTCATATATGAGTATCAGTGCAGTGGTACAAATACCAGTACAGTGGTACAACATATCAGTGCAGTGGTATATTTTTGCAGGTGACCGGAGAGAGTCTGTCGGCGGATTTTACCGGCGAAATGTGGTGGTCGGAGGAAACTTGGTGGTCGGAGGCTGCTCGGAAAGGAAGAATAGAGATAGGAGAGAGAAAGATCAAAGATGAGAGAGAGAATTCTATTTTTGTATGTTTAGATTTTATTTTAAAAAACGAGTAATTAATGTGGTGTATTTAATGCTTACTTTGTATTTAATAACAGAACATTTATTATGGTTACTTTCATTAATACTAGTCAATAATTAATGAAAAATTGACCAATTAACAAGGGTGTCATTTTCCAACCCTTAAGGGGTTAGCATGCTAACCCATCCCTCATTGATAAAATCGATCGCTAGTCTGATTCCGAATATAATTTTGTATCAGCTTCACAGAAAAAAAAAAAAAATAAGAAAAGTCCGACGTCTCACTCTGCTCTCCTTCTAACAGATGTGTCGCAATTACAATATTTGGAGGTGCGTGGATCATCAGAGATCCTGATCGATCTGCTGGGATCGAGAGTTTCGTAGTACCTGAGATTGATCTGACCATGATCTGTGAGGCTAGAATCGTTGGAAGCAGCCGTTGTTGAAGCAGTAATCGTTCTCGCGGATTCGCTTGAAGGCAGAAGGGCTGCAAGCATGCATAAGATGAAGGGAAGCAAGATGGCCAACTTGGTGATGGTATTGGGCATGTTCATTATCATCGCCATGGCTAGGAAATCTTCAACTTAAGTGTGATTTGTATATATGTATGGATGTTGATACTGGTGGTAGCTAGGTAGCTGCTTATATACAACATTCGATTAAGAGAGCTCAGGATTTGGATATCTTTTTATATATTAATTCATTAATAATGCTGTTATTCATATGAATTGGAATTCCGGCACACAATAATTAAGTACTTAATTATCTTGCCGGGGTTTTGTTTTGTCACGAGAGAAGAGAGGCGGTGTTTGTTTCTATGTTCCAATGTGACTTCGTCGTCATTGTTATAAAAGTATGTTGGCCGGGGTTTGACGTTGCATCCCAATGTGATGTTGACCAATAATTAATTAGGGTGTTGATAATGAGGGAGAGGGACCATACTTATTTAGAAACTCTTAACGTTTTTATCAAACTTATTTACAGATTGATGTTATCAATTCGGATATACATACGAATTAATTCGGTGTTATCAGATTGATGTTGGCAATAAAAAAAAAATCATTTTATTTTATCTTTTCACCTATCTTGTTCTATTCATGAAGCGATGTAGCGTTGCATTTGGATGGACTGACAGTTCTTTGTTTTCATAAAAACAATGTAATTGATTTTATTACTATAAGTAAAGGAGATGGTGGATGGCTTGATGATACCCACATAAAATTGATTCTTTCTTTTTTTCCAAAACTTCTAAGTGTGTACTTTAGTGTTCTTAAACTAAAGAACGTAAAGTAGTGGTAATAGTTTTCCTACGAATTTTTTTTTATGTAACCCGAGACTTTTGTAGAGAGTGGAAAATATTGTTGTTTGCCGAAAGTGAACATATATAGTTCACTGACTCTATCAATATCCTAGTCACCCGGTCTCGGACTACCGTACACATACACCCTCGTTGCATGGAATTATTCCATGCAGTAAAAGATTGACTGACCACACCCATCATGGTAACGCAGGAGGCACTCTGCGTAGACCACCAACACAGTCTGTCATCTGAACGGAAGCAATGCCGGGGATTTTACGAGGTCGGCCGGCGACAAGTACTGTTGCTCCGTCACTCTTAGGTCGTCGATACAAATGATGGTTCCTGCGTATTATTACATTTGACCTTTGATTAAAGCTGTTATATATCTATCTATCTATCTATCTATCTATCTATCTATCTGTGGGAGCAGTTACTATGCATAATCTTCTGGTGAGTAACCATGCATAACTCAATCACCATCTGCCATATCAGCGCCCCTTCTCTCTCCTAGAAAGCCTTTAATTTTTTTCCCATTAATCTCTAACGAGCGATTTCTCACTCATTTTAAGTCAGAATTTAATTTTTTTGCACAGTTATATCAGATTAATTGTGCTCTTCAAAATTATATCCACTTTGATATATTTTTTAAACAAAAAAATTGAGCCAGTTTTTTACCAGTCTATACCATATGGTATTGACTGATATTAAATAAGAGCATACCATATGATATGAAAAATACAACTCCATACCAAACCAGATTTATCCAAATACTATCGATTAAAACAGTTACCACTGTAACCACTCCGTTTGAACACCCCTATTTTCTTGACTGGTTAATTCGGTTTGATTGGTTAAGAGTGTCTGAAAGCAAACCAAACCACCTAAATAAAACAAGCAAAAAAGTATAACCAAACCAATTATCCAAATTTACCAAACCAAATTATCCAAATACTACCCATTAAAACAGTTACCACAGTAACCACTCCGTTTGAACACCCCCTATGTACGATCCAATGAGCAGAGACACTGCTATTTCCCAGTAATGATGCAAAGTTAGGGTATGGTTGTGCAATGGTCCAATGTGATAAGGATCATATCAAACCATGAGAACTGTGTTCTAATAATAAAATAATTTTTAGAACCAGTGATCACATTAAGGAAAGGAGGCTTGAGGCTTGATTATTTATATAAACAGAGTGTAGTTATTAATGTGCAGCATTATCTTATATTGAAGCAATTATCTTCAGTTTTGAGATCAGCCTTGATTGTTCCTTCGACTAGCAGCAGTTATGAGAATTTAATTTGTTTTGCTTGGGTTTGTAACATGTTAAGATGACACAGTACATGGTATGGGTGTTTCAGAAGAAGGCAAGGGTTCTATATTATGGATCTTTGATGGAATTTTATCTTTGACAAATATACATTTGCTTGCAAAATTGTTGGTTGTTGAATGCTATTTAATTGGTTTTGTTGCATTGATAATGGATTGAAAGTGAATGTGATAATTGAAATTCAACAGCAGGTATTTGTGCCTCTGAATGTATTAGCGACCCTTTTTTCTTAATTGCTAACATCGTCGCTAAAATTATCATTAGTAGCAGGGTTTCCAGATCGTTACAAAATCATTTGCAGTGACTAATAAGTTGTAGCGACCGTTGGTTGCTAGAAAAAATGTCAGCGGTTTACCGATGCTGGAACCGTTGTAAAGATTTCCACCAGGGGTTGTACTTACCGCTGGCAAATATTAGCGGCGGTTACAAAAACCGTTGGCGGGGTGCTTAGCGACGGTTCTTCCTGTTGCGGAAAGAAAAAAGAAATCTCCTGTCATATGTGATTTATTTTGTAGTGTTATTGGGAGCAACGGGTTCTTGACAATTCCATACCATCAATTCCCACCAAATAAATCTTATCTAAACGTGATATTTCGTTCAATTTCCACAAGTCAATTCTTTGGTTTTGTAAAACATGGAAATTCCAAAAAATTACCACATTTCAAATTTTCACATCCAAACGCACTCCTAGAGTCTGCCCAATCCAATGAGCAGGGACGCTGCCATTTCCTAGTAATTATGCAAAGCTAGGGTTGTGCGATGGTCCGGTCTGATAAGGATCAGATCAAATCATAAGAGCTGCGGTCTAATAATAAAATTAATCTTAGAATCAGGAATGTGATCATATTGTATTATGTTCTGTGTGATTTGGTTCAAATACCAATTCGATTCATTTTTTTTTTAATATTTATAAAAGTTTATGGAATCAACCATGAGGGTGAGGATGCTTGAGCTCTCACCATGACCACACTCAAGTCACCATTGAGGACTAAAATTACGTTCATCAATTCCAATAGTGTTTAGAAAATACGAAATTTCATGTAAAGGGAATCAAATGATATAACTAAAGTTTGTGAACTAAAACGATCGACATATTAAAGTAAAGGGATTAAACTGATAGTTTAGTCAAGCTAAAATAAACATGATAAAAGAAAGGATACTAAATATATTCATAATAAAAAAAAAGCGGATATGCACAAAATGTGAGCACGTTTGATATTAGAACCATTTTTATTTGATAAGACCGCGTATTATAATAATTTTTTTTAAGGCAAGCCCAAAGAACACGCGCCACGTGGCACGTGGTACAACGTGGCTCGATTACAAGACCGACTCCAACCAAATACGCGGCGGTACACCATTCCTCCCACAAAGCTTGCTCGCAAACTGTTGCTGAACTCACGTTAGCTAGGAATTGCAGGAAAAAAACGTACGCCTCTATTCTATTTGACGGGGTTTACAGACGCAACTATTGGTTTCACATTCGCAATCCAGGTAGTAAGCGAGAGGATCACCACAAACATGTTGGCCGAAACGCTCAACGCATTTTGCCTCGGTACAACCATGAATACAGTCATTCTGAACGGTAGCATTATTGTTGCCGGAAGTTTGACGAGGTCGTCGGTCGGCGACAGGTACTACTGTTGCTCGGTCACTGTTAGGTCGTCGGTACAAATGATGGTTCCTGCGTATTATTACATTATTGACCTTGGATTAAAGATTTTTTATATATATATATATATGGTGACTTCTATCGTACATTGGGTAAAATCAAAGGTACGAAATACCCTGAGTAAGAAAATGTTATCTAGACATCGAATTAACCAGATTTTTGGACAGACTGACAATTAATGTGTCGGTCCATAAAAAAAATAAAATTTATAGAATACGTATAATTGTTTTTCACTGCTTGGAATTACAACAATGTGTCGCAATTACAACTTTTTGGAGGTGCGTCGTTAGAGATTCTAAGGTCAGCTATAGGATCGGAGTTTCGTACCTGAGATTGATCTGCTCGTGTTCTGTGCGGGTAGAATCGTTGGAAGCAACTGTCGTCGGAGCAATCGTTCTCGCCGATTCGCTCGAAGGCAGAAGACCTGCATGCATGCACAAGATGAAGGGAAGCAAAATGGCCAACTTGGTGATTGTGGGCATGAACATGATCATCATCGCCATGGCTAGGAATTTATGAAGCTTTAAGTGTGATATATGTAACTTTGTATGGATGTTGATGAGTAGTATTGGTGGTAGGTAGCTGCTTATATAATATATACAACATCGATCAAGAGTGCTAATTAGGATTTGGATATCTTGGTATATAGTAATTCATTAATAATGCTGTTATTCGAATGAATTGGAATTCCGGCACACAATAAGTACTTATCCTGCCGGGGTTCGTAACGAGAGAAGAGGCGGTGGTTGTTTGTATGTTCCAATGCAATCGACTTCATTGTTAATATACAAGTATCTCGCCGGGGATTGCAACGAGAGAAAGAGGCGGTGTTTGTTTGTTCCAATGATACTTAGAAGCTCTTAACGGTCAGCAGCGGATCCAGACACTGGGCCGCATTTCATTAGAAAATTAGATACTGTAAAAAAATGATGATAATTTTTTTACAATGTCTATTGTACACGATGGTCTTTTAATTTAGCGAATGCATCAATAATATAGTCTACATCCATATCGATAACACACTCTTTTTCAAATAAAACAGTTAAGTAATTGACGAGAAATTCATAACTCATTTTGTTGTTTAAATAAGCTTTCACATGTTTCATTGTTGAAAAAGTTCTCTCTGTAGCAGCCCTTGAAACCAGTTGCGTCAACAGTAGACAAATCAATCGACTAATCAATTTCATTGTGTGTCCATTGCTATATTCACCAACTGCTCTAGTAATTTTCAAACGCTTTGAACTTTTAGAATTTTAAGTTTCATTTTTTTTAGACGAAAATCTTTGGGGCTAGAACTTCTAGGCTAAATTTAGAGTAGTGATTTGAATATGTTTATTTGAACCATTTTTCTAATTATACACAATATTATTATAAAATAACACTGGACCGAATGCCTAATATCGAAAAATTCATAAGGACTATACTAGCTCAGTATCCAGAGGAGGGCTGGACCGTGACCCGGGGTGGCCACCTCCTAGATCCGCCACTGTTAACGGTTTATCAAATGAATTTACAGATTAATGTTATCGATCGGATACATACGAATTAATTCGGTGTTGTTTGTGCTAGCTAGGGTGAATTCAAAGTACCGGTGTGCTTTTCAGGTACGAAGCTCGATCCTTGCTGACCAGGATCTCTGAGGCACCTCATAAAGTTGTAATTGACGAATTTAATTTGTTGAAATTGCAAGTAGTGAAAAACGTTGAAATTACGTACTCTATAAAGTATAAACTGTATTTTATTTAAATGAGTAACATGGCAACCAAAAGATAATAATGTTTTTATTTTTTATTTTTTCACCTTTGTTCTATTCATGAAGCGTTGTAACGTTGCATTTGGATGGACTGATAGTTGTTTTTTTTTTCACGAAACAATGTAATTAATTTTATGGACTTTGCTACGGTGACATACATGTTACGGTGACATGCACTTTTCGGTCGACCTCATATAGGATCAGGTCGACCTAATCAGTTGTTTCAGTGTACAAACAGTTTCATGGTGCCTAATTTGGAGATTCATATCTTACAATTGGCTAGATGGAAATTGGAGATTAAAGGCTTGTTTTGAAGCTGAAGTGTCCCTCTACACATTAAAGCACTTGGGAGCTCAATAGAAAGTCCAGAAGACCATTTTTGAACCTGACCAAAAGGCTATGCCAAAAATGGCAAACTGCCTGAAAATGGCTAAGTCTGGCAACGTGTTGTCGAGCCTACTATGGAGCTCAATTTGACAAGCATGGATGCGAGTCAAGTCCAGGGGCCTTTACCACGTTAAATTACGTATTTTTTTATACAAAGGCAAGGCATTGAATGAAAGATTGAATATCTTTAAGGCTTCAAACAAAAGGCTCGAAGTTGCTACGAAGGCTGTTTTTCTGGCAGCTTGCTTGTGCTCGAAGTCTGCCAAAAAAACAGCCTTCGTAGCAACTTCGACCCTTTTGTTTGAAGCCTTAAAGATATCCAATCTTTCATCCAATTACTTGAATTTGTATAAAAACATACCTTATTTAACGTGGTAGAGGCTCCTGGACTCGACTCGCATTCATGCTTCTCGAATTGAGCTCAAAAATAGGCTTCACAAACACGTTTCCAGACTTAGCCATTTCTAGGCAGTTTCCCAGTTTTGGCATAGCCTTTTGATGAGGTTCAAAAATGGTCTTCTGGACTTCCTATCGAGCTCTCAATCACTTCAATATGTAGAGGGATACTCCAGCTTCAAAACAAGTCATTAGTCTTCAATTTCCATCTAACCAATTGTATGATATGAATATCCAAAGTAGGCACCATGAACTGTTTTTACACTGAAACAACATATTAGGTCGACCGAATCCTAAATGAGGTCGACCGGATCCTATATGAGGTCGACCGAATTCTATGTGAGGTCGACCTAATCCTAAATGAGGTCGACCGGAAAGTGCAAGTCACCGTGACATGCATGTCACCATAGGCACACCCTAATTTTATTACTATCTAAAGAATATTATAAGGGATTTCTCAAAAAAGGGGTCACAGATTCGAAATTCTCCATCGGGCAAGGGTCCACGTCAGCACAGCGTACTAGCCAATCAAATTATTTTCACAAAAAAAAAAAAAAATCAAACCAACAATAGTATCAGCCCCCTCGGTGAATGCTTCCGCCATTTTCGGATTTTTTTCTTTTGCAATTTCACGTTTCTTCCTTTTTAGATATAAGTTATATATTTGTTACCATCTAAAACATTGCTACCATATATATTATATTTTAACTATATATAAATTTGTCACCGTGTTTATAATAATAAAAAAATAGAGTTATATTTTATATGCACTAGCAAGTTGTAGTGTACAATGCATAGCATAAATAATTTGAGTATATTGGGTAAGGTTCGGTCCAAATATTTCAAACATTAGCTGCACGTTAGTCTAAATTTTGGAAATTATGGAATGACATATATTGTCTAAATATTTATTTTCAGTGTTTCATGCATCTAGATTTCATGAACTGCCATTTGAATTTTTTATGAAAACTTTATTTCCACCTCATTCAAGAATTGGATAAACGAGTCATTGTGAGTGTGATGATAAACAATCGAGATATTATAACATGATCATGTTATACATTTAGTCAATAGTTAATATATCTCAATTAAAAGTTAAATATTGTCACTTATAAATTAACTTATATCGTATCAGTATCGTGGTTGTTCTCCGAGGAACTAAATTAACTTTATATATACGAGTCAAATTTTCAAACCATACATTCCAGTCATACACAAAGAATAACAAATATTTGTTGAATAATATATGAATAATAATTCAAGTATGACAACAAATTATTTAATATAAATTTAGTGTATGCATGTAATTAATGAGAGTTTCAAGAATATGAACAAAATTTCTCAAGATTAATTTAATATCAAATAAAACTCACCCGGCCAATGGCCGGGATCAAAGCTAGTAAATAAAATAAAGGAGATGGTGGTTGGATAGACGCATAAAATTGATTCTTTCTTCTTTCCAAAACTTATAAGTGGACCACTTCAGTGTTCTAAAAAGTCAAGAATTTAAAACGGTGATAGTTTTCATACAAAGAAATTTTCCTGTAATCTAAAACTTTGTAAAGAGTGAAAATACAGAAAATGAATGTAATCCACGACTCTAACATTTTTCTAATCACTTAGCCTCGAACTATCATACAAATACACCCTCGTCGTTCTTAAACCCAACGTGGAATAATCCATGTAGTAAAAGATGGACTGACGACCACACCCATCATGGTAACGCAGCAGGCACTCTGCGTAGGTGCCACCACCAACACAATCAGTCATCTGAACGGAAGCATTGCCGGAAGCTTTACGAGGTCGGCCGACGGCGACAGGTAATGTTGCTCTGTTACTGTTAGGTCGTCGGTGCAAATGGTGGTTCCTGGGTATTATTATTACATGGACCTTGGATTAGAGCTGCTATATATGGTGACTACTTCGGTGCACTCACAAAAATGAGTGCGTTCAATGCATCCAACTCAAAAACTAGTTTTAAAGTGTAGGATTTTGAATTTTAATTTGTAAAATTAGTGTAATATGATGATATAGCATATGATAACAACTAATTAGCAGATTACCCTAAGCCCTAGACCTCCAATTTTGAGTTCTATCACTAAACCCCAAATTGTAAACTCTAACCCTAAATCTCTAAACTCTAAATCCTTCAAATTAAAGTAAATCTTTAATGGTTTTTGTGCAAATTCATGTACGTTATTGTTCATCACATCTTAAGTGATGATTGACATCATTTTGACATAAAACACATGTTTAAAATGACGGTTATGAAGTGAGTGCACTGAATACACCCAAAAAAGTGAGTGCACCGAAGACGCCACCACATATATATATCCACTTAGCGAACTCAGTGGTGGAACAAGAATTTTGGACATCCGTTAGTCCATAAAAATAAAATAGTAAATAAAAAAAACAATCTAATTTACAGGGTACACAATTTTATTATCTTTCGCTCAGATTGCAATTGAAACAAATGTGTCGATTACAAATTTTGGTGGTGCGTGAGAGATCATATAGTCAGCTAAGATCGAGTTTCGTAGTACCTGAGATTGATCTGACCATGATCTATGCGGCTAGAATCGTTTGAAGCAACTGTTGGAGCAATCGTTCTCGCCGATTTGCTTGAAGGCAGAAGGCCTGCATGTATGCATAAGATGAAGGGAAGCAAGATGGCCAACTTGGTGATAGTATTATTGGGCATTATCATCATCGCCATGGCTGGGTTTTCTTGAACTTTTTTTTTTTATAATGGTTCAATTTCTATGTATGAAGGGAAACAAGATTAATTAGCTACTTATATACAACATCAATTAATCATGCAATAGCAGATTTGAGGAGCTCGTAGCTAGCTAGATAGTGTTTCAATTTCTGTCATCTCGATCCGTCTTTCCTTTGTGAATATGTTAAAAGAGGAAACCCTGGTCAAACAACTCTTGTCATCATTTCTCGTCTTTATTTGAGATTAAACAATCACTGAAATCAATTTTAAAACGTGGATCCCCAGCTCGATCTCTTGTGGGTCCATGAATTTGAATTCAATTGCTTCTCTTTCTTAATTTCTTGGACTTTTCTTTACAGGTTTTGGGAGTACTTGTACGTCGGTTTATGAAACAGCAGCCATTGGAACGGCACCATATGAGTTATATCGTAATTAGGAGTTAGAGGTCTGGCTAATACGATTGGGTATATACTACAAATTATGATTCAAAAAGGCACGCTTAACCTTACGCTTAGGCACGCCTAGACGCAAGGCAATGGCAAAATGCCTTGTCTTACAATTTTTATGGAAGTTTTATCTTGTATTTTGAATAAGGGGGCAGCATCTGGGGATTTCCCTTATCATCCAAGATGTAAGACATTGGGAATTACACATCTTGTGTTTGCGGACGATTTATTGTTGTTTTCCAATGGTTCTGAAAAAGCAGTGGACAATGTAAAAGGGCTGTTGAACGAATTTTATAGGTTATCAGGGCTGAGGTTTAACCCAGAAAAGAGCCAATTATTTTCAGCAGGGATAGATGAGGCAGAGCATGCTAGACTGGCAGAGTTGGCTGGGTTTCAGCAAGCTTCATTCCCAGTCCGTTATCTGGGGGTTCCTCTCATCGCAGGGAAGCTCACTACAAGTGACTGTAGAGTGCTCATTGAGAAGATCACTAAACGAATATCAGGATGAAAGCCTAAGATGCTTAGCTATGCAGGTAAACTTCAGCTTATTACCTCGGTGTTGAGTAGTCTTTCCTACTTTTGGATGAATGTTTTTCTACTGCCACTGTCTATTATAAAGGAGATAGAGCGGATTAGTAGTAAGTTCTTCTGGGGTATAGATGATGAATCCATGAGGAAAAAAGCGGTAATGGCCTGGGATTTGTTAGCAATCCCAAAGAAGGAAGGGGGACTAGGCATTCGATGCTTAAAATCATGGAATATATCATGTACTACAAGGCATATTTGGGCTCTGCTTGCTAAAGAAGGGTCCTGGTGGGTTGCGTGGATTTACCAGTTTCGTATCAAACAGCTTAGCTTCTCGGAATTAAGAACATGTAGCACAGCCTCTTGGGTGTGGAAGAGATTACTCAAGGTAAGGGATAAGGTGGAAGGTTTCTTCCGCTGTTGGGGAACACGTGTATTGGAAAGATAAAAGGGTGTTGAAATACTCTGTAAAACAGGTTTGGCAAGATCTACAGCCGGTTAGACCTCAAGTTCCTTGGTATCAGCTCGTATGGGGTAGACATTCTGTTCCAAGACATAGTTTCTTGAGTTGGGTTGTGACACGCAACAAGATAATTACTTTAGCGCAACTGAAGGGGTGGGGAAAAGTATTGGATGATACTTGCCTGCTTTGTTCTGCTCAAACAGAGGATCGTGATCACTTATTCTTCCAATGTAATTACACGTTTAAGGTGCTGGAGGGTTGCTTGCAGATGCTTGATCAGAGGTGTCCTCAGCTGGCCACTTTTGATGACTACTTGGCGTGGGCTGTGAGACACTTCAAGGGAAAAAAGGCGTTAGCTATGGTGGGTCGTATGGTCTGGAACTTAGTAGTTAGTATGGTCTGGAGGGAAAGGTGTGGAAGGCTGTATGGGGGAAAATCCATGACATATGGGGAGGTCATTAGAACAGTAAGAAGGCTGATTGAGTTGGCCAGACAAGGAAATACAGCATTAGATTTGGATTGTAGAGCAGTGTTTCTTCAGTAATCACAATTGCAATTAGAAGTGTAGTAGCAGTAGAGAGTAGTAGAGTATTTGTTAGTTTCACTGTAGTAGTGATTGGTAGTGCAGCTATTGTTCAGCTGTAGAGTGTATGATCAAGATGTGTATAAATCACATAGAGCTTAATAATTTTTTTTTGATATTGCCCATAAAAAAAAAAGCCTTGTATAGGGGTTTCGCGCCTAATTAGATACTGAAACACGTCAATGGAGTAAGGTGATATATAAGTCTCTCCTAAACATTACTAGATGGAACTAGAAAGTCAATATTAAAGGAAAAAATTAACATCAACTACAAAATCAATTTTCTGTATCAACATTTTCAATAGCTCAAGAACTTTTTGAGCTATTGAGCTATGATTCTATGAATTCGTAAGCTATGTTCTTGTCATTAAGTGTTGAGTAAGTTATTAATCATTTTAACTGAAGTGGGAAAGTGTTTTAGATTATTATTCCATTCATCATGCAGTGCGAATAGCTATTTTTCTTCCAACGCCTAGGCAAGGTTAGTCTACGCCTAGACAAGCAAGGTGCTAGACAAAGTCTCAACGCCCGCCTTATGCCTAACGCCTTTTTGAACCTTGCTACAAATTAATGAATGAATCGAAAGGACACACTGCTGATCACTTGTCTAAGTTTTCGTTTGGATTGCATGTGTGATTTTTGTTGCGATATTGCCACTTCGAATTGGTTAAAAATACTCATTCGTTCTTCTCTTTCTAATGAAATAAAAACCGACCTTCTTCTTTCTTGATCTTGTGAGAAGATAGATTAGGGGTTGATGTGTTCGCCGGATACTTCTCCGGCAATGTAGACGGGCAAAGGAGACCGCGAAGATATTGACGATGGCTACGATTATCAACCCAAAAGGGTCGACAATTGAGAAAGGAATAAACAGAAAATCACGTTAGATTCACTGGAAGCCATGGAACGGAAGAGCCAAATGATGGTGAACACGAAGATGAAGGTGGAGATGAGTTCGACGAGATATGACCGGAGAAATCTTCACTAAAGTTGGAGGAATAAAATATTGATATTTTCGGATTTGTATGAAAAGTGAGAGGACAAATGGCAATAAAAAAAACATAATAACATGTGTCGGATCAGAGACGAATAGTTAAATTCAAGACACCTTTATGCTTTGCTGCAGCCGTCAACATTGAATGTTGCGTATCATGCAATTTGGCCATTTATTATTATGTAATTAGGTGGGTTTTCAATTTCAAAGGTTCTACCGGTTGCATTCTATATTCTTTTTTATTCTTTGTTGTTTTTGCTCGTGTCATCTCAATTTTTGGAGTTTTCACAGAAGCTATCAATTTCATAGCACAACATACGTACAGGCTCTTTCATTAATAGTCCAGTTGTTTATGGACTTTGGTTCATGTCAGGTTTGAGGTTAAGTTTGTTCGGCTGGCCATGTCTTCTGGGCTTATGTTGGCTAGAAAAAGATCGCATACATATTTTTGTTATTTTCACACACGTTCATAGATTGCTCGAGCATGTCATCTTGTATTCGTTGCACCTAACCTTTTTTTATTACACGTAATTAACAATTTTCTTACGCAATCACATCACCAATAATAGAAAAAATGTGCATGTATATACGCACAAAACGTGAGTGCACCAAAAACAGACGACAGCATGTTTGATATTAGAATCATTTTTATTCGAATATATACGTATTATAATAATTATTTTATCTTGGGAAGCAAAGGAAAACGGCTCTATCATCAAGCAAGGAAGCAACTGCAATCGTTGATGTTACAGTCGCAATCCATGTAGTAATAGTAAGGCTGGTCACACCCATTAGGGTAACGCTTAAAGCAGTATTTATAGGTGCAACCATCAGGAACATTGCAGTCTGTCTGAACTGAAGCATTAATATTATTGCTGCTGCTGCTGGAAGTTGTACGAGGTCGACGGCGGCCAGCAACGACAGGCAGCGTCCCTGATCTGTAAATGTGGGATATCAAAGCTGCTACATAATTAAGCCGAGCTGCAGCTATGGGCTTCACAAACCCTAGCTCAAAATGAAGAACGTGGATCGAGTTTCGTACCTGAGATTGATCTGACCACGATGTGTGAGGCTAGAATCGTTGGAATTAGCCGTTGTTGGAGCAACCATCGTTCTCGTCGATTCGCTCGAAGGAAGAAGGGCTGCGTGCATGCATAAGATGAAGGGAGACAAGATGGCCAACTTGGTGATTGGAATCATCATCGCCATGGCTGGGTATATATTCTCTTGAAGGTTAAGTGGGATAATATGTATGTTTAATTTGTAGGTTAGCGGCTTATATATACAACATCAAAGAGTGCTCAGAATTTGGATTTCTTCGTATAAAACAATTCATTAATGATGCGGTTATTTGGATGAATTGGGAAATCCTCTTCTTGATTATTAAACCACTCGAATTATTAATTAGTTCTCTTGTTTTGATTGAAGGAAGACAGTACTTTTATGCTCTGCATGCAGCAGTCAAACATTTGCTGTTGCGTACGCATGCATATCATCTATATTTGGAAGGAAGGTGGTGTTTGTTAGCACGACTAGTGCTCGACTGCTCGTGATTCTTAACCAAAAAAAAAAAAAAAATCGGCTACATTTTTCCTATATGGATATGTTCTTTTTTCCTTCCAGGCAAGTTTATCGATTTAATTTTATTAATTATTAGGTGCTAGCTAAGAGATCCGAACTCGAAACTTTTAGGTTGAAAACCAACAATATACTCTCTAGAACAATCACGTAAGAACATCAATCATGCAAGCAGATAGGAGGAGCTTATTCTATAGACAAACTCGACCACGACCAAGTTATTGATTGAGACCGCCACACCTGATCAGCACCTTCCTTATTTGAGCTTCGCCGAGATTCGAAGTTGGTCAGATCGAGAGGCTAGAGATAGGGTCAGTAACCGGCGATTACTGACCTGTGAGTAACCATTTATGGATCGTTGATCTGGGGTGAAATCACTGTGTGGCTGGGATTGATGCGGGGTGGGCAAGGACATTTTTGTCCAATTTTTGAAATTTTATTTCTTTCATTTTGAAATTTTTCAACATTTATATGCTGACTTTTAATGGAGGAAAGAGAAAATCATATTTTTCTCTTCCTCTCTCTTTTCTCTTGCTTCTTCCTCTCTTCCTTCTCTCTTCTAAACTTCTTTTTCTAGATCTAGATATGTTCTCTTCTCTTGTTCTTCATTTTTTTTCCTCCAACAATCGACAAAGAAAAATTGCAGCATCCCGTCTCAAATCCGGTGACGCTCCAAATCCTTCTTCTTTGCAGCTGCTCTTTCCTTTTGTTATTTCTTTTCTTGGCCTTAAAATAGATGACGCTCCATATTTACAAAGAGGGGACGGATCTAGGTGAGTCGAGTATGCATGTTTTATATTTTAGTATTTGTTTGTGAATTTTCAATTCCGACCTTCCTCCTCTTTCTTTGTTGCATTTGTTGTTCTTGATTGCGGAGGAGAAATGAGAGGAGACAGAAGACGAGTTTTTTTTCTCTCTCCCTCCTGTTTTTCTTCCTTCTTTTAGGTAATATATTAATATTACCACACTTTACCATATGGTAGTGTGTGCTAACTAAATGTATTTTTATGGTCACAAGTTTTATCATGGTGGTGGTAGTGGGTGGTAATTAGGGCTGGCTATTTGGACCGGGACCGGATAAAAAACCGGAAACCGGACCGTATAACCCGGACCGAGACCGGACCGGGACCGGATAGTAAACAATCCAATCCAATCTTTGGGCTTAGATTTGAGGTAAAAAACCGGATAAAGACCGGATAAGAGAGCTTAACACCCAAAATTTAAGGGTAATTTGCATAAACGGTCACAAACCTTTGCACTTAGTACAAAACTTAACCAACTCCTCACCCTTTTAGGCCTTAGGCCACTCAAATTCCCACAATCTCAATATAAAATCAAGACCGAATTGGGACCGGACCGGGTTAAGACCGGACCGGATCAAGACCGGACTGTATCCAATCCAATCTTTTGTCCTTATATTTTCAAAAAAACCGGACTGGACCGGATCAATTTGGGCCAATTTAACCGGACCGGACCGTATAGCCACCCCTAGTGGTAATCGACTCCAGTTCCGAGAAAGAAGAGTTAGAAGACAATGAGGTTGGAAAAGAAAGTGAAGAGAGTAGTAATTGTATATATATTGAGATTACCATACTATACCATACGGTAATGTGTAGTAACGAAATGTATTTTTATGGATATCATGTTTTACTATGGTCGTAAAGGGTTGTAATTAGATTTATATCATTTTTGTATGGTTTTACCTTCTCATACCATGTGGTATTGTATGGTAATTACAATTAATTTTTGTTCATTCAATTAACCATGTTCTACTATGGTGGTATTGTATGATAGTTAGATTTATATTTTTCTGTAACATGTTTTACCATGTTATACCATGTGGTGGTAGTTGGATTTGTAATTTTATTTTACCATGTTATACCATATGGTATGGTATGGTAAATAGATTTGTAAATTTATGTAGCATGTTTTACGACGTTATACCATATGGTATACTGGTATTGTATGGTAGTTAGATTTGTAATTTTTTCAACGTATTTTACTATGTTTTACCATGATAGTAGAAAGTGATAATAAAATTCATATATGTAATTACTGTCTTTAGCACTGAATTATTTAACGAAAAAATCACCATTCAATTTGAGTTGAAATTTGAACAGAGATAGCTAGGATGGTTAGATTCATTTCTGTTGTAGATGGGAGAGAGAGAGAGAAATAATATACTTTTTCTTTTAATAATAAAACAAAGAGTAAAAGAGAGGGAAACCAGTGCGTGGGGAGTGGGATCCACATCAGAGCGTCAGCGTTAGCATTAAATAGGGGGTGCAATTTACCCTATAGCCGCTCCGTGTTTAATTTTAATAAAAGAAAAATGCTGACACGTGGGGACAAAGGATTGGATTACTGACAGTAGGATTACAGACCTGATCTGGTTCCGGATCGAGATTGGCAGGTCCATGTCACTCATGTTTACAAATAAATTTTAGGTATCAAAATGTAAAATATAAAAAGTAGAGAAACTAAATCGTAATTTGCCATTTGGATCTATGGATCAATCCATGCATGAATCCACCAATAGATAAAATGGATTGGATTTAAATGAAATTGGATTAGTTGGATATTTAAAGGAATGAATTGCATTGGATTGATGGATTGTATTGAGAATTGCCACATCTACATCCGGGTCATAATGGTACAGGAGTACTACGTTAAATAACATGCAACTATCATGTGATTAGGTGGTTTCTCAAAGGTTCTACCAGTTGCCTCACATCCTCTTTGGTTCTTTCTCGTTTTGTTTGTGTCATTTTGTTCTCCGGAATTTACAGAGCTACCCATGTTGTGTCACAATATGCTCTTTCATTGATAGACTGATTGCTTACGAACTATGGTTCATGTCAGTATTGGGGTTAATTTGTTCGTCTGACCATGCCCTTTGGACTTATGTTGGATAATAAAGATCGAGTACAATATTCCCATATGTACAAATTCTATTTTTTCACACACGGCATTGATAGATTGCGCGAGCATGTCATCGTGTATTCCTTGTCGTGTAACTGGAAAAAGTGAGTACGCCAAAGACAGACAACAACACATATATTTGGTATCAGAACCATTTTTATTTGATAAGACGACGTATTATTATAATAAAAAACCCGATAATTATTTCATAGATGGATTCACTTGCAACAATTATTATATCCTGGACCAGCTGGACTTATAATAATTATCTCAAGAAGCAAGAAAAAACTTGCGCCTCTATTAAGCTGGATAGCACCTGCAATCGTAGATGTCACACTTGCATTCGTAGTTCATGTCAGCTGGCTCTGGATAGCACCTGCAATCGTTGATGTCACACTTGCAATCTATTTGGTATTCGGAAGCATTGCTAATATTGTTGCTGCTGGAAGTTGTACGAGGTGGCCCTCTGTTACTGTTTGGATCAAACTAATTAAGCTGCTGCTGCTGCTAGGCTTAACAAACCCTAGCTAAAATGAAGAAGAAGGTGGAGTACGGGGCTGCAAGCTAAGGATCGCGAGGAGTTTCGTACCTGAGATTGATCATCTGACCATGATCTGTGAGGCTAGAATCGTCGGAAGCGATATTAATCGTTCTCGCCGATTCGCTTGAAGGCAGAATGCCTGCATGCATGCATCAGTTGATCAGGCAATGTAAGGAAGTGGTTAAGTACCATGCAATCATTGACCTCTCCCAACAACTCGAATCGTTGGGATCAGTTGGTCTGTGACGTATTAGTATATACATACACAAAGCGAAAACACAACATACAAGGATGAAGATAGAAAGAAATGAAAAGAGATGGTTGGTATACATGGGATTAGGATGATCCATAAGATGAAGGGAAGCAAGATGGCCAACTTTGTGATGGTATTATTGGGCATGATCATCTTCATCGCCATGGCTGTGTAGTCTTGAAGTTTTAAGCTGGATATGTTCATATATAACAGCAACAAGAGTGCTCACGATTTGGATATCTTCGTGTATAAATAATCCATTAATGATGCGGTTATTTGGAGGAATTGGGAATTCCTCTTCTTGATTATTTAAACCGCATTCGTATTATTAATTATTTTAGTTCTCTTGTTTGATCGAAGGAAGACACTTTTATGTTGTTTAGCAGTCAGCATTTGTTGTTGCGTACGCATGCATATCATCTATATTTGGAAGGAAGGTGGCGTTTGTTAGCAGTTAGCACAACTACGGGTGATTCTTGAAAAAAAAAAATTTGGGTAAATTGTAAGGTTGGTCACTAGGATTACTAAAAAGTTTCACGTTTGGTCACTAAATTTGTACTTTCGCTTCATCAGTGGTCACTCTCCGTCCATCTATGTTATCTTTATCATACGTGGCAGTCAACTATCTTATTTGCCCGTTAAATGTATGATGTGACAAAATCTTAAGAACAAAAAGGGTTAAAATATTTAAAGTGGCGTGATGAAAGTAATAGTTTAGTCAATAAGTGTGTGCCCACAAAAAATAAGTGCACCGAGGACAACAATACATTTGGTATGAGAATTATTTGATAAGACATACGTATTATAATGTATTTTTTAAAGCAAGTCCAAAGGACATGGTACAACGACTCGATTACGAGACTAACTCCACCCGAATATGCGGTACAACGACTCGCGAGTACAACAAGACTGACTCCAACCGAACATGTGGTACAACGACTCGCGATTACAAGACCGAGTACTCCAACTAAGTATGCGATACAACGACTCGGATTACAAGAGTACTGACCCCAAAAAAAGCGTATTACTTTTGAATCAGAAAACACTCGCAAGAATTTTTTGGACAGAAGCAGTCCATGTAGTAAAAATCAGGGTTGCCACACCAACCAGCGCCATAACGGTATATGCAATTCCCGTAGGTGCAACCAGCATCACAGTCTGTCTTTGTATGCTGAATGGACGAAGCATTGCCGGAAGTTTTACGAGGTCGGCCGGCGACAGGTACTACTGTCGTTCTGTTACTGTTAGGTCGTCGGTACAAATGTTGGTTCCTGCGGTATTAATTATTACATTATTGACCTTGAAGAATTAAAGCTGTTATATATCTCCACTAGCTAGCCAGCTCAGCATAGTGGAAGAACAATAATTTATAGAGTACGTATAATTTCATTGTTTTTCACGATCGCTTGCAATGCATCGAAATTGCAACTTTAAGAGGTGCGTATCAGGAGATATTCCAAGTTATCGTCAAAACTCAAACCGGCGACCATGAATGTCAAAGTGGATCGACAGGGTTTAGAGTAAATCATCATCATCATCAAATTAGTTTAATGTCAATGTTTGTTTAGACTTAGTTTGAATTAATGTTTTATCTTTGTAGTCTCCAAATGCTAGCTTGCACATGTTGTCTTGTAGTGCAAAGCTTTTGCCTATTTAAACTCAAGTATGAATGAGAAACACCTAAGACTTCTAGGGTTTCATTTTCCCCAACTCATCTTTGTTGTTAGTGCGTCAAGAGATTCGAGGTCAGCTTGGATCGAGATTCGTAGTACCTGAGATTGATCTGATCTTGTTCTGTGCGGCTGGAATCGTTGGAAGGAACTGTCGTGGGAGCAATCGTTCTCGTCGATTCGATCGAAGGCAGAAAGCCTGCATGCATACTCAGGCAAATCAAGAATACTGTATGTGGTTTGACCGTACCGATGCCCAACCCTAGTATGTATTTATGCTAAAGAGAACACGAGAATGAAGGAGATCGAAATACAGTACATACATGGGATTACGACGAGCCATAAGATGAAGGGAAGCAGGATGGCCAACTTAGTGATATTACTGGGCATGTTCATCGTCATCGCCATGGCTAGCTAGCTAGCTGGGTGTTCTTGAAGTTTTTGTGGGATATATAAGTATGGATGTTGATGAGCATTGGAAGTATATAGTACGTAATTCACAGCTGCTTATATATATATATACAACATCGACCAAGAGTGCTAAGGGTTTGCATATCTTGGTATATAGTAATTCATTAACAATGCTGTTATTCGGATGAATTGGAATTCGGCCGGCACGGGAAGTAATTATGTTTTAGGGTATCTTTGCCGGGATTTGAAACGAGAGAAGAGGCGTTGATGATAATGTTGATCAATAATTAGGGTGTTGATAATGAGGGACCATACTTAATTAGAAACTCTTAACGGTTTTATCAAATGAATTTACAGGTTAATATTATCCGATCGGATGTGCATACGAATTAATTCGGTGTTGTTTGGTGCTAGAGTCAATTCAAAGTACGTACCTATGTGCTTTTTCAGGTACGTACGGAAGAGTGCGGATCTGGTGACTAAGGGGGTGCTTAGTCACTTGACTAAGCCCCTCCTAGCCATTAGATCTGGACACTTCAATTCAATGGTTAAAAAGTGGGAAGGGCTATTTAATTAATGGCAGGGGTAGTTTGGGTATTATGGAAAATTATGAAGTATACAAACCGGATTTACAATTAGTACAAACCATACAAACATACGAACAGTACAAACTAGAGCGACAAAACATACAAACAGATTTACAAACATTACAAACATATGAACTGTACAAACAATACAAACTAGACTGACAAACAATACAAATCATACAAAAAGAAAAAACAACCGGGTTGACTTTGGAGGCTCCATCCTTATATAGAGGGGCTCCTTCCCAAAGTCAACCCGGGTGTTTTTTAGACATACAAACAGTACGAACATGGTGGAGAAAAATGACAAACTAGACCGACAATCCATACGAACGGAAAAAAACACCCGGGTTGACTTTGGAGGCTCCATCCCTATATAGAGGGGCTCCTTCCCAAAGTCAACCCGGGTGTTTTTTAGACATAAAAAACATTACGAACATGGTGCACAAAAATGACAAAGTTTACAAACATGGTTAACAAAAATAACAAAGTTTACAAACATTACAAAAAAAAACCGACAAACATTACAAAATAACAAAGCATACAAACATTACAAAATATGTCAACAAACATCACAAAATTAACATTGTCGCCGGGAAATTCTTCTCCGGCGACGATGTTCGCCGGAAAATTTTTCCGATCAGAAAATTTTCCGACCAAAAAAATTCTCTCTCTCTCCTGAGGAAAATTCCCTTTCCCACAAAAAACACCCACTGCCCTCCCTCTCTCTCTCTCCCCGCGCATGCTTTTTCCCTTCCCACTACAATTGACCAGCCACCGGCGGAAGGCAGTAGCCGGACCGAAAATCGAAGCCGGCAGGCAGTAGCGGAAGACAGCAGGCCACTTTTTTATTTTTTTGTTTTAATTAATAAATAAATAATGTAATTACTATTTTGTCCTTCATTAAATTGGATTAATGTGTGCCATTGGATTTTAATGAACTTCAATGGATGAGATAGGCTTAGTCACCTGATCTTGGCCCCGTACGGAACTCGATCCTTGCTGATCAGGATCTCTGACGCACCTCTGGATCTCTCGACAATTACAAGTAGTGAAATACGTACAATGAAATTATGTACTGATCAGTGACAAAATTTGTCTAGTGATATGATAATGCAGAGATATGAGAACATTTGTCACACTGCGTATCTTTGAGATCAATACGAATGACAAAAATATCTTCGAAGATGGAGTTAAATCTCTTCATGAATTTGCTGATGACTTCAAACATGTCACAAATCAATAGCTAAATTTTTTCAAATCAAGGACAAAGCTTAGTGGCCAAGCTTAGGTCTCAAATCCATGACCAAATCCACTAAGTAAATAATTGCCACTATATTAATAAAACCAATGCTTGCGGATATTTTAGTTTCCCGGTTACTAGAGGCGTTTTACTTTTCCCTGCTTACAAACGGACGTCCAGTAACAGTTTGCGAGCAAGCTTGTGGGGAAAAAGATGTTGTTAAATTATATGGGATAATTTAGCCAGTACAATATTTCCAGCACATATATGATCTACTTTTTCAACTCGTTGATTGGTCATGGCTATCATCTTGTATTGATTGCACTTAATCTATTTTCCAAGGTAATCCCTCAATTTTTTCACGCAATCAATGACATATTTTTGCATAACTATAAATAATCATGTTACTAATTGCAATTGGGGAGAGAAATAATTTTTTTCAATTTTATTTAACAACATATATCTCTTTTGTTTTAAGTTGTAATTTCACTAAAAAAAAAGTCAAATGAGTTTGTGCTCTTGAAAATGACATCTAATTTGATATTTTTTGTACTATAAATATTGAGACGTGTATTACCAATCTATGTATACCATGTTGGTAAATATACTGACTGACATTTTACCACCTTTCATCACCGTTTACCAATAGTTGTCACCCTATATATACCAGGATGATATATTCTGCTATGCAATTCTCCCCCTGAAATTTGTATATCCAATAGATTACGATTACCTCGTTATTCTAGGCAAAAAATTAGTCATTCTTTATAAGAGGAACTCGATTACAAAGACTGATTTCAACCGAATATACGGTACAATGACTCGCGATTACAAGACTGACTCCAACTTAGTATGCGTTACAACGACTCGATTACAAGACTGACCCCAAAACGCGTATTAATTATAATTAACGCAAAAAACACTGGCAAGAATTTGTTGGACACTCGCAATCCATGTAGTAATCTTTACCACACCAACCGGAGCCGTAACTATCAATGCAATTGGTGTAGGTGCAACCACCATTACAGTTCGTCTGAAAAGGAGAATCGTCGGAAGTTTTATAAGACCGGCCGGCGACAGGTAATGTTGCTCTGTTATCGTTAGCCGGTCGGTACAAATGGTGATTATTCCTGCGTATATTATTACACTGACCTTGAATTAAAGTTGCCATAAAAATAAAAATAAAAATAGACACAAATAAAATATAATTTATAGAGTACATAATTTCATTATTATCGTAATTACAATTTTTAGAGGTGCGTCGGAGATAATCCTAGGTAAGCTAGCTAGGATTCGAGCGAGTTTCGTACCTGAGATTGATCATCTGGCCATGATTTATGAGGCTAGAATCGTTGGAATTAGCCATTGTTGGAGCAGTAATCGTTCTCGCCGATTCGCTCGAAGGCAGAAGGGCTGCAAGCATGCATAAGATGAAGGGAAGCAAAATGGCCAACTTGGTGATATTATTGGGCATGTTCATCATCATCGCCATGGCTGGTGGGCTTTCTTGAAGTTTACGTAGGTAGCTGCTGCTTATATATAACACTCAGAATTTGGAAACTCATCGTATAAAATAATTCATTAATAATAATGCTGTCATTCGAATGAAGTGGAATTCCGGCACAGAACATAAGTAGTGCTAATGTGCAACAAGATACATATGTCTCTATGAGATATGTGTATCTTGCCGAGGTTTGTAACGAGAGAAGAAGCGGTGTAATTTGTATTTGTATGTTCCAATGTGACTTCGTCGTCGTTGTTATACAAGTCTCTTGCCGGCCTGCTGCCGGGGTTTGCAACGAGAGAATTGAGGCGGTGTTTGTATTGTATGTTCCAATGATACTTAGAAACGGATCATAACGTACGGTGTATCAAATGAATTTACGAATTAATGTTGTCGATCGGATGCATACGAATTAATTTTGTGTTGTTTGTTCTATACCTAAGAGTGAATTCAAAGTACCGGTCAGGTACGGAACTCGATCCTTGCTGACTAGCTGGATATCTTACGCACCTCGCAAAGTTGTAATTGACACATTTGTTGCAATTGATGGAACTGAAAAACAATGAAATTACATAATACTCTATATATATAAGTTATAGCAGTTGTTTTTTGGCCCGCATTTTGTCGCGGTTAGAAACTCATTATATTTAAAAAAAAATTATCTATTCATTTACAATTAGTTGAAATAAAATGATTCACAAAATACATCGGGTAAGATACAACCATAAACTTTACGCAGTGTCTTAATCATTATGAAATACTTATGTAATGCGGTTACTTAATTGATACATATACCTTTATGACTTTACATATTGCAATTTTTCATTTATGCTACTGTTATGGAATAATGTTATGAAAATATTATGTAAAGTGTGATATAACAACAAAATCAAATAATGAAAAATTATCACATTTGATCAAACTATTAGGGAGAACTTACCTTACCTTACGAAACCTTTACATAATGCAAATTTATGAGATGGTTGTAATTTTAGTTAATAATAAATGTATTTAGTTAATCAAAAAGTAACTAAGTTACAAAATGTAACATTGGATTAAACTATTATGTTTAAAAAAATATTGAGCTTAATTTTTTCGTGTAATGCAAAATTAATGGCCAGCTGTTTAATTAATCATAAAGGAATATTTGTTCAAAGTTATATTACAGAAGAAGAGTTGTCATAAACCAGTTGCTCCCAATAACTCGAGTTGTTTGGAGACTGTTATGTTGGATCTTATACCACTCTCTAACACGTCCCCTCAAACGAAAGCCAACTCATGGGCTTGAAGTTTGCACAGGCCCACCATACCTTGTGTTTTAATCAACTATTAATATTGGGGGTCGTAGAGATTCGAACACATGACCACTTGGCCAAACCAGCTCTGATACCATGTCATGAAGCAGTTGGTTTCAATAACTCGATTTGTTGGGAGAAGGTTATGTTGGATCTTATACCACTCTCTAACAAGAGTTTCGTAATATGTTTCTTTAATTAAACCCAAGAGGTTGGCCTAATGGTAATATGGAATTGAGAACATCTAGTACACCTTACACTTAAATCTTGGAGCCAACAACCACCCAAAAAAATGTTTGTTTAAATGACTATCCCTCTATAAGTTTTATGTAGTATCTTAATTATTATGAAAGACTTATCCATGTATTTTTTTAATCAATAAATAAGAAATAAATATCCCCATAAGTTTTACATAATGCATTTATAGCGTAAAAACTTCCTTAATATGGGATCTAACAATAAAAGCAAGACAATATGGGGATGCAAATATCCACCACAACTTATGTTCGAATATTGTAGCCAACAATTTAAAAAAAAAATATGTTTGTTTAATTGATACATAAGAAATGACTATCGCTCAATAAATTTTACTTATTATCGTAATTATTATGAAAAACTTATGTAGTGCTGTTAGTGTAATTAACAATTTTTATACGAATCACATCACCAATAACCAAACCGTCCATGATTAACCATTTGTTTCACGTGATCGATAATAATAATACTAATAATAATAAATAAATAAACATGTATACTAAAAAAAAATTTGAGTGTGCCGAAAACAGAAAACAACACATATATTTGACATCGTAACCATTTTTGTTGGATAAGACGCGTATTAGTTATTACAGTAATTAAAAAGCCAATAATCTCATAGATAATTCAGTTACAACAACAATTATTCATTCTTTGACTAAACCTTGCTAGCTCCTCCCGGCCACAAGCTTGCTCGCACACTGTTCCTGGACCTGGACTCATTATCTTAGAAGAGCAAGGAAAACGTACGGCTCTATAAAGCAAAGAAGCAACTGCAATCGTCGATGTCACAGTCGCAATCCACGTAGTATACGGAAGGGTCATCACACCCATTAGGGTAAAGCTGAAGGCAGTTTTCGTAGGTGCAACTGCCACCTTCTTCACCACAGTCTGTCTGAACGGAAGCATTATTATTATTATTATTATTATTATTATTATTATTATTATTATTATTATTATTATTGCTGCTGCTGCTGCTGGAAGTTGTACGAGGTTGTCGTCGGCCTGCGACAGGCAGTAGTGGTGTCCCTGATCTGTTACTGTTTGGATCAAATTAAAAATCTGATACACATAAGCGAGCTGTGTGTTGGGCAATTTAACAAACCCTAGCTAAGATGAAAGAAGGTGGGAGTACAGATCGAGGCTTCTGGGATCGATCGTCGAGTTTCGTACCTGAGATTGATCGTCTGACCATGATATATCATGAGGTTAGAATCGTTGGAAGCGATTGTTGGAGCAGTAATCGTTCTCGCCGATTCGCTTGAAGCTGGCAGAAGGGATGCAAGCATGCATAAGATGGAGGGAAGCAAGATGGCCAACTTGGTGATAGTATTATTGTTGGGCATGATCATCATCATCATCATCATCATCGCCATGGCTAGCTAGCTGGGTGTTCTTGAAGCTTAAGTGGTAGGTAGCTGCTGCTTATATACAACATTGATCAAGAGAGCTCAGGATTTTGGATATCTTGGTATATAGTAATCAGTAGTTAATAATTAATGATGTTTGTTACGTTATTCGGATGAATTGGAATTCCGGCACAACAATAAGTACAATTAATTATCTTGCCGGGGTTTGCGACGAGAGAAGAGTGATGAGGCGGTGTTTGTTTGTATGTTCCAAATGTGACTTCGTCATTGTTATACAAGTATCTTGCCGGCCGGGGTTTGACGTTGCATCCCGATGCGATGTTGATCAATAATTAGAAACTCTTAACCGTTTATCAAATGAATTTATACATACGAATTAATTCGGTGTACGTTGTTTGTGTACTGGGGTGAAATTCAAAGTACCGGCGTGCTTTTCAGGTACGAAAAACTCGATCCTTGCTGACCACGCACCTCCAAAAGTTGTAATTGACACATATGTTGTAATCATAAGCAGTGAAGAACAATGAAACTACCTACTCTATAAGTTACATTTCATTCGTATTATTATTTTATTTTTATGGACTGACACACCTTTCATTCGTATTATTATTTTATTTTTATGGACTGACACACCTGTCCGAAAATTCTCGACCACGAGCTCTCCAGCCGGTGGAGATATATATATAGCAGCTCTAATCCAAGGTCAATGTGATAATTAATACGCAGGAACCACCATTTGCATTTCGTCGTGGACTGTGCTCGATCGGGGAGAAGAGACGATGGTGGTGGTACGTGTTTCCGTGGGGAGAAGAGGCGAGCCGAGCCGAGGGAGTTTGGTTTTCGAGAGGGCGAAGAGACGGAGAAACGAGCTAATTAGGCCGGGATCCGAGCGAATAGAGGAAAGTATTAGAAGTTAGAGTATCAAACTGTAATTAACCAAGGCTAGGGTTGTTGGGAATGAATAGCTTTGAAAGCTATATTGAATTAATTATCCCGTATTCTTTCTAGATACGAAAATAGGAAGGATAATTAATAAAAAGAATATTATGGAGATAATTAGGATTAATTATTTTAATATAATATAATATATTTTAATTATGGAAGTAATTATCTTCCTAATTAAAATGTGGCTTATTCCCAAAGAAAGAGGGAATATTCTAGGTTTTCTGCTCCTATAAATAGCAGACCCCTAGACCCTCTAAACACACCTCAGAGAGCAGAAACACGAGATAGAGAGTGAGTTCATAGAGCTCCGGTTTTCGCACAGAACCGATGAGCAACAAAATAAGAATGGCTGTTTTATCCTGGAGGCGACCGGCTGATAGTCTGCCGTGCGCAACGAAGGCAGTGCCGTGAACGTCTTAAAGAGAGCGACCTAGTCCGCGACTCAGCCAGATCGGTAATCCTATTTTTCTGTTCGGTTTCTAACAATTTTAAGACGTTTGGTTGTTGTCATGTTTACCGAATAGATCGAATATCGCATCTGGCTCCAATACGTTGCACGAGCCCACCATCGCTCTACGATCGGGATGAGACGTCTAAGCGTGTTATTCAAGCGGAGCGGCTCTCAAGAGTCTGGAGGTTGTGTTTCTCCATATATATAGCACACGTCGATGGCAATCAACCCGGCCGGGGATCGGAGAAAGTAGAGAAATTGAGATGGTGACTCACCCAGCTTTGCATCAATCCCATCTCCCTCTCCACAATGACTATTGCGAGAAGAGGAACTTGCCTGCCGGAAGATTGAGGAATTACCTCATATAAATCTATTTGTTTTTTTTAATTCTTTAATTGTTTATCTGGCTGGTGTGTTTGTGAGATTTGTGCAAGGGGCTTCAATATACGCGCAACAGCCATCGAGTCTCTGATAGGATTGGGAAGAACAGGGTAATGGTTGCGGATCTCGGGGGGAAATCTTCACTTGCTCCAGATTTTGTAGCGGCTGTGAAAGAAGCTAAAAAGCTTCTCCTCTTAAACCCTACGCCACGTTTTTTATTGTCTTAGTTTTGTTTTGTTTTATTGAGCTTGCCAGGAACGTAATGGAACCACTAAAAGGAGTCCCTGCTGGAATTCGGTAAAGCTCAATTAATTGGATGGACCACTGCATGTCCCCGAAATTGGAAGAAGTGAAATGGAAAAGAATGCCTGCAGTGGGTCTCGCCATTTACCCAATTATTTGGACCAGGATATTATTCCCCTAAATTTGACAGGAGTTCGATAACTTCTGGAACTGAGGTCCGGAAAATTATTCTCGGAGAACTTCAACTCTCGTGGCGGTGGCAAAGCTAAACAGTAGAAAGAAAGAAAGAATTTGATATTTTTAATTTGGCTTATGCATTTATTTTGTTTATTATGTGTGAAACCACAATATAAACTGACCTTCCTTTTCATTCTGGGCGAGATAACGAGATCAGGGGAAGGATGGAGGATATCCGCACAGGTGACATGAGCCGGGAAGGGATGATAGATCCAGCTCGTGAGTGTGCTGCTCTCCTAAAAAGCTTGAACTGGCACATTTTGCTGCCCCGGTTAGGTGGCGCAATAATTGATTTGAAAGTGAAGCTAGCTATGAGCCGAAGAGACAATGACTACTTAGGAAGAGGTAAGAACGGAAATTTCTCTCGTGAATCATTGATAAAATGATAAGTAAGATTCTATTCCATTGAGTTTTAGACATGGTATTGACAAATCGTGTGAATGCAAAACTAGAATTAATGCATGTTTATGTTGGCATTGAGATGTGTTACATCAATGATTAGAATATGGAATTTGAATACATGATTTGGAATAGAATGGTTTTATCAAAATGCATATATATGAAGAATATATGGGAATAGAATGGGTTAATTGCCCATAGTGACGATATTGTAAAAAGTACTGTTTGTCAGTACTACATGAACCACTAAGATTGCTCTGAAACGTTAAAGTTTCAAGAATGAGAGTAGCAAGATCCACACCAATTAGAATGGTACCCATCGCGGCAACCATAAGATTGTCACACAATTCTCTAAGAATGACGCTATGTTTCTCAATTAAATTTGAGAAAAACTAGGTCATATGACACGAAAGTGTTAGAGCAAGTTTAACATAGTATTGTGTTAACTTGATTAAAGAAGAGGATTTGCCAATAATAATCGCTTAGGTGATGACAGAGGTTAGCCTTAATGGTAACTCTGGAGAATGGTTGTTGGATACTAGCGCCCCAAGGCATGTCTGTGATTGACGATCTAAGATGGATTCTTTTTTGGGACGTGTGTGTCCTTGTAAAGAATTAGAATATCTAAAGTCACATTCCCATATTATTCTCGAACGCTTGAGATAAATAAAAATTTTGTATCCAAGCAAAATGACCCATAAAATATGTGGTTAGAGAATCAGAATCAATAGATCTGATTTATGTTGATATGGGTAAACTTGATGGAAAAGACAATAAATAATTTATTGCTCTTTAGAGTGCTCTGATTGTCTAACTAGTTATTCGAAATAGTTTGAAATGCCTAGTTGCATTATGATTGCACTGATTATTCGATATGTGGCATGCATGTGGTAGCGTTAGAGAATGAGTAACATGATAACTAGAAGAACATATGAGTGTGTAAGTTATTGTAAAACACATAAGTCTATGAGACGAAATACTCATTAGTTTGTGAAAACCATTGATGTCAATAGATTCCATTTATATTAAGAAATAGTGGTAATACGCCCCTGGGAGGGTGTATGTTATCAAAGTCACGCAGCTAACGACTCAATCGAAGAATCGATTGAGCTCGAATCAAGAACGAAGCGTTCTTAATACGAACTTGGATAAAACGGAACCAAAAGGACAAATCCACACCTGGGGATAGCTCAATTGGTATAAAAGGGTAGTTGCTCGACCACGATTGAAGTGACTATTCAATCGATACACAAGCTCAGCAAGTTTGGAATCCACCAAACCCAAAACAAGTTCGCAAACTTGCAAAACCAAACGGTTTCTTTTCTATTCAATCAACTCTGCGTTTTACAACGAAATAGAAAGCTTAAATAGGCCTAGCTAGGGTTACACACGTCCCATAAACTCCTAATTACAGTCTAATACGAAAAGGAATAAAAAACTACCAAAACAATGAAATCCTAACTAAACAAGAAAAGAAAAATCTGCCTTTAGCTCCAAGTAACCAAACAGCTTTGATGTCATCTTTGAGCCTCTCGATCAAAGCCTTCCAAGTTGATTCGAACTCAACCAATTCCTTTCCTCTGTAGAAGAAAACTTCCTCTTTCACCTCCAACTTGAAACAGCCCGAGATCATTCTCCAAACTCCAGATATAGGCCTTCAAAGTTGGTATCTCAACACAGTTTTCTGCCTTAGATATTTTCTGGCAGTTTTCCAGTTTTGAGGTAGCAACTTTGAGACTTTGGAAAACAACCTTAATGACATCTTCTTGAGCAACCAAGCATACCAAGGTGTAGATAATCACTCCATGTTCAATACAAGCCATTAAAATTGAATTTCCATTGAGCCAATTGAGAGAAACTTGCCTCCAAAATTGGCTACTTGAACACGGAAAATGACTCAGACAGAAATGAACATTCTTCAGGCAGCTTGAGCTTGCTTTTCCGTCAAGTAATTCCAACTTGTAGAGTGGCCTATTTGGGATCATATCAGGCTCCCCCTCTTCAAAAAGCTTTGACCTCAAAGCTTGTATGATTTTGCAAGCCAAAATATGATCAGAGGGTACCCAAAATGGGTCTTCAAAAGTGCATCCCAAACGTTCTTCACCGTTCTTCAAATTCTCACTGCCTTCATCCTTGTTGCCATTCAGTGACGATTTCGTGAGGTACAAAGCCATTTGATAATCTACATCGCTTCCTTGATCAATATCGACGATGATAAGCCTTGGAAACGTGGCCAGAACCTTCACCATACTACCCAGTTTTGCGACAAACTCGGGAAAGTTGTCGAAAGTTGAACCGCAAGGATTCGAGCCTCCAATCTGCAATATACTGCTCGAATCAGCTTGCTCCATCATCGAAATAAACTTTTCGATTGCTTCCAAGCCTCGATAGTTCATGGGAGGAGACAAACCATCGCCTGCATTTTTGCCGCCGTCATCGGGAGTCAAATTCCGTGAGCGTAGAACATCCAAACTGAAATTGGGGATTCTGAATTCAGGCCGGTTTGGACTGGTTTCTGTGATGCTACACCTTCCATGATCATCAAGTAACTTATTCCCAGTATTCATTTGACTTGATTCGTGCTCAATCTCTCCAACGAGATACCCGTTTTCGAAGTCGAACTCCTTCGTTCTCAGAGATGATTTTGCAGAATTGGGTGTTTCAGTTTGAGGATGCTTGGCTGCGATTTTTGATAGGGAATTCATTCCTGGGGCAATATGGAATGTATATGCAGTATTAACTTCCTTCCACCCGTCCTCTAGCTCGAGGTCGTTTCCCAAACATAAACTCTGTTGCGTCGGACGAAAACAGGGGCACTCGACTCCGATAAAATTGATTGCATAACCAAATTCTGTGATTACCTTCTGGTCTAGAGTGCCTGCTGTTGGCGAAATCTTTTCTTTTACACCAAGGAGCTCTCCCGCAGCAGTGACGTCGTTCGAATCATCTTCTAGTTCGACGTCAGCTTCCTCGGAACGTAGCCTCTGCTTCGCCGGAGGAAAACAGAGTCGGTTGGCTGCTCCTTCTTTCTCCATCGTCGGACCACTCGAAGTCTCGATCGCCTTGTCCCAGCTCGCCGCTAGTTTTCGAATGCACTCGTCTATGGCTGGAGTGAGTTTAATTGGAATGCTTCGTTCATGATGCCTCTCTTGAATCGGATTCTGCAACACAGACTTTTTCGGTGTGGCTACTTTATCCGTCAGCAACTTCAGCTCTTCAATTCGACGTTGGATTCTGTCGAATTTAGGTTGGAAGGTCGCTTGAATTGCTTCGATGACCATCTGCTTCAATTCGTCCATGTTGATTTGCTGGGTGTCCATCGTCTGCTCTTCGAGTTGGAATTGCTTCTACAAAAGAAATCTCATCTTCTCCTCTGTTTTAGTCCGCAAAGAAAAACAGAACTAAAACAAAATCTCGATCTCCTTCTTGCCCCTGCGTTGAACAGGGCTCTGATACCACTTAATACGCCCCTGGGAGGGTGTATGTTATCAAAGTCACGCAGCTAACGACTCAATCGAAGAATCGATTGAGCTCGAATCAAGAACGAAGCGTTCTTAATACGAACTTGGATAAAACGGAACCAAAAGGACAAATCCACACCTGGGGATAGCTCGATTGGTATAAAAGGGTAGTTGCTCGACCACGATTGAAGTGACTATTCAATCGATACACAAGCTCAGCAAGTTTGGAATCCACCAAACCCAAAACAAGTTCGCAAACTTGCAAAACCAAACGGTTTCTTTTCTATTCAATCAACTCTGCGTTTTACAACGAAATAGAAAGCTTAAATAGGCCTAGCTAGGGTTACACACGTCCCATAAACTCCTAATTACAGTCTAATACGAAAAGGAATAAAAAACTACCAAAACAATGAAATCCTAACTAAACAAGAAAAGAAAAATCTGCCTTTAGCTCCAAGTAACCAAACAGCTTTGATGTCATCTTTGAGCCTCTCGATCAAAGCCTTCCAAGTTGATTCGAACTCAACCAATTCCTTTCCTCTGTAGAAGAAAACTTCCTCTTTCACCTCCAACTTGAAACAGCCCGAGATCATTCTCCAAACTCCAGATATAGGCCTTCAAAGTTGGTATCTCAACACAGTTTTCTGCCTTAGATATTTTCTGGCAGTTTTCCAGTTTTGAGGTAGCAACTTTGAGACTTTGGAAAACAACCTTAATGACATCTTCTTGAGCAACCAAGCATACCAAGGTGTAGATAATCACTCCATGTTCAATACAAGCCATTAAAATTGAATTTCCATTGAGCCAATTGAGAGAAACTTGCCTCCAAAATTGGCTACTTGAACACGGAAAATGACTCAGACAGAAATGAACATTCTTCAGGCAGCTTGAGCTTGCTTTTCCGTCAAGTAATTCCAACTTGTAGAGTGGCCTATTTGGGATCATATCAAGTGGGGGTGATATCCTGCCTACTATAAGAAATAATGGATAACTAGTGGGGCGATGAATCTGAGTATGAACTCAGAAGACACAAATGAACCATAAATCAGGATTTTGGTTATGAATTTGTTATTTACACCCTAAGAAAGAAAGATCCTACAAGTATGCTAGAAGTTCGAACTTCCATAAAGATGCAGAATTGTGGGAGAATCCATTATTAACGAAATGGAATTATTGGAGTCTAATAAGACTTAAAATCTTGTAAAGTTACCTCTTGGTTGAAAAGCCTTGGGTAATATATCGATAGAATCGAACAAGATTTGGCATCTTTGAGAATTACCTCTTGGCAATGAAGTCATGGGTAATAAATGGATTCTTAAAAGAAAAGTGAAACCTATTGGTTTAGTTTATGAGTATAAGAATCGCCTAATAGCTAAGGCTTTAAGCGAAAAGGAAAAAATTGTAAATTTTCTTGTTATCTATTCACCATATGTAGAATAACATCCATGTATGTTCTGATTGCTAGTGTTGTGCGTCAGATGAATTGTTAAACAAGTTTCCGTGAATGGTGATTTAGATAGGAAAATCTACATGGGACAACCTATAGGGTTGTTATTCCTGAACATGCTTAGGGAGTCTATAGTTAGACAAATCATTGTAAGATTTGAAATAGACTCTAAAACGATGGCATGAATAAACTGGTTCTCTCTCATGGTTTTAAAAGTGAAAGTGACAAGTGCATTTAGTACAAATTTGAGAATGGCACTTGCATTATGAATGACACGTCGATCTTTGGTAAAAAGACTCGTGATGTCAATATTGAAAAACCATGATGGTTGAGAATTTTGAATGTGAAGGATCTATTTGAAACAAATGTTATGCTTAGAGATCCTAATAACTAGGAAAATACAAGATGTACACCTGCATACATGTTTGATGATGCTAGTATAAATATTTAAAGAACACCTAAGATGGTGTAAGAAAGTTAGAATATACTAGCATTTACAGTCTGCGAGAGGCAACTGATAAACATGAGACCCGATTTAGTGGGGGGTACTTGGCAGGCTTACTGATTGTCCTAGTATGAAGCATTAAAATGCTATTGAAAGGGGTCATGAGACACCTTAAAAGAACAGAAAAACCTTGGTATTTGTTATCAAAGGTTTTGCTGTATTGGTAGGGTATAGTGATGCGGATTAGAATACCCTATAGAGGACTCCAAGACAACAAGAGGATGTGTTTTAAACATCGATAGAGAAGCTATGTCTTGAAAGTCTAAAAAGTAAACGATCCTGGCTCAATCAACTAAGAAATCAGAAATGATAGAACTAGCAATGGCTAGTAAAGAGGAAAGTTGATTGAGAGGGTCATTACTAGTGATTCCCTTATGGGAAAGACCGATCCCTCCGGTAGATGATTCATTGTGATAGCACCGCAGCTATTACTAAATAAGGGAACCGGTTCTAGAACGAAAAGAGACGACAAATTCGTCGTAAACACAGTACTGTAAGAGAACTCCTAACGATAGGAGCAATGAGGGTGGATCTTTTAAGATCCTAACAGAATCTAGTTGATCCTTTGACGAAAGGATTATCTAGAGAGAAAGTCCAAAATACCACGAAGGGTATGAGACTTATGCCTACCGAACCATGGATTACAAGTGATGGTAACCCGACCCGATAGACTGGAGATCCCAAGAAACGGGTTCAATGGGTAATAACAAGTCATGAGTAATATTGAGAAAAGTTCATGCATAGTGAAGCATGAATCCCAAAGCCTTGGAGGTTGAGTTAAACTCTTAATGAGATCTATACTCTATGTGGAGTGAAGTACTTTACTTTGGGGGTACTTCTGATAGACTCACCTATGTGAATGTGGGAGTGGGGCCGCTCCCTATGGAACTTTGGAGGCACAAAGTTGCTAGAGCGTTCACTAAACCGGGATAACGTGCATGGCCATAAACGCACGGCCTATGAGAGAATATCACTCAATGAAAAGATTCGGTGTGCTACATTGTCTGAGATAGGGTTCAAGACTACGAGTCACCCTTATGAAATCGGAAGTGTAACCACTACGCTAAGGTTCAAATCTTCGCGATACCTTAGTTTATGCCCGATCTTATGGATCTGTTGATGCTCAGAGATAGTTTCAAAACTATTCAAGTGGGGGATTGTTGGGAATGAATAGCTTTGAAAGCTATATTGAATTAATTATCCCGTATTCTTTCTAGATACGAAAATAGGAAGGATAATTAATAAAAAGAATATTATGGAGATAATTAGGATTAATTATCTTAATATAATATAATATATTTTAATTATGGAAGTAATTATCTTCCTAATTAAAATGTGGCTTATTCCCAAAGAAAGAGGGAATATTCTAGGTTTTCTGCTCCTATAAATAGCAGACCCCTAGACCCTCTAAACACACCTCAGAGAGCAGAAACACGAGATAGAGAGTGAGTTCATAGAGCTCCGGTTTTCGCACAGAACCGATGAGCAACAAAATAAGAATGGCTGTTTTATCCTGGAGGCGACCGGCTGGTAGTCTGCCGTGCGCAACGAAGGCAGTGCCGCGAACGTCTTAAAGAGAGCGACCTAGTCCGCGACTCAGCCAGATCGGTAATCCTATTTTTCTGTTCGGTTTCTAACAAGGATTAGTAGTTGTAGCCGTATATATGTGTTGTGTGGCCGAATTGTACAGTCAACAAAAAAACCAAGAATAATATCAGACTCTGCCGCTGTGTCGTGGACTGGTCTCAACCATCATCGTTGGGGAAACCATCGTGATCTCGTTGTCCCGCGTGCTATATATAGGGTCTGCGCGGCTGCGCTCCAGTGCACGTGCATATATAATACATACACACACGTAGCTGAGTAGAAGAGTTTTAGCTTAGGGTTAGTTAGTCACCAATAACCAAACCGGTCTACGATGAACCATTTCTTGTCACATGATTGATAACAAATGACAATAATAAATAAATAAATAAATACGTCTACCCAAAAAAACGAGTACACCAAATAAGAAAAAACCACGTTTGGTATCAGAACCATTTCTCTTCGATAAGACGCGTACTATAAATCAGGCTGATCACACAGTCGCCGTCGTCGATGTCACAGCCGCAATCCATGTAGTATAAGTAAGGCTGATCACACCCTTAATTATGGTGATTAAGCTGGCTACATATAAGCTGAGCTGCTCGATCTGATGGGCTTTAACAAACCCTAGCTAAAACTAGCTAGGTGGAGTACTACTACTGGGCCGCAAGGATCGAGTAATTTGAATTTCCTACCTGACAATCAAGGCAGAAGGCCTGCATGCATGCGCTCAGGCGAATCATGAACACTGTGTACGTGCACAGAGCCAGCACAAGAACGTATAGGAAAGTCGTGAGAAGAGATGGTGGCGGTTGTCGGAGAAATGCAGCGCATGGAGATGGAAGAATCAGGGCGACCAATAAGATGAAGGGAAGCAAGATGGCCAACTTGGTGATAGTATTATTGGGCATGATCGTCAGCGCCATGGCTAGCTTGAGTGTGAGATATTTTATGTATATTTTTGTATGGATGTTGATGAGCATACTGGAAGTTTGGCGTGTGGCTGCTCATATATATACATATACCATCGATGAAAGAGTGGTCGTGATTTCGGATAAATTTGTTCATTAATTAAATGATGCTGTTATTTGGATTAATTGGAATTATATATTGCTCTTCTTGATTAAATTCCATTTGCAGCAGCGTTCAACATTTTGATGTTGCGTACGCAAGCATGAGTCATTTTGTTGGAAGGAAGGTGGTGTTTGTTAGCAACTTATTAGCACAAGTAAGTACTTGTGTTTCAAAAAAAAAAAAAAATGGGTAACAATATTTCCGTTTGTATATTTTTTTTTTTAATGCAAGTTCACTGAAATCAAACTCTCTCATTTTCTTTTATTGTCAAAAAAAAAACTCTCTCATTTTCTCGTCCTTATTTGAGACTAGCTTTTTACCCGACCCGTTGGTCGGATGAATTTAGTTTTATTTATTATATTTTATATTAATCTATTTTTTCATATTTTCAAATAATTTGGGATCGTCTAAGTAATTTATTAGTGGGTTGAAACTAATATTTGTGCGAAATATTGATTGTAACATTAGTTAGTTTATAAGTATTTGTATTGATCATGCTATCCCTTACTGTTGTCTATATATTTTTTACATCTAAGAAAAAAATCACTTCCTATTGTTAGAATAAATTACTTAAAAAATATTTCTTCATAAAATTTGATATTATTCACTTATTTTTCTATTATATCCATGAAAATAAAATAATTAAGCATTGAAGTATTAATTATAAACTCCAAGGGATTTTCCCTATTAGTAATTTGGAGGGATAAAAATTTATCAAATAAAGGATTCAAATTTTATGGTCGACAACCATTAGGTACTAATTGAGAAAATACAAAATTATTAACTAATAATTCACTTTTAAATAATATATATCTCCAAAAGCAGTTGTGGTTGTTAATAGCTAACATTAATGTATACGGATAGTACAATTGTATTATAATGGACATATCTGAAATATTCCAATTATTTCTTCAAAATTTTAATTAAATAAGGCACTCTATAGTTCAAACATACAATCATTTGTTGTGAAAATTAAGTTTCTGAAAAAGATTCATGATTTTCGGAAATCAATATGGATTTTTTATAATTTATTTTGGTGTTGCCTTTGATATCTAAAAGTCAACACTTATAGATTTGTCTACTATGTCATTTGAAAGATTCTAAAAATTTATAACAAATATATACCACCAACAAATAAAAACTTTTTTGTCAAAAATTTGTGTGCCCATAAATTTGTTCTTAGCTTTGTGCTCGGCTTTTAGCTCGATAGTATAACATATGCTAAATTTACGACAGTCCTTGTGTCTGCCACCTATTTCATAGCATATTAGGTTTCGAGTATCCACAAATATTAGTACGCTTTCAACAATTATGTTTATAGTTACACGTATACTAACATTATGAAGTGAAAATTTACAACAATAAATAACTATACTAAAGAAAATTAATTAAAAAGAATAGCATCCGTAAAGCTCAAGAATTATTAGTGAATTAGTTGGTAATCTATTATCCTCTTGCAAAAAAATGGACAATTACATTATGCTCATCGCTATTTTTGGAAGGTCAGATGATCAACAATAAAAGTCGGGGAATTTCAAGAAGATTCACAAAGATGTTTCCCTCCCTCCAGACAAATGATCGACTTTGCTTTTGCTAGTAGAGAATGGAGCTGTTATACCTGCATAAAACAATGTCTCTTGAAATAGTGTTTATTTTCAACAACTTGCACAATTCCAAATTGATTCATAGGTCAACGCGATCACATATTTTATTGACGTATCTGTTGATCATTATAATTAGAAGCAACAAATAAAATGAAAAGCATAGTGATAAAGATGACTATTAATACCATAGACTAGACGCATCCCTCTTCGCTACTTTCTGTTGGCAACTACGGAAAAATAGAAACCTCTGGGCCTTCGAGAGACTATTGGCGCCGGCAACCCAGTTAGCCTACCAAATCCGGCAAATGCGAGTGCATATTGATCAATCTTCCAGGAGGATTGGGCAGGTTCTCGGGGAGGCTACAGAGCGGGTGGAAAGGGGAAATAGAATAGGGTTTGGGATTTTCACAAAAAGGCTACAATTTCCCCTTTCTTAGTTGTTCTGGGCGTCGCCCACCAAAGTGAAAACGCGTCTCCGAGTGCCCAGGTGCCTAGATCAATCGCCCAGAGCTAGACTGGGCGATTTCCTCCTGCCCAGCTATTAATCGCGCCTAGGCGAGAGATTAATCGCGTCTTCTTGAACACTGAATAAAAGTGGACCAAACAAAGACATTACATCCAACTCATTTCAGTTCCATCTTAACACAGTATCGGAGGCATGTACTATTATTATACAAATGATCTTACGCTCTCAATTAGGAACTAAACGAAGGTTAAGAAAGCCGTGAAACACAGAAAAATTGAGTGAACAAAGTGGGAAGTATTGCTTTCAATTAAGCTTGATTATGTTGACATAAAGCAGGCACACATTGACGTTGGAAACCTAAACAAAAAGCTTAAAAAGTGGCAAGAGAATTCTTCCCTTGAGGTTCAAATATAGCCTACCTATATGAGTAGAGCCAAGTAATTACCATGATTCCATTTTACACATACCATCTCACAACCAACTGCTGCTAATGCTCTGGTCCATTCCAAACCTCACCTGCTCATATCTCCAATACCATATCACGAAACCAAGAATTATACACAACTAAAAGATCCAATAAGGAGAGTAACTTAGCATGAAACTTTGTGATGGGGGCAAATTCTATGGTCAGTATTAAGCTGTGCAAATTATATTACCTCTGCAAAGCTCACTACTTCCAGTAGTTTCTCACAGAACCAGCTACCGTCCTAATCCCTTCCTTCCTTCCTTCACAGGGTCAGAGTGTGAAAAATGGCGTCCATCTCCGCCAAAACCACACACTACAAAAAAAAGATGTATCAACGAGGGGAAATTTGGTGAGGGGCTCAAATACGGTCAGTACTGGTAGTTTTCTCACCTTCTGCGTTACTTTTGACAAAGGACTACATCTTCTCCTCGTTATTGGTATGAAATAACGGTCATCATTACTTAATGCTAATCAACGAGGGGCAAATGTGGTCGTTACTTGGTGGAACTTCAACTTTATTAATATAATAATAATAAACTTTAGAAAGTTTCTTTCTTTCCCTCCCACTAAAAACGAGTGGGCCAAGTTAAGGGATAAGTCAGAAAAAGAAACAATAAAATAGAAAAATAAAAATAGCACAGAAGAGTAAAGTAAAGTATGGTAAACATCTACCTACCAAAAGAAAGATCAAAGAAGCCACTCTCTTTCCTCTGCTCGCGATTTTAGGTTTCTTTGGCAGATTTCAATTCCATTATCTGCCCCAATTTCACCAACTCTGTTTTCTCTTTCTTGACACTCTGTTTGGGAAGAGGGTAAATGGGAGGAGGGTGCAAATGTGAGGGGTAAATACAGTTTCCAACACATTTGCACCTGTTTGGTTAATTTGGAACAGTAGGGGGGTGCAAAACGGGAGTGCAAATTTACTGTTTCGGCTTACCCCCCAAATTGGGGTGCAAGGGAAGGAAGGAAGAGAGGGGGAGGGGGGAATTATGGAATTTTGTTTTTCTAATTGTGTTATATATAATTATATAATAATTAATATTATCAATTTCTTCTTTTTATAAATATTATTAATGTAAACATTATTCGGGGTTGACCATTTGACTCTGGAAACAAGTTTATCAATGTTCGTCAAGTCAAATCTAGATCTCTTGGTTGAATCGAATTTGCATTGAAAATTAGAGATACGAGGTGTTTGTGGAAAAGATAGAGAGAAATTGTTTGGTTAACTCAGTTTATTTGACTAAATAGTTAAAACTTACAAATTCGAACGTGTTTGACTAAGTTTGACAATTTAAGATTAAACTAGACACGAAAACCCTATATAGGATGACCAGTTACAAGTTGAGCTTCGAGTTTTGAGATCGCTCGATCAATGATTATACAATTGTCATAATTAATTATTATTTGAGCATTATTATATAATAACTATTTTTAGTAAAGTATATTTATTATTATATAGTAATATTTATTTTATTATTTTATGATAATATTTTAAAATTTTAAAATCTATTTTGTAATCTAAAATCTATTTTAAAATAATATACTTACTTACTTTTCATTCTATTTGCACCCCCCTACTTTTTCATCCAAACAACAATTTACCCCTCCACTTACACCCCCCAGCAATTTACCCCTCAACTTGCACCCTCCTGCAATTTGCACCCCCTTGTTGCCAAACAGAGCGTGAAACTCTATCCCTCTTACTATTATCTTCCGTTCAGATTGAGACCAGCTCCGATAATCCCAGGTTTTATCACCAGCAACACCGAATCCGCTGTGGGTTAAAGTGTATTAATCAGTGGGTAGCCAAGTACGAAATCTCTTGAAGGAAGAATTTGGGAAGTCTTCGTGTTCCATGTTCACCAGGTATTAATTTCTCAATCACTGAGGCATCTAGATATATAGTTAAGCAAGCTAGAATTTTTAGATCCCCTGCTCCTTCCAACTCTTTCCTTTTTAGATCTATTCGCCCCCTCTAATGGTTGCCCCTCCTTACATCTCAACAGATCTATTGGTTTGTAGATCCTTCAAGATCTAGCCTCCTGAGCTCTATATTTGATTCCAGATCTGGAAATCGCAATCAGCCCAGATCCCAATCCACCCGCAGAGCTGCCCTCCTCCGTCTCCAACTCTCCATTGCCCTCTATCACAGGCCCTGCTCTGCCTCTCTATGCTCTCTGGATCAGCAAGCGATAAAATCTGGCAGAAAATCGAAGACCAGAGCCACAAAATTCATGAGAATAAAGTGACTCGGTTTATTAGATGATGGAGGTTCAGTCGAATAGACGTTTTTGGTGTTATAATTGTGAATGCTTCAATTTTGTGTTTGCCTTGTTTTACTTGATAATATATGTTTGAGAGGTTGTATGCCCAGAAAGTGGAAGAACAAAATTATAATTACCAGCACTCCTTGAGCTTGTATGAAAAGGTGTCAGGGCGATCATTGTAAATTGTAATTTATTAAAAAAGAACAAAATTTTGTTCCTTAAAACGTTTATGTACTAGCATAGGGCCCGGCCTTATGGCCGGGTTTGCCCGATGACTATGTAATTAAAAGTGTTTGTTTTGTGATGATTTCACAACTTCAACTTTCGTATTTATAATTTATTAACGTATAAGTCTTGAGTAAAAGAATTATTATTGATTATCATGAGCAATGAATTATATGCTATTGATATTCTTGCATCTCAAATTATTGTGTTTCTAAATCAGGTATCTTTCGCTTGGTAAGTCCTTCCAACTAATTTAATTCTAACCGAAATAGAAAAGATATGAATTATTTGATTAGTCCAATCGAAAAGATTATAATCCAACATATATCTTAAAACTCAGTTTCCAAATCACATTGACTACAAAAATTAATTCCATGATCTTCATCTACTTCCATAAGCTTGGCCAGTAATTCTATATTTTTGTGAAATAACGTTTACATTATCTTATGTGGCTATGATAATACTAATGTACTAATATTTTATTTAATATAAAAAATATTACAATTATCTTAGTGAAACTTGAAAAAGGTAAAACTAAATATGAAATCTACAATTCAGATTCCATCTTAAACAAAAAGAAGGATCTCTGTTGTTATGGAATGGTAATGGGCAGACCGAGGCAAATATCCATACTCGTCGAAATTTATTACGACCGAGACAGATCGGGAAATTTATTACGTGCGCGGGTTAGGATAGGTTGACCCATATGGGTATATACTTTAAATTTTAAAGAGAAAATATAAAAAATGTGAACTTTACATGGAAAAGTCAAGAAACAATATATAACATGACAAATGTAGTTAAATTAATTTGTAAAATTAAGATTCTTACATATCCACCGTTTTGTTATAGCTAAAATACAAAGTAATAAAAGTAAAATTCGAAGTAATTTGCGAAAAATTGCATACAATTTAAATAAAACATGTCGAGAATTAGCTGAGTTAGATCAAGTAGAATACTCATGCCCGCCCCAACCTAACACATATCAAACACGTCCCGTAAAATAGATGAGGTCAAAATTGCAATCTATACTTATTTTGAACTAAATCATGTGATGAAATAACTAATATGATATATTTGTACGGAAAAAAATAAAAATGTTGCAAATCTGTTGATATGCCCAAATAAATAAAGTTTGGTGTTTTAAACCTTAATGACTCGCCTAGGCCGTAGGGGTTGTGGACCTTGTGCTTGTGGGCTTGTAAAAAGACGGGGAAAAAGTTAGGCCCTGTTCACTTTCATTTTCGTTTCCTGTTTTCTGTTTTCATGTGATAAATTTGGCAACCGAAATGAGAAAACTTATTTACTTTTCATTCTGTTTTCTATTCGTTTCCAACTATGAAAACAAAAAGTGGCAACTTCCTGCTGTTTTCGGAAACGACAAAATGTTGTTTTCACCTGTTTTCAACATCTGTTTTCTCAAAAACAGGAAACAGAAATGAAAGTAAACAGGCCCTTAGAGTTGGTGAGTAGGTAATTTATTGGATTGTAAGTTTACAATAATATAAGAAAAAGGAAAGGGAAAAAAAAAAGAGCGGCAGTTACTGGGAAGAGCCAAAGAGAAAATATACAAATATAACCCTCCCCAATATGCGGTCTGCGTTGCAAAGGCTGAGGTGGCAAAAGCCATTTATTGACATTGGCTTATAGGTATTTGTAGATTATCTGTATTAGTAACAAAATTGAATACGTTAATTGCAAATTAATGGGAAAGCCCGCTCAGCTTTTCTTGCAATTTTAACGAGAGGAAATTGACCCCTCGTAAGTCGTAATAGCTTTTAACGAGGGGTGTAAAAATTCCTGTCGTTAGTGACCTTTACCGGCAAGGCCAATAATGAGGGGACGCTTCCTGTCGTCAGTAACTTTTGCCGAGGGTTTTGTGGCTTTTAATGACCGTTTGTTCCTCTCGTTAAAACCACTTTTTTTTGTAGTGACAGCTTCTTCCTTCATCCATGCATCTCTCCGTCGCAACCCCTCTCTAGGGGTTTCCTCCGCTCCAGTTCTCGGTGAGTACTCTTGACGCCCCCTCCCCTGAAATTCACAATTACCTCTGGCTTTTATCAATTCAGCTTGGGGGAACCAAGAAATTGAATCGATTGGGTGATATGCAGGGCTGCCGTCGATGGCGAAAAGAGGGAGAGTGGTGAAGTGCTCGGCGGAAGGAAACGGAAAAAACGGCAGCGGGTGGGAGAAGAAGGGGATGATGAGCGCTTCGCTGATGGCGGCGGTGGCCGCAGCAGCTGCGTCGAGCCCAGCGGCGATGGCTCCTCAACGGATGCGAGTAGCTGAAGCGATTTGTAGCGACCATCAAGAGGCTGAAGCAGAGAAGAAAGAAGAAGCAGGGTTCGTGGCGGCGGGGGAGACGGTGGTGGCGGCAGCAGTAGTTGTGCTTCTCGCCGGAAGGGAAAGCCTTGATCGTCGACAACCTCTTCGCCACGGAGATAGTTCGCTGCACTCCCAAACGCGATCTCCTCAGTCGCAGCAGAAGCGGGCCGTCACTGCTTTCCGCCACTGACCACCAAAACGTCTGGTCGTCTTCCCATGAACTCAGCAACAGCCGGCCGTCAGCGCCTTCCTCCGCTGAACACGAAACCGTGACGCCCTCTTACCAGAATTTTCCGATGGAAACTGATTCTCCTCCTGTCCTGCGGGTAGGCGAAAGAATAACGTGGGAACCAAGTAGAAAAGGTGGTATTTCAGCCAAACGAAAATTAAATGAAAAATAAATAATAACTAAATGATAACGTGGGAAACCAGGAGAAAAAGGTGGGTAGTGGACGATTCCTAGTTCTGCAATCTGGCGGGTAGTTATATTTTTTTCCCGCTCAACACCCTGCCACATCAGATTCCTAAAATCACTCTATGGATAGGAAAATTTGAATGGCAGTGGCGGTTTTACTTTTCAGCTATAAATTATACGGTTGATTAAACAATCGCTGAAATAAATTTGAACGTGGAGATTCCCAACTCCCATCTTCGTCAGACAGTTCGAAATCGGGACGTCCTGGCGTGTTCTGTTAATTTGAACTGTCTTGGTGGTCACGAAAGAAAACGACAGTAGGTCACATCAGAAAAACTCTTGTCCTACAGTAACTCCATTGTATCTTTAAATGATTTTCAGGATTATTAAATATTCCATCGGCTGGTTACGAAGAGTTTTTTTTTTTTTTCATAAATAGGAACTAGCGTGTGGCACAGGCCAGTTGGCCGGAGGAAGGTGAGGTATGAAATTTGATAATGTAATGGAGTGTATAGCTTATTGTTGTATAGTTTTTTTGGGAAACACGTGATAAAAATACTGAATTTTAGTAGGAAAGAGACATGAATGATGCAACGAATCAAAAATCAACCTTATGAACCAAAATCAAGTACTTGTTACCTTGTGAAACAATATTATTTCTGGTAATATGATGAGGTGGAGTAAGTTTTATAGAAACCGAATTCCAGAAAATCGAATAAAAAATCACCTATCCCGCCGGTTTTCGGGAAATGAACATCTCACAATCGTTGCTAGCTTTTACTCGGCCCGTCGGCCGATTAATTTGCTTTATAAAACTTTCATCTTGTCGTCATTGTGCTTTCTAGTTTTTGCCAGACCATGATAAAATCTAAAGAAATCAAGAACGAACAACATGATTTGGGATAGGAACCGTTGTTCCTGTATTCCTAGAAAATGGTGGTAAACACGGACTCACTATATCGAGGAGATTACAGATTACAGAGGAGTATGAGAAGTATTTATAGTACTTATCCAAGTGGGTCTAAACCTAATCCAATATGGCAAAGGAAACGGTTACAGACTAGGCCCAGAACCAGAACCCAAATAACATTGAGCCCATAGACCCCCGACTAATCCAGTCGTAGCGGCTGATAGTCCGATTCAAGTCACATCAACATACCTGTTATGGAACAATCCAAGTACCACATCGAAAATACAAAAGAATGAGCCATTGTTTATTAATGTACGCTTTGGGCCAAACCCGCACGGTTTTACTTTTGGATTTCCTCCCCAAAAGGCCTCGTACTAATGAACTTGATGGACACCAATATACAAGGGTTCTTTCCCTTATATTTCTGATGTGTACTTGGATTGTCTCATAACAATCCTCCCCTCAAGACAAGGACCACGAACTTCGTGTGCTCTCCTCAACGATTATCTTGATCTGTCAGACGCCTTGTAGCCCAGACGTGGATCCACCAAACCAGGCACAGATCTCAAATCCCGAGGTCACCGAACGAGGGTCCACCCAACTGACATCCACTGCCATAGGTCCGCCAAACCAGGCTCTGATACCACTTGTCGTAACCGAGGTGCTTAATTAAGTACAATATTGTTCGCTTTGGACCAAGCGCGCACGATTTTACTCTTGGGTGTCCTCCTCAAAATGCGTCGTACTAATTGGACTAGGTGAACTCTTATATACAAAGATTCCTTCCTTTATATTACCGATATGGTACTTGGATTGTCCCATAACCATACCAATGTACCATACCATATCATTTCACAACCCCAATTCTTATCGTACACATGCATGTCGTCTAATTGGAATTGTTACCAGACTTAATACCATGTTGAACAGCTGTAAGCCACTTTGAGGGAAAGCGGATAGGCACGGATTTTATTTCACCAAAGGAAAAATTACATTGTTTCAATATACTACATACACATATAGTATCTGATAAAAATAACTAATGAAATTAAACAAATATTACAAAACAGTCCTAAAACTATACAATTTAAACAGCTAAGTAATTGGTGTATCTCCCTCGGACAAGAGAGAGAGCAGTGCATGTGATTCCATGGTTTAGCTTAGAGTAAATTAGTTAGAATTCGTGCAATTGTTAGAATTGATGTATGAATACTTTAACTGTAATTTAATGTATTGTCTAAATGCATGTATTTTAAGATTACATTGTTTGGCCGTTGCGATTGTTATTTTAGGAATAAAATGAGAAAGTCACATTTTAAGTGAAAGGTCATGTTTACCGTTTCTTTTACGTATATGAGTAAAAAATGCATAAAAGTTGATAGGGATATAAAGGGAAAGAAAAAATGAAAGAACAATCTCAAACCACAATCTCACCAAATTGTTGAGATTGTAAATCATTCATATTGAGTGATTTCAAGTGCCACATCCATCGATCAAATGCATGCACTGTTATTCATTTTGAAACAAAAAAAAACGCAATGCATTCTATTCAATACATGCATTCATTAAATGCATAGTTTCGATACGCATATACCAAACGCCCACCCCTTAGACACTAATGAAAGGTATTTTAGGAATTATATCAAACATTAAAAATCAGGTGTTACATCACATCACCATTAACCAAACCGTCTATGATTAACCATTTCTTGTCACGTCATTGATAACAAATGACAATAATAATAATAATATATAAAACATGTATAATCAAAAAAATTAAAGTGTTGCACCACCAAATACTGAAACCAACATGTTTGGTATCAAAACCATTTTTCTTTAATAAGACGCGTATTATAATCATTAGAACCGCTGGTTCATGTCACAGACACAATCCATGTAGTATAATTACGGCTGAAAGACACCCATAATTAGGGTAATGCTGAAGGCAGTTCGCGTACGAGTAGGTGCAACCACCACCTTCACAGTCTGTTGAACGGAAGCATTAAATATTGCTGCTGGAAAGTTGTATACGAGGTTGTCCCTCTGTTACTGTTGCATCAAATTGAAAGCATCTACATAAGCGAGCTGCTGCATGGGCTTAATTAACAAAACCCTCGCTAAAAATGGAGAAGGTGGAGAGTACTATCGGGCTGCATAGTTAGTAAAATATGGTACGTGAGAGTTACGTATGAAATACGTACGGGTATTTTACTTCAATCTCTAAACTAATGTTACGTTTTCAACAGTACGTTAATAGTCATAAACATATAAACTAAAGTTAACAATTTAATTCATTAAATACGGATATTCAACGGGTTATACGGGTTTAGTACGGGAGCCATCAAATGAAGGAGGAAAAAAAATGAAACGGCCTGATAATAATACGAAGACGGAAGTTTTAAGCGCGGATAAACATAGTAAGGGGTACATATACGCGTGTATTAAACGGAGTATTTACTCACTATACGCAGTGTGGGCTGCAAAGGATCGCAGAGTTTTTCGTACGTACGTACCTGAGATTCAAGGCAGAAGGCGTGCATGCATGCGCTCAGGTGAATCATGAACACTATGTAAGTAGACAGAGCCAACACAAGAACGAAGAGGAAAGAAGTGAAAAGAGATGGCCCATAATTATGAGAATCATCAGGACACAATATTACATTACATGGGATTAGGACGACCCATAAGATGATGGGAAGCAAGATGGCCAACATAGGGATAGGATTACTGGGCATGATCTTCGTCGCCATGGCTAATCTGTGTGTTGTTGAAGCTTAAGTGGGATAATTAATGTATCTTTTTTGTATGGATGTTGATTAATTAGCACTTGAAGTAGTAGGTGGCTGCTAAATTATATACACCACTGGATGAAGAGTGGTCATGATTTTGATTTGGATTTGTTAGTATAAAATAGGTCACTAATAATGCTATTATTTGGGATTAATTGGAATTGCTCTTTTAATGTTGCGTACGCAAGCATATATCATCTAATTGGAAGGAAGGTTGTGTTTGTTATCACTTAGCACAATACTTGTGATTCAAAAAAAAAAAAAAAAAAAGGGTAACAATATTCCCATTTGTATATTTTAATTTTTTTTTTCTCGCAAGTTCATCGATTTGTTCGAGCATATTATCTTTGTATTTATTGCTCCTAACCTTTGAAAGAATACCAATCAGGCAAAGCATATTATCTTATGTTTTATTTTGTTTAATCGCAAGCTCATCGATTGTTCGAGCATATTATCTTTTGTGAATATGTTAAAACAGGAAATCCTGGTCAAACAAACTCCCACATTTTCTCGTCCTTATTTGAGATTAAACAAATCCCTGATATCAATTTGTACGTGGATTCCCAACACCCTTCTTTGTCAAACAATTCGAAATCGCGACTTTCAGCCAGGCGTGCTGTTAATTTGAAGGTCTCGATGGTCACGAAAGAAAATGACAGTACGTAGTTCACGTCAGAAAAAAACTGCTATGCTACGGTAACTCCATTATATCTTTAATGATTTTCCAGGATTATTAAATATTCCATCTGTTGGTAACGATCGAAGAGTTTTCTTTTGTGTGCATAAATAGAAGTTTTATCTCTCGGTAGGGGTGACTATACGGTCCGGTCTGGTTTAATTGGCTCAAATTGATCTGGTCCAGTCCGGGTTTTTTGAAAATATAAGGACCGAAAATTGGATTGGATACAGTCCGGTCTTGATTCGGTCCGGTCTTGACCCGGTCCGGTCTCAATTCGGTCTTGATTTTATATTGAGATTGTGGGAATTTGAGTGGCCTAAGGCCTAAAAGGGTGAGGAGTTGGTTAAGTTTTGTACTAAGTGCAAAGGTTTGTGACCGTTTATGCAAATTACCCTTAAGTTTTGGGTGTTGAGCTCTCTTATCCGGTCTTTATCCGGTTTTTTACCTCAAATCTAAGCCCAAAGATTGGATTGGATTGTTTACTATCCGGTCCCGGTCCGGTCTCGGTCCGGGTTAAACGGTCCGGTTTCCGGTTTTTCATCCGGTCCCGGTCCAAATAGCCAGCCCTATCTCTCGGGATGGTTTGTGCACATCAAATAAGGATCCCTCATATATAACTAGCCATAGTGTTTAGGGGTGGCTATACGGTCCGGTTAAATTGGCCCAAATTGATCCGGTCCAGTCCGGTTTTTTTTGAAAATATAAGGACCGAAGATTGGATTGGATACAGTCCGGTCTTGATCCGGTCTGGTCTTGACCCGGTCCGGTCCCAATTCGGTCTTGATTTTATATTGAGATTGTGGGAATTTGAGTGGCCTAAGGCCTAAAAGGGTGAGGAGTTGGTTAAGTTTTGTACTAAGTGCAAAGGTTTGTGACCGTTTATGCAAATTACCCTTAAGTTTTGGGTGTTGAGCTCTCTTATCCGGTCTTTATCCGGTTTTTTACCTCAAATCTAAGCCCAAAGATTGGATTGGATTGTTTACTATCCGGTCCCGATCCGGTCTCGGTCCGGGTTATACGGTCCGGTTTCCGGTTTTTCATCTGATCCCGGTCCAAATAGCCAGCCCTAATAGTGTTGGCGATCAACATATTGAGTTCAGGCTATCAATGGCGGACGACAACAGTGACTAATCTCTCGTTACGTCTAGGTGATCATGCACGAAACGTCAAATGGTTAGACACAGAGCGAGTCTGAGCTATCTTCCCCGTGAGCAGGGATCGATTCTCGATCAATCTCTCGAGTGTTGTTCATATTGGTTGGTATTTCATTCATGAAAAATACTTTTGCAGGTACTGTAAATACATATTCGTTTCATTTTTTTTTTTTTTTTGCATGAAATGATAACATGTAGTACCCGCAAAAGTATTGTTATGCATGAAAGGTTAATTGGCTAACTGTTGTATAACCTAATTTTACTCGCACGAGGAGGTCAAGTAACAAATTCTTGAAAAGCAATATTTTATTTTATATTTTTTTTGAATTTTTTCACTAACTAACTTGATCGTCGGAGAACGATGCATTGTGAGGTCTACAATGCATGCATGAGTGTCTGTTTCTTTCATGCCTTGTTATATATATCCACCGGGTTCTCTCCATTTTACTGAAATGAAATTGAACGTGGATTCCCAACCAACTCGATCTCTTCTTGGTCAAACAATTCGAATGCTGTCATTGGACAGAAACAAAACACCAACCCTAGTTTTTTTTCCCCCTCTATCTAGGTTTTGGGAGTATTTGTGCATTGGTTTACGAAACAGCAGTCTTGGAAACGGCTCCATCAGGGTTGAGAGGGATGGCAAAAATATGTGTGATCGTGAATATTCATCCGAATTCGGCCTAATCAGATAGGGTAAAACTCGAACTCGAATGACATTTAGTGGAATGGATAAAATCCGAACTCGAATATTAAAGGTAATGAGTATTTTATATTTAGCATGTAAATATAATGTTTTCATGAAATTGTGTAGTTTTAATTAATTTTCTTCATTCTAGTGAATTATTGTCGTACTTTTCCTCTTACGTAATGTGAGAATACGTGTGAATGTTAACATATTGGTTGGAGTTATGAAGAGTAATTATTACCCATGGATAACCGTGGATACCCGAAACCCAAACGGGTATGGGAATGATTTTGATTTTCTACCCGTTTCGCATGTGGGTATGGGTATGAGTAAAACCCGAACTACTATGAATAGGGTAACGGATATGCACTATCCGCGCCCGACCCATCCCATTGCCATCCCGCTATGTATTTTTTGGTGAGAATAATACATGCTGTGGAAAATGCTTCTTATTTGGGATCAACCCTAATTAACCATGGAGGTCTAGCTAGTACTTTTGGGATACTACAAATTAACGAAATATAGAGATCGAATTGTAACATGTCAATGACAAGAAAGGTGATTCCAGAAGAAAAAAAAAAAAAGAGTAAAAATGTAATTTAGTGGCCAATCAAATCAAATCTTGTATATAGGATTGTATGCTTCGATTGATCGACATGAAATAACTAAATTAACACCGTCATATGATGATGGAAGACAAGATGGATCGATCGATCATTTATTTCATTTTATTATGAAGAAACGAAAATGAAAAAAAGATATCCCATACAAAGCATGCAGTCCCAACTCATCTCTAGGAAGGAAAACAACTCGGGGACATTTTAAAGACATGCAATGAAAACGTTACATGAAGAAAGCAAAGTGACATATATAGATACCAAGTTGCACAAATATGCCTCTTCAATCACGTATTTTAGGACAATAGCAATAACAAGTCCAGAGTTCACAGTCGCAAGTCGGGTAGCAATACTCGGGTTGACCAGAGCACATATGTGGGTGATATGAAATACATGCTTTGTCGTTGCAAAAAGGAGTGCACCAATCCACCACCGGGTTCGTGTTGTTGTTGTCGTCGTTGGATGCTTGAGGTATTATCATGACTCCATTATTTGTTGCTCTTTTAGGCAACTGCACGGAGGTCAAATTCTGGTGGTGGTTGCTGCATGGTTTGATGATGAGATGGGTATGTAAGAATTAGTTGATCAATTAACTAGAAAATTGCATGGGAAAAAAAATAGGTTCTATAATGGGGGAATGAAACGATGGATATGATTTGGCCAAATTACTAATTGATAAACTTGAGTGACAAAAAAATATGTACGGTAAATATTGTTCTGATTTCCATCGTTGAAATATTTTCGAACGAAGAAGAAGAAGAAGAAGAAGAAGAAGAAGAAGAAGAAGAAGAAGAATAATAATAATAATAATAATAATAATAATATCAATATTCGAAGCATTATATCGTGACTCATAATATATCCTGATGGTAACTACCAAAAAATATATTATTGCGGTAGATAGGCTATACCAATGGTAAATCATGACCTCCACATACCACAACCACCGACATATTTTAAGTTAAAAAGAGAAAAATAGAATATCACATGAATCGAGGTGCTTAATCATGGCTCCTATGCTTAGGAATGGTAATGGAGAAGTTCGGGTTGGGTATCTCGATACCCATACCCGTCCCATGGCAGGTCGGGTAATTTATTACAGGGCGTGGGTCACGGCAGGTCGACCCAATGAGTATGTAATTTATGTGAAAAATATTAGAAATATTCGTTATTTTCATTAAAAAGACCAAGAAAGAAACCATAATATGATAAAATCTAGTTAAATTATTGAAGAAATTGAGGTTTTCACTTAATTGCAACTTCATTAAAGCTAAAATATAATGTAGTTAGAGAAAAATCTTAAATAATTTGACTAAGATTATATGTAATTTAGGCAGGAACGGGTCGAGAATGGGGCGGGTCAGGGCAGGTCGGGTTGATAAGAGGTGTCCATGCCTGCCCCGCCCTAAAATAGGCCAAACAGATCGGATAAATCGGGTCAGATCAAAATTGCCATCCCTAATAACAGTAAATAAATACCAAAAAGCATATCGATCATCGTGGTACCATCATCACGATAAACTATACATATGTACCTATATTTTTTTTTATAGTAACAGCAGTGGTGAAGGTACGTTGAAACTAGGAAGGATTATATCCCAACTTTCAAATATAAGTAAAATTACACGTAAAATACAAAACAAATTCTGAAATTTCTTGACTCCACTCCCTAATAATTATCACGGTTCAAATCATCCCTCTCATTTTGAGCAACATTAAGGAAGGAGAAAGGCTATATATATATATATGTAGTATATATACCTGCTGTCAGTACCGCCGTTGGAGGCGTTAACTGAAGCCATCCGATCAGCATGAGGATCATTCCCGCCGGCCGACGACTGTGGACTATCTACCGGCGGCTCCGTCGTCGATGCGCTTGCAGGAAAAAGGCCTGCATACATACATGCAAACCAATATATTGTAGTACTGTTCATTAATTCTCTGCTGTATCAAATTTGTCCCAAAGCCAAGAACTGTTCATTAACAAGAAGAGATGGAAATGAATACATGGAATAAGGGTGATCAGCAGCAAGAAAGCCAACTTAGCAACGTTACTGGAGATCGCCATATGGTTGCTTTCTTCTAATCTTTCTTGGAGTTGGATATCTTCTTTCATACACTCCTTATTTGAGATTTATAAACAATAATCACTACTGAATTTTGAACGTGGATTCCCAACTCGAATTTCTCTTGCTATACTCGTATTTTTGGAGACATCCGATAAAATTGGAACGACGGAGAAGATCTCTCTTGCTCTTAGTTTTTATCCCCCAAGGTTTTTGGATTGCCTTGTGCGTCGGCTTATGAAATAGCACCCATTGGAATGGCAACCGTCGGGATTCAGGAGGCTGTATTTTTTGTTTGTTTGTATGGAAAGAGTAATACATGGAGTTCTACTTCTATATATGGAGAAAAAAAATGCGTCTTATTGATTAGGGATAAACCCAAACGAAGAATGTAGGTCTAGCTGGAACTACCGGATACTACAAATTAACGAATAAAAAGAAAGAACACACAGCTGTTATCGCTTGTCTGAATTTCTACTGGAGGAAGCCAAGGGCTAGCGTCAGTGGCGCGGAGGCTGGATTAGAAACTACCCTTGTCCTATTTTCAAAATAGAAATATATATAATTAATAAAAAAATTAATAAATATAATTAAAAGTAATAATATTCAAATAATTCATTCATAGATAAAGAAACAATCAACTAATATAATTATCATGACTCCATTAATAAAGAAACCTTGTGTACACAAAAGCCCTTATAACTGATTTTTTATTTGATGGGACGTATGAAATTCATTATTGAAATCAGAGATGATCGGATCGATCATTTGTTTTATTTTATGAAGAAAGAAAGAAAGGAAAACACCAAACAAAAGCAGTCCCAACTCATTAGGAAGGAAAAGCTGCTCTGCCGGTGGAACAGCAGAAAGAAGAAGCCGAAATTACATGGAGATCGAAGCAGTTAAAGAAGGCAGAAGCAATGGCAAGCATAGTCCTGGCAGCTGCAACCGACCCAGCAATAATCAGAATCTTGACCGTCGCACATATTTGGGTAAGTCGAAGCACACGTCTGGTCGTTGCACGTCTCGTTGCAGTCATCCTGCACCGACGACGAAGTAGTATTACTTTTGTGATTGTTGTTGTTGCTCCTGTTGCTGGTGGAGGAGGAGGAAGACGATGGGGATGGTCGAGATACCGTCACTGGCAACGTTCCTCTTTCAGGCAGGGGGAGGGGCGACTTCTCGTCGTTCCTAGAACTGTTACGGTCCACATGACGTGACATTCATTTTGATATATTTCGGAACAAAAGTATATTAGTTACACGAAAACATGTCGTGATCGTATTTTTCATTTTCATAAAAAAAAATTATTGAATTCGGAGTTGAAACGAAATGAAAGCAGGGAGGATATGGTGCCAAAAAATTAATCTTCTTTCTCGCGATTCCAAGACTTTACATACCTGACATGAATCGGAGCATTGTCGTCGACATTCTCGGATTGCGGACTAACTGCTGCTCTTGATGCAAAGGAAGGTAAAACACCTGTAAATTTACGAATATTGGAAATTGTCATAACCCCAACCGAGATGCATGTACATGAGAAGGTAACCACTTTCTTACACACGCCCCCCCCCCCCCCCCCCCCCCCCCCCCCCTCAATCGAAAGTCAGCTCGTGGACTTGGAATTTGTACAGACCCGTCATATCATGCGTAGCTTTTAAATCAAAACCGCTAATGTTTAGGATGGTGAGGAGACTTGATGAATGCGTGAGTACGTACCTCACGATAAAATCAAGTCGAGTACATCAAAATGAACATACTGATTTCAATAACTCGCGAGTTGTTGAGAGGGTTTAGCCGCTTATATATATTAAGACGAGAATAGAGATCAAATTGCGTACATGGAAGGAGGATGAGAAGCAGGACGGCCAGCTTATTAGCAACTGTTCTGCTGAGAATCGCCATGGAAGGATGATTAGCCAAGCTGCTGCTGCTTTTCTTTCTTTCTTTCTTTCAAAGAGGGTTATATTTTTTTTATGTTAATTACATGTGGTATTTATACGGTATGAAGAGTAGGCAAATGCTTTGATACCTCTTTCATAGATAATAATAATAATTCGTTGATTAAGATTAATTCCTAGTTAACCAATTCGCCGTCTCTTTGGCTCTCTTGTTTCATTGCCTCCCCCGTCATTGAACAAAAACAATTATGCTCCAACTTTATTTTTTGGTAGTACATTACTTTTACGTTTAGACCAACCATTTAAACGGCCACCATGACATATACCATACCAACCGGGAGCCACTATATAGACTAGCAAGTCCCAATAATTCGAGTTATTAGAAAAGGGTCAATAGTGAATTTTATATAATGCACTCTCACATTCTCGTAGAATTCCGCAAACGAATGCCAATTCACGAGCTCGATATTAAAAAAGCTTATAACGCAGTTAGAACTATTATATTTCATCGATATAATTAATTGAAAGCTGGTAGGAACATGAACAGGACTCCCCCATTGTGACAACAAAGACCTTAAATCTTTACCATACCATAGGATGTGTCAGGTTTCGGTTTCATTATAACATTTTAGTACTTAAACTTTTCACATTTTACATATTGATCCCTTGGTTGAGGATGTCATTTGGATTTATGGATAATCCACCAATCCATAAATCCACCAATCCATTGAATCCAATCCATTTAATCCATGAATCTACTAATCCAATCCACCAATCCATGAATCAATCCATTTGCCGCCTCTAATCCTGTTACGTACGCTAGCACATCATCCATATAATAAATTGGAAGGAAGGTGATCTTTGTCGGCCGAATTTGTGATTAGTCATCCATAGCCAGCCCAGTCTTCCTTAGCTTTCTTCAGGATGGGCTAAGGCCCAGCCCGGTAAGTTCTCTACCAATGCTTTCTCTGTGACACGAAGCCCATAAAAATTACTAGCTTTGTATCCCGGCCTTTGACCGGAATGATAGTAGAGTGACTTTGTATATTTTTTCCCTCTTCTAATCGCACCAGTAATCGTCAACCCACTTACTCGACGGCCTAACATGTTAAGTTGGATCGACAACTTTGAAATTTTGAGAATGCACAAAACGTTACATCACATGAAAAATGAATTTTCAATATTAGAACTCATATATGTTCTTTTTTTATTCATTTTCGTACAGTTTTTTTTTTTTCTTCTTTTCTTTCTAACTACTGTCTTGACATCTTCTGGTACAGTTAAAGACTACACAATCGTTCTGCGACGAATTGGATGATAAGAAATGAAAGTAATAATGATAACAAACAAAAAGGCATATGTAAGACCAAAAACAAGATAAGAACTACTTTCATTTGATAAGGAGCTTTATCACAATATAAAAACTGATAAGGAGCTTTACAAAAATCATTGTTTTACTAAACCTTAATTAGCTTCCTCCCACAAAGCTTTGCTCTCAAAATCTCAGGAAACAGGGGGGGAAATTAAAATGTCTTTCACCAATGATAAGGGCGGCAGACGCAGTGATTGACTCGACATTCGCAATCCACGTAGTAGTCTGGATTTCCACACCCATTAGGGTAACTCTCAAGGCAGTTTGCGTAGGTGCAACCACCACCAGAACCTTTGCAGTCTGTCTGAACGGAAGCATTGTTGCTGCCGGAACTTGTACGAGGTCTCCTGCAGTCCGAAGTGTACTCAGCGTAGTCAAAATCGCGTTTTGAAACATAAAAAGTTTACGCTCCTGCACTTACAAGTCATAAAAAAAAAATTTGCTTGTACCCGTAATCGAAACGCTTCTACATAAAATCACGATTTCGACTGCTGCTGCATTGCGTTTTGGGGATCGAGTTACGTACCTGAGATAATTGATCTGATCATCGTGATGATCCGTGATGCTGGAATCGCTGGGAGCCATCGATGGAGGATCATCGTTACCCCGAAGAGGAGCAATCGTTCTCGTCGATTCGATTGAAGGCAGAAGGCCTGCGTGCGATTCAGGCAAATGATGATCAATACTGTGTATGTCTGATCAAAAACAAGATTAATGAAGAAGAAATTATAAGTGGAAATTAAGAGATGGTGGTAGTTAGGGGAAATTAAATTACAGTACATGGGATTAGGAGGAGCCATAAGATGAAAGGAAGCAAGATGGCCAACTTAGTGATAGTATTATTGGGCATGTTCATCATCATCGCCATGGCTGAGCAATGGTATTAGTAGGTATCTGGCTTATTATATACAACTATCAAGAGAGCTTGAGACTTTGGGTTCTATCATTATTTACAGTTTAGGATCATACTCATCATTTAATTTGATCCCTTCTTCCATAAAGGACGTAAGCAAGCAACGTATATATATATAGCTAGATTAGTGATTTGGATAGAAGAGTTTTAAGTTCTTGATGTTACTCTTTAATTATTAATTACGGTTCTTCCAAAGCTCCATTGTCAGATAAGTAAATGGCTAACAAGCAAACCAGGCCAATTGGGGATCCCATATCCCAAAAGAAAACAGAGCAAAAACAAACGAAATCAATTGCATTGATAATCATAAATAAATAAATAAATAAATAAACAGAGTTTTCTAAAACAAAAAAGAGCATTGGGTGCGTTGAATTTGACGACATCAATGATGAAAACACAACTTTCTGTGAAAGAATATGAAGTTCGTCTTTTGCTTATCCCAACCTTCATGACGGTTGATCACAAAAAGAGTCGTGCTTGCTTGAAGCGTTGGGGCTGTTACTTTTGCCAGATGGCATGACCGATGAAGATTCATCCATTGGTGGAATGGGGGATACGGGGGCAAGAAATTGTTGCATAAAAATTTGTAAGATTTTGGAGTATATCCCAACAATGCTTCAACTTGAAAATGCTTTTCGTTGTCCGCTGTGAAAATTGTTTTCGCTTGTTCAATCTAGACAATTAATTGAAGTATATTAGCAAGTATAAACTATATACATAATTAAGATGACCGGTCTAGCGCAGTTTTGAATCCTGTTTTGACTGGTCAGACCATTTGGTTTTAACTGGTCTAGCGCAATTTTAAATGGTCTATCTTAATTTTGACTTTTTTCATAACCGTCCAACCGAAATGTACTCCAACAATATTGTAGATGACCGCTGACCGGTTTCAGTTAGCTAGAGTCGGTTGAACCGCTCACCCAGTGATTGCAGCCTGAGCGCGTCAGCCCATAAAATCAATAAATTATCCACCAAAACCCCTACTTTCCCACCTTACCCCTTCTTGATCTAGATTATCTCATTTAGTTTTGTTGATCCATCCACATAAAGGAAGGAGTTTGCTCTGGAACGACGTGATTTTTTATTCAAACACTTACCCTTTATAATCTATATCTATCTATACTTAATATTATGGCTATTCAAAAGTAACTTCTTGCCACATAAGCACTTGGTGAATTCATAAGATGCCAAGGTGGACAATTTTTATTACGAACAAAAATTTATTTATTGATCTAATTATGAAACTATCTCTCTTCTTTTAATACTTCTACTCATTTATACTAAAACTTAAAATAAATTACATTTTTTGTGAAACATTTAAACAAACAAGCACACATAAGTAATAATCTTTTCTTCAATTAAACAAACTATCAAGATGAAATAGAGAGTGACATATATCGTGTTTGTTTAATAAAAAATATCTTATTAAATCTCATTAAGTAAATTTTCTATTCATTTTAACTAAAACTTTGTAATAAGTTACATTTTGATGAAAAAAACACACACATGAATAATAATAATTTTTTAATTAAACAAAATTTAAACGATGGCCTAGGAGAAAATAAGCGTTTTGACAATCAATCGTTTTTGAAAAATGAACTATATGACTTTTTTTTTTGCTATCAAACACTCACTTCTTCCTAATGAATATACTTATAAAATAAGAACAAGTATAATTTATGTAGAAAAAGGTCTGAAGATAAACTTGACATAGCAATAATTGTTATTTTTTAAAAATACTTCTTATTCATTCCGTTTAAATGAAAAACATATTAATTATGAATGCAACCTTTTAATTTATTTCTATCATTTCCATTTTATTGTCTCTCTAGAAATAAAATCCAACATTGAAAATAAGAAATTAGATAGATAAGGAAATGGTAATGCATATGAAGGTTGTTTTTTCTTTGTAGAAGAATAGGAGGGGGGAGGTACACGAGGCACGATTAGATGGCAGAAATTTGAGCAGTTGTAACATATTTTTGCATGTTAATGAAAGCAGTTCATCCTATCATTGCGAAGACGAGGTGAACCAAACCAAGGATTGTCGACTGCTCCCTCTTCCTCCTTGATCTGAAGCTGGCAACTACTCACTCTTTTTTTCATTATTTTCTTAATTTCTTCCAAATTAAAACTGCTGGATGGTAAATTTCCCCACTCGATAAGCGAATGTATTTCTTCTTCGTTTTCACAGAGTTGTTTTATGTTCTCTATTACGTCATATACTTTTATGTAAATAGGTAATATATAATTAGCAAAGGATAATTGGTTGGACTTAAGGCATATCTCCTTTGGTTGAATAATTGATCTTTTCCTTAAATGCCTATTGCAACCCGATTTCTTAGATGTTGAAATGGAAAGTAGAGTTGTGAGGGTTGTTCATTATATTCCTTATGTTCATGATTGACATGCTACTAGCTATAAGATGATGATCTGGTTAGTAATTAGTAGGTAGCAAAAGGATTACAAGCAGAAGGGAACATAATTGAGGGTTTTATAAAGGTCGCGAAGAAAGAAAATGATGGTGGTGGTTCCTCGGTTGTATATTTTGATGTTTGTTTCAATTTCTACACGTTTGTAATGACATTTGTTTGTTTCATTAGGGTGAATTTTTCCTCATTAAATCCTTAACTAAAACTTGATTTTGACATGATTGTTTTCTTACCTACTACTATTTTGATTGGTGCATAGATTCAGTTCACAAATTAGGAATCTGCAATATAGAATGAGTTGAGTTGTATTGAAGTATGCTCCTTTCATTATTTGTCTATGTTGGTATTAGGTAAAAAGCACCATTTTTTTCTTTAGGAGCTCTCTATAAATTATAAATTGTGTTTATATGCAGTTTAGTTTGCTGAAAATATTGCTTTAATAAATTAGTGACAACTGATAGTTCTGTTTTTGGTTAGTTTTGCTAGAACATTGACAAGATAAATTAATTGAGTATGCAGAAGATTGATGGATGTGGATGCTAATGTGTTTCATCATTATTCAAGAATTGCAGGTGTAACTGATAATACACGATTAATTCTCTATTATCATATACCGACATAGGAGAAGGGAAATAAAATGAAAATCTCTTCACTTATTTTTTTTATTAATTGAATCCTATTTTCTTATTCTAACTTCTTCGTTTTTTACCTTAAATTTTTTAAATTCTTTATCACTTTTTTGAGTTCGATACTAAATTTTAAATCGATAAAGAACGGTCTACAAAGAGCTCAGTTAATACAATTACATTTTTCATAAATAAAAAAGGTATAAAAGTATGAAACATTACCTAAATAATGTAAGTGAGATTTAAAATTTCATGTATATTAAATCAACAAATATAAATAATAATAACAATTAGAATACTATAACGAATTATAAAATGATCAAATATAATGCATCGCCCAACGGGCGGATAAAAAACTAGTAAAAGTAGACGAAATTACCGGACATAACTACTTGGAAACAACAATTAGATGAATCCTATTATTAATGGAGCACTTCTACTATATATGCTATATAGCATTGGTGCTTTAATGTACAACTGCTCCACTTCTACTATATATATGCTATATAGCATTAGTGCTTTAATGTACAACTTAAAGTTGTATCATAACATTAAGTGTATAAGTTTAGGTTGTACTATAAAGCAATTTGTGCCATTATGTTATGATACAACTTTACAACTTGTTGTTGCTGCCGGAAGAAGCTGCACGAGGTCCGTAAACAGCGAGTGGTAGTACTGCAGCCGTTCCTCCGTTGTCGCGGCTAGATCGGTGCTGCAGACGGTGGTTCCTGCGGGTGTTCCAGCATCGGCCTTGGATCAAACCTGATAATAAAAATAAAATAAAAAACAAAATGAAAGTATTCCGAAATTCGTATCTGAGATGACGACGATGATGATGATCTGTGGTGTCGCTGGAATCGCTGGGAGCCGTTGATGATGGAGCATCACCGTCGTTGTTTCCCCGTAGACTAGGAGCAATCGTTCTCGCCGATTCGCTTGAATGCAGAAGGCCTGCAATCAGGGAATCCCAATAACTCGAGTTGTTAGGAGAGGTTGAATCGTGAATCATATACCGTGTCCGGGCACCATGTGCTTAACAGAAATGGGAAACAGATGGGGTCAGGTCATCGGGAATTGAACACAAGACCTCTCGGTAACAAAAGGCTCTGATACCATGTCAAGAACCAGTTTGATCCCAATATAATACGAGCGGTTGTGAAATGTTCAATCGTGAATTATATACCGCGTTTAATTACTAACAAAGGTGGTGGTGGGGGTGGGGGGGGGGGGGGGGGGGGGAATAGAGTACATACATGGGATTAGGACGACCCATAAGATGAAGGGAACCAAGATGGCCAACTTGGTAGTGATCATCATCGCCATGGCTAGCTAGCTGGGTGTTCTTGAAGTTAAAGATGGTTATGTATGGATGGATGGTGAGCAATGGTAATATATAGGAGGTATCTGGTTTATATACAATTCATACTTAGGGTTTCTTTTCATTATTTACAGTTTAGGATCAATTCATACTCATCATTTGATTCCTTTCTTTCCCTAAACGACGAAAGCAAGCAACCATCTATATGTATATACATATTGCTAGTTGAGTGATTGGGATAGAAGAAAGTTGTAGTTCTTGGGTGTTATTTCTTTATTTCGGTTATTCCAAAGCTCCATTGTGTCATTGATTAAGATGATGCCTCTATGTATAACATGTTTTGTACGTATGTATGCCTTCTATCTCCTCTTGATCCGTGACAGATAGGGATGGCAACAAAACTCGAAACCATGCGCGGGTATCCTACCCGATCCAATCCAGTTAACGCGGGTAAAATCTGTGTTGACGGGTTTTGGATCGGGTTCGGGTTTAAACTCGTTCACTATTCACCGGGTTGGGTTGAGTTTGGATTTAGGTATACCGGCCCCGTGAATACCCGCTCACAACCATATAATTAATTTTCCCGATATATTTAATATTCTAAGCAACTAATTTTTTATTTACATTTGTGGAGACGTGTCTAATATTTCTTTCTGATACGTATAGAATGAAGTTGATATTATCGAGTGGAGAGTGAAGAAGTTTAATTGACAAGGAGGAAGAAGCTTTCAATTAATCATGTTGTTTATGGATAATTTGTGATTTACTTCAATTTTCTTAAGTTTTTTAGATTGGTGTTGAACAATTTGTATGGTTAATTTGCGATTTGCATGCATTTTCTAGAATGATGTTTTATATATGGATAATTTATATTGAGAGATTGGTATTTGACATTTATTTTGATAGGAACTTGTTATTGTAAATTTTTTACAACAAAACCCCATGGATGGATTAAAAAAAAAAAGATGATACTAGGTGGATGGTGGAGGGTTGGAATTTTGTATTACAGAGTAATAAATCCAAACAGTCCGAAAAATAATAACTAAATACAAATATTTAAACAAACATAAGCCAGCGTAATTCTATCGAATTGCCACGGTCGGCTCGATCTCCGAACAAGCCACATTCGGCGCCGGTTGCGAGTCAAGCTATTCGTTATTAGTACCCAATTGCGCCACTCCGATGACAAATTGATCTGTTCGTGATAGACATCTTCTTTGCATAAGATCAATTGAATTAGAAACGAAAAATCGACGATCATGATTCGTCGAAATATATGAAACAAAAAAAAAATTACATGTACAATCTTAGAAGTTAGACTCTACGATTTACGAATCGCACAAGCAATCGCAATAATTGTAATAATCCGGGTCACAGACGCAGCCCACTTTGCAATTCCTTTCAGCATCTTGACCATAGCACAGATCTCGGTGATACCATTGGCATTGATAGTCGTTGCAATAAGCATCGCAATATTTCTCCACCGAAGCTGTAGCGTTGTTGGATGCTTCAGCTTTAGGTCTCATGACTACACCTGTTCCTCTTTTCGCCACCAGTTCTTGGGTTGCTAATAAGTTCTTGTTGTTGCTGCTGCATTTTTATTGACGGGGATTACGTTAGTTGACCAATAATTAACGAGATTGCAGGAGAAAATACGCCCTACAATGTGCATGAAAATACAAATTAAATTTGTCCAATGATTAATTGATAAATTTGTGCGAGGAAAATAGAATATGTACATGGCGTAATATATCTCGTAGCGGTCAAAGAACATTACACCAAAAATAAATAAGATATGGGAAAAGATCCCGGGGAATAACCCAAACCGTACGTGCGTGAGACTTTCATCTCGCACGACTCCTAAGTGATAAAAAGAAACTACATAATGCCTCGATGATGAGAAGCATACCTATCGTTAGTCGGAGCATCGTTGCCATTCCCCGACTTCGGACTAACTACTCTCGATGCGCTCGAAAGCAAAACATGACCTGCAACAAGCAAATATCCGTATCTGAAACCGTTTCAGCCACTTTCAGAAAAAGCTTGGAATACAAATGACGAAAAAGATTCAAGATGTTTATGTTATGTTGTTCTAAAGGCAAAAAGAAATACGTAGAAATTAAGATGGACAGATCGAGTACGTACATGGAAGGATGATGATGAGAAGCAAGACGACGACCAACTTATTGGCAATGGTACTGCAGTTGGGGATCGCCATGGCTATATAGCTATTTTTCTTGCTTTCTTTTGAGATAATTTTTCTTTTCGTCGGAAAAAGGTTCGGAATGTTACAGTATTTATACATGTTGAACAATTGTTGCTTGCATGTATATATAGAGTTCGAAGGGGATGCAAAGGCTTGGATATTCTACCTGGTATATATAATTAATTCATTAGTTAATATTCAATTTTCTTGTGCATTAGGGAATTTTTTTTTTCGGTGTGGTTGTTAAACAATTCCAAATAATTTGCTTCTCTAATTGTTTCATAGGCCTCTCCGTCGTGAAAGAAAAACCAACTAATTAATATAATTACACGTGTTTTTTTTGGGAGTACATTTACGCTACTTATGATAGAACAACCATTTAAACGGCTCACGATGCAACCTATGATAGGATAGCTTGGAAGGCGTTATAAGCTATTTTTGTTCTTCATAAAAAAAAAAAAAAAACCATTCTTGTAATCTTGTTCTTGGTGTTCTTCTGCCTTGTCATTGTCTTTGTTATCAACTTATATATGTAAAAACGAAGAGTTGTCACCCATAACAAGGTGAAAACTCTTAACTGCAATGTCAGGATTCATTCAATCAAAATGCAAATTCATGTCATTTGGTCAAGCTGTAAAATTTATTCCATTGATGGACACCGAAATGCGCAGGAGAAAGTAGAAACCAATGGCAGTTTCAGAGGAAACATGTTTGGCTCTGAAAGCCGCCTATCATACTAAAATGTTACTCAGTCGGGCAGAGAACCTACTCCGTAGCCTCCGCTGGTTGGGAGACTTCATTTTGTTTCAAGTTCTCGAGTGCAGAGATCCGTGCATCGAGTGTCCCGTAAAGGCCTGTTACCTAGGGAAACAAATGAAAACGAAAAAAATGAGAGCTAAAAGAGACAGAATGCTCAACAATGCATCACACCATTCTCCAGAAGAGGAAAACAAGCTGAACTAGCAAGTTTGCTTTGTTAATTTATCTACTCAAATACCCTTCCATATGAAAGGATGCATCTACACACAGTTGTAGGTCCTCGAGCATTTCTATGCCAATTTCTCTGCTCGATTTACTGCAGTTCTAACCGGGTAGTGAACCTTGACATTTGAAATGAAATTGGACTACACATTGGTCATTGGAAGAAATTGCTAGTTGAAGTTCAGAAAAGGTCAGATGCTGAGAAATGGAAAGATGGCCCATCTTCTGGAAACACGCTACATATATATATATCAGCAGACAGGAAATTCAGTTGGTTTTAGAATTTGTAACTCTCTCAGCAATTAAGAATGTTTCAGAGAGAGATGAATAGCACTACATGATTCAAGAAAACAAAAATTCAAATGATCCAGTCAGAAGGAGATAAGTCTTCTGAGTGGTCCACGCACATTATTACTTCCTCAGTCTGTTCTTAATCAAACAAAGTGATGAAGAGGGAAAAGAGAATCGAATTAACTACCAAGACTAGCTCAACTGTACGATGGACATCATAAACTACAAGCATTCGAGCAGTTCGATCGAGGCCACAATAAAGAATAATCTAGGTGTTGGCACAAAAGCATTGAAGTATGGAGGGTGATTCTGCAGAGCGGTTTTCTGTTGAATTGTGGAAATAGAGAAAAGAATACAATTTGGAGTCTCTAGTTGCTGGCTAGACACCAATGCATGGATTGTCAATTTGGAAGGATACAATTAAGAATGGAGATCAAGCTCTAAGAGTTATCCTGGTATAAGATGCAAAGACAAAAGGTCTATAAGAGCTCTCTCAAGGGCAGGTGGTGAAAAGCACTGCTGCCCTTCATAGACCTGGATGATGACACCTCAGAAGCACCTTAGAAAGGAGAAAAGGAGTTTTCTGAACAGAGAACAAGCATAACTATTTGTTTCCCTTCTTTCGTCTACTTCTTTTCTGATGACAATGCAACAGAAGCAATCCAAGAAAATGCCAAGATTGAAGCTTAACAGAGTGGGTTTCATCGAGTATTCTCCTAGTTCTTATGTTCATAACATATTTGAAAAGGATGATCACAAAAAGAGTTCCAAAGATAGGAACTTGATCAGAAGGGCACAGGATTCCCCGTTCTATTCCCGAGGCTGGACGAATGGAGTTTGAGATGAAGAGAGATAACCCCTCCAGGTTGGGGGATCTAATGAGGCTCAAGCTCCGTACCAAACAAAGAGAAAATGCAATCCGTGTAAAAGTTATTTCCTAGCATCTCTAAATGCAGTGTTGCAACAAAGCTATATAATTTCTGCTTCCCGCAAGAAAACTCTTACAGAAGCCTCTGATCATCGAAATGCCAATCAACTACACAAAATCTGAATTGCCAGGAGGAAACTAAATCTACCAACCAACCCGAAACCCCAACGAAGAAAAATATGGAATTCCAAACCTACTTAACACAAAAGCAATCAGCTTCCCGCAAGAAAACCCTGATGAATCCAAGCTAAAAGCAACGTCCTAATCTTACATTCAGCGAATAAATTTCTCGTGCCAACGGGCATTCGTAGAAAAAAAAAGGAACAGCCTTTCCGGCAACAAAAATACCTGTTGAGAAATTGATTCATGAGCCACCTTGTAATCCTTGTACAGACTGTAGAGCCCGACGAACGACGCCGTCGCTGCTCCGGCGAAGAACGACGCCAATCTCACCCTCAGCACATAACCCATCGCCGCCTTCTCCTTTTCCTCTCTCAATTTCTGCTTTTCCCTCTTCGCTGCTTTTTCCCTCCGGCGGTGCCAACTAAAACTGTGAACAGACTGACACGGCGTCGTATAAGCAACCATCGGAGAAACCTCGTGTTTGACATATACGACGTCGTTTCGGTCCCAGTGACGTGGCCCGTGGAAGAAAACGTCCTACTGGGCTATAAATAGTTTCTGCAGAGTGGCAGGAAAAGCCTTCCTGCTTTGGACGTTTTCTCTGTTCTCTTTCTGCTGCGCCTGACAACAGACAAAGACCAGAAAGAGATAGAGAGATAGAGAGAGATGGAGTGAAAAGGAAGGTGAAGGAGACGAAAGGGGTTTTAGGTTTTTTGTGGGTTTTCTACTGCATTTTGTGGGGAGACAAGGAAGAAGAAAAAAAATGACGCAGACGCCACCGCCACAGCCGCAGCAGGGGATGCTGATGAACACTCCTCCGGGAAACGTCACCACCGAGCAGATTCAGAAGGTAGTAATGTCATCTCTTCCTTTTCCCCGTTTTTGCATGGAGTTTTTTTTTTTTTTTTCCTTCTTCTACATTTCATTCCCCAATCGTGATTCTGTAGTGAAATCTCTCACGCTTTCATGGGTTCTTGTGGATCAAGGTCTTGAGTCTCATTGGATTCGTTGGGTGTTTACAGTGTGAGTGTGCCATTTCTTTAAATTGGATTTGGTCGACATTGCATGAGCAACAAGAGTAAGGTCATGTGGCATTGCTTTGCTTTGTGAAAGGGAATAGCAGGAACAAGAACTTCTCTTTTTTCTGTTTCGTTTTACTGTTCTTTACCATGAAGTCCTTGGGGCTATTTCTTCATTTGATCAATGATTTGTAATGCTTGGGTTTGGATTCACGATGGGGAGGGGGAAATGCAAGATAGTCAGGCTTGTGACTCCGTAAAAAATTTGTGGTGCACTGATTATGCTTCACTACCGGATTCTTGGAGGCAGTTTGAAGAATCACAGATATATTTGATTGCTTCCGTTAGTGTTATGCATCACCTTTGATCTTGGTTCTCGTTATCTGTTGCAGTACTTGGATGATAACAAGCAGTTGATCATGGCTATCCTAGAGCATCAGAGTGTCGGGAAGTTTGCTGAATGTTCCTCGTGAGTGACATCAACTAGCCCATCTTTCTTTGTCTATTGAGACTTCATTAAGACTTCCGCATGTAGTTCAATTTGGGAAGTCCTTTCGTTTGTGGTCAGCCATCTCACTCCTGCACGAGCCTGAAAGATAGTATGGAAACATCCCCAAGAAAATTTTCAGCTCTGTTCTATTCTGAAGCTATGCTGGCTGACACCTGTATTCCAGCTAAACGTAGTTGGCTGTGCTGTATTTGAGCATGGCCAACGTCGGGAGTTCTGTATAGATAAGAGAACAGGTGTTATTAGGACTAGTAGAACAGTCTTGTGGGGCGTGTAAGTCTTATAACTTCTGCGATACATTGGTTAGAATAAGGCATTTCTCACTCTAAGATCAATAAGCCAGCCAGAAGGTGAACGAGTGTGCAGTAAATGAATTTTATATGTTTGTCTGGATCTGCTTACGTTCGTTAGTCTATAACTTCTGCTCTTGTTCCACCGTCCACATTTTTATGTTTGGCTGGATCTGCTTACTTCCTTCTCTGGGAATCGACATGGAAGTTGTTAATTCTCAGTTGCACCTTTAAGGGTTTTCCTCCTTTCTCCTCTTCCCTCGCTTTCACCTAAAATTGATGTGTTGTTGGCTTGGCTTTCGTGGATGAGTTAAATGGACCAGCAAGTTTGATGCTAAGCAGTTTGGAAAGAACTGTTGTGCTTGGAATCACCTTGTAGCAGAAAAGAATTACTAAATTCCGCTTTTTCTTTGCATGCGACGGGGGGAGCTGAATCAGTTTGCAAAACCAGCTACAACAGAACCTGATGTACCTAGCTAAGATTGCTGATGCTCAGCCACCACCACCACAGCCACAAGGGACAGCACCACCAGCACCAAATGTTCAGGTAAAAAATTTGCACAACCAAAATATAACTTGATTTGATTGCTGTTTTTCAAACGAATTGATTACCCATTGCTCTTTTTGTGTGTGTGTGTGTGTGTGTGTGTGTCTACATATACATTCAGATGGCGCCGGTGCAACAGGAGCAGCAGCAACAACAACAACAACATTACATTCAGGCATCCCAGGGTCAAATTGAATGGTCGCAGCAGCAGCAACAGCAGCAGCAGCAAATGTACCATCAAGCTCCTCGGCATCCTTTTCAGATGAACGACCCTAAGCAACAGCAACAGCAACAACAGCAGCAGCATTCCTATCAGAGATAGGAAAACATGTCATCCTAGCGTCTCACGTGTGTTCCGAGTACTTTAGTTTCAAGGTTGCGATTCAATGAGCACCAGTATATGCATGGACTCACTTTGCTTTGTATTGAAGTGCGCCGAAACTTATATCCGTCAATCCTCTCCCATTTTAGGCTAACCCCGTGGCGTGGTTGTTCCCCGTTTGTTTGATATGAAATCATATCCTGTTGATTTGTGAAGCAACATTGGATTTGGCCGAATTGTTCGATTTCAATATCCAAAACCCAACTACGCACTAGAGGCTGGGCTAATTTTGTGGCTAACCCATGGTCATAGCAATTGAAGGCAATGCAGTGATAAAAGGAACATCAACAACGCAACGGTCCTATCAAAATGCAACTTTTATGCAAAGCAACAACCCAACATATTCCACAGCCATTGTAGATTTCCTCCACTGCAGAGAATACCATGAGATGCATTGCAACTGCAAGGTAATGGTGTGGCGAAAAGACATTTCCTTCTGCTACGGCAGCCAAGCATAAAGGGCAGCACGAAAAAAGCAACATATATGGGAATACACCAATCATATTGAAGACAACGAAGAACAAATTTCCCAGAAAACCAACTTCTTTAGTCAGGATCTAATAACTCGTTTCTGTTTTTGCAGCAGGTAAGCATTTCCCAAAAGATTCCTCCACTCAACAAAACCTCTACCAGCCAATGATTTGCTGCATAACCCCCCTCAACGGACGCATCCAGTTTAAGAATACCTCCTACAAGGCCGCAGAGTTACCATCATATCATTCTACGGATTCAAACCGTTTTCCCTATGACAACCTTTCATTCTTGGTCTGGATACTTTCTATCTTCTAGAAGTAGTGTTTCCAGTGACCCTGCAACAATGCAGAGCAACAAGATATCAATAATTCATCAACTGACAGATAATGCATATAAACTTCTTAGACAGAAATACACCATCTTGGAAACAAGACTTTTAAAGGGATTCAAGACGATACCTTCCCTGCTGCTTCCCCACAAAACTCGAATTAGGCCTAGCGTGACTTGAAACTTTGCTCTGACCACTGCCACTCAAATCAGCTCCTGCATTAGTCTCTTGACTGTTATCCTTCAATTTGCTTAGTATCTTGACATTTGACATGCCACCAGTGGCGCCAAAACTAACACCATTTAGGTGGTTGGAGTCGGTAGAAGGAAACTTTTTGGCCCGGTGAGACTGTGCCATTGGGGTGAGGGACATGGTAGAGAATGATGAGTAAGGAGTGGAGGATGCAGCTGCAGCAGCAGCTACTTTGGCAACCGCAGCAGTAGCAGCTATCATCTCTTGTGCCCCTTCTCTTAGCTGAATATACTCACCCTCAATCAAGAATAGCTGAAACCCATCACAGCCCAAAAGTCTTAAAGTAAGACAATGACTCGTTAGAAAGAAAATAACTTTGGAGTATGGAGTGTACGTCCAGTACCATACCTCTGGATGACCAGCAACAAAGTCATCTAGTTTCCCATACTTTTTCTTGTAGTCATGCCAATGAAGAGGTGCTAGCATCTTTCCTAACCTATTTGGTAGCTGCAATGGAGCAGGAAAAAAGTATCAAGTTATTTCAAGTCCTCCAAGAATATGCTTGAGAAACATCTGAAGCAAATTAGTTTCAATAGCCAAGTACTAACAAACCGTTGAGTTTATGCGAATTCTACCACCAGCAGGAATTGTACGAACTATGCAAGCCAATAAAGATCGTTCATCAATAAGGGGAGGCTCCAATGCCTTTCCAGCAGTCGCGATATTGGCCTGACCAGTCGGCGTAAAAGCTTCAGGGACAGTTGTACCAGGCCCATTACTAATGACTGTTTCAGTGAGACTAGCAGATTGAACTGAAGCTTCAGGGAGTGAGACACCAACAGCAGAACTCTGTTGTTCTTCAGACACAATCTGCCTCTGTAATCCATCATTGGCCAAGCTAACAACATTTTGCTCCTGCGCCAGTTCAAATCCAAGTAATCTCTAAGCCTCAAAACTTTGATATCGAAACCAATGATAAATTCTAAAAGAGAAGAATGGTAAGTAGACAAAACCTGCGGTTCAATTTTCTGCTCGAGAGAGTTTAACCGTAATGCTTCACTAAATTGAACAGAAATATGTTGTAGGCTTTGATCCGGCTGATTCCCAACCAAGTAACTTCTATCAATCGACTCAAGAACCTGAAAACATAGTAATTTTATTACTTAATGAAAAAAATCAAAGTGGTATACTTGTTTGATCGTACTAAAACATGTTAACAACAAGAACCTGTTGGTCAACACTGGATGATGAGATCACAGAATCAGGCTGAGCCCCTTGATTTATATGAACATCTAGATAGTCTGATCGATATCCTTGCCCATTAACAGACATGTCATAATATTTTGTTTCTGATCTATCAAGGTTCTGCTCACTTTGAGACGGTGTCAGTTGATCCTGTGTAGAAATGTGTGAGGCTTCGGTAGCAGCCTGTAGGTAAGTGCAAAGAAGTAAGGCAAGCAGGATTACAAGGCAAATATTTGAATCCCAAACCAAAAGAAGTCAGACCGCTCCTAAACCATGGGACGGTAGAAGTACAAGCTTAAAAGATAACATTCAACAGAACCTGCTGAGCCTGCCACTGTGGAAGGGATGACATTGCTGGTACTGAGTGAAAATGTCCCACTTGAGACGGATGAACATGTGATGGCATTGACTGAGGAATCCCCTGTTGATGCAGAATGAAGGGATGCAGTGCTGTCATCTGTCCAGGTGGAATGTAGGTTGGCATTCCCAGTAAAGATGATGAGGAGATCGGCATGCCAGCAACATTGTTGGTCTGGCAACAAACACAAAACAAAATTTTACTTCCCATTGAAACTTCCAATGCTGGATCAGCACAAGGGAGAAATAGGCACAAGTCGGACAGCATATGAATTGCTAGACAAAATTAAAAACACAATCCTTGTATTAATCCATGTTCTCCAGCCTCAAACAAACACAGATAGCAAGCCAAGTAAGAATCCACCAAGCAGGTTCATACACACACTCTCCAGCTCGTTCATTTGTTCAGCATAAAGCTCCGCCAATCTTACATTGTCCACTAAGCCATTCACTGCAGACCCTTTAAAGTTACTAAACCTAGAGGAATTTATGGTTCGAATATAATATCCTATAGAACAGAGGAGCCATTCACTGCAAAGCCTACCTGATTTGCAGCATTTCCAGAGGATGCAAATGATGAGACACTATCAGCACTCCCATTTGAATGTGCCCCATTATTAGCATTTGATGCGCCACTTCCATTTACAACTAGTTGGTTTCCAGAAGTCTGACCAAGCTTAGCTGAGTCATTTGAATTCGTCTGAGAAAGCCGAGACTCATCAGGGTAGGATCCAGTCCTATCAGCCAGCTCAACCTGAAGCTGTTGTATGGTATATACATGAAGTCTCTCCATTTCTATGAACTGCAATGTCAACCAAAAACAACAAAGACATACGTCAGCCCACAGTTACCAAATAACGAAGCATCAATTTGAATTAAGCTTTCAAATGAATAAATCAGTTTGTTCGATTGACAGATGAAGCAAAGAAAATAAAACAGATGACAAAGACTGCCAAAAGCAGGTTCACAACCATTTCATGTATAAATGTAAATCCTAATTAGCCACAGACCAGCAAAGTTTAAGAAAAGACAATACAGCAAACAAACCTGTCTCTGACAGCCAAGCCACAGTTGATTATATTGCTCAATCCGTTCACGCAGTTCAGCCTGTAAATTAGATTGCAAGGCATCCATCTCCTGAACACGTGCAATCCAAACTTTCAGTTGTTCGTCCTTCAGGTAGATAGTCTCCTGATCAACCCTACGCTGAAAGAAAAATGGCATTAGACATCCTTGCCTCATGGAAAATAATCTTCTAGACACCAACCAGGATTCCTTCCAATCAATTCAATGTAAGATTTACAGGAAAAATAACAAATAGATACAGAGTATCAAGACACCGAACCTTGATAGCCCATGTCAGACCATGAGCTACACGAGAAACATAAATGAACTAACCTGTTCTTGCAACTCAAGAATCTGTCTCTCTTTATCCTGGATGTGTTCTTGAAACTCATGTAATTGCTGCATGTGCTGTGCTTTTTCAGCCTCAGAGTGATCGCGCTCCCTTCTGAACAAGGAAAAGTTCGTTGAGATTCTTTCAGATTTTGGATCAACAGAAGAACCAGAGAAATGCACATATCTAATAACGGTTTTAAAGCATTAGAACCAAACTGAACATACAGGCTGTTAGTCTAAAATACTTCGAGACCAGATAGAGAAGCGAGTCTGGCAGTCGTCAAACATAGTGATTTCAATATACACATAATACATTTCATAATAAGATAATATATTTCTCCTCTTCGTCTACATCCTGAGGGTATTTCTTCGCCGAACGACCAACAATAAGACGGGGGAGGGGTTGATCAAAAGAAAGTGCATCTCATACTCTCACCTGAAAGTAGCAAGTTCTTTGTTTTGCTCTCTAAGAAGGTCCTCTTTAGCCCATGCCTAAGTAAACAAGAAGATCAAATCACACAATTTACAGGTAACAAACAGCACCTGATGTAAGAGCCAGAGAAAGAAGCCCACAAACCGCTTCATTGTCCAATTTCACAGCATGTAGCTCCCTGTTCATCTCTTCAATTCTTCTTTCCAGGTCATGTATGGCCTGCTCTCTCTCGTGGAGTTTTTCCTGAAATGAAATGTGTATTCACAATTGAGAGGTGAAAGAAGTTGCAGCTCCAATTGTTATCCTTCTGAAAAGCTACTTCATTATTCCTCCGGCCAAAACAGTTATACACACTATGCAGCTGAAGGCGGAAGGCATGCAGAATGTCATAGAGGCAAATTACCAAAATGCACACTCTTGCTAGTATAATAGCCCACCTGAAGCTGTGCAGAAGAATCTTCACGTTCCTTGATTTGAGCATCAAAGCTATTTTGAATCTCCAATATCTCCGATCTAGCAATCATTTGTGCTCTTAGCTCAATTTCCATCTGCTGCAGCTCTTCCCTTTGTCTAGCAAAGGAATGAACCCGCTGACGTAAAATGTCATTGTCCAAACTCCCATCAACATTAATAGAGCAGAAATCCACATCAACTGGCTCTCTCCCATGCTGCACCTTGATAAATAACAAAAACGAGTTCACTTTCTCTACTCTGAACATGAACCAAAGCCTGGCAATGCCAAGTTTTACCTCGTAGATTGTTCTCTCATCATACTGCCCTAACTTGGAACGTTCCAACTCCTAGGATCAACATTATCTAGTTATTTGACTAAGATAGTGACCTTATAGGATGCTAAAGGTTATGCCACGGATCATCAAAATCAGATTTCATGTAATGTTCACGAAAGCCAATTAATTTCAGCATTTCCTTACTGCCGAGAAATGTTTCCCATATAAACAGACTACATAGAGGCTGCTATCCGTAATTAGATGGCCAACTCAACCAACGACCAAGCTACTGAAACAGCAATTTCAAGGAAACCCATATGTAACAAACAGCTCAGAATCAGCAAATAAGCAATTCTACCACACATGCAGACATTTCTACAAGCAAAAGAGAGAAGGCGCAACCCTAATAGGCTAATACCACCACAGTCAGGCACGGCAACGCTAGGCAAAAAAACAAGCTATTCCACTTCACTTGAGGAATTACGCAACACGGATTGCACCTGACGACCGTCAAATTCCTACATTCCTCTCCCATAACCCAAACACAAGCTCGAACGAAAATCATAAGAGGGAAACCCATAAAAACACCCTACCTCATCGCTGGGGTTTCGAGCAGAATGGTGGTCCGACACGGCACGCCACTCCTTCCTCGAGGACGAACTCATCGGCAGAGAGCCACCGCGAGAGGCGGCGACACCAGCCGCGGCCTCCATTTTTCAATCAAGAAAGTCACCGACCAGCAGTCCAATCCCCAAACCCCCCCTCCTCTCCGGCGACGATCAAGAAGAGAAAACCCTAGAAGAGAGCGCGCGCGTGAGGTGGGGGAGAGAAAGAGAGAAACGGGCGCGAAGAAGAAACCCTAGAATCCGCTAAATCAGCCGCGAAGGGGAGAGAGCTGACACGACGAAGGACATGAAAATGGGGATCGAAGCGGAGGAGGGAGAATTGGAGCCGACTTGAGTCCTGTGAGTGGGCGAGTGAGTGAGAGAGAAAGACGGAGCCCGGGAGGTTTTGTATGTAATTAGAAGGTTCTTCAAGGGTCTTGACGTGTAAATAGTGAAGAATTGCGTGCGACGAAGAAAGAAAAAATGACTACGTGAGAGCGAGAGACCGGAAGATGATTGGGTGCAAGATGCGGGTTGGTTGAGTGGGCTCCCGCCATTTGTCAGGCCCAAAGGTAAATGTATGCATTGGGCCTGTTAAACCGAATCAATCGGCCCGCTTTGTAAACCCAAGCCCAATCCAGCTTGCTCTTTGAGCAAGCCCATTTTTAATTGGCCTTTTTAATTTTGTTCAACGGCCAGAGAGAGGTAGACGAGGACTTAAACCACATTGATTACGTATAGCTCGATGTCACAGGCTCTCTCTCTCTCTCTCTTTCTTCTTTTCCTTCCTTTTTCCTCTCTCTCTCTTCCATTTCTTCTTCCTCCATTGTCGTCTCTCTCTCTCTTCTTCAAAGCCCCCAAACCAAACCCGAAATCTCACAAACAAACAAGAAAGAAAGAAAGAAAATTTCCCCCAAATGCTTTGAAACCCAACTCCCAGCTTCTCCATCTTTCCTCTCTCTCGGTCACACCGTCGCCGGCGGACTGAGAAATGCGCCGGGAATTCTCGTCCTGATCTCCTCCGATCAGTACCCAATTGACCATCTCCCCTCGAATTCCATAAACCCCTCTACTCCATGGGGCAGTGCTGTGCGAAGGGAGCGGTGTTGTCCGATCAGGCGCCGCAATCGGCGTCCTTCAGCAACAATGAAGCAGCTCAGGGGAGGAGTAACAACAACAGCAGCAGCAACAACCATCAGGGTGCGGCGAAGTCGCCGTCGTCGGTCCCGACGACTCCGGTCTCCGGGGATTCAAATAACGGTAGCTCGTATGCTGCTAGTCCGTTTCAGAGTCCCCTGCCGCACGGGGTCCCGCCGTCGCCTTCCCCGTCCGGGACGCCAGGGAGGAAGTTCAAGTGGCCCCTGCCGCCGCCATCTCCGGCGAAGCCGATCATGCGGATGATGAGGAAGAAGGGCCTGACGAAGAAGACTCCCAAGCAAGGCCCGATTCCGGAGGACGGGGAGGGCGGCGGCGGCGGTGGGGATGAGAGCGAGGTCCCGCTGGACAAGAATTTCGGGTACCCGAAGAACATTGCGGCCAAGTACGAGCTCGGGAAGGAGGTGGGGAGGGGGCATTTTGGGCATACTTGTTGGGCTAAGGGGAAGAAAGGCGAGCTCAAGGGCGAGTCCGTCGCTGTCAAGGTCATTTCCAAGGCCAAGGTACTGTACTACTGCGCGTATAATGCCGTCCAATTCTTCCTCTCTTTCTCTGAATTTTTGCTTCTTTCATTTTTCCTGTTCGTTTTCCAATTGATTGGTTCATGATGGCTTGGTCAAATCTGATCGAGGGTCTCTGGGTTTGACTTTTAATCCATTGAAATTGCAAATTGGGGGGAGAATGCGTCCCAATTTCCACCGCTGCAATTTCGTGCTTTGCTTGACTTGTTGGTTTATGAACTTTTCAAAGCTGACTTAGGATTTGCGGGTTGATCACTGTGCTTTCCGTTGGTCAGCTGCTGTGGACTAAGATTGTTAACAGTCCAGCTAACTCCACGTTTCAAGGGGGCTAGATAATTCGTGATGAGAATTGAAGTGGGTGGTTTGGAATTTTGCAGCATGAGTAGTCACATTCCTCAGCTGATTATATGATCTTATAGCTTCGAGGAAAAGCAACAAGATTGCAAATAATGGTGGTAGAGTTTGATGGGTCTCTCCCTACTTGTCTCCTCCTTCCCTTTTGTTTTCTTGCTCCTCTCGCTTTCATGGGAGTGAGGACAAGAAGTGGCCTGTGGAGTGTCTTCGTCTTGCTGGAAACTTGGAGGAAATTTTACAGTTTTTAGGTATCATTCTGAGCTGGAACCACCAATGCTTGCTGGCATGAAGCATTGACACCTGTCATCTCTGGGGGATTAAAGCTGGAAGTCTCTGGATTAGGAGATGGTATGTTCTAAGACATATTGATGGATACAAGGTTGTGGAAAGCAAATGTATAGGATAAGATGGTAAGGTGTATCTATCACCTTTTAGGTCGTGAGCAAGGAAGACAACAATACATGTCTGGATGGAAAAAGACCTTGCAGCGTCTGTTGGTTAACTTTTTCTTTTTTTGTCAAATTATGGCGGTGGAGGCTGTTGTCACTATGAGGAATGTGTTGCTGGTGCACTATACTTTTAGTTTAGAGCAAAACAGTTGACATACGAAGGGTGAGTGAGAAGGTCTTCCACTGTGCTTATCTTTGAGACCTTGTATGTCTGGGTGGAGGCGTTTATACTCTCCCAAAGAATCATGCAGTGTTTACCTTGAGAGCTTGTTCTTTTAGTTGGAAGAGGAAAAGAGGAACTTGGCAATTAGTCAGAAGATGGAAAGATTATGAATGTTGAGTCGACTGGAAGGGATGACGATATATGTATTTTCAATGATTGAATATCCTATTTACTTCCATTAAATCCATTAGAAGATTTAACTTCGGCTCCATTGTCTTGGTTTTACTGTTGCTCCTAAACTGGTGATTAATTGCATTTGTTTAGTGTACTCATTGGGTTCTGTAAACTTCTTCTGTCACTAACTTGTTCTCATTGCAGATGACAACAGCAATTGCCATTGAGGATGTTCGCCGGGAGGTAAAAATATTGAAGTCATTGTGTGGCCATAAGCACATGATAAGGTTTCATGACGCCTTTGAGGATGCCAATAACGTCTACATTGTTATGGAGTACGTACATGTATTCACTCTTTTACATAAACGGGTCTGTCTTATTATATCAGTTTCTTTGTGGTTAAAGGAAAAATGATTTGACCATTGAGAAAATGTTGCTCAACCCTTAAGATTATCGAGATTAGCTGTCATGCTTATCTTGTATGCTATAAAATGTTTCTAATGTAATCTAAACGTGTTTGTTTGTCAGATTATGTGAAGGTGGAGAACTTCTTGACAGAATTTTGTCGAGGTAATAGCAATTCATATTCCCTCTTTCTATGTGATTAGATAATGTTGCTGAAAATTCTCCATGTTAATTAGAATAGTTTCATGATGCACATGTCAGTTTGCTCCTTTATTTAGGAGGTAATTGGCGCATTGGGTTATGTTTGTATTGTAGGGGTGGGCGGTACACTGAGGAGGATGCAAAAGCCATTGTCATTCAAATTTTAGGTGTAGTTTCCTACTGCCATCTTCAAGGTGTTGTACACCGTGATCTAAAGCCTGAGGTATAACATTATGATTGTATTGTGGGCAGCTATACTCACATATATGGAATTATTCTTTGCTTTCCATTTTGTAGTCTAATTGAATAGAAGTTCATATATAAAGTGTCTTGAAGATCTTCTGTCATGTCTCTTCAATTTTTTATTCTCAGCTTCTAACTGAATACTCTCTCTGACCTTTCGCAGAACTTTCTGTTCACCACTAAAGATGAGGATGCTCCAATGAAGATTATTGATTTTGGCCTCTCTGACTATGTTAGGCCAGGTAAGAGTCGCTATACTCCAAACTACTGTAATCATTGATTGAGATTTCACGTCAAGCAAAACCAATTACAGACCTACAATTTCAGTTCACCGAAACAAACATGAGTTAAGTGTTTGTTGCTTTTCATATCTGTTCGACCCGTTTAAGTGTTAGGCTTAAGTGAAGGGAATAGTAAATCATTTCCATATTAGTGAACTTAGGCAGACAATGATGAACTTTGTAGATGTGTTCAAGCTCCTCAAATTATTTTTTAGTGGTTTGCTGATAAGTGAGTTTGCGTTTGTGATCGAATATTTCATGATTGATTGAATATGCTACTGATTCTGGAGACTTTTTTATTGCATTTCATTTTGTTTTTCAGTAAATTATGTTGGTCTCACGGTTTCTTCAATTTTTGGTGTAGTTGAAGCAACTTGCATACTCTTTTGCTTTTAATTTCACTCAATCGTGGAGACTATTTTTGTGTAAATCCAGGGGTAGTTTGGGGTCTTCTAGCAACTATGTCATCAATACAGTTGAAAGCCCTCTTTGTTGTTGTTTTTTTCTGACAACCAAATCACCCTCCCTTGGATTTCATTCAAGTTCATTGCCTTGGACTGTTATTCTGAAGCAATACACATTTGGGACATTGTCTTGTTTGCAGAACAACGCCTCAATGATATTGTTGGAAGTGCATACTATGTGGCACCTGAAGTGCTCCACCGATCATACAGCGTTGAGGCTGATATGTGGAGTGTTGGTGTGATAACTTACATATTACTATGTGGGAGTAGACCTTTCTGGGCTAGGACTGAATCAGGGATCTTCCGGTCTGTGTTGAGAGCTGATCCTAACTTCAATGACTCTCCTTGGCCCTCAGTTTCACCAGAAGCAAAAGATTTTGTGAAAAGACTTCTGAACAAGGACCACAGAAAAAGAATGACAGCTGCTCAAGCTCTTTGTAAGTAGTTTTGTTATTTATGATTAACACAGAAAAAGCTTCATTACTCTGTTTCCTAGTTTAACTGAATGGTTTACTTGTCTCAAATTTGCAGCTCATCCATGGATAAGAAGTGAAGCCCAAGAGGTGCCATTGGATATTTTTGTGTTCAAGACAGTCAAGTCATATGTTCGTGCCACACCTTTCAGGCGTGCAGCATTGAAGGTAGTTAGTTATATATGCATGAACTTTCAATCGCCATCTTCCAATGCACATGGACATAAGAGACAAGTTGTCTAGGTCATTGTAGCACATGTTTGTTATGAGGTTGTCTACTCTGACATTTCTTTCATGCCTTTTAATACGGTTGCAGGCTCTTTCAAAAGGAATTCCTGAGGATGAACTTGTCTATATGAGAGCTCAATTTGAGCTCCTAGAACCAAAAGATGGACATGTGTCCCTCAACAATTTCAGAGCGGTTAGTGAACGGTTCTGTCATTTTCAGTTTTTTTTTCACATGATTCACAATGTTCAGTGTCAAATCTAGTTCACATGATTGATAGAGAAATATGTAGTGTCGCAATAAAGACGTGCAAGTTTATTTTCTGGTTATGCAGGCATTAACCAGAAATGTGACCGATGCCATGAAGGAGTCGAGAGTTATCGACATTTTACACACAGTGAGTTTAACCCAAGCCAAGAATGTATTGTTACTTTGTACAGTAAAGCATGTTAGAATTTCCTGTGCGAGGCTAACTTTATTACCTTAATTCCATTATCAGCTTGAACCACTATCTTACAAGAAAATGGGGTTTGAAGAATTCTGTGCGGCAGCTATCAGTACATATCAGCTCGAAGCTCATGACGGGTGGGACAAGATAGCTAAAACAGCTTTCGATCACTTCGAACAAGAAGGAAACCGAGTTATATCGGTTCAGGAACTGGCACTGGTAGGCATTCCCTTTAAACAATTCCCTTTACAAACAAACCGTGATCATGCGTGTGTGTCTAAAGAGCGAGAGTTTGCATTGTAACATGCTCTTCGCCAACATGCAGGAAATGAACTTGGGGCCAGCAGCTCATTCGCTGCTCGCAGACTGTATCAGAACCTCGGACGGGAGGTTGAGTTTTCTTGGATATACGAAATTCTTGCGTGGTGTGACTATACGGAGTACGAACACCAGACCCAGATAGAAAGACGGGGTTATTTAGCTGCTAGATTATCTTGATTTGTTTGCCATTATTCTTTTTTTGTTGTGGAGGGGGGGAATACGAGTGTCCTTTCACTTGTAGCTGTTATCCCTGTTCTTCTGTGGAGGTTGTGATAGAGAGCTGAGGAAGAAGAGAAAAGGAAGTCGAGACAGAGATGTGGACATTTTCAAGGCAAAGGCAAGAGCATGATGATTGAAAGTTGAAGCTTTGGTTTCTTCTCTTATTTTTCCTGTTTTTATAGTCATGTTTATGTCGACGAAATGAACAAATTTTGGGAGATGATTATAGTTAATAGCTAACCTGTTTGTAGGAGAAAAAAAAATTTGATGTATTGTTAAATGCAATAATGCACCTTCTGATATTTGGAAATACTGTATTCAGACCTGTTTCTTATATCACTATCACAATTAAGTAGGATGGTAAATGCAATAAAGGACCCAAAAATTACTTCAATTTGATTTTCCACAATAAAATAAATTCAAATACTTTCGAGTCTCGATAATGAAGTTATTTTGCAATTTTCTAGACAAAGAGAATAGATAATCAACACAAAATATGGATGTCTCGAACTTTACACCTTAAGATACAAAAATATTACGACACAATTAACCTAAAACTGGTTTCAATCTGAACAGACAAATGATTCGAGGACTTTGGTTGATGTCAAGTATTTTATTGCTTGTTTTCTGTTGTTTCAAAAAGTTTAGCTCATCCACATTCAGGGATCAATGAGAAAGCCTGATGGTGCAAGCTTACCAAATTTCAACTAATCTTTGATTAATTTATGTAGAGACTAGAAAGGTCTTTGTTTTACACATTCTCGTTATTGTTTTACATATTTCTTGCGAGGAAAGTCAATCTATGTTGTTTCTTAGGGTACATGTGCGGATTAACTAATAAGTATGGGGCATAAATCATTTTGTGTTCACATTCTTTTTTTTTTTTTTTGGATTTTGATCCTGTGTTGCAACAATGATGATTTGTACAATCTTTCGGCGCTTCCGGGAACCCCGTTAGTATACTAAACTATGTTTCCATTCAATTGAGGAGAAAACAGAACAAGGAAATCGACACTATTTGTCTCCTTTTTGCGTCTTCATGTTGCCTCGTGAGGGGGACATAAAAAAAATTAAGATAGATAAGCGGCAAAATACACATAAGGCCCATTGTCCTATAATGGGTTTCGAGTAATTGCCACCCTCCGAGTATTCGAGACTGCATCAACTTTTTATACAATTGATACTGCATGCGTCAATTCAATTTTATTCGAATACTAACTATAGAAGCGTGGACCAAAAAACGATATATTTGTCCAATTACATGCAATCGCAAGCGTCTCGCCCTTCCAAATCACACCCAACAAAAACGACTTATGATTCTTATTTTCGTCGTACCGTAAACTCACAACAAGAGGGTGGAGGCAAGAGTCCAAACATCATCAATCTCATCGAAATGGATGGTCCAATATTTCCTACGGAACCTCTTGTGTTTGCATCGTTCGAACTTCACTTTCATAACAAACAGAAACACCACCGATATGTATTATATAATGTGATGTTAGTGACGACAAAGTCAATAGTCAATAATACTACCTAAGAAATGCGGTAAACAACGACCAGAAAAGCTTCACACGTTTAACCCGAGAGAAGCCCTTTAATTATTTTGTTAACCCATAATTAAAAACATGATTAGTGAGGTAGGGATACCTTAACGTTGAAAACGAGGATAGAGAATGGAACAAATCCCACATGGGTGTATGACTTCTAAAGATTTGACCAAGATATCATTAGAATGAAGGAAAACTTGGGTTAGCAAAAGGGAAGGAAGATGTAATGGAAATGGGTACCTAATTACCTTACCTAGAAGACCAATTCAGCCTTTTAAGGTATTCCAATCTTTATGCAATAACGAATTCGAGAGATCTGATTAAAGTATGATCAATACCCAGAAAGAGTTATAAGCTAGGGAAAAAAAATTTGACCTGACCCGCAATGTGGTGGGTATTATCCAACCCACAATAGCGTGGGGACGGGCATTGGTAACTACTTTCGACCCCGCTTTGCCCCGTTCCGTCCCGTTCTTAACACATTCTATCTCAATTTCTTATATTATCTATACTACATATTTCTCCTATATTGATCTTTCCTCAACTTGTTCGAGTCGATCTTTCAACATTTTATACTCATTTACCCATTCTATTATCACTATTTTTCACTCATAAAGTGTTTTCACATTCGTTTTATCATTAAAAAAAATTTGCATCTTTTTTTTTTTCTTTAAATAACATGTAAAAGTGAGTCGACCCACCCTGCCCCGTACCCATACGGGTTTTACCCGCCCCGACCCAAAGTAGTGTGGGATGAGTCGATGAGACATGAAAATTGAGATACCCGCCTCGCCCCATTGTCATCGCTACTTTTCTGCCTTTGCCGAATCCCCTGCTTTCTGACGGATCCTACAAGGAATAGGGCTGAAAATTGGCCCGACCCGCCCCTGACCCTGTCTGACCCTGAAGGGTCAAGATGTATAACTGACCGGCCCCGACCCTGTTTCTTTCATGACCCTGTTTGACCCTTTAGGGTCGGGGCAGGTCAGGAAGGGTCGGGTCAGTGGGTCGACCCTAATAAATATACTACTTTTCTAAAAATTACAATTTGGTACCCGAATTTATTTTTTCTTACATTTTAGTACCTACATTTTATTTTTTTACAAATAAGTCCCTAAAATTTTATGGTAAAATTACGTTTTGGTACCCAAATTTTTTAATTTTTATAATTTAGTACTTAAACTTATAAAATTTTACAAATAGGTCCAACATGTTTGTATGATGCTATGGGTCATAGGGTCAAAAAGTGACCCGACCCTAAATTGACCCGACCCTATCTGATCCTGACTCGGCCCTAAGCCGACCCTAAATTAACCCTATAGACAAACTGACCCAGCTCGATCCTGAGGGTCGGGGCGGGTCAGTGAGTTTTAAGGGTCAAACTTACACTCCTAACAAGGAAGCAAGAACTGGGCCAGCTGGCCCAAGTTTGCGGTGTCCATGTTCTCCCTGCCTGTATCAGAAGTCAGAACCCATAACATAGGCAGCCTTGATTTGAGGAGTTTCATTACGTGTTTCTATTTGTGAAGTTATGTATCTTTGTACATTGAGCAAAAAGATGCCGTGGGAAACAAAGTCAAGTAGCTAGCACCTAACAAAAGAGACACGTTAAGCATTGTTGTAGTGAGTTACTCGGTCAAAGAACCGGCGGTGGAAGGTTCCTCTTAAGGTTCAACAAGTCGGTTGATTAGGTTCTATTAGTGCAGTTGGATGAATCGAGTCTACCTATTTATAAGCGCCTTATAAATAACTTACAAGCAGTGGCGTAGACAGGATTTTGGGTAAGGAGTGACGGGAACGGATCAGGTCAGTAACCTTATGGTGAGTAACCATGAGTAACCAGCCCACATCAGCATGACATCAGCATTTTCTCTCTCCTGGAAAGCCTTTAATTTTCCCCTCTTTAATATTGACGGACGATTTCTCACTCATTTTAAGTCGAAATTTAATTTTTTTTGCACAGTTAGATCAAATTAATTGTGCTCTTCAAAATGATATTCACTTTAATATATTTTTCGAACAAAAAAATTGAGCCATTTTTTACCAGTATATACCATATGGTATTGACTGGTATCGAAATAAAAGCATATCTATGGTTTGAAAAACGTACCATGGTGTTATGAACAAACCAAGACTGTAGGATGGTTGAATACATGATAGTAGAAGTATATTAATTGTCATTTACGACTTTTAACATTGTATACCACACAATACCACCCCGTACCAGGGTGGTATTGTATGGTATTGTGTGGTATTTTTTGGTCCTGTAATTTGTTCACCCAGAAATTTGTAGATCCAATAGATCATGATGAACTCGTCCCTTCTGTGCAAATGTTTTCAAAAATGAATTAAAAACGAAGAAGATACCATACAATACCACCCCGTACTAGGGTGGTATTGTATGGTATTGTGTGGTATTTTTTGGTCCTGTAATTTGTTCACCCAGAAATTTGTAGATCCAATAGATCATGATGAACTCGTCCCTTCTGTGCAAACTTGTTCAAAAACGAATTAAAAACGAAGAAGATATCATATGGTATGCAGTTGGTACCGAGAGGCAAGAATTTTTTTTCTAAAAAAATATTGAAAATTGTTCTCATTTGGTAGAGCACGATGAACTCGTTCCATCTGTGCAAAAAAAAAATTAAAATCCTAGTTAAAACGAAAAAGATATGAGCCGATTAAGAAAGCTAGGAAACATAAAAATTATCCTTAATTTTCCATCCTTAGATCTGAATTTTCTAAATGAAGGGTCCAGATTTGGTTATTGATGGATGCATAACCCATGGTTATGCACCCTATCTTGAGCCAGGAGTGACAAAGAGAAAGAGGAAAGAAGGAAGATGAAGGGTCGAGGATGGGATTGGGAGAAGCTTGCTTGTTAGGGCTAAAGTTTCGATTACTGCTTGAATAAGCATGTAATTATGAGGTTTTTTAATTTAATTTACTTATTATTTCTAAACGTTAAATTATATATATGCAATAAAACGTATTAGTGTATCACATAAGTAATTGTGGTTTAGTGGAAGATGTCAAAACTAATAGTATGGAGGGTTTCATGTTCAAATCGTAGTAATAGCATAAACTAATACCCCCTATTTTTTTATGTTCTAGCCCCGACCCAAGGGTGTGCCATAGAACACCCTACTTACACTGTGTCTCCGCCCCTGCTTACAAGGGAGAAGTCAAAGTGTGAGTGCTACAGCCATGGAACGCCCTACTTACACTGTGTCTCCGTCCCTGCTTACAAGGGAGAAGTCAAAGTGTGAGTGCTACAGGAAAAGAAGATTGAGGGTTAACATCGTAAAAGCCTAGTTTGACAGAAATTGTAGTTCATCCATCGTAAAATCTTTCAAGTGACGTCCAATATGCTTCAGCGCACAGTTTACATCGTTACACGACATGCTTTGATTCACCTGTGAGTATTAAATGGCTATAAAATGTGGATTTTGATATTCACTGGCCACTATGATTGAAACAACGATCACAACAACCGAAGACAAAAGTAAAGGACCTCCTCGAGGCGCGAGGCTTGTGTGTAATTGTGACGTGCGTTTTACGATCGGGGCATCGTTGAGAAATAGGTTGTCGGCTGTTAAATTTGGTGTACAAGGTTGAAACTGAGGAGGTTAGGGGATGATGCGGTACTTCGGGCCGAGATGGGTACGGCTTGTTGCGGGTTTTTGAAGCCTGTATATTGTAACAACCGTATAAGTTCGATTTATCGATCGATAAAACGAAAAGATTTCTGACACGTATGCATGGCGTACTCTCATTTGAGGTTAGAAGCAAAACTCTGAAACCGTGAGTCACGGTTCAATCTCGTCGACCAGTTTGCCATCTCTAATGGGGGTGGGCGCAGTGGCGGATACATGGACATTTAGGGGTGTCCCGGAATAACGATTATCCAACCCTCGGTTATAGTTTCGTATCGAAAAAAAGTTATAATTGGTAATATGGAACACCCTTAAATTTGAACAAAATATTACACTACTCTCGATAGTAGTTTGTGTAAGATTTAAAAAAATATAAATGGTCGTTTGTGTTATTCGAACCTAGGACACTACTATTATTAAACATATACTCTAGGTTACAACTCATTTCTTGTTCTATTTAAACACTATGAAATAGTAAAAATATTATTCCTTATCCCCAACTATTTTCAAAACCTAACAACTAAACTAAATTACGGGCTATCCTTAACTTGAATTGATTTTATAGTTACACGGCAAGAGTTAAAAGAGTCTTTCAACTTTGAGTTATATAAAGAATAAGGTTAGAAATTGAATATGCGAGCAATTCGTGAAATATTGTCTAGTATGATATATAGATTTGTTGAGCAGTGGCGGCGTCGAGTATATTCTATATTCTTTTCATCATATGAAAACACGTCGTGACCTTTTGTTAAATTTGTACTAGTCATGTATTAGGACACCCTATAAAAAATTTCTGGATCCGCCGCGGGTGGGCCGGGCGTGCGGGGCTAGCAGGATATGAACATGATTGATTTCGATATGGATGCTTTGCTTCAAGTGGAAGGAAAGGGAGACAGATACGGGCCGGGATCTCTGGGGCTTAGGCTTTCGTTTCATGGACCCGAAGTTGCTGGAGATTATTAAGGTAGCGGCTCTTCTTTCTTCACATGTGGCCGGTGACTGTCGCAAATTGTACTGTCTAGTCACTCTCTCTCTCTCTCTCTCTCTCTCTCTACAAACTTACGTAGTACACAGCCAAAGCATAATGCATGGCCCAGCTTCCAACTGAATCTCTCTCTCTCTCTCTCTCTAACTGTCCTCCACCGCTTTTTCATTAACACAGATGAAAGAGCAACTTTGGCTATACAACGAATTAAAGGGCCGAAGCAGGTCTTCTTTTGTCTTCCTTTTTATCGCTTTACCAAACCATAGGATTCGAGAGGAACATATTCCTCCATTGCAGTACTGCACAAATTCAGTCTGTCTAATCCCATTTCTTTGGGGACAACAGTACCAGGTGGAACTGCAAAACGATATATGCCAGCTTGTTCGTTGTTGCTAAATGTGTGCATAACGCGTCCCAAGAAGTTTGCAACTTCCTTCAAGTAATTAGAAAGGTTTGTGTTTTGTGATTCAATGTTGTTATAAACGCGTGCTATTACGGATCGGGAAGTCGTCGGAATCGACAAAGCGAGAATACGAAAGCAAGAATCGAAAAACACGACATACGATTTACGTGGTTCAATAACACGATGTCTGTTAATTAGCCAGTCCACAGGCGAGAGAGAGCCAGTTTTACTATATCGAGCAGATTACAGATTACAGTGGAGTATGAGAAGTATTTATAATACTTCTCCACAGTGGCAGAGCCAGCATTTCAAACCACCCCTGTCCTCTTTTCATAATATAAATATATAAATATTTAATTAAAATGAATTATATCTGCATAATTCATTCAGAATTAAAAATAACCGACTATACAATCATTGTTTTTAACAATCACGGAGAGATTTCATATTGTGAAAGAAACGCAAAAACATTCGTTGTCTACACTATTAAATAAGTCTTTTTCCAATGTATCTCACTAAATTAGAATTAGCAAATTGGTTGCCAAATCGACTTGGAAACTTGTTCTTAATATTACTCAAAGCTGAAAATGCTCTTTTTACATTTGCAGTTGTAATTCGTAGAATCAAAACTAGTGGAATTATCGATGTCGCTAGACAATTTCAGGGTTGTTGTGAAAAAATCGAATAGACATAATGAGATAAAAGAGATTCGATTAGGTCTTTATTGCAATTAGAATTCGTTTATAGTATAATAAATTAATTTTATGTCAATTTATGAATAAGTAATGAGTTGTGCTATAGTGACAAAAATACTCTAATACTACCTATAGGTGTTGTTTTGCACCACCAATATACATATATGTGACAGATTTTTGTTCCTCTGAAATTTACCCCTGTCCCGGGAGTCCAGTGACGGAGCCAGCATTTCAAACCACCCATTTCCTCTTTTCATAATATAAAATATAAATACTTAATTACAATTAATTAGATCTGCATACTTCATTCATAGATTAAAAATAACCGACTATACAATCATTATTTTTAACAACCACGGAGAGATTTCATATTGCGAAAGAAACGCAAAAACATTCATCGTCTACACTATTAAATAATTCTTTTTCAATGTATCTCACTAAATTTGCATTAGCAAATTGGTTGCCAAATCGACTTGGAAACTTGTTCTTAATATAACTCAAAGCTGAAAAATGCTCTTTTTACATTTGAAGTTGTAATTCGTAGAATCAAAACTAGTGGAATTGTTGATGTCGCTAGACAATTACAGGGTTGTTGGGAAAAAATCGAATAGGCATAAGGATAAAATAGATCCAATTAGGTCTTTATTGCAATTAGAATTCGTTTATAATATAATTAATTAATTTTATGTCAATTTATGAATAAGTAATTAGTTGTACTGTAGTGACGCAAATATTATTATAACCTTTGAAACTGGGATACCCAACCAACCTAACCCCATTTCCGATTTGCCATTAATCAACCACTAAATATTATTATTAACCTTTCTTCATGATGATGTTGGGTGACTCCGGCCACCATGCGCACAACGGCACCAAATCAAGTGCTTGCAATTGGCAAAATTTTGTATCTTTCGAGGGTTTTGTATATTTTGTATTTAATTGTGTTCTTTCTAGGATACTTATACAAAAAAATTGATATGTAAAGATAGACCACTTATATTCTTGATAATTAGTTATGATTAGATTGTCATCTATTGGGTTTGGCTTAGTGGAAGACACATCATCATTGTTGTTAGCCATTTATAATTATTAGATGGGGTACCATGGATTAGATAATTAATGCTTGACTGCTGAAAATGGGTCTCTCCAAGGTAGGAATTTTGTTGCCGATGTGTTCATATTTTCCAAACTGGAATTCTTGTGTTATTGGATGGAAGACAGCCAAATATGATGTTGCAACAACTACAGAGAATTTCATAAGTAAATGTATTAATTTGAAAGGCTAATTTCATAATAATAAAAAACTACCGATGCTCGTGAACAATGTGATAATCAGCAACAAAATTAGTTTCTCTCGTGGGTACCAAGAAAGTCGATTGTCCGCGATATCAATAAGATGCAGTGCGCAAATAAGTAATCAGTCTCGACGAGAACCCAACTAGATTTCATTTCTCTAAAAGAATCTTCAACCTCATACATGCACAATCGTTATCGATTCATCATCTCGTATAGTGATATGTTGATGTCGCCACCTGAATCGGTCTCAACCTCTTGTGAATTGGCCAGTTGCTCCACTTGCAACTTTAAATCAAAACCTTCCATCAATGTTTGTTAGAAAAAATCATCCTAATCATGTAATTTTATAAAAAAGAAGCAAAATTGAAGGAGCAAGGGAATGGAATGTGACATTTAAAGGAGGGGGAAAAAGGCCCCAACCAAGCAAACGCAACCATACAATCAAAGAGCAAGCATGAAGCAAGGTTGAAGGCGTTGGGCGTTTGGCCCTTTCCTTCTCCATCCATCCAACAACAACAAGAAACCCCTCCAATAAGCCCAAAAGGCAAAACGTACAATCCCAACTTGGCACAACTACTTTTCTCCCACTTACAAGAAAGTTGGAAGATTACTTGGCCACTCCACCCCAAATTGCATCAACAAAGTCATTAAAAAGAGAAAAAGGCAAAAAGCTCGATCTTAAACAGCTATCGATTCGTCGAATACTAGCACAACTACATGAAAACCAAACAAATTCATACGAGCAAACAATTTGAGGACATCTAGCTCGTGTACATCAAACATATGTCGCAATTGATCACAACCCACACATTTTTCTTCTTACCCTTTTTTATTGATACATTAATAGCAATTCGTATTACACAATTAAATCAATTTATAATAACAACATAACAATCAAATGTATGTATATCGTTGAACCACACAAAATACAATGTGTATCAATGGCGAATCCAATCCAATCGAATCAAACCCTAAAGCACGAGAGCTGGCTGTGGTGGTGGTGGTGGCCGTGATGATGATGGAGGTTGTTGTTGGTTTCCCGGTCGATCAAGCCCTGGATGTTGCGGAACTCCTCCACGTGGCAAGGGATGGTGATCGGCCCTTTGTGGTAGTGGAAATCGAACTCCTCCTCCGCCGATTTCAGCAGCCTCAGGAACAGCGGGTGGTTGATGTAGATCACCGGAACCACGAACCTCTGCTGCTCCTCCCCTTCCTCCCCCACCATAACCGCCACCCTCCCCTTCTTCGCCGCCCCGCCGCCGAACAGATCCAGGTGCGGGAAGTGGATCTGGAAGTGGTGGTGGTGGTGCTTTCCCCCTCCCCCGTGGCCGCCGCCGCCGTCGGCGGCGGCTGGTGGAATCGTCTGTGTTATGCTCTCCTCTGACGCGACGCTACTGCTCCCCATATTAGCCGAAAATCCGAAACGTAATATGTGTAAAGGAAACTGAAATTAAGAAGCTAGCGGCGGTGGACGGTGGTGGCTGGGGATTATAAGAGGGAGACAGCGGAGAAAGGCCAGGGATCGGAGGAAGAGATGGCGAGGTTGAAGAGGGTGAGAGCTGAGTCTGTGAGGGAGGTCGGAATGTTGCTCATTCTAATTGCTCCTTTCGCATATAAAGCAGAGATGAAACCAACTGAAAATTGAGGGAAGAAATCTCTGGTTCTGGGCTGAGGATGGAGATGAAGAGGGAAGGGGAAAGTAAATTGCAATGGCGGTATGCGGTATTTATAGTGGGGAATTAGAATTAGGGATTTTTATCAGGAGGGAGCGTATTGGGGAAGGTAATTAATTAAAGAGGGATTAGTGGATTGCTTAAAGCTTGAATTACACAAAATGAGGGGGAGAAGGCGCGTGGGGTGGGGTCGGCTTGCTTGCTTAGCTGGCTCACGGAACCAGTCGTGAAATTCGCGTGAGTCAGGAAATCAAACTAATGATAATCAATTAATTAATTGATTAATTAACGAGATTTGTAGATTAATTAAGAACAAAGCGTCCATTTGGAAGCAAGCAACACGGTTTCACAGTTGACATGGGCCTCTTGGGCCTAAGGGATAAAGGCCCGCACAAACAGAAAAAAAGATGGGGGTTGGAAATTGGGCCTGTGCGCACATGGGCTTTCTACCTTTTCCACTGGGACTAAGCTGGGCTTCCGCAACTTCTTCGAGATGTCACCAATTGCTGCTCTGACAAGTCAGCAGTAGGTGCCAGTATCCAGCTTCTGGGAGGGCTATCGGCGAGAACCCTCTTTTGGGCCCCACCAACCCATCTCCATTTCGGAGTGGGCTTGTTTCATCCCCGAGCCCTGGACTCGGGGGTATTCAGCTGAACCGTTCACGAAACTTCACGAACGGCCGATTCAGTAGGGCCCGTCCATTGACGGCCCAAATTTCCTCTCCCAGCGTTACGGCACACTTTCACCGAATCGTCGGCGAAACGACACCACAAGAAGTACTAGGCTGGCCCATCATAGCCCAAAGGTTAAGGCAGAACTGGCCCGGCCCAACTTCCTTCACACCATCTTAATGCCCCCACTTGGGTCACAGGTTTTCGTTAAGCAACCCGGCACTCGATGAATTGAGAAATAGGGTTAATATCCAACTTTGTATTCCCATTCTCCACCGATGTGGGAATTTGGCGCCAGTACCAGGGCATACCCTCCTCTTCTTTATTCATCATCATATACATACATATTACAATATTACATTATGTGTCTTGAAGATAATCAGACGAAGATTGGAAATCAATATCTTGTATGAATTCGGTGAAATTAACAGAGACTTTATGCTTTTAAATCGAACTCGTCTGATCAAATCATATAATGTTTTAGACTTTACAAAATACGAATAACATGTAGAGTGTAGAACTCGAGTGACATCAAACAACTCACAAACGGATGAAAAAACAGGTTATGTATGGTACGAGATCACACGAAACGTGTGTTTCACAAGTGAGGTGTTTAACTCGTTTACTTGTTACAAATCTTACTTCACTTAGTTCTTTTTACAAATCTTACTTCACTTAGTTCTGTTTCTAAAAAAAAAAAAAAAAAAAAAAAAAATTGAACATACAAGATCTTCATGCGTGAAAGTGAAACTTGCATTTGAATCATCCGTCAAAACCTTGGATATGCTGAGAATGAGATCGGGACATGACAAAGTCATCTATCATATTGAAAATTCGAAGGCTACAAGAATTCGAAAGCTACAAGGATGACAATGGACGTTTTACAAAAATCACAAATTCAACCTCGATATAACTTCAACAATTTCACGTTTCACAACTTTTTCTTGTGCTTACAATTGAGTTGTTCAATGATCGTAAGCTAATAACTTTTCAAGAACAACAAACCATTTCTCACATTATTCCACGAACAAGAACGAAAAACAGAAACAAAAAGGCCTTCAGAGAGTACAATAGAGTAAACGCATTCTTCTACTACTACTACTGCAATCGTCACAAAAGCAAGCCAGTAACTCCTTATCTGACACGGATACACATTCCAAAAACTAACACCCTCTGCCCAAAACGTTGGAACGAGACTTCCATGGCAGCAAACAACGACGAGGTTAACCATTACCCTTCACATCGTGATCACATGGTGATGAAGGCTAGCAGCAGCAGAAGTCGATCTTTCCACCATCTTCCTCCGCTCGTAATTGGGATCGTCAGTAGGCAATTCATGCCTACAAACTGGGCAAGTGTTCCTGATATTAAGCCAAGGCACAATGCAGTCCTCATGATACCAGTGCGAGCAAGGCAGCAGCTTCGCTTTCTCCCCAGCACTCATGTCGTCCTTACAGACAGCACATGTCGAGTTATCACTCCCAGCATCTTCTTTGGTCACCACCACCGAGGGAAGCCTCTCGACCACCAATCTCGAAGCAGGGGGCTGACCTGTCGTAAGCACGGTGTCCATCTCAGCAAACTGCCCAAACACCGTCTCGTAGTCTGCTGTGTAGATATAGTCGTCGTCGTGACCATGACCACCGCCACCACCAAAGTATCGAGCTGCTTGATCTGGGTCTGGAAGTGGTCCCAAGTTAGTGGCATCCAGCAAGACCTCCCACTCGAGATTCCCCGAACCGACCACCCTGTCCACACTAACCATATCCCCGGGAGAAATGGTTGGAGAGATTGAGAATGATACAGAGGCCTCATCATCATCATCGTCCTCCTCCTCCTCTTCCAGAAACATGCTTAGGACCTCTCTTTCATCCACATGGCCATCAACTTCCTCCCACTCAAAATCTCCATTCTCGTGATCTCTTTGATCCTCCAAGGAAAGTGAGTTCCAACGCAAGGGAATCGTAATGCTCGCATCATCATCACCAAAAACATCGCCTTCTCCATTGCCATAATCATAGTGACCGCTTTCCACATGCACATCATCATCCAATCCATATTCGTCAGGAGAACCAAAATCTAGAGCTAGCAGAGAGTTCTCATTCTCCTCCGACTCTGAATCCGAGTGAAACCCAACAACCCGAGATTCAAGCCCAGAAACCCTCCTGTTGATGAAGAACATGTCGTCTTCGATAATATCATCAAGAACAGTATTGCAATGATACTCAATGTTACTGGTATCATCATTGGCGTATACATCCTGGAACCCCCCAAAATAATCGCGCGTGCCTAGACCAAACCCTAACCCTAAATCGAGTTCTAAGCTCCTGATGGCATTATGATCGTCTTCTTCGCCAATAACACCAAATGCGGATTCATTCAGGGCCTCGGAAACCAAATGTGAATCGAGGCCCATTACCTGAGACTGTTCCACTCGCTGATGAATCAAATCCATGACGAAACGCACCTGATTCTCGCAGTCGAAGATGTCCGGGCCGTTCAGGATAACGGAATCGGCATCGGAAAGAGCATCGTCATTGCTAGAATTTCTATAAGAAAGACACACAAGCAACGCTATATCAGGGAGGCAAACAAGGAGAAACAAAACGATGAAAAAGAAAAACCCCCCCACAGCTTCCTGCACCGACCGAGTTATACCTTTCCTGGCCGATTTGACTCAGCGAGTCGAACACCAAATCCTCGAGCCTCGGCCGGAGAAGCGTCTTGTAACTACTCATCGCTCGATTGCCGGGGGGATCTGCGATTTCCTGTGCCTCTCGCTTCGCCGGCCTCCTAACCAATCGCGTGCCAACATACGGTTTCCCGAATGCGCGGTTTAGCGGGATACCGCACCGATTTACTCCAATTCCATTCTCTCTCTCTCCCCTGTCCCTGAGCAGTTCTCTCGTCGCCGTTGTTTCCGCCGCCGGATCTTCCGGCACGAGATCGATCTGTTCCCGTCGCTCCCTCTGTCTCTCGCTTTTGCGATGAATTCAAAAGCAACCGCGGTCGCCGGCGAAAGTATTCTCTGAGAATGAAGAGCAGACCAGGCCAGGCTTCTCGTTCCCTGTTTTTCCCCTTTTAGATAAAACCAGCATCCTATTTTTAAATTGATTATTATTATTTTGGCACAATTACCTTTTCAACCCCCAAACCGGGCCCAAAATAATCAATCCCAAATCCGGCCCAAACGTGAACGGATGCATTGCATAGTGGGCCGATATAAGCACATGATTAGAAAGAGAAAAAAAAAGGGAAAAAGAATTGTGAAGAGGAAGCGGAAGCGTGTGTTAGGCGGGAGTCCTGCCGACGTGGCAAGCCGTTAGCCCGTGGAAAGCAATGGGCGGGAAGTACAAACCCGCCACGTGTGCGCTGACGTGTGCGTAACAGAAATTTGACTACCAACTGCCACGAGCCATCACTGAGTCCTGGCCACTTCCGCCCCACACAATCCCACTAAAGATTCAATTTTTATCTCCCAAACAGAAATCAAATCCCATCTGTTGTGATCAGGATTCAGGAGGATAGTATTTCAGTGGGGGATTTCTTCAATCGGAAAAACGCCGAATTCCAATCCTCTGTTTCTGTTGGGGGGTTCAGGGTTTTAGGCTCGTCGTCGTCCTTTTTTTTTTTTCTCTCTGGTTCGTTTTTGCAATGGGCGACGGTGAGGGGGAAAGGAAGGAGATTGAGATGGCTGCAGAGAGGGCTGAAACAAGAGGAGCCCAGAACTGGGAGGAAGAGTGGGAGGAGAATTCGGAAGAAACAGGGGAGCAGGAATTCAAGAGGATTCCGCCGTGGACGAAGCAATTCACGGTGAGAGGGATAGTGGCGAGCGTGGCGATCGGGTTTATCTACGTGGTGATCGTGATGAAGCTGATTCTCACAACTGGGATTGTCCCGACGTTGAACGTCTCCGCCGCGCTGTTGGCCTACGTGTTCGTCACCACTTGGACAAAGCTTCTGAAGAAGGCCGGATTCGTCACCGCTCCCTTCACCAGGCAGGAGAATACCTTGATTCAGACCTGCGCCGTGGCTTGTTACAGCATGGATTTTGGAGGTTTGGGATTTTAACCTTTTTCTCATTACAGAACTTTGAATTCAGTTTTCATATGAGCAAGTTACTGCAGATGGTTTTGTAACAATGGCAATTTGATTATGCAGGTGGGTTTGGGTCTTACCTTCTGGGTTTGAACAGGAAGACGTACGAGTTATCTGGGGTTGATTCAGCGGGGAACAATCCGCGGAGCGTAAAGGAACCGGGTATTGGATGGATGATTGGTTTTCTCTTTGTGAGCAGCTTTGCTGGTCTGCTTGCCCTGGTTCCTCTCAGGAAGGTAGAGAGATACCCTTTTTTCTTCTTGCCTTTTTTCTTCTTGTTTAGTGATCGAGTCTTGATGAAGTAGCTTCCTGTTGAATTGAATAAGCAATTTGATCTGATGAATTGGGATGGTTTTGATTGGTGTCAGATTATGATAATAGACTACAAACTGAGCTATCCAAGTGGAACAGCTACTGGTGTACTCATCAATGGATTCCACACCCGAAAGGGACACAAGATGGCCAGGCAAGTAAATCATTACTCTTGCTTTTGGTTCGGTTTCTTACCAACTGATCAGCAAAAACCAAGATTTGTGATTTTAGTTTGAAATGGCTCGATTCAGCTTTGGGGTGTTTTGTAATGCAGGAAACAAGTCCAAGCTTTCACCAAGTACTTTTCTATAAGCTTCATATGGGCTTTCTTCCAGTGGTTCTTCTCCGGTGGACCCAAAGATCAGAGCAAGAATTGTGGTTTTGTGCAGTTCCCAACATTTGGATTGGCTGCTTGGAAAAACTCGTAAGTGCTAAAGCTAGCTCCTGGAGAACTCACATTGTGCATACTTGAGTTGAATTTGAACCTCTTTTTTCACTAGGTTATGTTGGTGTTCAGTACAAATGTACAATGTGCTCTTTATTGATCGATGAATTGGAACTTTCTTGCAGATTCTACTTTGATTTCAGCATGACTTATGTCGGAGCTGGAATGATATGCTCCCATCTCGTCAATTTCTCGTTGCTGTTTGGCGCGGTGCTCTCCTACGGGGTAATGTGGCCGTTGATCGATGGACTTAAGGGAAACTGGTTTCCTTCTACACTGCCTGAAAGCAGTATGAAGAGTCTCAATGGCTACAAGGTCCTCAATCCAAACATATTATCTGCTGCTGTTGCCCTTGTTTTCATTCATAAACTCTTGGTGATGATGATGATGAAAGCGATCTTGTGGTTTTGTTCAGGTTTTCATTTCATTCGCTTTAATCCTCGGGGATGGGCTCTACAATCTTCTCAAGATACTCTGCTGCACAGTTGCTAACCTTCATACTGGTGCAAGGGAGAGAAGAAACCTGAAAATTGGTAAGTAATAGAGTCCATGTTCTTATCTCTCAAAAGGCTGTTTACAAACCAGGACACATCACTGATGTTAAAAATCTTAGTCCATGCATCTGCAGATTCCAACGACCGGAATCAGCCTCCATCCGAAAACCTTCGAAGAAACGAAGTGTTCATGAGGGAGACGATTCCGATTTGGATAGCCTGTGTGGGTTACCTCGCCTTCTCCGCCGTTTCAATCGTCATCATCCCCCTCATGTTCCCTCAACTGAAATGGTACTACGTGGTAATTTCCTACATTCTCGCCCCGGCTCTTAGCTTCTGCAATGCATATGGCGCTGGGCTAACCGACATGAACATGGCCTACAACTATGGCAAAGTGGCGCTCTTCGTCCTTGCAGCCTTATCTGGGGAAGAAAATGGCGTCGTTGCAGGGCTCGTGGGGTGCGGACTGATCAAGTCGATCGTGTCAATCTCTTCTGATCTAATGCACGATTTGAAGACCGGCCATCTCACTCTGACTTCCCCACGATCCATGCTTGTTAGCCAAGCCATTGGTACCGCCATAGGTTGCGTGGTAGCTCCACTCACGTTCTTCCTCTTCTACAAGGCATTTGATGTCGGGAACCCCCAAACCGAGTACAAGGCTCCCTATGCTCTCATCTACAGGAACATGGCGATCCTCGGAGTGGAAGGCTTCTCCGCCCTACCTCAGCACTGCCTGCAGCTCTGCTACGGGTTCTTCGCATTTGCTATAGCAGCCAACTTGTCGAGAGACTTGCTGCCGAAGAAAGTAGGGAAATGGATCCCGCTCCCCATGGCAATGGCTGTGCCTTTCCTCGTAGGAGCGTACTTCGCAGTCGACATGTGTGTGGGGAGCCTGGTCGTTTTCGTTTGGCATAAATTGAACAGTAGTAAGGCTTGCTCGATGGTCCCTGCAGTGGCTTCCGGGTTGATTTGTGGAGATGGGTTGTGGATTCTGCCCTCGTCGATCCTTGCTCTGGCGAAAGTGAAGCCTCCCATTTGCATGAGCTTCTTCAAAAGCTCGTAGATTGTAAAGATTTTAGGATGGTAATACTTTTTTCGGCTTCTTTTAACACAGGAAGAACAGAGATTCAGAAGAATTCTAGGTCAAGTAGCTTCATTGCTTGGTAATGACTGTACAATGTTCTTATTCTTTTCCATTTTTCCATTGCAAATATGATAAGAGGAGATCAAGAAAGTATCTAAGCTGGTAATCTCAAACAGAATAAACAGAGTAACAATGGCGACAAACCAACCCAAAAAAAAAAAAACGCAGGTAATCAAGAAAGAAGAAATTAAATGAACACTAAGAACTTGCAAAAATGGCGCCTTCTAACTCAGACTGTAACAAGGGGGAGAATTGACATACACATTTTCTTTTTCTTGTTATATAATCAAAATTCAACACACATGAAAAAGCTTTCTCTGTGTATTGTATACTCATTCATATAACCAAAACAATTAGTCAATTACCCATTTTTTCCCTTTCCCAGCTCTCTCACTATGATTTGATGCTTACAACTGTACACTACGACTACTCCCACCCGCCGTCGTTTCTTCCGTCGCCGCAGCGACCACCACCACGGCTTTCTCCTCCTCCTCCTCCGTCCGAAAAACCACCGCGGCCTGACTCGAACCCAACTGAATCACCTTGCCGGAGCCCAATTGAATCTCCTGATCTGCAGCCAAGGAATCGGCGATCGGCCGAATCACCATGACGCCCTCCCCAGCCGCGGCCATGACGAACGCGGCGAGGAAGATGACGAGGGACAGCACGGCGTACGGCTCGTCCCGCGGCGTCCACAGTACGGAGAAGCCGAGGCAGACGAGCTGCAGAGGCAGAGCAACCATCACGACGAGGGTCAATCCGTAGAGCCGAAACCTCAGCCCCTGATTGATGACCAGAGTCAGCGCCTTGAAGCACGAGATCGAGAACGCCGAGAGGTACCAGACGACGAACGCCCCGAAGACGACGCAGCTCATCAGCGGGTAGAGGCAGAGCACGGCGTCGTTTCCGGCGGCGATGGGGATCTTGTTGTTGTTGGGGGAAAGGACGGTGCGCGGGAGGAGGTAGCTCCGATTGAAGAAGGGCGGGAGGCGGAAGAGGCCGGAGGAGGCGCCGAAGATGAAGACGAGCTGGAGGAGGAGCGCCGGCAGGCAGGTGGCGGAGATGGAGAGGACGGCGCGGGATCCGCGCGGCGTGCTCTTCTTGACGGAGATTTTGACGAGGTAGAGCAAGGCGACGAGGAACCCGGGCTGGAAGAGGCCGAGATTGAGGGAGACGTGGAGGCGGCAGAGGCAGATCTGCTGCGGGATCGTTAGGGATTTGGGGAGGTAGTGGCGGCGGAAGGACGGAATCACGAGGAGCTCGGTGAAGGCCCAGAGGGAGACGAAGAGGACCAGGACAGATCTGACGGTCCAGAGGGAATTGAAGCTCCGGAGGTGGTGGCCGCCGGCGGCGGCGGTGGAGGATTTGAGGTGGAGGTGGAGGATGAGGAGGAGGGAGACGAGGGAGAGGAGGAGGATGGCGAAGATTGAGAAGAGGGCGACCAGATCCGCGAGGAATTGGAGGAATGGCGGTGGAGGAGGGTTGTCTACCATGGCATTTGTGAGCTCGATTCGAGAATTTGATTTTTTCTATTCTTTAGAATGTCAATCTCAAACTCTCCCCCATTTGTGGTGGCGGCGATGGTGATTGCCAGGAGGAGTACGACGATGATGGAGATTGGGGTTTGGGTAAAGGCGTAGAAATGTAATGAGATGAGATGGTTTCATGTCACGGCGGTGGTGGTGGCCGGAGGAGGAGGAGGTAGAAGGGAGATGAGATGTTCTCTTCCTTTGTTTTTGTGCTGTCTCTTCTCTCCCTCCACCCAATTCTCCGGCCGGCGGCGGGTTCCTGCTGGTATACCGTTAATTAGAAGAGAAAACAGAGGAAGAGAAAGAATAGATATATTTTTTTTCGTTTTTTATTTTTTGAGGAGAGGAATTGGTTAGTGGCCAGTGGGAATGTGGGCTTTGTTTTCGGGACTAAAACGGAACCCGATTTGCATCTTTAACGGTGTAATTAATAATTTGATTTGATTTATTAATGCACCTAATTGCTGTAAGTGGAACTTAATGAGGATCAGTTATTACTTATTAGTCAAATAAATGAACCAGGACTAATTACAATTAGTTGGAGGAATCTCATCCCCAATTCCGAAAGCGTGTATTGCGGGTCTTCCATGGCCCGCCGTGGCATAGTGGGTAATGTTGGTATGTGGGCTACAAATACTCCAAGGCCTGATCGGTGTTGGGCTTACATTTTCCGTATTCGGCCCAATATTTTTGTTTTTGTTGGTGGAACTTGTAGGCTACGTTTGATTTTGGGGCTTCCAACCTAATTTTTGTAAATGGTTTAGATGAGTCATTTGTTCAGATTTTTGCTTTAGTGGTTACAACAATTTGAATTGTTTCAACCTTTCCAAAAACGAGTCATTTGACCACGTTTTCTAAATGCAACATTCCAAATCTACCTACAAAAAGCAAAACAACATCACGAATCTATCATCGCGGTAGTTAAATTTAAGCTGGTCATGTGACCGAGTTATGAATACATTTGTATCTGCTTCAGCTCAACAGACTCAAATTGATGGTTTCGACCGAATATTCGGTCCGTCTTCGACACGACAACGTTTTGCTACCTGTTGTTGTTACAAAGTATTACTTCGTGAGAATTTGTATCGTTCTTGCTAGATATAAGCATTCAAAACTCGACAAACTCGAATTGATCGAACCAGAATTCATTTGCAACCGAATCATTTATTTATTATGCAGTATCTGTCTGCTGGCTGTAGGCTGCTTACACCCAGCTATATATGGCCCCGACCCCTCCACTTCACAGTACACTAAATCCGCCATCTCTTCTTGCTCCAACCCTACCCTTCTTTATACTTTCTTCTGCTGGGTCTCCACTTTTTCTATGAAGATCTGAGGAGAGAAAAACGATGGAGGAGAAAGAAGGAAAGAAAGAAGCTTGGGTTTTGTGGGGAAAGTTGTCTGGTCCAAGGCTAGCTCAGCTGTGTTGCATATATATAATTAGCTGATCTGCAAATTTATGTAAATGGGTACTATAGTCCTCGGACCAGGCTTCATTCCCCTCAATCACTCTGCCTTCCCCTGTTTTGCCACCTCCTCCATCGCCATTGTTGTTCTCTCTTGTCATTAGAGAAATGGGTTGGCGTCTGAGATGGTGTTTGGTGATTTAGAAGCAAAAGGTTGATTGGTACAATGATGGAGCATTTTTTTTTTTTTGACTATCTACCATTACAGACACCAAGTTTCTGTTTCCCTCTCGTTGTTATCATCATTGCTTTAAGTTTTGTTCTTGTAATGTCAAGCCAACAGTTCCCATTTCTTTTATTTTTTTTAGTATGAATCTATGTCTCTCTCTTCTATTCCCTGCTGTGAAGTGAACTAGGGTTTTCTGCTGCACTTCTTTCTTTTAAGTTGTACGAGGAATTGTGAAACCGTATCAAAAGTTAGTACGAGGAATTTAGCAATTAGGTATCCGTGATTTAACAAACACTAACATACACTAGCAAAAAGGCCAAGACAGACGGACACAGATTACATTACATATAATACAATTGCTTGATGTCTTATAATAATGGGGGGTGTTAGTGGGAGTGGTTGGATTCTGCTGCACAGTAAACTATACAAACGACGACAACAGTACTCTCTCTGACATTTTACCAAGCTTTTACCAAAACAAAAATGAATTGTATGTTTAAGTATATAGATTGTTTATTAATGACTAGTCAGACTGTGGAGGGTACCAATCTAATTAATTACTGATTCTAAAACAATACCACTAACTAAAGATTAATTAATAATTGATGAAGAGAATCCATTTCTCTGACATGAAAGTTCCAAGGCAAGTGGCCGAGGAGGGACAATATTCCAGTAAAGGCTTGAACCCATCTTCTCCTTGATGTTTCTTCTATGAAAAGATAGGCATCTTTTTGCTACTGCAATTTTTTCACAAAGCTATATATATATTCTTCAGTTTGATGTGCAAAAGCTCCGGTAGAATCAGATTCATCATATATTCTTTGGTCCTCTTATTCGCGCGAGATTCTAAAGACTATAAGCTGTTAGATGTATTCTTAATTTGAAGAACGATCTACTATATAATGCCGCTCATGTAGTTCATAGCCAGGAATATGAAGCTTCTCCTCTTGCAAAATTACTAGAGAAGCTAGTGGAAACAGGGAATTGATACACACACTACAAATTGATTTATCGGTTGATTCGTCTAGTATTGACCTAGAGCTCGTTTCAACGGCTACTACTACGAAGTGGCGGAGCTGTGCATAATGGAGGGGGGGGTGCATGCAGCCCCCTTGGCTGTGGGGGAAAAAAACTAAGCATATATGGTGAGTACTACGGAGAGAATATTTTCAGCAATGAAACATGTGACACCATTTAACCACTATTTAACAACTCTACTATGTCCTGGATCCGCCGCACGCTCCCTGAACATAAAGATACTATGTGAAATCTATACTTGGGGTAAACTTGAATTTGATAGAATTTCTGCTGTCTTCGTGCATATTGAATCCAGTGTGGGGAGCTTTAGCACATAGAACTTTGCGCGCGAGCGAGGAGGTTACGTATACGAGCAACCAAATAGTAATTTTCATGGCAGTGGAAAGGTTCTTCAATTTCGCTCCCATGGCACTCATCTCACTCTTTCTCCTCTTAGGTATTCGCTTTTTGTCTCATACATCTCCATTATACATACACAATTACACGCACATTTTCTCCTGCAGGATACATAGATCTTCTTCCTTTCCATATCTCCTGAAGAAAAAGCCTGGAGAGAGAGAGAGAGAGAGCAGAATCTGCAGTAGCTAGCTAGCTAGTTGGTCTCTCGGCTATTTCAGGGGCAACAACAATGGCGAACTTTCGAGTTGCAGGTGTTGGGTTCTTCACCAACAGACCCAAAAAAAAAAAACGTCTCTGGCAGCTTAGATCATCGTCGTCAGCCTAGATACTGAGTGTAAGAAATCTAATCTACAGATCTATATATCTCTCCGCTAAATTTGATTTCCCGGCGGGCCAGCTGCTGCTCTGCTGCAGCCCCAAAATGTCTCCTGTATTTGTTTGATATTTCTATCTAACTCCCTTTTATCCTCCATTAATATATAGTAGAGTTTTGTATATTTTTCTCCATTCCAAATTTATTATATTTGTCTTTACACATTTATTATTTATTTCATATAAAAATAGCAATATCAAGATTTGAACCCGGTTCTCTTCAAACAAAGATAACAATCACAACCAGTTACACTAAACAAATTTAATGCATCCATTTTTATACAAAAAATAGACAAAGTTAATCTCTGAAAATCAGAGGACTTTTTCATCATAATTAGCAAGCTCAGTAAGTCTATCGTATGTATTTTTATCGAGCTTGATACTTCTATTTTCATAGTAGAGTTTCATGTAATTTTCTCAATTTTAAATTCTCGCTCTCTCCTTAATTTTTGCTAAAGGTAAATGGGTAATTGGCCAACATGGAAGAAACTAATTATGTAACTACTGTTGTATCCTTGCATTTTTCAATTTAAATTTTGTGTTTTTTTTTTATCTTTGTTCTTTTCTCTTTCTAACTTCCTCCGAAATTTCATCCATCGTGCAATAGTTTGCGCCTTTCACTTCCCAGTACAGGACTGTCATTGTAAATCAATCTTCAGGTATCTCTTGGCACTACGGTTTTATTGTTGGGGATTTTAAGCTGGGCGAGTAGAAGATTTCAACTCCTATATCAATTCATGGCGAATAGAATGGAGTTCATCAATAACTGAAGTTGTAGAAGGAAGATTAGAAATTGAATTTTTGGTTGAATATATGCCTCTTGAGATAGAAATTTGGTTGTACAACGGAGAGTGGTAGCTATTGGATCTTTAGATTTATGGTTTTTGCAACTGTCATAACTTATTTCTATCTTAAAACGAGGAATCATTGATTGATTGTTTGAAATAGGTCGCTTCTTTATTCAACCTACTGGAACTAATAGATAAGGAGTGTCTAATTTTGCGCCTTATTACTTTGATCGAGTCTATTCGTATATTGGAGATAACCCTGATTTTTTCGTTTGCTCTCAAGTTGTGATGGTCCCCTCTTAGCTGAGTTTTTAGTATATAGATGACTTGAATCAACAACTCTTCATTTCTTTTTGATTAGTGACATATTTTTTCTAAAAGGAGAGCATTGAACCCTTTATATAGGATTGTGAGGTTTAAGATTTAGTTTCAAACTATCTATGGGTTGTGTGAGAATTTCAGTGAGCTTTTATACTCTATATTTCTTGACTGTCAAAGAAAACTAACCAATAGCATTTTAACAGGGACTTAATTAGCATTATGAAAATGGGGTCAATGATACATTTTTATATTTTATATTCTTAAATGATTATGATATTTCTCTGAATGTTCGACCTATATATTATTTCTTATGTATCATCTTCGATCGAATGATTATCAATAGGATTAAACGGGTTAATAGACTAAAAAGTAACATAAAAATACAAATAATCAAATATGAGCATTCCGGCCAAAGGGCCGGGTTATAAGCTAGTTTTCCAAAAACCAGTGAATATTTTACTGAATTTTACGAATAGGAATGGTAATGGGAAAGTTCCGGGACGGGGTTTTTTTTTTACCCAGACCCGTTCCGTGGCAGGTCAGATTCAGGTCGGGTAATTTATAACAGGTCATGAGTCGGGGCAGATCGACCTAATAAGTATACAATTTATATGAAAAACATTAGAAATATTTGTTATTTTTATTATAAGACCATGAAAACAAACAATATTATGATAAATCTAGTTAAATTATTAGAGAAATTGGGTTTTCACTAAATTACAACTTTACTATAGCTAAATTATAATGTAACAAAAGAAAAATTCTAAGTAATTCGACAAAAAAATATATGTAATTTAAGCAAGAACAGGTTGAGAATGGGGTGGGTCAGGACAGGTCAGGTCGATGAAAATACTAATTCCCGCCCCAAAACAGGCCAAATAAAACGAGTAAAACGAGTCAACTCAAAATTGCCATGCATTCGCTTAATTTGGGTCTTGGGATAGAGAAAAACCTGACCCATTGAGTTGCACTGCAAATTGAATGCTGGGCCTCACCCAGCAGCCTCAGTTGAAGAATTGCCCAAGGTGGATAGTGGGCTTAGACTAACTCCAACCCTTGCTTGCAAATTTGGAGAAAGTGAATATTTTGCCTTTTTTCATCTCCAACCCATCAAAAATTTAGCTTCCAAATTTGGAGATTGGAGTGTTGGGGTGGATAGGTAGCAGCTGGAAGGGGGAAAGGGGGGCAAATATAGCAGCTGGAACTTCCTCCCCCGCGCGTGCGGCCCAGGCGCGCCTCCCGCGGTTGGGCCTCGCCTGCACGCGTGGTCCCCCTCTGCTGCTGGCTTTTTTTTTTTTTCAATTTTCAATTTGTTTGGGTGGTTATTTGTGTGGGTGTGTGTGCGTTTTAGTTTGAAATGGGTAATATAGTGACAATAAAACGGTCACATTGCAACGGACAAATTTTAACGGCTACAAAAAGTAACGGCTACAAAAAATGACTAATTTTGAAGAAAAAAAAATTATCTCGGAATTAAAAAAAAATTACATCGAAAAATTTGTTTTCACAAGTAATAACAAACTATAAAAAAAATTAAAGTGAATTACAAGAATGATATTGTAAATAAGTATGGATTATGGAAATTAAATCAAAAAAAAATGTGGGAAGCTAAATTTAGAAGCCTATAGGGTTGGAGCAAAAAGGTGTTTTGGGGAAGCAAATATGCACATTTGAGAGCTTGGGAGGCTAAATATAGCTTTTTGGGTTGGAATTAGTCTTAGTGCTGTGATCGGGGAATAATACTCATGATATTGGGCCGTGCAAGCAAGCCAACCCGTGTACAGGCTGTTAAATGTGGGATCCAAATAGTAATTCAGAGCCCGCAAACTTCATAGAGGCTAGGCTACATTTGAATCCTTCAAATTCATTTGTTATAAATATAATTTTATTATCAATTTTTATTTATGTATTTATTAAAGTATTGGTGAAGTAATGAAATTCAATTTTGGTTCATACCATCCACACACCAACCAGCAACCGTATAATAATGAATTAGAAAATAAGTAAATATTTGCAAGAATCGTTGACGATTTTGATCGGTATTTAATAAAGTCCGAAACTTGACTGGTAAAATTTCACAAATCCATTTAATAACTATGATAGCAATAAAATTTAGGACGAAAAAAAAATTACATGAAGTCATCATAATTCCGAGAGTATATCATATTCAACAAATCTCAACATTTAAAATTCAACTAACTAAGATGTAAGCCATCCACCCAAAATAAGGGTCTACTTTCTTAAAAAAACAATATATCTCGTCAATTCAATTTCTGTTATTCACTCTTGCCGACAAAGAGCACAAAACAAAGTCAACAAGAGGACAAAAGAGCATGGTCCATGAAACACCACCGTACCGACGGTTCAACCATAAAATACCATTATCGAAGGCTAAATCGGTAGATGATATTTAACGGTCTAACGGTTGAGCTACAGTTAAATCACAATTTTATTATAAAATATCATATTGCCGACTTTTCCGATACGATATTCGGTACGGTTTCATGGAAATGTTTGGGAAGGCGCATAATAAATCACAACACGCAAGTAGTGGTTTCCCAAAATTCCCCAATCCATCGCAACACATTACAACAAGAGGAAGCAAACTACAGCCCGAAAAAGGGAGGAGGAGGAGAAGAAAAGAACCGTGTGATTGAAGACCGACGACAATGCAGGAATCCATACTGTCATTCCTACAGTACAAAATCGACCCAAATCAATGGGGGAGAAATGAGCAGCAACTTTTACAAAACAGAGAGCCATACATAACCCTCTTTGTACAGATACCCAAATCAAGATATGAAACCTCCGAAATTGTAAGCTATACCTGCTGCTGCTGGCGCCGGCGGGTCGTCCTCGCCGACCGCCGTCACCACCCCCTGCACACGTGTCAAACAAACACCGCAGTCACCCAACCAATAATGGCCGTTTAACGACAGAGAAGCCAAGTCATTTTCACTCGGTGTTGAAAACTAAGCCTTCCCCCCTGTGTTTGGTAGTGACAAACAAAGAAAAAGATGTATGCATTGAATTCATACTTACCTTTCCTTTTCTCCAACTGATGACGAAGACGAGGAGGGATGAGGGACCTAGCTTCCTTTGTCTTGGACAAGTATGTGTATATTATAAGTACCCTTTTGTCCCACCAGCCAAACTCGCTCTAAGACAAAGTTCTGTGAACAGGTTAATCTACCAGAGGGGACCAAAAACCATGTGTTAACTTCTCCAGTTCACCAGCTCTTCGTCTATGTTCCTTGTAGGACTGGCTAACTGCCCACAAAAGGCACTTGACACTTCACCCACGTTTTATTACCTCGGAGACCAGAGAAAAAGCTGCAGATAAGAATTTGCTATATTCTTGCTCCAAAATCAGCTTGGTATGATTGGCTATATAACGCCAAACTGGGGGTTCTGCTCATTCACTTTAAGAACTGCCCATATTTGTCCATCTCTATCCCTACTACTGTTGTGGCGTCCTCCCAGAAAAGGTTGCACCTTGGCTTTGAGGTTGATGACTTTGCCACAACTCATACCTAACCAGTTGTCCCTGCAAGGCTAACAAGGAGCTTTTTAGCAAGTTCTCAGCATCTAAAACACTTCCATCACCTTATGGGAAACTCTCATCAAACATTATTGAAGATCAGAAGCATTCCCCTTGCTAGTTTCAGGATGCATCCCAACCTTGCCTCTACCCATTAGGTTTGGTTAGGCATTAGTACTAGCAGGGCGTAGGAGGATTGCGGCTGATAGAAAGTGCAGTGGCTACAACTCCATGAATGACGAATTGAACTCTCTTATCTAACAATAAATGGTACATGCATATCCAAAAGGGTGCCTGTCGATTCATAAATCTCTGCACCATTTGATACCAGAACCATCGTAAGAAGTGACTGCTCAGGCATCATCCTGTTTGACCACTGTTATTTAGCTATCGATCTGGCCATGCAGGTCGAATGTAGAACGTAGCCAGGACAAAAGGAGGAGGCAACTTTCAGTGCTGATGAAACCTCCATTTTGCTGGCGTTACTCAAGTGTTTTCAGATAAGGTGGGACCAAGAAGAGTTCATGGTGGGAAAACCATGAATTATTACTCTATATGACTTACCGTGTGAAATGTAGAAGGTGGAAACTCCTTTTACCTATTATTATAGAGCATGCCAGGACTTGTTTATCTTGTTTTCCACCATACCACAGTTTCCCTGTGGTCATGCTTGCGTGAACTGGCTACAACTTTCCTGTAATATAAACGAAATCAAACATGAGCCTCATACTTCTTCAACCTCGAAAAGAAAATGATGGTTTCACAACCATGTTAATCATTGGTTAATACATCACGATTCTAGATCAGGAAGACTATCAGAATATGAACTGTAAATTATAGCACATCAGTGTCTGAAGGAAATCCCACAAGAAATGAGATTTCCTTCTGATTTACTCCACTTCAATAAGGTGGTCACCAGTCACGTCAAACAAATTGAGCGGAAGAAGGGACACAAATACAAGTTTTCTACTTACAGCAAGTATAACATATGCTGATCTGGCTGCGGGGTAAAGATGTAACAGTAAAGCTCCGATTAAATATTTGATTTTGACAAAAGGGAACAAAGACAGAGATATCCTCCAAGGCAGAAGAGGTATAATGGCACACGTTATGAAAGATTATTGGCTACTAGACTCCTCAGTGCAAGACATGGTCATAGAAGCTCTATGCCTCAATCTAGCAGCGCTATATATATTCCACCACATGCATTCTTCTACACAATTGTCTGAAACTTGGGAAGAAAAAGAATGAAAGGATACTTCTTTTACTCTTACTTCTGTCCTCAAGGTACACATAAATACTAGAATTACCTGTCACAACATGAGTGATCAAATGATGAAGCAAAGAGAGTGGTCTCCAGAAACACCAGATGCAAAGTCTGAAACTTTAGCCTGCTCCCAGCCATCCCATCAAGCTCCAAAAAAGAAGAAGACCAGCAGCAACAAGAGCAAGAGGAGATTCAGTGATGAACAGATTAGGTTGCTAGAGTCGATCTTCGAATCAGACACAAAGCTTGAACCAAGGAAGAAGATGCAGCTGGCTAGAGAACTCGGGCTTCAACCTCGCCAGGTTGCTATATGGTTCCAGAACAAGAGAGCTCGGTGGAAGTCAAAGCAGATTGAGAAAGACTACAACATGCTCAAGGCTAACTATGACAGCCTTGCATCTAGTTTCGAGTCTTTACAGGATGAGAGGCAGACCTTGCTCTTACAGGTGACTTTTGTTTACCGACAGTATATAACAACTTGCTTACAGTTCTGAATAAATAAATAAAAATGGTTCCTTATAGTTCTAAGTTACTGAATGATCTTTTCACAATCCTTCTTGAAACAGTTGCAGACTCTAAACGCACTGGTGGAGAAAACATGGGAGGGAGATGATAACTGCAAGGGCTTGGAAGGAAGTCGCCAAGTCGCGGTAGCTTCAGAAGACAGAAACATGTTTGAGCCTCAACCTGCACAGCAAGGAGTAGAGAACAAAGTATTCATAAGTTCACAAAGCTCACAATTTGATAAGACCAGAGGTTTTCTGCACCCGGGGTATGATGGGTACCAGCAGCTCGTCGACAAGGTTCAAGCTACAGAAGGTTCATTACCACCAGGTTGTCAATTTGACGTGTCTAATGGAAGTTCACAATGGTTCAACTTCTGGTGTTGAACGGCAAAACCCCAAGGAAAATGCCTGAAGTTTGGTGGTTTTGATTTGCTAGTAGTAGCTAAGATTGGTTAGAGCAAGAACATCATGGTATTGAATGCAGCAGGGGGATGAGCACTAATTTGACAAAAAAATATTGACTGTGACATCATGCAGGATGGCGATTTAGGAAATTTAAGATGTAAAGTACAAGTTACAAATACCCCATAGCTGAAATTGCATTTAGATTTCAAAATTCTAATGGTGTGTAAGTCATAGCATTGCAACAAATGCATATGGAGGAAGAATGTTGGTTTGGAATTGTATGAAAAAGCAGACAAGACTGCAATCTGCAGCATAATGAGATGAAACTATGAACCATGGGAAGACAATCCAAACAGCTATAGTATTAGGCTATTAGAGAAAAGAAATTATAAGGTATCAACTTTCGACAGTCTTATCAGTAACGTATAAGGATAGCTTGCAAGGTTTGATAACATAAGAAGATTTTCTGAGTCTTCAGCCATAGACAATTAAACTCAAAGTCTGCAAAATGGAACTTAAAGGCAAGATTAGAATGTCTTGAAGAACGGGGACAACGTATCAACTTTCTCTTTGGTAACCCTTCGGGTCAGCAAAGCAAGCGTTGCCCTGAAATTACCAAGGCTCATAACTCGGCTCTCAGGTCAAAGGGACAATTACGCAAACACTTGGTGGGCAAAGAGAGTTTACGCTAATCCCAACCATTCCGCTTCGCTGTAAGACTATTCCCTGATATATAAAAAAAACTCCCACCAATCCGACGAAGCTGCCCTTATTTCAAGGGATTATCCCCTCAACTGCTCACAACAAGACTCTGCAATTTCCACATACTGTCCCAGGAGAAAAAACCACAGCTTTCTTCCTTCCATGTAGTAAAAAAATCGGCTAATCAACGGGAACGGAGAATTTTGATCCGTTTGTCAAGAAAAAGTTCTGTCTATATCTAACATCCATCCGACAGTTTGGCCGAGTGGTCTAAGGCGCCAGATTTAGGCTCTGGTCCGAAAGGGCGTGGGTTCAAATCCCACAGCTGTCATACTTTTTCCTCGCCATTTCCAACTTTTTAGCAACAGCACCGGCAAGCAAATGCCAAATAGTAACACCGACTGATTCATTTCTCGTCTCCCACCAGCTAATCCATGCATCTCCATCCCCCCAGCAATGGGTTGGTTGCTAACCAGATGTCTGTGCAACTTCCATCGATCCGAATCCGATCAAATCGTGCTGATTTTGTTAATACGCACAAAGTTCATACCGTCATTTTGCAGCAGGGGGCTGAAATTTGGTCAAATTCTTCCTGGATTGGAAGTTGGAACCTCTGCTGAGGGTGCTCTAGGAGGATTGCAACGAAGAGGAACAACACCGTACCACAGGTTGCAATAAATTGAGTGCATCTGCAAAGGTGCCATTCCAAAACCGAGCCTGAAGACGGTAAGTCAAGCAGAGGAGAACTTGGGAGCTCGGGGGTTCAGACTAAGTTTGGAGGAGCAGAGCAAGCTAAATCTGTAACAAGTAGCATGTTTTCCAGACAAGGTACATATGCCGTATTGAACCCTTTTTTTTACCGAGAACTTATGTCATGCCAGATAACTAGACTGCCTATGCCGAGCAACTAAGCTCATCATGGACATATGGATCGTGCAGAGTGCGCTACTGTACGAGTATAGCCACCGCATACTTGAGCTGGCAACAGCATTTAAACGCGAAGTCACGTTCTAAACCAGAAGTGTTCAAAACAGCAGTTCATTGCATTAAGGTTTCAGTGCCAGAAGTGTACTAGCAAGCCACAAAAAATGGATCAACGAACCCAGTACTAGCATTCGAGGGATAACACTGTTACATCAAAATTTGCGACACCAACAAAAGAGAATAATGACCAGTAACCTAACAGTAAATGCATCCCGGCAACCAGATTAACAGTCTACTTGATCTTCTTCTTCGGCCTCAGCTGCAGGTAAAAAAACGAGTCATGCATCAGTAATGACCAAAGAGCACGGACATTTAAGAGGTTATAACAAATGGGAAAGACAGTTTACCTGGTTGCTGTGTCCACACTTCTTCTTCCTGCAGTTGACAGCACGGGGGTGGAGACGTGCATAGCACCTGTATTCGAAATCAGACCCAATACCCTACCATTATTACCGGATCACATATCTCACACACAACAGAAAGCACAGAGAGAAGCACGACAGTGGAATGATTCACATGAACAAAGCTCCATTGCATCACACTTGAGAAGAAGACTATCAAATTCTACGAAAGAAAGATGGATCAAGTCCAGAGAATAGTAAGGCATATTCATTAGACAGAAATAAGCTGCCTCAATAGTTCAGACTAAGAAACAGTTCATCCTTGCTAAGCTCTCTTACATGGTTCAACAACCGAACTAAAGCATTACAGTGATAGCATATGCACAGGAAACTCAAAAGTTCCCGGACCAATTAAAGGCCCTAGGCAGACCTATTAGACAGTGCTGAAGCTACGATAGTTCTCATTTCTCAACAATCCAAATCCGCAAAATGAACCAGGAAACCTCATAGACGGGGAATACAATGCTTAGCCCAAGAAAACAGATATGGAGTAGAAACCATCTAATCACTATGATGTCTCAACAGGATCAGAACTTACTTGCGGCAGATCATCTTCTCCTGGTTATACTTCCTGGCCAAAGCCATCAACGATGGCTCAATAATCCCACCACGAAGCCTCAGAACCAGATGAAGAGTCGATTCTGCACCACGAAGAAACCACGAATTCTTCTTTTTGAGTAAAGACCGTTCGACGAATAGAATTCTCAAATAATCACAGCACCATAAGGAAATCTCAAGCGACGCGCACATAGAGAGAGAAAACCCCAGGGAACTAACCTTTCTGGATATTGTAATCCGCAAGAGTACGACCATCTTCCAGCTGCTTACCGGCGAAGATCAGCCTCTGCTGGTCCGGAGGAATACCTGATCAAAACAATCCACCGCCAAAAAAAACTCAGCCACGATAGTAAATCTTAAGAATTCGGCCGGGATCAAGAACAGGGTGACGAAGATGGAAAAAAAAGGAGGCTTACCTTCCTTGTCCTGAATCTTGGCCTTGACATTGTCGATGGTGTCGCTCGACTCGACCTCGAGGGTGATGGTCTTGCCGGTTAGGGTTTTCACGAAGATCTGCATTTTCTCGCGCTCTTCTGTTCGCCGCTCTCTTGAGCTCTCTAGCCGATCGTCCGCTGTCAGTTGTCGCCGCTGCGTTTGAGAAGTATTTATATGTGGCTCGTTCTGTGGTTTAGGGTTTTGTTTGGTTCGACCCGGATTCTAGCCTGGTTATGGCGGGTTATGGCCCAATAAACAAGCCCACGCTTTTTATGGGGTAGTTCTAGTCAGCTGGCCCATTTCTTCGCAAGGTTGCCCCGAAAAGTTTTGTAGAAGAACCAACCGTACGGTGACGGTGGTTTAATCGCAAAATATTCTAAATATGTTGACGATATTTAGTGGTATTAACAGTTGAACTATGATTAAATCACAATTTCACCATAAAATACTTTATCGTTGACTTTTCATGTACGATCTCACAAACCTTGAGAAGAACACTTGTCATCCACAAAACTCAGAGATTGGCACTTACATACTGCTGCAAATGGGGTTGAATCGAGTCGAGTTTTAACTAATTAGTACTCGAGTTCGAGCATGGCTCATAATATATTATTATTTATTTTAAAACTATAACTAGTTAATATCATATTATTTTATAGTAATTAGTATTTAAACATATATATAAGTTAACAATTATGTGTTGAATTACCAACAAAACAAGTCATAAAATATAGATTGATTGATTTCGCTCTAAGTCAAAATTAATTTACTGTTCATGATATTAAGACATCTTATAAATTCAAAACGAGTTAACTCACAAATCAGCTCAACAAGTTATCGAATCGAGTTAACTCACGAGCCACCAAACTGAACATGCTCAACTCGTTAATAAATTAATCAAAGTTTCGAACAATTTTTTTCAAAATCAAACACGAAATCTAAAGTAAACAACTCAACTCATTTCCAGCCCTACACATCTCCGGTCAGGTCCCCATTCCCTCCGTTCACGGTCACTCCCGTCACTCGCTGCCATTATTATCGCACGTTGACTATAAAAGCTTTCCCACTCGCCGGTCCATGGCCTCACTATCGCTCTCCTCCTCACCAACCTTCCTCCGCACCAGAAGCACGATCTCGTCATCGGTGCGATCCCTCTGCGGACTGCCGATTTCCAAGCTCTCATTTCGGTCACCCGATCGATCGCTCGCGGCATTAGGTGTCGGAAAGTCGGATTCTCCGAGGAGATTGCAGACCAGCCGGGCCAAGGCGTTCTCAATAGCCGCAATGGCTGCTGCCACTGCTGAGAAAAAGGTCGAGGTTTTCAACACGGAGGAGGATATCGCGGTTTCTCTCGCCAAATACACCGCCGATCTCTCCGATAAGTTCTGTAAAGAGAGGGGTTCCTTCACGGTCGTCCTTTCCGGCGGTTCTCTCATCAATTCTCTCAGGTGAGTTTCATCTTCGAGCTGTTACCGTGATCGATCTCGTTAGAAATTGAAATTCCGAAGGAGTGATTTTTTTTTTCCCTGGGTTTTCAATTTGGTGAATTCGATTTGAACTTTCAGGAAATTATTGGAGCCGCCTTATAAGGATTCGATAGACTGGTCGAAGTGGCATGTGTTCTGGGTAGACGAGCGAGTTGTTCCCAAGAATCACGAAGACAGTAATTACAAGCTCGCTTTCGATCTCTTCCTCTCTCGGGTACGTTCTTCTCATTGCAATTTTGCCACTTTCAATGTTGTTGCTCTGCATCTAGAAAGAAAGAATGAATGAAAGAATGAATGAATGAATGAACTGCCCCCCTTTGGTAGTGAGATGGACTGGATGGTTAGCTATAGGGCAACAGACTGAGTTAGAACTTGAGAATGATGTAGCTCTGTTCAAGTTCAACCAAAACAGTGTTGATTAAGATACTGTAACTGTTGCTGTCATTCTGCTCCAAGTGGTGAGTTCATTTTCTGTTATCGTGTATGGATGGAGAACGATGTTTAATGGAAAAGCCCTTACATTTATGGCAGGTGCCTATTCCACCAGGTAATGTTTACGCGATCAACGATGCATTGTCTGCCGAGGGTGCAGCAGATGACTACGAGGCCTGCCTCAAACGTTTGGTGAGCTCAGGGGTGATAGCCAAGTCGAAAGCTAGTGGGTTTCCGAAGCTCGATCTCCAGCTTCTGGGAATGGGTCCAGATGGGCACATAGCATCTCTATTCCCCGGTCATCCGCTTTGCAAGGAGAGCACGAAATGGGTTACTCACATCTTGGATTCCCCCAAGCCACCTCCTCAGAGAATCACGTTCACTTTCCCCGTGATCAACTCGTCTGCCTACATTGCGCTAGTCGTATGTGAAAGTGACAAGGCTGATGCTGTGCACAGAGCACTGGGCAGCGGTGGGAATAACAAGGAGCCGCTGCCCTGTCAGCTAGCTTCGGCTGAAGGAGAGTTCAAATGGTTTCTGGACAAAGCTGCTGCCTCGAAGCTTTAGATGGACCGAAGAGTGTTCCTGAAGCAATATGACGCTCGCGAGTTTTCCCCAGATAAGCTGCTTTCTTATAGCAGCATTACGAGGTGACGGTGGACTGCCCACTGCCTTGAGGTTTTCCTTTTTCTGTAAGGCCAATAAAAAAGGGAGTTAGGGGGGTTGTTCAAGGAAGAACTGTTTGTTGTAGAGAACAAATGCTGGTACTGCTTCTAGGCCTTAACTACAGTTCTTTTGTATACTTCTCCCCGGTAGATTTCTCTGAAAGATCGTCATGTCGATCTTCAGCTTTCCTGACCTTGTAGAATGCAGATTACCTGGTAGAGACGAGGATGTTGAATGTAAACATATTCGTCCCAACCAATGATCAGAGTTTGCCCAGTTTACCTTGCTATTCAATAAAATGTGAAGACAAGCATGTTGTCATTCACTCCAAGCTCCCGATTACTTTGTCGGTCATCTTCTTTGATCTCCCTTTTCGTCAGAGAATCCGTTTTCCAAACCCTGTTTGTGTCTGTCTTGCTTGTCATTCGGCAGCCAGTTGGACACTGTCCGCCGGTGCTGTAGCATAATACCCAAATCACCCCAGTTGCAGAAGGACAAGGGGGACCGACTCTCTGCACGAGAAACACCAAACAAGATGATCAAAAAGTTTGCTGCCCAGAGCTCTGCATTTTGCCTTAACCGGCATTGCTCTGCTGCTTTGCTTGCCCCACGTTCCCCTTTTCTTTTTCGGGACTCTTTCTCGACTTCCCAGTGAGCAACCCACTTGGAGCTCTGCCTGCAGCGCGCACTCACGAGTCACGAGGAGCCTCGACATGCGGCCGGCCCATGGTGGCAGCAGAGACTTGTTTACTAAGATATTTTGCTCGGCGGCCGGATCTCGCCCTTGATCGCAAGGAGATTAGCACAAAGCAGCAGCGGGATAGCTGGCTGGCTCTAATTTGGAGACCACCATCATTACAAAAGAATACAAAGTATTGTGTATATACGGCATTGTGAGCAAGAGGAGCAACACATGATCCATGGAAAGTGATTTTATATTTGCAGGGTGTTTTGGCGAGCAGATCGGAGACAACGTATGGGGTCAACTTAATTATTGTGCCTTGATCAACATGGGATGGGATATGATTGAGGTTGGTTCATCCACTTAAAACTACACATTCAAAGAAAAAAAAAAAGATAACTGGGTTTGGATTAACAATATCTCCATTCACGATATAACTTTAGAAATCTCGTAAATGTATGAAGAATACCAGTTCAGTGAGGATTGTGTACTCGATAAAGTATTATTTTGGATATTTTTTTCTGGGGAATTCTTAAACAATAGTTTTTTAGTGTAGGAATTAATAATTATATCATGGAAACGATGGCCATATGGTTATATATATATATATATATGTTGAGCTATGTCTGCCGACGTATCACTGTGTTTTCATGTGATAAGGAAATAAAAATGTTGTACTACTTGAACTTCGTGCTTACAGATCATATCCATCACGAGTCTTTTCTTCCCCCGACTACTACATGGAATGTAGTGTAAGCCACAAAAGGATCACGTTCACATAGTATGACCCCAATGGTTGAACTACTCTGAAGTTCCAGTCGTTTGGTGCGACCACTATTTTTGAACCCTTCGTTCATTGAACTTCAATTACTTTAGTGGTCGTTGGAAAAAAAGGGTGAAAATTGGTACCTCGAATTATCTCGTTTCGTTAAGCTCACATAGTTATCATGAAATCCCCCTCCCCTCCCCAAATACAACTACTGGACTAGAGGAAATAGCCTATTTATTCCATGGAACTTTGACTAAGAGAGTTTATATATGACTTAAAACATTTGATGATCGTCGAATTCTGTATTGTCAAAGTACGGTTGAACTTCGTGAAATAATTTGTAGCTGACATAATATAAGAGCATAAAACACATTCTAACACTACAATTTTAAATTGTAAAAAGGAATCATCTTTAGAAAATCCAGATTATAATGGTAATCAGTCGCATCATTATGTACCGGAGGAATTAAAGGCAAAACAGAGAAAATGGAAGCATGGAGTAATCCGGGTTGGAGAAGGATTAATTAATCTTGTTCATGAAAAATCACTACCCATAATTAATCTTGTTCACACTTCAATCACTTTTTCCCCTCACTTTACCCTTTTTGCTTTTTCTGCTTTATTATTATTATTATTATTATTATTATATATTTTTCCCCGGAGTTTTTATTTTATTTTAATATTTTCACTTTCTCTTTATTTTTCTTTTAATAATAACAGTGTAGAAGAAGGAACTGTGGATCGGACCGGAGTGAGACAAAGACAAAACGCGGGGGGAAGACAAGAGCCCAACAAACCCAAAGACGACTTTTTCTCTCTCTCTCTCTCGCTTTCCTCTTCTCCGACCTCCGTCGCCTCCCGATCTCCTCCTCTACAAAGCCACGACGGCGCTCCTGCTGCAACAATTTACTTTCCGGAGAGACCCCATTTGAAAGCGGATCTTGCTTTTGTTGTTCACACCCCCTCAATGTTCACTCCCATCCCCAACTTCCTCAACCTCAAAGCATTCCTCCACATCTCCGGCAACGGCGGGACTGCCGGTGGCGGTGGCGGCCGGTTCCCTTGGGCTCTGACGACGGCGGGTGGTTCCCACTCTGCTTCCTCACCTGCTGCTGTTGTAGCCGTCACTGCCTTGGCCGGAATCGCCGTCTTTGCCGCCATCTTCTACACCACTAATAGGTAAATCCCCCCCTAAAAAAACCCAGATTCCATCTCCCCTGAAAACACAGCCGGCAGAGAGGACTCGGATCCTTTTTCTCTTTCTTACTTCACTTCTTGTTGTGGTTGTAGATTGTAACTTTCTAGGGTTTTAGATTGTGATTGTTAGTTGGGTAGTTTCAGAAAACTGACGTTTGTAGAAGGGGGAAAGGAAAGGCCGAAAGGGAAAGGGGGGAAAAGAGAAACCAGATTTCAGTTATATATTTAGGTAGATGAAAGCTCTGAGACGAAGTCATACTTCGTCGGCGTCTTCAGATACTCCTTCTCCGTCGTCGTCTGGTTCTGGATCATCGTCCTCCACCACCTCGTCTTCCTCCTCCTCCTGGATTCACTTGCGTTCGGTCCTATTCGTTGTTAATTCCTCCTCACAAGCTCATCACTCCCATTTCGATCGGTGAGTCCCACTTCCCTTTCCTTCCATTTTCTTTTTGCTTCATCAAATGTTCCCCTTTCTTCGTTCATCCCAACACTTCCTCTCTGGTTCTCTTTCTGTTCTACTCAATTCTTGAGGGTTTTCTTTAGATCCGCCCTCAGGTTGCTCTAGATGCTGCTTTAAGTTGATTCATTTATGCCCCTTTCACACTTCTTAGTCTTAGACTCAGAACTTCGATTCCTTGTTGGGTTATTGTTAGTAATGGGGTTTCCATAGGAAGGTTCATTTCCGTTTCTAGCTCTTCCCAGCCGGCTGAATGGTGGCTTTTGGGTTTAGCTATATTCCTAAACAATAAAGTCTCTTCCCTAGTGCAATGGAGATGGTTGAAACACTTGCCATTGTTGTGTAATTTGCTTGGGTTCTTGACTGATTGAAGTATGGGTTAATTGCCTGAAGTAGGTGTTGTGTCTTAGCCTGTTGTAAAGTGGATAGGTAATGCCATCTTGAGTTTGGCATTTGATATGTTGCTCTTTTCTGTGTTCTTCCTTCTGTTTTTTCTTTTCTTTCCATCGGTGTCTTTAAGCTGCATCCCACTTGAGTATTATAGGAGTTAAAGAATAAAAGTTGTATTTTTCTTGACTTGGATGTGAATGTATGTTTCCTGCTTTTGATGGACTTCCCAATTTCTCAAACCAGGTTTCTGACTGGCGTGTGTATATCTATGGTTACAATAACTGTGTTATTTCAAGTACAAGCTTCTTATTTTGAGGGATATAGTGACTAACTGAGAATTCTCTTCCATTTCAGGGGGCGTCTCAAATCACCATGGTCCCGTAGGAAAAGAAAACATGTCCTTACTCCTCAACAATGGAGTAATTTATTTGCACCAGATGGGAAACTACGTGATGGTGGAGCCAAGTTTTTGAAGAAAGTTCGAAGTGGAGTGAGTAGATTCGTCACTTAATCTAAAATGCTAAGCTTGCATTTCTGTTATATTAATATCTTCTTGTTCCTGGACACAGGGTGTTGAGCCAAGTATCAGACCAGAGGTTTGGCCATTTCTGCTGGGAGTGTAAGCCCTCATAACCCTGTTGTCTCTGACGTGCTTCTGATCTTGCTGTTCGTGTATATCTATGGTTGTTCCTATCTATCTCCCGTCACTGTCTTTCTACTATTCTTCAATCTCTATATACTTTTATGATCCCGTAAGATACTTTGAATGTGTTATTTCACTTATTATTATAAATTTAGTGAAGGCTGTAAGCATCCCTAAAATCTGGGGGATATAATACAACCCATCTTTGGATCATTGCATACCTTAATTTGGTTTAGACCCATAGCCTTAATAATCTCTAAAGGGAGGTGCTTACTTCTATCCAGAATCCTTGTAAAGCCTCAACTTTGCCTACTTCTTCACTCCTGAAACTAGTTAGAAAACCTTGTGCATTTTTTTCCTTGCATCATGATCACCTATGATCAACCTGGGCCAATTCTGGGGGAGCATGCTTATTGCCGGTCACGGCTTTATATTTTTAATTTATCTTTCTGATTCTGGAGGTATTTGGGATGTCCGGGAAAGAATTGGTGTAACTTGCAGTATTATCTAGTTCTAGATAGCAAAGGTGTTTGCCATATCCATGATTGTGGCAAACTCTGTCTTTTTGGGCGTTAAATATAAATCTCATTTAAGTCTTTGTTGTAATGTTAGTCAGTGGTAAGTTGTAGACTAATTAGTATTTGATTATTCTTCCCTAACTCACAATTTTGCTCCTATTTTAACAGCTATGACTTGAGCAGTACTAAAGAGGAAAGGGAGCTCCTAAGAACCCAGAAAAGGTATGCTCAAACGAATTCAAGCTAAAATGAAACTTGAAAGCTGGATCTTGATTCCTTGAGATGTTGTCAGCACTTTGCTTCATTCTTCGTTCATAGCCTCCACTCGTAGCTTCTGGTATCTGGTTATTGGTATGGTAGCATGATTATTTCTTGATAATCTGGTGCAGGAAAGAGTATGAGAAACTTAGGAGACAGTGCCGTAGACTCCTTAGGCGAAGTACCGAGAACTTAAAATTGGGTGAAAATGATGAAACAGTCGACAACGGAGAAGATGGTGGAAGTTCTGCTCTTGATACTGACTCTTCGAGTCATGAGGACGTTGTCAGTGCCCGGGAGTCTCTTTCTAGTGAAGGAAAGAGTCCAGATGTTGAATATTTAGATGATCCATGTACCACACTTTCTGAAGGTGCTGATGCCTCTGCACAAAATACAGAGTCGTCTGATGACTCTGAATTATCTGAAGATTCTGAAGTCATTCAGGCATCTGCTCCAGAAAACATAGAAGAGAACGATGATGCGAATGTTTCCTCCAAAGAAGATACTTCTCCATCACTTCCAACTCGGCGTGCTGTTGAAGATTTCACCACCTGGCAACGAATAATTCGTGTTGATGCAGTGCGTGCCAACTCAGAGTGGGTCCCTTACTCTCCTTCTCAGGCTTCCATATCTGAAGTCAGAGCCCAGCGCTCAGCTGAGGCAGTCGGATTAAAAGAACACGATCACCTTGAGCCATGCAGAGTTTTCCATGCAGCAAGACTAGTTGCCATATTAGAGGCCTATGCACTCTACGACCCTGAAATTGGTTACTGCCAAGGAATGAGCGATCTACTTAGCCCAATCATTGCAGTGATGCAAGAAGATCACGAAGCCTTTTGGTGTTTTGTCGGGTTTATGAAGAAGGCTCGACATAACTTTAGGCTAGATGAGGTAGGCATCCGAAGGCAGCTGAGCATTGTTTCCAAGATCATCAAATTCAAGGACTCGCACCTCTACAGGCATCTGGAGAAGCTTCAGGCTGAGGATTGTTTCTTTGTTTATAGGATGGTTGTGGTGTTATTTAGGAGGGAGTTGAGTTTTGAGCAGACCCTTTGTCTGTGGGAGGTGATGTGGGCAGATCAGGCGGCTATCAGAGCTGGGATCGGGAATTCAGCAGGGAGCAGAATTAGGCAGAGAGTGCCCCCGACGGATGATCTGTTGCTCTATGCTATCGCAGCTTCTGTGCTGCAGAAGAGGAAGTTGATAATCGAGAAGTACAGCAGTATGGATGAGATTCTGAGGGAGTGCAATAGCATGTCGGGTCAACTTGATGTGTGGAAGCTTTTGGATGATGCACATAACTTGGTGGTCAACTTGCATGAGAAGATCGAGTCGTGATTCTAGCTGAGATGCTGCTGCTGCTTCCTGGACTTTGGTTGCGCCACTGATTTATTTGCTTTTCTTTTCTGAAGTTCTTTCAAAGGATCATCTAAACCTCTGCATGGAATCTAGAAGGCTGGAAATGCTCTTGGCCGGTTCCTGATGTGCTTTCGAGCATGTTTTTATGGCAGTTGCATGCGATGCTTGAAAAAGAAGCACGCACTACGATATTTGATGCGGAGGTTGCTCATGGAATGTGTCTCTGCTGCTTTCTAATGTTTGAAAGTAGGCATAGCCTGCATTCCGAGCCAGTATGATCCTGTACTTGGGGCTATTCTAGAAGATAACATTATGTACTACTGGACTATGAATACAAACACACTGATTGCTAAATTCCCAATTGTTTCACCCCCTTCAATATTACACAAAGAACACGGCTGCTGGGATGCATATTATTTGTTAGAGTATAAGTGAAGTTTCATGATAACGGACGACTGAATTTGTGTTCGATTGCAATTTGATCTTTGGGTTGAATCTGAGATCACTCTTGTAATCTAGAGAGGAACACTCTCTGGCAGGTGTGCGGAGGAAGAGAGGCTAGAACTAAGGTGAGCTAAGGCAAACTGAAGGTGAGAACTACATGCCTATGATAGGTTAAAGATGTGGAACATCCTACATTATTCCCCTCTTAACTGTTTGATCATTCAAAGACAATTTGATACTTTCCCCATAGCTCGCTCCTTGCGAGTCTGGGCTTACTGCATCTATAACTTCAACCAAACTCGACCAAGGGTCAACTTGAAGCGCAAAAACATGGTCGGAGGAGAATAGGATGTGTACTCCTTGATTGAAGAAGCTATATTCTGCCAGAAAATATGTTCATGTTCATCCTGTTCGAACTAAACATTGCGAGCCTTATGAGTTCTATCTAGAGAAGTAGCTCTTAGGTTTGTACTTTGTAGGTTTGGCAACTGGAGGATGAAGAGAAAGGAATGTTAATAAGATTTGAGATGGTCGATGAAAGGCTGTGCATAAATGGAAAATAAGATGGCATGTCCTGTTGACCAATGTGCTTTTCCATGGGGTCTAGGGTCTCTGTTTTTTTATGGTACACCAGTACCAGGCAAACTTTCCTTGTAATGAAATGAAAATGTGTTCAAGCATCAATGTTCCTTTCTTACAAGTCCAATGCAGAGATTGACAACACTCTCTATACCAACTCAAATGACATTGGACATGAGGCCACAAACGACAAGTCTCTAAGAATCTCTTCTATTGTAGGAACTCCCCATAATTAGAAATTGTGAATCTTGTACAGATAACAGTGCATAAGAAGTGCATTGACATTCGACTGTCTACAAGGTGGACATCACCCCTCACTTGCCTAGAAAAATAAGAAAGAGCAGGTCCGAGAACTCCTTGCTACATGACTGTCTAGCAAACGCAACAATCGACACTGAACTGACTGCGAAACAAACATTTTGTATAAATGTTGACAAACATAATGCAAGTGAAAGCTAAAACAAAGATGCCAGTACTCTCGAGTCCCACAGTTGAGTATTCTGAGGGTTGGGGATCCACAAGCAAAGGTGTGGCGCAGTAGCCTTTATTCCTTCTTGGTGTAGCTACGGACGGCAAAAGCCAGCCCCAAAATCAAGAGGGGAACCAGAAACTGCAATATCTTAATCACAAACTCAGAGGTCTTGTCCTGGTTGTATGACTCCTGTGGGGGAACATACTTGCGTTTCGTAGGAACTGTGTTTGCATCTATCTCGCCAATGTAATATTTGTCCATCATCTCCCTGGCTGAATCGCTGTGCCCCACGTCCTCAAAATCGTTTGTTGCATCTTTCCCTGGAAAGAGAAAAAACCCTTGTCATATGATTATCCGTCCTACTTCAAGTTGGAAAAACTGGAGCAAACTGCAAAACTATTCCCTTATGTTATGATGCAACTTACCAGTTGCTGACAATAAAACTTCATCTCCTCCAGGATGATCTTCCATGAATGGGGTCACATCATAGACCTAAAGATTAACAGATTAGCAAACATCAGAAGACATGTTTGATGTTTCACACCACCATCTACGAAACCCGACACAGCATGAACAAGGCATAGAACAAAAGCAGGTCCATCCTTTATTCCTGCATTGAGGATAATGTGAGAGTAGTATCTCTTTTTCGCCAAGCAAACCTTTGCCAAATTCACGCCAAAGATCATCAAGTCGGACAAAAAGGATTAGGATTCAGGGTCCACATGTAGTCTTTCACGATCAAAGGAGAGATAAAAAACGAACACAAAACACAGTGCCTCTCCAGAATTTTCTCAAAGCTGCTAGTAGTTGTAACCTCAAAGGACATCCTAATCATACAAATCAGGACAGCTAGTCATAAGTCATTAACTCATAACCATTGGACATTCAATGCCATTTCTGAGGTAGGAACAAGTTCGGTGATCCGTGATGAGAGTTTCATGATACGTGAAAGGAATTCATTAAGCTGGATACACCATAGCCTCGTTCATCAACACAACTTTGAAGGTAACAGTACTTTAAAGAAACATCAGACAAGTTTGAACAGAGCATAAGAAACCGTAGGGATGTTTGATAATTTGAACAGACAAGCGAAGTGGTAGTAGTCAGATTCATCAAAGTCTTATCACTTTACATCCGATAGCAGATATTCTCAGCAATCAACCAAAAGGGGATAAGAGAATCAGAAAAGCTTTAACCCAAACAACAGGCAACACCAATTCAAAGAACAAGTTTCAGATCAGAAGGAAAGATCTTACCTTGCCGGAGATAATAAGCCAGCAATCTTTGGTCTTGTTGTGCCCAGAAACCTCCTCGAACCCATAAACCTTCTTCGGATCTGACGCCATAGCTAAATCCCTGTTGACTTCCTCACCAGCACTGAACACAAAAAAAACCCAATGAAACTAATCAGAACCCAGACCTGTTTATAACGGAAAGTCTCCAGATTGGGATCCAAAAACAAAGATCCAGCAGAATCATCCAAACAAACACTACCATCACACAATCCAGAACAGCTGGAATTTCAAAACAAAGCAAAAACTTAAAAAGGGTTGTTGAATTACCCCTGAGACGCGCGATGCAGAATCAAAGAGAGTTGGTGGCGAGGTGGAGTGTCCCTCCCCCGCCTCAATTGACTGTTGCTCTTTCTTTCACTCGCCCGCTTTCTCCGCTGCTGCAGTTTCTCTGTCCACGTCGCCGGAGAGCGTGGCCGGCAGATTCTGTGGTTTTTATAAGCAAGAAAGGATGTGGCATGCTTTGGGAGAATCGATTAAATGCCCTTCACTTTTGACTTTATTTACGAGATGCCCTCGACTGGCCGCCCAAACGGCCCACAGGAATGAGGGGGCAATCTTGGGTATAATGAAAGAGGAAATTAAGTAACCGGTTTGGTTCGGTAGTTGTTGCGTGGTTGGTTGGCCGGCCGGGTTAGATGGTGGGGACCGGCTAGGTTGCCATTTCTTGACCGACTGTACCGGTTGGCGCGGAAACTCCGAAAATTGTTGGAAGCATGACAATCGAGCACTCTACCGTTTGAGTTACGTAATGCACATACAAGTCTCTGTTGCTAGTGTTGGTGGTAATGCATAGGTCTAATCATGGTGACTACTTCGGTGCACTCACAAAAATGAGTGCACTCAATGCACCCAACTCAAAAACTAGTATTAAGGTGTCGGATTTTGAATTTTAATTTGTAGAATTAGTGTAATATGATGATATAACAAATGATAACAACTAATTACTGGATTACCCTAAGCCCTAGACCTCCAATTTTGAGTTCTATCCCTAAACCCCAAACTGTAAACCCTAACCCTAACCCTAAATCTCTAAACTCTAAATTCTTCAAATTAAAGTAAATCTACAATGATTTTTGTGAAAATTCATGTGCGTTATTGTTCATCACATCATAAGTGATGAATGACATAATTTTGACATAAATCACATGTTTAAAATGACGATTATGAAGTGAGTGCACTGAATGCACCCAAAAAAATGAGTGCACCAAAGACGCCACCGTCTAATCATATGGACGAAGATTATGAGTACCGGTCTACTGAATTATTGGATGTCGAGCTCTCCGAAGTTTAAGTCACTCCGCGTGCTTTACGTCACTCATCACTAACGTAACTGTGTAAGTTAGAAGCGTGCCGATTCATTAGCTATCCTTATATTTTAAGTTATACACCTTAGAATTATGATGTATAATCTTTATCCGATGTCTATTATAAAGTCAAACGATTTTCGAATAGAATTACATAAAGTATGTGTTACACGATTTGTAACAAGTTAGAACAACAATTAGTAATAAAAAAATAAGTGGGTTTTGACCTAAAACATTGGTGACAACTGACAACAATCCATCTTACATTTGCAATTTGGGTTCCCAATGGATATGGTCATTGATTTGTCACTCCTTGGAAATACAATGTCTTTTTTTATGGAAGTATAATATTCACACTCGTTGGAATTTGGAAATAAGACAATGTGCCAGTTGCCTGTGAACTACAGCAATATTTAATTGCGGGCTAAGCTCTTCCATTTGCTCCTTGACAAACACAGAGCAAGCGATATGGTCAAAGTTGAGAATCAAACATAAGAACAGAATCCAGATACCAGAATTGAACCCTACAAAGCTCTCTGTATCAACTTTGAAACTTCATACATTTTTCTTCATCTAATAACTTACTATTTTCAACTGTGCTGGTGAGAAAACCTCAAGCATACTATTATACTATGCATCCTAATTGCTCAAAGTTCTATCTTTATCTCTATAATGATCCAATTTTCACCTGACCCTCTATCTTCTCATTACAACTAAATCACCAGTTCCACCTTTCATATTACTCTCACCCTTCCCCTATCTCCAAAACCTTATTTGCTAGCGAAGAAACCCATACAAATTGGAGGAGTCACTTTGGCCAATGCAAGAATCGAAGCAGGCAGAATCCACAAACCATCTCCACATATCAACCCAGAAGCCACTGCTGGAACCATCAACCTAGCTTTCCTGCTATCCAACTTGTGCCACATGAAAACAACCAAGCTCCCCACACACATGTCAATGGCAAAGTACGCCCCGACAAAGAAAGGCACAGCCATTGCCATGGGCAATGGAACCCACTTCCCCACTTTCTTCGGCAGCAAGTCTCTCGAAAGGTTGGCCACTATGGCAAACGCGAAGAACCCATAGCATAACTGCAGACAGTGCTTGGGAAGGGCGGAGAAGCCTTCCACTCCAAGAATCGCCATGTTCCTGTAGATGAGAGCAAAGGGGGCCTTGTACTCGCCTTCAAGGTTTCCAACATCGAATGCCTTGTAGAATAGAAAGAACGTGAGTGGAGCTACGACACAGCCAATGGCTGTGCCAATTGCTTGGCTGAGAAGCATGGAACGGGGGGATGTTAGAGTGAGATGACCTGTCTTGAAATCATGCATCAGATCTGAAGAGATGGAGACGATTGACTTGATAAGCCCACACCCTACGAGCCCTGCAACGACACCATTTTCCTTCCCTGATATTGCTGCTAGGATGAAGAGGGCTACTTTGCCATAGTTGTAGCCCATGTTCATGTCTGTTAGCCCTGCACCATATGCATTGCAGAAGCTGAGGGAAGGGGCGAGAACGTAGGCAACCACAACGTAGTACCATTTGAGTTCGGGGAACATGAGAGGGATCACTATGATGGAGATGATGGAGAAGGCGAGATAGCCTATGCAGGCTACCCAAATTGGAATTGTGTCCCTCACAAATATTTCATTTCTTTGGAGGTCATCGATTGGAGGTTGGTTCTGATTCTCGGGACCTGTGAGGCACATTAAGCACTGAACTTGAGCTTGAAGTTCTGAACTTTCATTGACTCTGTGTCATGTAATCGACATTTTGAACAAGTTTCACTTACGGGTTCGGACATTTCTTCTTGTTCTTGCACTTGTAACAATGCTGGTAGCTGTGAAATAGAGTATCTTGAGGAAATTGTACAGCCCGTCTCCCAGTATCATAGCAATAGAAATGAACACCTGAAATGAAAAGGATAAGAGAGAAGTCAATTTCCATGGCTTAGTCTAGCAATCTTCCACTTTAGGGAGGGAAATTGACAGTAGCATGTAAGGACCTTGTAACCATTGGGGCCCTTCATACTACTTTTTGGCAATCCTGAAGGAAACCACTTTCCTTCGAGTCTCCCGATCAGTGGCCACATCACACCATAAGAAAGCACGGAGCCAAAGAGCAACGACAAATTAACAAGATGAGAGCAAATCATTCCTGCTCCAATGTATGTCGAGCTAAAATCAAAGTAAAACCTGCAAAAAAGCTATTGGTCACATTTGGTACCTGTAGAACAATGATGAAGGATTGGAGGTTAAAATGAAGAAAGCACGAACGTGTTCTTAAAAGCAACCAATCCGAGGGTGGGGAACTGAACAAAACCACAATGGATTTCGGATTTGGGTGCACCGGTGTAGAACCATTGAAAGAATGCCCAAATGAAGCTCAAAGAAAAGAACCTCAAGAACCCCTGAACCTGCTTCCTGCACCACCAGAATCACACTACTGGAATTTGAGTTGGCTTCAAACACGGAACAAACTCAGTTCTGTGTCAAACAAGTGGGAACAACAATACGTACTTGGCCATCTTGTCTCCCTTAGGTGTATGAAATCCATTAATAAGAACTGCAGTAGCAGTTCCACTCGGATATGTCAGTTTGTAGTCGATTATCATGATCTAAAACCAAAAAAGTTTCAATCTTGATAAGTACAACACCGATATGAATCAAAGCTTGCACAATTTGCATATACAAATTTCAATGATGTGCATCCATCTCTAGCACAGAACAACAGTCTAATACATAAGTATCACAAGTAAGAACCTTTACCTTCCTTAGGGGAACCAGAGCAAGTAACCCAACAAAGCTGCTTATAAAGAGGAAACCAGTCATCCAGCCAATCCCAGGTTCCTTTACACTCCTAGGATTATTGCCCTCCGAGTTAACCCCAGCTTGCTCATAGGTCTTCCTATTCAAACCCAAAAGATAAGACCCAAACCCACCTGTAGTCCAACAATTTAAGGTCAGTTTACCTTCACACATACACCAAAAAGAAAAAGGAAAAGAAAAAAAACACTTTAACCTGTTCAAGGCTCTAACCTGCAAGAGAAATGCTGTAACAAGCAACAGCACATGTCTGAATCAAGGTGTTCTCCTGTCTCGTAAAGGGTTTGGAGACAAACCCAGCCTTCTTCAGGAACTTGGTCCACGACTTCACAAACACAAACGCAAGCAGAGCTGCCGAGACATTGAAGTTTGGGACTAACCCAGTTGTGAGGTTCAGCTTCATCACAATCACGCTGTAAATAAACCCAATTGCAAGGCTGGCCACCATCCCTCTGATCGTGATCTGTTTCGTCCAGGGAACAACCCTCTTCACTTCCTCTTCTTCCTCCCCTACTGCTGATGCAGCAGCAGCAACCTCAACTTTGTCTTTATCCATAATGTTCTCACTTGCTTCATCTGTTTCCCGCCTTTGAATCTCCTTCATTTCCTCCCCATTACTGCCCATATCCCCCACTTGACTCATTGCTCAGAAGACTGCTAGCTCCCTCACTTCTTCTCTTTGCCTATATAGTACAGACAAACAATCAATAATCAATTGACAGCGAAATCAGACCCAATTCTGTTTCACTCTTTTGTTTTCTTCTTTCAGACCAATCAACCGCAAGTAACATGGAGGTGTAGTAGTGCATTACCCAAATCAAGAATCCAGCTTTCGTTTTCTTCCTGGCTTGGATTTTTCTTCCCTACTCCTATCCTGTCTGTTATATTCTTGGCCTTATTTTGAAAACAGACAAAACCATTCCAACTTGATGTAATGTAATCAACTATCACAAGGAAGAAAGACGAATACTTGCTCGGATTCAGCTCTTCCTTGTGGCAACCCTTCACCACAATAGACTCAATTTCAGCAAGGCAAACCTCACAGAAGATACAGGCATTGAATCCAGAACTAAATGTGGTGAACACAGAAAGACGGAAGGAATCTGGAGATGGTGATTTATACCCGACAGGCAGACGAGGTGGGTGTGTGGGGGCGATTGTCAAACGTCGACTTCCAACCAATCCACCAAAGCAGAGCATTAACCCACAGCCCAGAAAAAAAAAGCAGATTAGTGACCAACTGACCATCATCAATGTTGTACTGCAAAAGTTGTTTAGCAGTACAGAGTTAGCCAAACTTAACGGACGGGGAGAAAAAAAAATGATGTACTAGCTTTAGTATTAGTAGTACTACACACACTAAATCCGAAAATTCAATGCCCATTACCAACTATGACTGGCGGTGAATCTACCCACCTGGCAACTCTCCCTCTCTCCTTCGTTGACTCCTCCTCCTTACTGCTATCTATCTGCGCCATTGGCTATGGCGGATGATGGCCGCGACAGAAGAAAAAAAACCCACAACACATGATTGCCTGATGGGTTGTTTCGGAATGAAAACGGGATAGTGATGTTGTGCCAACCCAGAGAAAAAAACAGAGTGGCTCCATCTCGAGTCGACAGAAATCGGATCTTCTATGTCGAATTCTCAACGTTTTTGCCAATTTTAGGGATTTTTTTTTGACAGTATGGCTGGACTCTGGAGCACTATTTCCCAGTCGCTGGATGGAAAGAGAAATGGATAAAATAGAGACCAACATTCAAAGGGGACATAAGCACAGTACACACAGAATAGCAATGAATCAATGATCAGTGTACTCTACTTCCCCACCGTAATTAGACAGATGACATTGTGTATTATAATTCGTATTAACTAAACGATTGTAGATTGCGAGAGGGGGAAAAAAAGTTCGAGTCGTTCATATTAAAACGATGTGTCCCAAAAAATAATAATGTTTTTTTTACAAGTGAGGATATCGACCACAAAATTGCTCTCTCTATACACATGGAAGGTTTGAACCTCTCAATCTTTGATGAAGTAGTATCTAATCTACCAGGATATAAGTCAATGGCGATGATGGTCTGTTTCAGAATTTTGAATGATCTCAATTGCCATCGTAGAGTACAAATTGCACCTTTTAGCTCCCCAGTCCCCACTCAACTTTACCTCTAATCGTAACTGTCGTCGGAGGTATAATCGCTTGATTGAACGTCTCTAGATCACGTAACATGACATTTAATGTTGTAACCACTACAGAGTGGACTATAAATACTCACCTTCATTAAGGTTGTCAACTCGGTTTAATCCGTTGCCCCCGGTCCAGTAAGTGCGTTGAGGATTAATGATTCGTTCTCTTTAGCCTGGATATATGAAAAATAATCATTATATTGTTCGTACTTTTTGTAAATTGTATCAAATCTCATATAACATATAAGTAATAACATTGCACCAAAATAACAGTTCGTATATTCACCAATGAAATCCAAACACACTCATATAATATATATTTTTTATAATAAATTCACTATTAGTTAGGAACATTAAATCTAGAACCCTCTTCAATTACCGTTCATATTGATTTTTTCGGTACACTCTTCAAACAACATGCCTCCCAACCCTAAACACACTACGTGGGCCGTGCATGTGTCTCTGCATGGGCCTTTAATGGGCTGGCTCGCTCTATCTACTACTACTACACTCCTAATTCCTAAACACACACGTACACTTCACTAAAATAATACACATACTAATCACGTTTTCAACGGGCGGCGGTTTTCTTCTTCGTTCTTCTTCCTCCTCTTCCTATTCGGGATCAAACTCCTGCGGCAGAAAAAGAGCATCAGCGACAGTCGGGCTGAGGTAGTGTTTTTGTATTATATATGATGGATCGATGAATTCCTCTTCAAATTTGTTCTGACATGATGCCAGAGGAGCGGGAAGAAGTGGGCGAAAGCAATTCAAGACAGAGTGGAAAAGGCTCAAGAAAGATTTGCCAGGTGGTGAAGAAAACTATCCATCCATATAATCTGCATGTTCATCTAATCATCTCCCAATTTTTATTTATTTTTGTTTTCAAACAAAGCAGATACGACGATATATGTGAGGGCGTACGAGTCGAGGATGGACCTGCTGAGGGCTGTGATCGTCGGGGTGGATCCTTACCACGACGGCCTCTTCTTCTTCGACCTGTTCTTCCCCTACATCTATCCAGATGTTACCCCGGTACGCGCGCATTTCAGAATCGTGCGCGATAATTTTTTTTATTGACGATTCGCGCGACAGATTCATTCACATTGACCCTGTTTCGCTCTTTCTTTCTTTCTTTCGGGGGTTTCCCCCCTCGCTCTTTGGTCTTTTTTTCAGGAAGTGATCCCCCCTCTATAACTCTTCTCCTCGCATATTGAACCCAAACTTCGAGGGCCGGATATATTTGCCTCAGCCTTCTCGTACTCGGTGGTGGTTTCAATAAGTTTGAGAGTTTCGAGGAGTTTGTGAGGGGACATTTGCACAGGCGGGCCGAGGGCATCGTGGCGGCGTGCAGAGTGTACATGTCCGGCGTTCAAGTCGTCCGGTGGTGTGTGGTGAAGAAGGGCTGTCAGGAACTGGTAGTAAAGAATCGGATTGAAGGCGTGATTAATCACTCTCCTTAGAGTGTTATTTGCCTCCACTATAAATTGCTGATAGGCTCGAGCAAACCACCTCCAGGAGTCCCTTCAATTTTAAGTCTGGAAGCAGCAATCTTGCAGACTTCTGTGTTTATGAAATAGAGAAGGAAAACGGGAAGAAGAAGAATTCTCTCGTCATAAAAAGAGTTATGGCAGTCCTCTATTTATAGTTGTGAAAATTGGAAGTTACCTTCCGAAGAGACACATCCTTTCACAAACAAGGTAGTTACCTCTCCCGAAAGGACACATCCTTTCACAGAAAAGGGAAGTTACCTTTCTAGAAGGACACTTCTTTTCACAATATTCAAACGTTAGTTAATTAATATAAAATTAATTAAATTGCCAAAAGACTCCATCTTTATAATTTACTTCTCCCATCAATGTCGTATTACAACTCTATTGACTAACTCTAACAAGGGCGACGGCGGTGGAGGAGTCGGACCCGGTAAGAGTTGCCGGCCGGAGTTTAGGGATTCCTTGGCTAAAGAATTGGACGAGGTGACGAAAGCGCTTACCGGGATTGGAGTACAAAACTTGGATTTTTTTTTTATATAGATTTGCATTGTATGAAAAATTGAAAATGATCAGTTTGACGATTATGTTACTCTAGTTCAACGATCTTTTTTTTTTCCCCTTTTTCTTGTGACACTCTATTTCACTATTCAGAATTATAAAGAAAGTTTATGTTCTTGTAAAAAAGAAAAAATAATTACACAAAGGGAAAAAGGATTTAACTAAAAAAGGAGTCATCGTAAAAAAAAAATTGTTTGGCTTTTTTTGAGAATTTTATTACATAAAAATTTGACTCGACTACATTTAATGTTAACTCAACTGCTCACTCTCTCACTAGATTCTTTGTATCGTCACTCTAATTTGACCGTCAGAGAGCTCCAATTCCTACCTATAGACCGTTTTTACAGGAATTTCAAAGATGCTTCCTACACTCAATCTAGTACGCTTCCGAGTGTGACCTTGCATACCGTTTGGTACATTCCTGGCTTAAACAGATTAAGAATATGAAATCCAAACATCATTCAAAGCGATCATTCGAAATAAAATTGAAACCCTTCTTATTGAATGATCATGATACTAAATTTTTTATCTATCACATTTTTCTTGCTGATCCGCCTTTTTAGAGGCAGTCATTCCCTTTTCACTCGGGCCTTTATTCATCGGCCCGTAACAGTGTATAATGGGCCAGATAATTTACCGACCCAACCGAGGCCCAACCAGGGGGAAATGGAAAGGAAGGCGAACAGTCCAATACAGAGAACGCCGCGAAACCTTCTGAAGAAGGCGGTGCGTTTCCTTTCATCTCGCCGTTTCTGGTTTCTTCGTCCCCAAGAAGAAGGAACGAATTTCAGAAGCAATCAAAATAACCCCAACACCCTCTTTGCCCTTTGGCTTCCCTCTTCTCTATCTCGTCCTTCAAAACCAAATTGCTGTTCATCACAGTTTCAGGACCCTTGAAATTTTCCCTCTTATTGACTCGGTGGTTGTTTTTTTGGTTTCCCGTCAATGGGTGGTTCATCGGAGACCAAGGTCTTGCAGGAGCTGCTGCTGTACGCAGCGAGCGCCGCCTTGAGCTGTCTTGTCCTGTTCGCCGGGCTCCGCCATCTCGACCCCAATAAGGAGGCTGCGAAGAAATCCCTTGAACAGAAGAAGGAAATCGCCAAGCGGCTGGGTCGTCCTCTTATACAGACCAATCCTTACGAGGTCGGTCAGCTCGAGACTGCCTTCCATCTCCCTTTATCATCTCGCTGTTTGTTCTGGTTGCGTAGTACTACTGGGTTTCGTTTGTTTCTGGTTGATAAAGGGTAGCTAGTGCTGTTTGTGGCGACTTGAGAGTTTGCTTGAGCTTTTGCCAGATCTTTTGGGCTCTCTACTGCTCTTATGGGCTCTTCTGAATTTTCCCAGATCTTGGTAATGTATGGGGTGCTGTAGTTAAAAGTTGCGAAGTATGGAGAACGTTTCTAGGCTAGCCGGAAGACCATTTAGGAGATGAATGGTGGTTGCTTACTCTCATTGCGAGCAATTTGTTGAGTTGTATGCTTCTCTCATTTTCGGAACTTTGGGAGCGTTTCATGGTACTGGAAATTTGAGAGTAATTTGGAAATCAGTTTGAGTGTTCCCAATTGCATAATGAATGTCAATGATTTGTCTGTGTTAATCAGTGTCGTTGAAGTTCTGTCCTTGATGCCAGTATTTAGGATGAAATTCATCTATACTCGAGAATTTGAGTCCCTAGCCTCAATTGCTGATAGCTAAATTTTTCAAGATTCAGCATCATCAATGCCAGTGATTACTGTATGGTGAAAATCTTGTAACTAGTGCTCAGATATTTCCAGCTTTAAGAATGTCACCTTGCTTGATTTTGAAATTTTAATGGCTCTATCTCTTTCCACTTGAATGAAACAGGGTGGGATTGGAAGCTTCTTGATACTGATTTCGTTCTGTCTCTGATATTTTGACAGGATGTGATAGCTTGTGATGTTATAAATCCTGATCGCATTGATGTAGAATTCAATTCTATCGGCGGATTACACAGCATCAAAGAAGCATTATATGAACTTGTCATTCTTCCTCTTCGGAGGCCTGAACTTTTTTCACACGGGAAGCTTCTGGGTCCTCAGAAGGGGGTCTTGTTATATGGCCCTCCAGGTACAGGAAAGACGATGCTTGCTAAAGCTATTGGAAAGGAATCTGGTGCTGTTTTCATCAATGTAAAGGTTTCAAATCTGATGAGCAAGTGGTTTGGTGATGCTCAAAAGCTCGGTGAGTTTGGAACTCTGGTGGTTCTTATGCACCGTGCATATCCATGGTTGCATGTGTGCCATACTATCTGCTTTTTTGTAGTCCCTTAAACCCTTGAGTGATTGGTCGAACTGAGACAAAACAATAAATTATTCTGTTGTAGTTGCTGCTGTGTTTAGCCTTGCTTATAAACTCCAGCCGGCTATCATATTCATTGATGAGGTAGACAGTTTTCTGGGACAGCGCCGTACTTCAGATCAGGAAGCAATGACAAATATGAAGACTGAGTTCATGGCTTTGTGGGATGGCTTCACGACAGACAGTGAGTTGCTTCTATTCAATTTTTTCAACTATGCCTGTTTCATTCTTTTGCTGGCACTTAGATGACCTGCTAATTTTGTGAGTTCAAAATATAATGTAGGTAATGCAAGAGTGATGGTGCTAGCTGCTACTAATCGTCCATCTGAACTCGATGAGGCAATACTTCGACGCCTTCCACAGGCCTTTGAGATTGGAATGCCCGATTGCAGGGAGAGAGCTGAAATATTGAAGGTGATTTTGAAGGACGAGAGTGTTGAACGTAACATCGACTTCAACTATATAGCAAGTCTTTGTGATGGTTACACAGGTTCTGATCTTTTTGAACTCTGCAAGAAGGCTGCTTATTTTCCTATCAGGGACCTACTAGATGAGGAAAAGAAGGGCAAGAAACATCAGGCGAGTGAACTGCTTTTGATAATCTATCCTCTGTTGTATTTCTTTAGGTTGTTTTCAATCAATTTAATAGGTGCCGTAATGGCCAGCTGATCTACATGCTTGTTGATACTTCTTATTCATTTGTTGATAGAAACAAGTGTCTTCACTGAGATTTCGTACGTTCCTTTCTTAATCCAGGAACCACGTCCAATGACCCAGGCAGACCTGGAGAAAGTTCTGGCGACATCGAAAAGGACAGGAGTAGCTGCAATCGAGTACAACAGGTCACGCTCTCAGTCTCCAGTGTGGCCCATACAGTCTTCGGACGATGACCATGTTCACGCCACAATAAGTGAGCTGTCTAAGCTTGTAGTTTCCCAGATCTTGAATCTTCAACCAGATTCTCGGGATGAGGTGGAAGATGAACATTAGTAACATTATTGCTGCTGCCTTGCGATCTAAGATTTCGAAACCATATCGTGGAAATTTTGTCCTGTTAAGTGATAACAGTGATGCAACTGACCAGTCAGGCTAGATAAGGCGGGTGATAATATATCCTCATTAGAAGCTAGATTCTCTTTTTTTATGGTTGTATTGCATGTTCGCGTGTAAGAATAGAATCTATATTATTGATGCCAGGGTTCCATACATTGTTATCTCAGCTTGCAGTGTAAAGTATTCTTCTGATTCTTGATCTTTCGATCGAAACGAATGGTTGGTCTGATTCGGAAATGGATTATACAGTTCATTGTGGAGGCTTTCATACTGATAGTGGAATGAAAATGAGGAACTACAAGTTGATCTTCATCGTAAGGTTGGTGAGGATCCACACTTGCAGAGGAAAGGGAGGGAGTAGTGTCATATTGCACACCTTTTCAACTCGTGCTTCCAACCTATACGTTCCCTTCTTCCTTCTCTTCATCCACTGTTCTCCAAACAACACCCTTCAAGCCAGTCGAGATGGCCTTGTAAAACTGCACCAGAAACAAACATGAACAACACCCTTAAGCAAACATCAAATTCCAACTGAGGCTGCCATGGAAACTCAGATGACCCAGGTCTTTCACTAAATAGAATGCAGACCAGAGACCCCACAAAATATCTGAAGTGTTAATGATGAAAAGCTGATGCTAGTTTCCCCGCAGATGGCAAACAATGCTGAAGGCTGAAGCCAGTGATTTAGCATGCCAAGTGCCCTCCTCCTGTCCAGTTGACAGACAACACCTGTGTCGTCTATCGTGCGAACGAAACACAATCAAATACCTTGTGAAATTGCAGGGCGTCACCACCAGACTTGCGAAGCTCGACCGTGAATTGAGAAGGAGCCACCTCAAAGATCTGAATGGAAGACATGGGTCAATGCCCTCGTACAACAAAGGCCAGAATCCAATAAGAGAACTGAAAGAAGGCTTTAACTTACTTCAGCTGATATTGACAGGTGACCTTTAGGTCCTGTCTTCTCTCCTTGAAGAGTCATCTAGGTTGTAGAACAGATGAGCCGTTAAAAATATGGGAAGTACTATTATCTTTTGAAATTTCCTGAGAGACAGCGAGCGAAGATTAAACCTTCAAGTTATTCTTCTTCACGTGAAAATGCAAAGATGTTGCTGCTGCTTCAATTTGTGACATTATGTCACTAGCAGTTCTTTCTGAAGCAGATCCAGTTTCACGTTTACCAAGTCCCTGCTCACAAAAGGAAGAATAAATTCGATTTTGCTCCATGCTATTAATCAACAACTTAAAAGGACATAAACAACACCCGAAAATCTGTACGCTAGCTACATTATGATTGCTCAACAATGAGATCAACTCAAAGCTGATAAAGCTATCAAGGACAAACGATTTTACTAAACCAGGCATATCATCTATAGAATATGGCTAATTACGAAGCAAGAACACAGAGAAAGGAACAACAATGAGGTTTGATAAGGCTTAAAGTTGAGGGATCTGTTTCATGACAATGTATGAGCAGGGCCTATTAAATCATACCATCTGCCTCTGGAATGGACTACTGAGATTGAGACTCCGAGATGTAGCGATCAGTTCAGAAGGATCCATAGGAGCCACAACGAGATTCCGAGTGTCCTGTCCATTAAAAGAAATATCAATTTCAACTTCAAAAAATGTGCTATAGCCTATTAGATCATGTGTGCTGTGCGCATGAGGCAGGGTGTGGAATCTGAGAACCTTACTGCTGAATCATTGAAGAAGGAGTCCACATCATCAAGGCTAATGTCAGCGTGTTCAAAAACAGGTGGCTCGTAGTCTTTCTTAAACCATTCATTTTCAATAATCTCGGCAATACTGATTCGCTGTTTCATCATCATAACAAGAAGCCATAAATTCACTAAATGTGGTGCAATTAATATCAAATGAGAGCCAAATGAAATTGACCACGTCGTACTGTAGCTGGGTCGGGATCCAATATCCTTTTAATGAGTTCCTTTCCACTGGTGGAGAAACAAGGAGGACATGAATAATCAGCTTTATAAATCTGCAATCAGATATTATCAGGTCAAAACATGGACGAAGGATGATTGCATCCAAAGTAACAGATCTTAACAGTTGATAAGACCCTAGAACTTAATATCAATGTACAGCTAGCGAGAGTGGCCTCAGTTGACCTGTATCTACAAATAACCTATGTTAAACAAAAGCACACCATATATACACAGCCGTTAGTTTCTGCAAGAAAGAAAAAAATCAAACCTTTTTGTACATCGCCAATATGTTCGAATCATGAAAAGGCATGTAGCCAGCCAACATGACAAAAAGAATCACACCACAAGACCATACATCTGCCTTGGCTCCATCATAACCCTTCCTGGAGATTACCTGGAGAAGTGCACACTAAGAGAACGAGAGCAAAGCATTTACGGGCTAGGAAATGAATATAACGGCAAAGTAACTAATGTACCTCTGGAGCAATATAAGTCGGGGTGCCACACATTGTGTGAAGTAACCCATCTCCCTAGTGGATGAAGAAGAAACTATTAGTTCACAGAAGTTTGCAGCTTCATGAAAAAAATATGAATTTGTGAGAGTATTCTAACTTGACCATGAACTCATCCTAACTCACCCTAAGTTGCTGAGGCAATGCACTCAGTCCAAAGTCCGCAACTTTAAGTACTCGAGAACCATCTAGAAGCAGATTCTCGAGCTGATAAACGATATGGGACAATGCATTCATCAAGAAAAGATTTGTTAAGAAAACTTGAAGCAGAAAACATACGTTACGTGACAAAAGAAAATCAAGGGCTCTAGTACCTTTAGGTCTCGATGATACACGCCTCTAGTGTGGCAATAATCGACTGCATTTATAAGCTGCTGAAAACACCTCCTTGCTGCAGCTTCTTTCAGCCTCCCTCTTGCCTGATTCAAGAAACAAACAAGAGAATAGTCATGTATTGAGCCCTTAACTCCTTATGCACTCTGCACGTCAATTGGGCAAAATAGCAAAGTCAAGATTATAGGTCATATAGGACACGTACAACTTTTTCGAAAAGTTCACCACCAGCCACAAACTCCATGACCATATATATCCTTTCCTTGCTTACCATTACCTGAAGCAGAAGAGTTGCAGTACATTACAACAGACAGTTGATAAAAAAAAAAAAAAAAAAAAAGGAACTAGCTCGCACTTACAAAGATCCCAAAGGAAAATCCCAAGAACCAGACAAATTCTCTTTTGGGCTATTATGGAATGAGAAAGATAACTAAGACCAAAAGTCACAGGGAAAAAAACCCAATTCACCTTCAAACCCAATCCTCCTACCTGTCAGAACAAAGAGAGAAAATGGGCTCTAATTTCTTACCTCATGCATACGGATGACATTTGGGTGTCGAATGTGCTTCATGGTTGATATTTCTCGCTTAATCTGAGCGATCATCTTAGTTTTGAGGAGATTGTCCTTGTCGAGGATCTTGATGGCAACGGTCTCCCCAGTCTCGGTGTTCCTGGCAAGCTTGACCTTCGCGAAACTTCCTTCCCCAAGCGTCCTCCCGAGCTCGTACCTTCCGAAGCGCCTGTTGCTGCCACTACCGCGTTGTCCTTGAGATCCCATATTGCTCCCCCCGCTGTCAATTTCGACTTGTGAAATCTGAATTTGCCGATGCGTTGACTCCTTCTGCAAGTGGAAAAGCAGTAGCAGATCCTGAATCTGAAGTACGGACACTGATCTGAAGTACGGGAAGCGGGGAAGGTTCTTCAATTTGACGACCTGGTATTTTGTTTCATTTGATCGGACACTGAATTGAACTGGCAGCTGGACCTGGAGTTTGAAGACGGGAAAGGGGAAAATATTGGCGGGGAGGGTAAACGGTAAAGGGAAAGGGGAAGAGGGTGGAGCTGGCTGAGCCGGTCGGTTGAGTGTGTGGGTCGATCTTGGGCGGTTGGGAAGGATTGGGTTGGTGAAGCAGTTTTTTTTTTTTTTTTTTTTTTGACGGGGTTGGTGAAGGAGTTGGCAATGAGGCGGGTTCGGTAACTCAATTCCCATACCCATCCGACATGATGGGGGCATCGAGCGCACATGGCGATGGCAATGGAGTGGGACAGGGTGGGACGTGTAACTCAACACTCATGTTTGTTCCGTACTAAATCTGAGTTAGGTTGGGTAATATTTATATGAGAAGGGGTTGGTCGACCCAGTATTATAGGTTGTTTGAAAAAATAACATCGATATTTTGTTATTTAGCGAGAACACATAGAGAAAATACTTCATAAATAAATGGTAAATATAGCAGAAGGAATATTTGAGTCTAAATAGTTGAAAGATAGAGTCTTATTGTGATAGAACGGGTCGAGAACGTGACGGGACAGGGCAGGGCAGGTCAGAAGCAATACTCTACCCCAAACAGGTCGGGGGGCGATCGGATTGCACGAGTCATGTTAGAAATTGTCATTACTAAACTTGCAGGCTTAGGTCAAATCGATAATACATAGCTTGCATATATACAAGTAAGGATAGGTCGAATTATTCTCACATGTTATTTGAAGAAAATATACACAAAATTTTAATATTTTACGATCAAAGAAAAGAAAAATGATTCATAAATGAAAAACATACATAATAGAATGAGTATATTGAGTCCAATCAGTGGAGGTGAAACCCAATGTTCGATTATTGGATCGGCTAAGCAAATGCAGTAGTCACTAGTCAGACATCATGTCACCTTACTTGTTACGCTTTCTAGTTGCATGAATAGCAAGGTTGTCAACCCAAGAGTTCACTGTTCACCTGTTTTGATATTTATCCAGTGTGTAAACCAGGACACGCACATCCGAGGGTCGACCCGCGGCAAGGTTATCGGTTCGGAGATCACGCGACGTCATGTTTCCTTTAGGTTTGCGAAAATGCACCTCTTTTTTGGCATTCCCGTTCACCTAACTCTATTTTTTGAATTTTGAATTGTTCACCTAACTCTATTTTTGGAATTTTGAATTGAACATTTGAATATTGATGTTGTATGAGTGTTTTTACTATATGTTTGGTCCATGTATACTAACTGTTATTTTGGTGCAATGTTATTACCCATATGTTATTATGTTGGATGATATTTGATATTATTTATAAAAGTATGAACAATATAATTATTCTTTTTATATATCCATGCTAAAACGAATGAACTATTAATTCTCAACCCACTTATTCGACCTGAACAATAGATTAAACCTGGTTGACAACCTTAATAGTGAACTAAAGTTTTAAAAAAAAAATGGTCAACTATAGCAGAGTAACATAACCATCAAACTGATTTTCATATGCAAATGTTATAAATTAGTCGAAGTTTTTTACTCCAATCTTGGTAAGCGCTTTCATCAGCTCGTCCATTCGTTCAGCTAAGGAATCCCTAAACTCCGGCCGGCAACTCTTACCGCCCGATCCAACTCCTCCGCCGGCGCCGCCCTCGCCGTTCTTCACCACACACCACCGGCCGACTTGAACGCCGGACATGTACGCTTTGCACGCCGCCACGATCCCCTTGGCCCGACTGTGGAAATGTCCCCTCACAAACTCCTTGAAATTCTACAAACATTATTATGCCGTGGACGTACCGACACAAATGAGATCAAATTAGCAAAATAACGACTTTTTTTTCTTCTTCCCTTACGACATGAGGTTGATCCATCGGAGAAAGAAGGCTTACTTTTGGTGGCTTCCTCATTATACGAACCATTAGCTGGAGCGATTCGAGGAATACAGTCTCGCTGTAATGCAGGGAGTAGATGCACTCTTTTTTTTCGGCGGAATCTGGTGGTGGTAATCAAGTTGTCCATTGTATCCTCGTCGTCCGTTGTATCATCGTCGTCCATCATACCCTCATCGTCCATCATATCATCAGAACTATCAGTGTAGAAGGGTTTCTCGCACAATACCAATGCCTGCAACGAAAGCAGAATCTGCATCACACTTGAAACCCCAGGCTGCCAATTCTCAAACTCGTTGATACCACCGATTCCTCGAAAGAGAAGGCTGAGGCACACATATCCGTAGTTGAAAGTTGGGTTTAATAAGAGAGAATCATCATCATCGTCGAGGTGGACTTCCTGATGACCAAAGAGAGAGGGGGGGAAATGCGAAACAGGCGAAATATGAATAAATCTGTCTCATTGCGCAGGGACAAGAGAAACCCTGTCTCGGCGGTGATGCGACTCAGAAATGTAGCGAAATTTAAATTAGATCAACATGACCATACGTTACGTACCGGCGGAACATCTGGATAGAGATCGGGGAAGAACAGGTCGAAGAAGAAGAGACCGTCGTGGTAAGGAGTTCCGTCTACCCCAACAATCACAGCCCTCAGCAGGTCCATCCTCGACTCGTACGCCCTCACATATATCGTCGTATCTGTTTGTTTGAACGAAATATATAAATTGGGAATGAAAGATGATGATCATGTCACAGAATAGAAGAAACTTATCATAAGTTGTAATTAGACTTGATGTGATCAAAGAACATGCACGCTGTGTAATTTTCCTTCACCTGGCAAATCTTTCTTGAGCCTTTTCCACTCGTCTTGAATTGCTTTTGCCCACTTCTTCTCGTTCCTCTGGCAGGCAGAACAACTTAAAAAAGGAGTTAATTGATACATCATATAATACAAACACCATGTATATGGTTAACTTCAAGATCGAGCTTACAGGTAGCAACACTATGGATGCAGTCAGTCACCTGTTCCGATGGAGACTGGCTGCAACTGTAGTAATGGTCTGAATAGTCTTCAACGATATCAAAATGCTTGAAGAGCTTCCATTTCCTTAAAATTTCCTTACAGTCCATATTCAGTCGACGACGACGACGAAGTCCTGCACTAGTACTCATCATTGGAAAACTCTGTTTGCTGGTAGTAGATTTGACCAGGGATTTAGTGCTGCCGCCGAGTAGTTTCTGGCTTGATTTTGAACCCCGCGAGTTCTTGTTATTCGGTTGGCTTGCCTCGACTCCAGTTGCTGCCGGGAGACTCGGATGTGATGATTGCAGAGAAGCAAACTTTCTGCGAACTTGATCCTTCTCATTCAGGATCACAACATCATCTTCGTCATAGACATCAATGATTTCTGGTAGCACAGCCCAGTAGCGGACCCAGAAATTTTACATAGGGGTGTCCTCTTTTAAAAAATAAATTAAATATAAATAGTTCTAAAATAATTAATACAAAATAAATAATATTTAAATAAGAAATACTTTACTTATACAGTTTGAAAAAATTCACAATGTGTTTTCATATTAAAAAATGATTGTAGAACACACTTGGGGTCTACACTATTCAAAAGAATTTGTCTCTGTATATCTTATTAGACAATCATTCACGAACTGATCACATATTCAATTTCTAAAGTTGTTCTTGATGTAATCCAAAGCTGAAAAGACTCTTTCAATACTTGTTGTACAACCATAAATCAATACAAATTAAGGGTAGCTTGAAATTTGTTTAATTGTTAGATTTTGAAAATAATTAGAGATAGAGAATGACATTATACTATTACACAGTGTTTAAAATCGAATAACATTTGAGTTGTAGCCTAATAAAAATTATGTTTATTAATAATAAAAGTGTCCTAGGTTTGAATTACCCAAACTACGACTTATATTCTCATACTCAAACTAAAAGATGAGAGTAGGATACTCACTTTTTTAAATTTAGGGGTGTCCCCGACTATCAATTATAATTTTTTTGTCAATACGTAAATTACTACCGGGGGTTGGATAATCGTTTTCCCAAAATTTAGGGGTGTCCAGGGACACCCCTAAACACCCGTGGATCCGCCCCTGGCACAGCCTATACATATATAAAAAGAAACCATCGCAACAGACAGTAGAAGCCCAGGAAAAAGGGGCAAAAGCCCTGATCGAACGCATCATCAATGGTGGGGGAAAAGAGAAATCCCGGCAAGAAGATAAACGAAACCCAGCTAAAAAGGAAAAAGGGACGGTGAGAAGACAAAGGATGTCGGAAGAAAAACCTGTTGACGTTTTCTCTTCCTGGCCAAGTGGGAAGGCGGGAGGGAGGCCGGGGAAATCTCGATGACGTCGAAGTCGGAGTCGGAGTAGCCGTCCTCCATTGTTCCCTGATGGAACTGAAATGGAAGGATTCTTTAGGGTTTACAGAATATATATATAAAAAGAAACCATAGTAACAAAAAGAAATTAATCACACTCGCCTTCTCTGAAGGTATATATATATATCGATCCATGTAAATATAATAAACTGTTTCTTATTATAAATAAAACCTGTTGACGTTTTCTCTTCCCGGCTAAGTGGGAAGGCGGCGGGAGGGAGATCTCGATGACGTCGGAGTCGCCGTCCTCCATTGTTCCCTGATGAACTGACATAAAAGGGTAGGGGTTTTTTTTTTTTTCAATCGTCACACTCCAGCCAACATCCTAATATACAAACTGAATTTGTGACGGCGTAAAATTTAAATTTTGTCGCGCCCTAAAATGCACCAAATTGACACTCTTACGTCTAGTCTCAGTTTCAACTTAAACCCTAAACAAAACAAAAAAATCTCTTACCCCCTGCCCTGCTTGTCGTTGCCGGATTCTTATCTCCGACGCTGCCTACCTCAACCCGACTGTCGATGATGCCCTTTTTCTTCTGTCGGAGTCAGTGGCGGATCTAGGGGGTGGCCACCCCGGGCCCCGGCCCAGCCCTCCTCTGGATCCATAGTTAGTATAGGCTTTATGAATTTTTCGATTTTAGATATTCGGGTTGTTGTTATTTTAAAATAAGATTGGGTATAATTAGAAAAATAATTCAGATGAACATATTCAAAATCACTACTCTAAATTTAGCTTATAAATTCTAACCCCAAAGGTTATTCGTCTAAAAAAACAATGAAACCTAAAAATTCAAAAAGTTTAAAACGTAAAAGACTAAAACATATATGAGGTTTGTTACCTTGGAAAATTTACTAGAGCAGCTGGTGGATATAGGGATGGAAACACAATGTAAATTGATTAGTAGATTGATTTGTCTAGTGTTGATGCTGCTCGTTTCAACAGCTAATACGAATAGAACCTTTTCAACAACGAAACATGTGAAAATTGATTTGCGCAACAAAATGAGCGATGGATTTCTAGTCGATTGCTCAAGTATTTTATTTGAAACCGTGTATACTATTGGTATGGATATGGACTCCATTATTAATGCATTCGCTAAATTACAATACCGTCGTGTACAATTTATATTGTAAAAAAAATTATAATCATTATATTTTTTTACTATTCTAATTTTCTAATAAAATGCGGCCCAATGCACTTCTGTGTTCTGTATCCGCCGCTGGCCGGAGTTGATCCCAAACAGGAAGAGGAAGAAGAACGGAGAAGAAGGGCCGCCGCCTGTTGAAATGTTATATCATATATATATATATATATGTGTATTTTAGCGTAGTGTACGTATGTGTTCACTGTTTAGTAGTGTGGAGAGAGCCAGCCCATTTAAGGCCCATGCAGAGACACATGAAAAGCCCACGTGTGTTAGGGTTGGGACTTGGGAGGCATCTAATCTAAAAGAGATTGTTTGGATAGAAACATTCTCGAAATGAGTCAATTTGCGACAAAAGTCTCGTTTTAGAAAATAAGACGAGTGTACGAGAAATTTGTTTGGAATTGGCTTGTTTGGCTTCTCATTTGATATGAGAATGAAGCATATTATGATAGTACATTTTTGCCCTCGTCTTTTGAACCTCTTTCTTAGTCCTACTTTTACTCTGTTTGTAACCAGGGCATAATTTACAAGTCAATAAAGATGAACACTCAAATCACACTTGACAATCAACAGGAAAAAAAAAATCCATATCATAAATTAAAGTTTCAAATTAGAACACTGACAAATCACTGTCAAGGTCTCGTGCATTCAGAGGGAAAGCTACAAATCCTGGTGGTCGAATTAGAACACTAACCAGATCAATATCAAGCAATAGTGCAAGGTAACCATGTCCTCTGTCTGCTAGAGAGAAAGAGATCGGTGATTTCCCTCTCCATCTACTGGTCGTCGATGATTTCCCCCTCCATCACCAAGAAGCGAAAAATAAAAAGAGATAGGAAATGATTGGTGATTTCCCTCTCATTTGCTCGCCACCGAAAAAGATCTGCTCTGTCATCAGAAAAGATTCCCCTCTCCATTTACTCATTGCCGGAAATGATTTCCCTCTCCATCTGCTCGTGCTGGGTTTTTTGTCTGCGTCGCAACTAAGAGGGAACAGATAGGAAGATATTTGCATGTGAAAAATTCAAACAACGATGACATGATCTTTGGAGGAATGTCTGTTGTGTTCTGGAGATTTTCAGCAAACATTAACAGTAATTGATAAGGGAACTCGAGTAGATATTTCAAATTCTTCTATAAAGAAGGCATACGTATGGCCTTCACTGAACGTTTTGAAGCTCTCTCAAAATATGAGATTGTGCCGCAAAAATTGTGGCCCTAAAGAAACTGGAAGGCTAAATGTCGCCCTAGTTTTACTATTATCGCCCGAAATTAAAACATAAAACAACTAAATTACCCTTCATTAATCAAACAAGAAAAACAAAAAAAAATATATCCCTAAAATCCTAACCTTCTCCGACACAGTAGACTTCCTCCCCAAAGTCCAAACACCTTCATGTTCATTCTCCCCCGCCGTCGCCTACACTCTCATCCCCGATTCGCCAGCAGCAGTACCATCCACGAAGCTGCCGACCGCCAACAGATCTTCAAGTTTCTATTTGTTGGATGAGAAAGTTTGCAGTTGGAGCTAACTTGTTAATCATACAAGGGGGAAGCCTGAAGGCGAGCGTCAACAGGGAGAAGAAATTGGTTGTATTCGTGGGAGCCGATGCGGAACTAGTACGTTCAGTATGGCTATCTCAACCTACCCGTGGCTACCATCATCAACCTTTCCCGAATTCAGTTGCGGGTGGTGATGTTGGGAAAATGGCTCTTGGGTTCCTTTCCTATGTTGGGACGGTGGATGGCGACCGGCGGGCCAGGTCGGCGGTGGTGGGAATCACAGTTCATAGGCCGTTGCTAATGTCAATTACAATATGAATTGTGTTATTTACTTTCTTTTAATAAAATATTTTTAATAATAAAAAGTGAAGGGTAAAGAGGTCACAATAACTTGTAAATTAGGGCGATTAAATAAAATTAGGGCGACAATTAGCAACTCCCTAAAGAAAAGAAACTATTCATATTGTAGAATTCAACAGATAGATTTTGCCTATTGGTGATGGAGTGGGTTATAATATTTTTGGGGAGTCAACGATCTCAATTATTCGAACTTCTTTGAGCATTCCACATGATCAAGGAGATGAAATTGTTGATATTGTGAATCATGTGTACGAAGATCTCCATTTGAATTACAATGAAGGAACCTCTGTGGTTCATCATGCTATATTGGCTCCACCTCATGAAAAGGGATCGGAAATTAATAACAGTGTGATGAAAAGGGTTCCAAGAGATGAAGAGGGAGATTAATCGGTGGAGTTTCTCAATACATTGAAGATTAATAATTTCCCATACCATTCTATTAGGTTGAAGTTGGATTCCACGTCATTTTATTAAGAAATATGGATAAAAGTATAGGTCTCTGCAATGGTACAAGGATGATAATCAAGAGACTTGGCATAGGGTTTATTGAAATGGAGATTCTAATAGTAATATATACTCATATTGGTGATAGGGTCTTCCTACCTCATATTAAATTGTCTTCTCATTATAAAAGTCTTGATTTCACATTGGTTAGGAGACAACATCTTATTGCAGTTTGTTTGCTATGACAATTAACAAAGTCAAACACAAGCAAATTTTGATCCTTTTGACACAAATTACTTTTGGGAAGACAAATGGTATTTATGATGAGTAGGTTAGGATGTCACAAAACATTATGATGTTTATTCTTTTGAATGATTGAAGTATTTTTAATAATTTCGATTATTTTATGCTAGCAAGAGATTTGAATGTTCGATAATTTAAAAGATCTAGATTTTCTTATACTAACAAAAAAACATGAATCTCACATACAAATTGCTACTACTATATGTGCAATTGGCGAATGAATCCGGTTAACCGGTCGGGTCCATGACTAGCGTTGTTTTATGACTATATGTAGTTAGTGGCGGACCAATAAATTTTACATAGGGGTGTCCTCTTTTAAAAATTAAATTAATTAAATAAATATAATATTAAATAAGAAAATACCTAAAAGTTCACAATGTGTTTTCATATTCCGAAATAATTGTAGAATACACTTGGTGTCTCAACTGCTCAAAAAGATTGTCTATGTATGTCCTACTAGACAATCATTCACGAAATGATCGCATATTCTATTTCTAAATTTTTTCTTGATGTAATCCAATGCTAAAAATACTCTTCCAACACTTGTCGTACATTCATAAAATCAATGCAAGTTAAGGGTAGTTTGAAATTAGTTTAATTATTAGATTTTAAAAATAATTAGACTATTACACATTGTTTAAAATGGAACAACAAATGAGTTGTAGCATAATAGAAATTATGTTTATTATTAATAATAGTGTTATAGGTTTGAATTACCCAAACTATCACTTATATTCACATACGAAAACTAAAAAATGAGTAAGATAATCATTTTTTCAAATTTTGGGATTGTCCCCCAATATCAATTATAATTTTTTTGTTCATACGTAAATTACCACCCCCAAACTTCCATGGGTCCGCCCCTGTATGTAGTGTGTGTAGCTCCTGCTTGGTGATATCGAAAATCTGAGTAAGAATAGCAGTCAAAGAGAGTTCAACATCTTCCATGGATTAGTCCTTATAGGTAAAATTCGTCATCCACCTAACTTTTAACCTTAGCTACACTTCATAAGTCATCAAACAAAACACAATTTTATTTGAGTTTCAGTAAACGTTAAAAAGATCGAAAACATGAAGGTTCGTTATTATGACAGAATCATTGATCTAGAGTAAGAAAATGACCATGTGATTGCGTACACAGTTTCGACTCTAAGTTTTAATAGCACAATGAAAAAAAAAATTAAAGAAATAACGAAGTAAGTAGTGTTGTTTTGTTGACAAAAAATATTACTAAAGTGAATACGCCCGAATATGAAAAGGGGTTATTTTATATGTTTTGTATCTATAGTGTAAACTCCATGGTTGTCCATAATTGAAGCGTCTTTTGTTTTGTTCTTTGCCCTTTCAATCTTATATTTGTTTGATGTACCAACAAAATCAAGCATAGGGGAAAATCAAATTCCTAACTCCTAAAATTACTCACAAAATATATCAATGTTGCGGTAAAAATAACCTTCTATAGGAAGGTATAAAATAAATAAGGGTAATTTGGAGAATTGAATTCAAATCTATTTGGATTCTAATTCAAAGATTTAAATAGCCCACTTGTTTGATAAAATATTTTTTAATTTTTGTTATTTTGTAATTGTGCTAGTTGATGTTTATTGAAAAATAACATTACAAATCCCATCTAAAATCTCTATATTTGTAAGATATTTAATGCTCTGACGAATAAGGGTTTGGTATAGTGGTAATATCGTTATACTTGAATATGAAGATCTCAGTTCGAAGTAAATCATATCACACATATAAAAAATATAAAAAAGATTTAATGTTTCTAATAGTAAATTTATCAGAGAAAAGAATATAATAAATATAATATTTTTAGTATTTTAAGATTTTAAAATCTTTTTTATAAAGGTGATTTCAATTGTATATTAGAGAAAAAATACAATATACATTGACCCTAAATGCAAGCAATGCATAAAACAGGCAAATGACACCCTTGCATAAAAATGACAATGGATGACTCTGCAACATACATTTGATATGGCAGGGTCAGAAGCTTTTTAGTATTTTAAGATTTTAATTAAGAGTGTGAAATCTTTTAACCTTTCGATTTTCTTTCCAGGAAATTAACTAGGAGCTACGTACATTACATAACAGGCAAACTGACTTACTCTTCCTTATTCTTTCTCTGAGATCCTCAAAAATTTCTCCTCTTCTCTAATCCCTCAGCTGTTACAACGGCAAATTTTGGAGGATCCAACCGAGTCTTGATTTCCAAAACTACAATGATTGCGGTAAGTAATTATGTTATTATTTTAATTAAGCTTGTGACGTCTTCTAACCCATATGTTTTCTTTTCAGGTAATTAATCGGGACCTAGAGATGTTAAACAACAGGATTACGACCTTACTCAACAATTACCATTGTCATGCTGCTCCTTGCCGCAACTTCAGCTCCTTTCTTCGAAGGCTTCCGTGAATCGCCCAACCCCTCGACAAAATTGAACCACCTGAGCTCCATTCTCTTCTTCAATGTCGGCGGTTCCAGCAAGCCTCTCCCTGTAAAAGTTCATTGAATCGGAGCCATCCCTTTCCCTTGTAGTTTCCCCTCGTTTTTTCTCCATTTAGCTAATTGCACCTTGCTCATTTTCGGCTTCACATCATCGACCGTCTTGCGGCGGCTGCGAAAGAGCCTGTCTCTACCAAAGTTCCCTGAATCAGTGGCGACCATTCCCTTTGTGTTTCCCCTGCTTCTTTATCGGTTAGCTCCAACACAACTTGCTCATCGTGGTGGTGGATATCATTCGACAGTCTAGTGGCAGCAGACCAGGTGATCATTTTGTAGTCCCCTGCACTATATGTGTTTCCCGAGTCGCTGTCTTCTTCTTCCCGACCCGGGATCAGCTTCAATGGCGTGCTCAATCACTGGCGAGGAACTTGCTGAGGCCGTAGCAAACCGAAAAAATGGATTGCTTTATGAGAAGAGTGTGATTGAGAAATACATCAACGATACTGGAGTTTGTTCTGTTTCCAGTACACCAGTTACAGTTGAAGATCTATAACCATTAGGAATGGGCAAGATAAAGGTGCAAGCCCTAAAAGAAAAAAAATCTTCTTACCCCAAGAATGGAGTTGGCGGTGGAAGTAATATTATGATGGGTTAATACCTTATTATGGCCTAAACTATGACCATGTAATCAACTTTGGCCCGTGGTTTGAGAAATTAACATCCTGGTCTAAACTATGCAGCATATAGACAGAATTGGCCTGAAGCGTGGTTTGACCGTTTGTTTGGACGGTCAACACCGTTGACCGCTAGTCAACTGTCCAGATCACTGGCATGTCATCAAAAAAAATTTATCATTTCAATTTTCTTTTTATTTTCTTTATAAAATTGAATAATAAAGAAAATTTTATAATTTCATTTTTCTTTTTATTTTTCTTTATAATTGAATAATAAAAGAAAAAAAAATTCGGCCACCCATCCCCACCTTATCCCCTCCCCTTCTTTCCTTTTCGATCAGAGCCCAAAAAAACCCTAACCATTTTTTTTTCTTCCAACCATTGCCCCTCGTATCCACTGCATCGCCACCAACATTATCTTCCTCATATCCCCGACCAGAATCTAGGGCCGAAGTCATCCTTGCCAAAGACAACATCGTCGACCTAACAGAGTCGACCTCACCAAACCATCTTTCGACGTCGACGAATATGGAAAGAGATGAATGTTTCGTGGCGAAGGCCGGGATCTGGAAATCAATGATCGAGGGGAAGGGAGACAAATCGTCAATTTTGAATCGGAATTCGCGTTGGCGGCCCCTTGAAGCGCTTCGCGTGGGTCGAAGAGGACGCGACGATGAATGGATGCGGCCGGTAGGAGACGATTGGTGGGTTCTGAATCGCCGATGGAAGACGAGCGGAGGAAGAGGGAGATGAGGAAGGCGAGAATCGAAGGGGTCGAAAATCCTCCAGATTCAGGCCAGATTCTTCTAGGTTCCAAGTATTCGACTCAAATCGGAGGTTCCCGTGGTGGCGACGGTGGTGTCTTCTGTGTTTTCCGATCATTTTTTTTAAGTGAGCATCCATTTTTTATTTGTTTATGGGTTTCTGACTTTCTGGGGAAGATAAATGTGGATCTGGGGAGAAGACAAAGGGGGAGGGGCAGGGGCAGAAAGATGAAGAAAAATGAAAAGAGATAAAAAGATAAATGAAATTATAATTTTTTTATTACTATTCAATTTTATAAAGGAAATAAAAAGAAAAATGAAATTATAATTTTTTTTGCTGACATTGCAGTGACCTAGACAGTTGACTAACGGTCAACGGTGTTGACCGTCCAAACAAACGGTCATACCACGTTCCAGGCCAATTCTGTCTATATACTGCATAGTTCAGGCCAGGATGTTAATTTTTCAAACCACGGGCCAAAGTTGATTACATGGTCATAGTTCAGGCCATAATAAGGCATTAACCCTATTATGATTGGGTTCCTTTTATTTCTTATGGGACTCTGATCGGTGGGAAGACTGAAGAGGCAACCTATAAAGAGTTCACGTGCTGGGGTTTTATCCCAACAGGGGCCAGGTCGATTAGGGTATAAATGGTAGGTGTTTCCCGATTAAATTTGTGTAAGATTTTCTTAAAGCTCTCTGGGTCGAGCCTTATTTAGTACGAGGTTTGTTCATAGGGTTCAATGTATCGTGCGAGTTCCAAGGGAATTGTGCGACTATAGCTCTAATGGTGATGGCGATTGAGGAGTGGTGACTTATTCAAGTCAATCGGTTTGATAATCAGATGAGGGATTAAAGAGGTTTGATAATCAGATGAGTGTAAAGGGGGTAAATTCTACGCCTTACGTATTCTTTTAAGTATTATGATTTTAAGTATTTTAGCGAATTGTTTATCGTTGTTTGGTTATGTGTATGATTGATTATTTGTGCTTTGCTTGAGTTATGGTTTGAGGTGATTTTGTGCTATTTGATGTGATTTTGTTTGAGCTATGCTTGAAGTGAATGTTTATTAATTACTTTGAAATTTTACGAGTATAAGTTATTATTAAAGTTTAAGAAACAAGTTCTTTTTAAGAAGTAACTCACCTTCAAGAAGGTGAAGTCGTTTTAAGCGTTTTTAGTCACTAGCGCCAGTCCGTTGCCATTTGAGATCTTTGAGATAGAGCAGCAGTTATGCTCTTGAGACTTTTAAGATGAGCAGCAGTTATGCTCTTAAGAATCGTGGTGAAGAGCCACCACGATAAGTTTAAGATGTTAGGGGGATGAATCATTACGACTCCCCTAACTAAGTTTAAGTTTAAGGAAAGCCTGGATGGCTTCTCATACATATGAGTTGGCAACCGGACTAGCTAGTGAGGGATCCCAGTGTCAATCAAGTATTTAAGTCGAGATTTGAGTTTTAAGAGATGAGAGTAACTTCAACTCCCTCAAAGTTTAAGAGTTAAGACTTTAAGATCGGAAGTACAAACAACTTCCACTAGTCAAAGTTAAGTGTTTAAGTAAAGTACTCAAGTATTAGAATTATTAAAACGTAAGGGCGTAGACTGACCCCAACTCACTCACCAGGCCTTAGTAAGGGAATGAGCGAGAACCATATCGGTAGCAGCTAGCTAGAGGAGCAGTTAGAGAGCAGCGAGTTCGAGAGGAAAAGTTTGAGAGCAACCAGCTAGAGGAGGGCAGTGCAAGCGTCACGGAGGATGCCTAGTTAAGATTTTCAGTAGCAGCAACGACAGAGACTATCTAGTTATTTACATTTATGTTTAAGAGTATAGACTGGAGATAAGATTGAGATTTTAAAGTTTGAGTTTAATTTGCCCACGTCTTAGGGCTTTGCTCTGAGCCTCAAGTGTGTGTTTTCAGTTTTTTATTTATGAAAATTTTTCCCGCTGCAATTTAAGATTTGAGCATTTCGTTTATCAATGACATTTTAGTAAAAGTAGTACCCGGCCGAGTTAGGGTGTTTCTTAAATCAATACTTTGGAACATGTTTCACTCCTTCCCCAGATCCACGTGCTCAGCAGATGATTCTGACTCTACAGCAAATGAGGTCGGCGGAGATAATTCAGCTCCAACTCATAGCTTCCTCTTGTTCAAATTCCTCCAAACAACAACTAGTGGGATGTAGTAGTGTGGAGGTAGTGAGTTAGAGTATAATCTTTGAATTTCTATTTAGAGTTTAAGAGTTAAAAGCCTCAGTTTTATCTCCGCCATATTTTGTAAACCCACAAGGTCCACTTACTTTTTTTATATGAAGGTCAGCAATGTCCACTTATATTTTTTCAAACCCACAAGATCTGTTGCAATGAGTGATGAAACCTCCTCTGCTTACTCTCTCCACGTCTCCACCTCCTCTAGGGGCTCTGATTCATCTCCTTCAATGTTGCGTCTTGGCTCTCATCAAAACTTACTGGCAAGCACAGTTCTATTCTCTCCTCTATGCCCACTACAACAGAAATAAGTTTTTGTAACCAAGAAAAATGTTGGCGAAATAACAAAATTTAGTTGCGAAATCAACTTCTTTTGATAAAAGTTTTGATCATATTCGCGCTCGCTAGAAAAACCATTTATTTGGGTATTAAAATTCTTCACAACAAATTTAATCATTATTTAGTTACAAAAATATTGATTATAGTACTCTTAACGCGACCATTCACTTGATTAGTGATGTATATGTGTATTAGTACTCTCCTAATGAGAGGGGTCTACGAGATAGCTGAACAATTAAATTATTAATAGCTTGAAGTGTCTATGGGTATGCGATGAACAGTGGTAGACCTAGGACTATCAAACAAGTGTGTCGGCCAATAATAATAAAATATTATATAAATACAAATATTAAATACATAATAAATAAATAAAATTCATAAAGTTCATAATTTCATTGTTTTTTACAAAAATCACACCGACTTTTCATATTCTAGAAGGTTTATAAAATACATTCATTAGTAATGTTACAAATCAAACCTTTTTTATACTCATAACTTATTATGAAGATCATCCTTGATTAACTTTATAGCTAAAAAGATTCATTTGTAGCTTCCAGTTGCAACAGGTAAAATCAGTATCAACTTCAAAAACAAATTAACCAAAGGATAATAAGCGGTGGCAGATACATGTAGCTTTAGGGGTGTCCCGGGGGCCGGGACACCCCTAAAATTTAGAAGAACGATTATTCAACAAACATTAGGAGTTTCATATGGATAAAAAAATATAATTGATAATTCGGGACACCTCTAAAATTTGGAAAAACGATTATCATACCTTTGGTAGTAGTTTGCATATTAAAAAAATACAAGTGGTGGTATGTGTTATTCAAACCTAGGACACTACTATTATTAAACATATTCTCAATGAGGTTGCTCATTTGTTGTTTAATTTTAAAAACTATATATGCAATATTAAAAATGCTATATGACAAGTGTTAATTGTAAACATATTTCCAACGTAACTATTTCAAAACCTAATAATTAAACTAATTATAGGCTACCCTCAATTTGAATTTATTTTAAAACCTAATAATTAAACTAATTATAGGCTACCCTCAATTTGAATTTATTTTATGGGTACACGGCAAGTGATGAAAGAGTCTTTTCGATATTGAGTTACATCAAGAACAAGGTCAGAAATCGAATATGCGATCAATTCGTGAATTATTGTCTAGTAGCAGATTTGTTGAGCAGTGTAGAACGAAGTCTATTTTATATTATTTTTTTGGAATATAAAAACACGTTGTGACCTTTTGTGAAAATTTGTACTAGAAGAATATTTTCTAATTTATGAATTATTTAATTAAAATTTTTAATTTAATTTAATTTTTGAAAAAGGATACTCCTGTAAAAAATTTCTGGATCCGCCAATGATAATAAGTGTATTATACTCTTTCCACCATTCTTCTTGCTACCTTAACAATCTCTTACAATTCATTGAAGTGGTTATCTTTCCTTGACATGATAATTTTTAAATAAAAAAGTAGCGGGTACGAGCCGATTTATTCTTAAATGGCACTGTCAAAAATTCTTAAATGAAAATTTATTTTCTTTTGTTTAATAAAGAGCAAGCGTGAAATGGCAATGTTCATAATAAAGGGTTGCGAGCTTTCAAAATAAAATAAAAATTATTTTGTTCATTATTGTTAATAAAGACTAAATAAACACAGTATGTATATATTTATAACAATAAGATTCTTTAAGCATAATAAAGGTGTGTCGCTTACCAATTTCGAAGGTGTGTCGCAAGTTTCAGGATCAAATATTTTGTACCGACGAAACTGGGGCTCTCACACAAAAATTTTGATCGAAGTTGTGTCGGCCGACACACCTTGGCACTACTTGGGTCCGCCCTGGCTAGGGATGGCAATGGACCGGGTTAGGTTGGGTTTCCAAATCCAAACACAAATCTATGGGAATATTCACCAAAAATATCAGAAGTAAAACCCATTGGGTTTGGAAAACTCAAACCCAACCCAACCAACTGGGTATCCGCGGGTTTATGGATACCCACGGGTACTGTTGTGAAAAATGCACAATAACAAGTCTTTGTCAAAATAAAAGTCTAACATCATTCTTGTCATGCAAATTATCGAAATAAAAAACACTAATCTAGAGCATACAAGCAAACCACAAAATATCCATACAAATTGTTCAACATTAAAGATAAACATCCATAAAGAACGTGATTAATTGAAAGCTTCTTCCTCCCTGTCAACTAAGCTTCTTCACTCTCCACTTCATAATATCAACATCATTCTACACAATTAGGAAAAACAAATTAGACATGTCTCCGCAAACATAATGAAGATATAATGCTTAGAATATTAGAATGGGGGAGTGGCCTAATGGGAGGGTAAGTGGGTAAGGGATTCGTGGTTGGGGACGGTACGAGATTATTGGTAGCTTATAAGGCTATGAAATTGCCTTGGTAAGTCTACAAGGCGAAGTGGTAATGGATAGCCGTGAAGGCGATGATATGGTACTGGATGGCTGTAAGAGCAATAATGCCTATATGATTGGTTATCTTATATGATATATGTTGTGTGACTAAAATAGAAAGATTGTTTGGTCACTTAAATCAAATATAATGGCGCCTTGTCATGCACTCTATATATGTGATTGGATATAGTGGCTATACGCCTAGCTTTCTGGGAGAGCGATACCAAGCCTAGTTATTGCTAAAAAATATGGAAAAGAAAAAGAGCAGCCATTTCGATCCGAGTTCCAAACCAAACCTCGGCGATGCTTTGGCGGTGCCTAAGACATATTTTGAGTGGTGCTTTATGCATCTATTGCTGATGCTTTACGAATCTATTGGTAATACTTTATGAATCTACTGGATAACCCCGGGGAATTGCATGACCTAGAAAAGTAAAGGCTAAAGACACTTAATTAGTCTAACAACATGTATGTGTTGTGGTTGGTTACCAATTCATGAATGGGCACTTGGGTAATATGATGACATATGGTTACTGTTATGCTTGTCGCTTCTTATGAGAGTGGCATAGCTATAGAATGTGATGCTAGTGACTGGAATACTATGAGAGTGGCATAGCTATAGAATGTGATGCTAGTGACTGGAATACGTAAGGAAAAGGGGTAACACGTCATCCTGCTATTGTATTTGCATTGAAATTGTTATTAGGTTACTATTTACTCATTGAAGTGATATCTCACCCCGTCAAAGTTTTCCCTAGATCCGAAGTCTTTCACTAGAAGTCAAGAAATTCAGCAAGACTCAGTCGGCAGCAATGAGGTGGAACGGTGGGCTCGAACTCCAACATGACCGTATTTATAAGTATTTTGAGAGAAGATGGTCTTCTTTATTGTCATGTGGTTAATAAGTTTTAAAGTTTTTATAAATTATGGTTTGGTTTGTAAATTAAACAAACATGGTACGGTTTGAGAAGAATGTTGATCATTGTAAATGGTTTCAAATATATATGGGTGTTACAGAAAGGGATTGTGATATTCGGTTTAATGATTGGGGATGTGTGGTGCAAGGCTCAATGATGAGGACGAAAGTGAGCCTAGGGCATAAAGAGGGCCGGGTATATGTCCTCGACTCTCTTCAATCTGAGGGTTGGCTGGCTGGTATAGAGGGTGGGTGTCGTGACTCTAGTGGTGCTTCGAGCCAACTTGGTGCAGCAGGAGCTTTGAAGTTTCAATCTTTAATTTCTAGTTTTCAGTTAGCACTAATTTGAATTATGATGTTAAGACCAAAGTGAATCAAATTGATGCAATGTTATTCTTTACCCCTTTAGGGGTCGTTTAGAAGTGTGATCTAATGTGGTGCGTTATTGACTATTTGTGCACGAATAACTTATAATTTGAAAATGTTGTTTCATCATTTTCATTTTACGAGCTTAGTAGTGCGCATAAGACCTTGTTAAGTGAATTTGTGAGCTAAAACGATGAGGTTTCGTGTAATAATTAGCATTAGTGCTGATTTTACAGATTCTCCAAAAACAAACAAAAAAATCGAAACAACTTGACCTGATCGAGTTGAAACCGGATTTGATGGTCGTTATCCTTAGGGATGGCAACAAAAATCGAACCCACGGGTACCCAACTCGGTCAACGCGGGTAAAACTAGTGTTGACGGGTTTCGGGTCGAATTCAGGTTTAAACCCGTTACACTGTTCACCAAGTTGGGTTGCGTTTGGGTTTAGGGATATTCAACCCATGGATACCCGTGGCTTGGGTTTGGATTCGGTTTTAAACCCATTTAATGTGTTTGTTTTATTGTTTGTAGATATAAACCCATATTGAAGATTATTGAGAAGAGGTGGGGAGAGCATTGAGTAGGCCGTTGTATTTTGCCGCCCATTGGTTGAATCCACAAGTTCATCATGGAAAAGGATTTTGTTTTGACCGTAATGATAAACAACTGAAATTGGGGTTGTATGAAACTGTGAAAAGATTAGCAAGAGATCCTCAAGAGAAACTTAAGATCATGGAACAATTGTCAGAATTTCACAATGCTAGGGGAATGTTCAATTCTTATGGAGCAATGCAATTGTTGGATAAAAAGCATTTTACAAATTGGTGGAATGATTTTGGGGATGATGTTCCCGAGCTTCAGAAGTTTGTTATTCAGGTTCTCAGTTTGACTTGTTGATCCTCTGGAAGCGAACGAAATTGGAGCGTATTTGAGAGGGTAAATTTCTAAAGTTTGTTTACTTACTTCATATTCATTTGTATCATATTCTGATATTTGCTTCATTTTTGTGGATACGACTAAGAAGAGAAATCGTTTGGTTAAAAAGAAGATGAATGACCTTGTGTATGTGATGTATAACTCAAAGCTTATGCGGAGGTAATGTAGAAAGATTGAACATATGTTTGAAGATATTGACTCTGATGACGAATGGATTGTTGAAGATTGAGCGGCTAATGAAAGTGAGGATGATCAACTTTCAATCAATAAAGGAATGCATCAATCGATGAGTTACCTTTGTCGGATGATGGTGGTGATCAAGGATATATGGTGAATGTTGAAGGTACTTCAAGTGAACCTGTGAATGACGATATCATTGCCCAAGCAAATCGACAAGAGTTCTATGAGGATGGCAGTGAGGGTGAGGGTGAGAGTGATGACGATGTTGTTGAGGACTTAGATGTTAACATTGATCCTAACGATTTGATGTGATTTTTTACTCTTTAACCATATATATTAGATTAAGTGATTAGGTTGCTTATTTGTGTTTTTGTGTCATGTACTAGAACAAATCTATGGAGTTATTTGTGTTTATTTAGCATACAACCTATCTTGTGAAGTAATTAAGTGATATGCAGTTGACTGTTATTCAAAATATGTATTGCTGTAGTTACTATCCGGTATTTTAAGTGTTAATTTTAATAAGAACCTTAAAAATCTTATGATTTTACGATTTTAATCTACGATTTATATTTTACCTCAGTTTTCGATTTTACGTAAAATCACGATTTTGACTACATTATTGTACCCGCCCACACCCATAAAATCAATTTTCAAGTTCTCAAGGAAGAAGAAGCTTTCAATTAATCATGTTGCTTATGGATGTTTATATTTAATGTTAAAAAATTTGTATGTATAATTTGTAATTTGCTTGTAATTGGCAGAACCCGACCCATTGTCATTCCGGATTATCTGCTGGTCCGTTCCTATAACCGGACCGCCAACCTAAACATTGGACCTAGTTACCAACTTACCATTCGAACCTTAAACCTGAAAGACGGGTCAGGCTACGAACTGCTGGCACCTAGCGGGACTCGGCAGTATTCATCTTCCAACTCCCCCGACTGTTCCTTCCACCAAAGTACGATCCAACGAACTTCGATCGACGAAACCAAAACTTGGTGTGGCTCGTTCCCCTTTCTCTGCCTACTTCCAGTATCTTTCCTTCCGGCGTATCTTCCATCCGATTTCAAGACACACAGAAAGCAGAAATCTCGTTTCTCGCGGTTGTCAAACCTCTTTAAGTCTCAGTCTCTGCCCGAGTTTGTTCCGATCAGTCTTTGGTTCATTAGCTCTCACAGTTCTTCCGAGGTACGGCCATAACTTCCAAATTGATCTGCAGTTCCAATTTCAGTCTTGCTAATCTCAGTTTATGCATTTCGAGTTCCCAATTGATCGTCGCTGTCAGGGATTGTGTTTGGTCGATCGTTGGAGCGATTGCTTCTGTTGGAAGGAAGATTGTTTGTGTTAGGGATTTCTTCTCGCGTCATTTCAGAAAAAAACCCCACCCTTTTCATCAGCTGCTGTTGAACTGTTGAAGCTGACTTCCCTATTCGACCCTTTACTCATTCTCCCTGCAGGTGACTAGGGATTTTGAACGGGCATTGTACTGTGACAGAAATCATGGTAAGGGTCCCGTGTTCAGTTGTTGGACTTGTCATCTGGGCGGGTTTCTTTTTTGCAAGTCTTGAACTGATAGTCAATCCTTTTACCCCCAGAATTACCTTATTGGAGCTTTCAAGCCTGCATGTAACATATCAATCACATTAAATGACGCGAAGATGCGGAAACAGGTATGAATTCCTTTCTCTGTGCTGCTACTGGAGTTTTGAGACACATTGTGCGTAGATAAGAGAGTACCCGTCCAAATGTCAGGTATATATACTTGGGTTGCCTTTCTTATGGTCTTGAGGATCTGGGGAAGCTTTTCCAATGTGGCATTGTTTAATACCACAGTTTTTTTGAATATTGATCATAATGTCAGATTCCTCCTGAACATAGCTGTGTCCCTATGTCTCAATCAAAGGCCTTGGCTAGGTTGGAGAGGACCTTATCAGCTCATGCACATGTTTAGTGGTTTCCATATACTTTGTGATCGCACCATGTGATTCTCATCACAGAAGGAAGTTATTCATAGAAATGTTAAGCTCCCACATAATCAAGTTACCTATTGTGGTCTGTAGGATCCGATACAGCCTTTTGTACATAGTACTTTTTTGGGGCTGTATTGTGCCTTCGTTTGTGCACGAGGAAAGTTTATTATGTAGCCTGGTCTTCGACCATTGTTTTCAGACCATAACTTCTTTTTAATACCCATTATATCAGACTGTTGTATACCACTTATTTTGCGGTGACCTCTGCTGCTCTGATTTATGTATTATCATGGTGCATAGGTTCCTGTGAAGAAGGAGAATGGCCAAAGCATTATGATTCCACTTTTTCAGAGCCAAGAAAGTGTTGCTGGCAAGGTGCATGCATCACTGTCTTATCATTATTTAGTTCTGAGCATTTTGTTTTGCATCCTTTGATTGTCCAATGCAAGATTGGTTACCTGAATTCTCAAGGAGCTTTTGGATTTGGGATTGTTTTAGGTTGTGATTGAACCACCTCTGGGGAAGAAGGTCGAACACAATGGTGTTAAGGTTGAGCTTCTTGGTCAGATTGGTGAGTTTGTAACTTAACCACCTTACTTTTCCCCTTACAATTAAAGGTGCCAGTGAATGTGAGATATGGGCATCTTCATCGGGTTCTATATTCTTTTATCATGCACTCTTTTTGAATTATAAGTTGATAAAACAGAGATTGCTTTTTTCATTTTTGTTCTTCTTTGATATTATGATCATGAACAAGATATTCTTAGATTGCTAGATAGTGACCTGTTGTGGACCTGTTCCCCACTAAGGTGTTTGAGCCATGGAGGTCTTGAGCTTAAATTTGGTTTTGATTTTATATCACTTTTATTTTATTTTTTTCTTCAAAGAAAATAAAAGTATTTTGTATTAGTGCCAAGAACAATTTTTTCTTCAAAGAAAATAAAAGTATTAATTATTAGTGCGAAGAACAAAGATTGGACTGCTCTCCTTTTGTATAAACTGCTGAATCGGGTCTCTGAGAAAGTACAGGGTGTAATGAGAAGCTAAAATCTCTTGTTGTCTCCAAAGTACTGTGTGTTTCAAATCATTCGTATGCTTGGTTTTGGCATTTCTTTCCTTTACGGGGGTTTGATAGAGCTGGTTATCTAATGCAAGGCTAGTAAAAAACCAGAGTTATTGGCACGAGGTTGATCTCACCATGCAGATGCAAACATCTATCCCGTCCTAGGTTCAAGACCTTGGAGCTAACAATCAACTATAAAGAGAAAAATAATGAGAACTAGTTAATTTGCTGGCGAGAGTCTTTATCACGAAACGGTATTGGATAGAGAAGGCTTTTTTCTGTGTCTTGTCACACTGGGAACTGTGGTTTTCTCAGCAGTATGACTTGTTTTTAATTGTCTGCTAATGTTCTCTTCTCTTGTCCGGTGGTAACTGTTTTTCTGTTTTTGTTACTTTGCAGAGTTGTACTTTGACAGAGGCAATTTTTATGACTTTACCTCTCTTGGTGAGTACAATTCTCTTTTTGATATGTTATTTCAAGATTCAGTCTCATTCTTACCTTCTTGTCTCTCCTTTGGAGTTGGTTATCAAAGGCCAATCATTCTGTTTAGTTCAATGAGTTTGGCTTAAGCAAACCATTGATGACTTGATTCCTTGCTTTGTGGGCAGTACGTGAACTGGAGGTCCCTGGAGAATTATACGAAAGGAAAACATATCCTTTTGAATTCTCCACAGTAGAAATGCCGTACGAGACGTATAATGGGGTGAATGTTAGGCTCAGGTATTTCTTTATTTATTTACTCTGGAGATGAATTTCTTCACTTGCGAATTGGTTAAAAGTTTTAGTTGGATTAGATGCACCTTTGAGAAAGATTGTGTTGAAGGAGGTAGAATACGGCCTTTTGTTATGGTTGCTTCTTATAGGATACTGAGGCAAACTCACCCAAGATGATTTGGACAGGTGAAATCTAGATATGATTTCTAGGGTTTATAATTTAGATGGCAAGGGAAACCTACTATGAACATGGTACATAATCCATCAGAGTACAGGGTGCCTGTCATACTTCACACGGAGTACTGTGTTTGTTTATGTTCCAAAAAATTAGGTCCTTCTAGGTGATACCTGTTTTATAGTGGCTCAAGTGCTTTGCCAGCATATTATTCAACAAATGGAAGTTTGTTTTTGTTTGCCCACTCAGTAAATGAAGCAGTACTCCTGTTACCACAACAAATATCTGTCATCATGTTCTTATTAGTTGCAAATACTCTATTGGTAAACACATTTGCTTTCTTTTCCCTTTTATATTACAGGTATGTGCTGAAAGTGACTGTAAGTCGTGGTTATGCTGGGAGCATAATTGAATACCAGGAGTTTGTGGTAATATATTTCTTTTCCCTCCCTCAAGCACACTTGTCATTGTTTGACGTTCTTGACTTGTTTTTAGGGAATTCTTGTACCTTTGGTATGGAAATAGGGAGGTATAATTTGGAGAATGTGAGAATTTTGAGGATAGTGTGAGGCTTTGAGGAATTGATTTTAGTAGATGGTTACAGCATAGTTTGAGAAGGAAAAAGCGAGAGGGTAAAGCTTAACTTATAAGTTGTTTGAGCAATAATTTCCTGAATAATATTCTTTTTCATTATTAGTTTAGGCAAGAACTGAAATTGAGAAAAGGGAGAGTGGAAAAAGAAGTGGATCAATATTTTTGCCAGGAAATGGGGTCACTGTTGAGGGGGCGTGGAATTGGTTTGCTTTCAACTGGATTCATCTTCTCCTAAACAATGAACTGCTGGGTTCATCTTTGCCTTGTTTATTGCTCTATGCTATTATTCTGCTTGCGATCAAGTTCACTGATATAACAAGTTACTGTTCCAGGTACGAAACTATACTCCACCTCCACCTGTTAACAACAGTATCAAGGTTAGTGCTGTATCTAGAAATGCACAGGGAATATATGTCACTGTTTGTTTCCCAACTTGCCACTATGATAGCTGACTTAAGTTAAACTGGTATTTTACTCTCATACATGGTAGAAGCATAGGGTAGAAATTTAGTGATGAATCCAAAGTGCATTTCTTTTAATATATATCATAGTGCATGGAAATTACATCCATGTTGCTCACTTGTGTAGATGGAAGTTGGAATTGAAGATTGTCTACATATTGAGTTTGAGTACAACAAAAGCAAGTAAGTCATCTGATCTTTACACTTGGTTTTGGTCAGTGTTGTTCGTGGTACTCGTGAGATCCATACTGGGAATTTATTTATGGCCGCCGAGCTTTCCTGTTTCATATAAGATCCAGTATGGTTGTTGAATTATATAATGGCGGTGTCAGCTAGTAAAACTATCATAGCGGTGGTACACTAGAAAGGCACTAGCTTTTTCATAAATGATATTGTGATGATGGGTTTGTGAATACAGCATGCTGCAAACCATATTGGTTTGATAATAATTTTGGGGAATCAACTGGGTTAACCTTTAAGTGGATACACGTAGTAGTCCTGTTCAATGATCAATGGGCCTAATTGTTTGTGCAGGTTTCATCTGAAAGACGTGATTATTGGTAAAATCTATTTTCTTCTTGTAAGAATCAAGATAAAAAATATGGATCTTGAGATCCGGCGCAGAGAGTCGACCGGGTCAGGGGCGAATACACATGTTGAGACAGAGACTCTAGCTAAATTTGAGCTGATGGACGGAGCTCCTGTACGGGGTATGTTCAAGTTTCTTTTCTAAACCAATTCACGCTTAGCCGAAACAAGATCTTGAGCACCAGGGCAGCAAAATCCCTAGCACTCTTTGAAAAATGTCTACAAACTAAAAAAAAAAGTTACAAGGAGTGGAGAAAAAACGAAAAATGAAAACAGATTTACACTGAAAATTGGAAACTGTATGCATAAGTTTTCATTTTATTTTGAAGTTCAGATATAGCTGGATCTGATTTGATGCATTTGGTAATGCATTGTGACTTCTGTCCAGGTGAATCAATTCCAATCAGACTGTTCCTCAGCCCATACGAACTGACACCGACGCACCGCAATATCAATAACAAGTTCAGTGTGAAGTATTATTTAAACCTTGTTCTGGTGGATGAAGAGGACCGTCGCTACTTTAAGCAGCAGGAAATTACAATATACAGGATGCAAGAAGATTCCTGATTCAAGGCAACCATACTTGGGATGATGAAGGTTTTATCTGAATATAGAAAAGATTGACAGCCATTTGACAAAATTGTAAAGCTTTTTCTTCAGTTACAGTTGAAGCTAGTGGGGGTCGACGATCCTGTCTCTGCAGGAAGCTACTGGTGTAGTACCTCGTGTTTGCGAAATCTAACCTTGTGACGTGGCTGGTGCAAGTTACGCTGGGTGGCAGAAGTTGAGAGTGAGGGATGCCTCATGCTCTTTCCGGTTGCTTCTGCACTGCCATATGCTAACCTTTGTTGCTTGCAGCTGCCTGTAGTTATGCTTTGCTGTTTAGAATGAAATACATGTTGGCTGGAGAGATTGTTACAGCGGTTGATGCCAAAGTGTTTTTAGTAGTTTAGGATGTAGCTGGGATATTTTATTGTGCTGTGTTTATGGGAAATTAATTATATAATTTAAGCATTCTGAGAGTGGGGGGTACAAAGAACAGGAATTAACCGGGGGCAGCATGCTATTTTTTTTTTGCATAATCAAGCATTTGCTGAATGTTGATTTCCTAGATTATGCTTTGGGGTGTGTTTGGTTTGGTTTGGTTTCCTAGACAATGTACTTGTGAAGGAATGATAGTTGTATCATGCGAATCCTATCTGGGAAAGGATTTGTTTGTTTTTATGTATTTGTGGCAAGAGATTGTGTAGCAACACATTTTTAAGAGTTGTTTTTTTTAATTACCCAGTAACCTAAGCCCCACGTGGGTCCTACTAAATCTGGGGACCACCTGCAATCAAATTCGACGCTGCCTTGTACCTCTGGGAACACCAACGAGCATCGCTTGGATTAGAACCTGGGAGTGGGATCTGCAACTCCCAAATCTTAACTGTCGCGCCAGCTTTACCGTTAGGCTATCTTACCTTTAGTAGAATTGTTTCTTTTCAATGTAAAACTTAGTATAATTTTATTGCTTAGACTATTATTATGCGGTTTGGAATAACAATTTATGCAGCGTGTTCTTAACTAACTAAGTAACTATTCATACATTGATACATAGGAATGGAAACTGATTCCTCATAATCCAGCCCTTTTTTTTTATTCTGCATTCACAATGAATTTGGTCACAAACAAGAAAGCTAGAAAAACAAATGTTCACAACAAATCAGGATATTCCTAATTGTCATATTATTAACTTAGGAATTTCGTGCCAGCAACCCAGTTAAAGAGTCTGAATTTGAGCATAATTAAAATTCTCCACTTAGTTAATTCTCATTTAAGGCAAGTTTCTGAAATTAACGTTCCAAGCACCAGCTTGAAGCCCTTTCATCATGCACTTGACTCCTCTCCTAACCCAATGTGTAGGCAATCAAGAAAGAAGATGACAGCTTATGCAGCTGCTTTAATGGCTGGACTCTTGGAAAATTGAAACTATATATACCTCTTCTCCATCGCCACTCAAATCACACATCATTTCATTTCCCCATCCACCACCAAATCACAACAACAACAATGGCTTCCTCTACTCCTTCTCCTTGTTCTAAATCCTCTGCAAATTCCCTCTCCCTGACTCTGTTTCTTCTGCTCTCATGTTCATTCTCTGCTGCTCTGCGGTACCAACCATCATCCCCTTCTCCACTGAAACTCGTTTCTCCGGCGGCAAAAGGAGGACAAGGGCAAGCGGAAAGGATGATTCGCTCCCTGAATTTGTTCCCCAAACACGCAGCCAACGTCGTTTCGAACGACCATTCGGGTCACAACGACGATCATCATCAGCCGGGAATCAAAGAGAAGCGGTTCAGCTTCAATGTCACCGGCGGCGCAGGCCCGTCAATTCAGCAGTTCGGTCATTACGCCGGCTACTATTCCCTTCCCGACACCAAAGGCGCCAAGTAAGTGGACAGACATGAACATTTAATTAACTCCACCAAAATTTCAATCCTAATCCTCCTTCTGATGACGCATTTTGGTTTGTGCAGGATGTTCTATTTCTTCTTCGAATCCAGGGTGAACAACACCGATGCGCCGGTGGTGATATGGCTGACCGGCGGGCCGGGTTGCGCCAGCGAGCTTGCTCTGTTCTACGAGAACGGTCCGTTTAAAATTACAGAGGACATGGCTCTGCAGTGGAACGATTATGGTTGGGATCAGGCATCGAACATATTGTATGTCGACCAGCCGACGGGGACGGGGTTCAGCTACACGACCGACGACAGTGACATCAGGCACGACGAGACCGGTGTCAGCAACGATCTGTACAACTTCCTTCAGGAGTTCTTCAAAGGACACTCGAAATATGCGGAAAATGATTTCTACATCACCGGAGAATCTTACGCCGGACATTATATCCCTGCTCTGGCTTCGAGGATTTTCAAAGGGAATCAGAAGAAGGAAGGAGTTCACATCAACATGAAGGTAAGAAATCTTTAATTTAGTCTGGCCGGCTCGATTTCTCGATTAAAATTCAAATGGGTTCTTACTTCTTACTTCTCACCAATGTAGTAAAAATTACATTTTAAAACATAAAACTTTATGTAACCAAAGGGCTTCTACACAGAATTGAGCTTTTTTACTTACAAATGCAGTCGAAACTATGCCTTAAAACTTTAAAAGCTTACATTTTTACGCGCTTCATGTTCACCAAAAAGCTTGTAAGAGGAATCGCGATTTTGACTACATTGCTTCTCACTGCTTGACAGGGATTCGCAATCGGAAACGGCCTCACCGACCCTGCATACCAATACAGAGCCTACCCTGACTTCGCCCTCGCCGCGAAACTGATCTCCCAATCCGACCGCGACTCCATCGCCAGCGACCTCGTCCCGCCCTGCGAATCCGCCATTGCTGCCTGCAGCCCGCAGAGCGAGGATTCCTGCGATGAAGCCCTCGACACCTGCAACCAAATCTTCCAGTCCATCCTCCAGATCGCCGGCAACATAAACGTAACCCCCTCAAAAATACAAAAATCCCATCAACATCACAATCAATTCCTATCCTTGAAACCAAAATTTTTTCCCCCGTGCAGTACTACGACATCAGGAAACAATGCGAGGGCCAGCTCTGCTACGACTTCTCCCGAATGGAAAACTTCCTGAGCGAGGACACGGTGAAATCGGCGCTGGGAGTGGAAAACGACATCGAATTCGTCTCCTGCAGCAGCGAGGTCTACGACGCGATGATGGGGGACTGGATGCTCGATTTTGAGGTCGGGATCCCGGCGTTGCTGGAGAGCGGGATCAAGGTGCTGATCTACGCCGGCGAGTACGACCTGATCTGTAATTGGCTGGGGAACTCGAACTGGGTCAACGGGATGAAGTGGTCGGGGCAGAGGAATTTTCAGGCGGCGGCCAGCGTGCCGTTCGTGGTGGCGGGAAATTCGAAATCGGCGGGGGAGGTGAAGAGCTATGGGCCGCTGGGCTTTTTGAAGGTGTACGATGCGGGCCACATGGTGCCCATGGACCAGCCCAAGGCCGCGCTGCAAATGTTGGAAGGGTGGATGCAGGGAAAGCTTTGAGCCTTTTGACCAATCCTTTTGCAAAAGCAAAAGAAGAGTTATCTTCTTTGAGGATGGGATTTCATATGTGAATTATTATTAGATTGTGTGTGATATTTCAATCACGATGAAATTGATGTGATTTGTAAAAAATAAATTGAGGTATGTGTAATTAATAATAAAAAAATAACATTATTTGTGGTTAAATGGGGATATTACGTTGCTTTAACTTTCACGTTCTCGTGGATTAACAGACACATGACTTATACTATTTTTAATTAATATGGAACAATGGACTGCGGAGAATTTAAAAATGAAACGGAGCAGGTGGTTTAAATTTGAGTTCGACTAGCTGGTTGAACGAGCAGTGTAGGAAGATAGATTGATGCGGTGCGAGAAGGAGAATAATAATGTTGTAGTATGCTCGAGCTTGGATCAATACCGTATTAAAGCCATGTGAGTGGCGCAAAAGAGGGGAAAAACCTTCAAATCAAAGTTGAGTGAGAAGTTGACTACAAAAGAAAGACTTGTTATGAAATAAAGATAAGGAGTCAATTAATTACATGACGATACACAAGAATATCATAATTCTCAAGAAAGCAAACGTATGAATTTCCCTTGTAATTTGGCACGTTAAAAAGAATAGATAATTTCAGTGACCATTAAGGTAATTCACCATGTTTAGGGTTTCGTAGCTTAGGAAGAAAAAAACGGCACCGTATAGCTGCGCGGCGTATATTTGGCGCTTCAGTTCCCGCCGTTAGCGGTAACCGCAGTTGGGAGAGAAGTTCAGAAGAAGAATCCCGAGAACCTGAAAGAACAGAGTGGAAGCCATGTTTGGTGCCGTTGGAGCTCGAGGGATTACTTGCTTCAGCTTCAGGCATCTGATAATGCACTCCAAGACTACGACGCCGAGATTCGCTCTTCAACCGAGCTGTTTCTCGACCTCAACGCCGAGGAAGCGAGTTGGCACCCACAACGGCAGCTTTCACTGCGACGAAGCCCTCGCTTGCTTCATGATTCGCCTCGCCGATAAGTTCTCCGGCGCTGAAATCGTCCGCACCAGGGACCCTAAGGTAAATAAATAAAACTCTCTCAATTCAATTTGTCAACACGGAACTTGGTAATTCGTCGGTTGAAGTTCTTTTGCGCCATTTTTCAATTTGTTATTCCGATAATTCTATTCAAGGTGCTGGAGACGCTGGATGCGGTGGTTGATGTGGGAGGTGTGTACGATCCGAGCCGGGATCGGTTTGATCATCACCAGAAGGGATTTGAACAAGTGTTCGGCCATGGGTTTAACACCAAACTCAGCAGCGCTGGCCTCGTCTACAAGGTTTTAGCTTGTAAACCCTGCCTTCGTTAATCCATGAAATGAAAGTTGGTAATCTAGATGTGGAACTTTGGGATGTGTTTGGTTTAACCTTTCAGCATTACGGGGCTCACATAATTGCGAAGGAGCTTCAGCTGGATGAAGGTGACTCCGACGTGCATCGGTTATACCTATCCATTTACAAGAACTTTGTTGAGGTACTGCAAAAGATACAATTTTTACCGTTGTCGACCGACCTATTTAGCTATGAAACTACTTGTTTCGAGCTGGTGTTGCTTTAAGTTTGATTGAGACTTGGTGGTATGTGGCAGGCAGTTGATGCAGTTGACAATGGAATCAATCAGTTTGACAGTGATAAGCCTCCTAGATATGTCAACAATACAAGCTTATCAAGCCGAGTTTCGAGGCTGAATCCGGAATGGACAGAACCTGATCAGTCTTCTGAGAAAGAGAATGAAGCGTTTGGACGTGCTATGGGGCTCGCTGGTTCTGAATTTTTAGAGGTTTGAGTTTTCCGTGATCTTTAACTTATTTCAATTGCCAAGCTAGCAGCTTGGAGAACTTTGCTTTCTTGGGCGAATTCGAGTGACAGCAACAAGTTAGGGAAGCTGATTTAACAATGTTCACGTGTTGAAGAGTATCCGCTTCCATGCAAAGTCTTGGTTACCTGCTAGATCAATTGTGGAGGAGTGTCTTGCTTCAAGATACCAAGTTGATGCCAGCGGAGAAATCATGGTTATGCATAGATCTTGCCCTGTAAGTGAACATTTTTATACGTTGAAAACTATTGTAGTTGGTTTCAGTGTGAAGTTTCTTTCCAAATTATCCTTACTGGTCATACACAGAATGCTCTATCCGACTTTTTGAATGACCATGAATTGTATTACCATCCGAATGCCCAAAGACATTCTTATCAATTCTTGGAAGCTCACTGTGTTTGATTTTGCTGCAGTGGAAGCTCCACATATTTGACCTTGAGAAAGAGCTCGGGGTGATTCCAACCATCAAGTATGTTCTTTACAAGGTACTTGACGAACTAGTATTTGCATCTCATTTTTTATTAGTACTCTACTTATGGCAGTTCCAAATCCATAAGTTTGCCATCACAAAATCTTCCTATTTCCCTCTTTAGATACGGAGGTCTTATGGCACCAATTTTCTATTTGCAGGATGATAGGACTCAAAACTGGCGTATACAGGCAGTAGCTGTATCACCTGATGATTTTCGAAGCAGGAAACCGCTACCAGTTAACTGGAGAGGTTTGGAAAATGATAAGCTCTTGGAAGTATCAGGGATTTCTGGCTGCGTGTTTGTCCATGCAAGTGGGTTTACTGGTGGAAACCGAAGTTATGAAGGTGCACTTGAGATGGCAAGAGCTTCTTTGAAGGCTTAAATAACAGGGATTTTGTTGGAAACCATCTGCAGATGATTTGTTGGAGAAAGGTACAATCCTCCAAATGTTGCATCTAGCAAAACAATTCTTTGGTTTGTTCTCACTGAATTGTTTCTCAAAGATCCTCCTATTTCTAACAAGACCTCTCACCTTTTCGTCATTTGTAAAGATGTTGCAATTTTGAACCTATTAGAGTTGAAATGACATGTTTCTTCTTTATGATTTGATTTTGAATCATGCCTCAATGGCACCAACCATGAAATAATTTCCACTTGAATTCTTTCATCTGGTTCTTGACTTTTCACAAAAGTGTGAGAGGAAATGTACTCACAAAATTGTTCCAAGCTAATATTTAAAGCATTTTGCATGTTGCCTTAATTCGTCTCTACTTTGATGCATTCTCTTTCGAGTTGACTCGGAAGTAGAATGCAGTGCGTGAAGAATATTGTCATCCACAAAACAAAGCCATTGTTTGTTTGTAAGGCAGGCTTGAACTTAAGCTTGGCCTGCCTGTCTTTCTTAAATTTCTTGGTCTATAGTGCTGCTGGATTATCCAGCTTTGCCTATCAGCTAACGTGTTATATTCCTAAGTGGGTCGGGTAAAACCACTAGTTCCTTTAATTGTTTGCCTAAAATCTAGAGGGACGAAGAACAGTCAGACGTTGCATTGTCATTTACAGAAGATACCAATCTTAGGATGCACACACCAGACCAGTAATGTTGCCAATCTGTTAACCTGAATTAACATTCCGTTGCTAGGGGGCAAAACTTCTGCTTGTCATGAAGCACCATTCTGATTTCTGAAAAGATTACAATGCTTACTCATTCTTCTTCAGCTTCAGCTGGCAACCCCTCTTTGAACCATGTATAGAGACCCCCTTCTAAGTGGAAGACATTCTTGTAACCGTTGAGGACTAGCAGGTATGCAGCTATCAGTGATCTGCAGGAATAGGCAAAAGCATTGATACCCTTACTCTGAAGAAGCCAACATGCATGATTTACCCTGATGCCTCAATGATTAATGATGATTTTTCAGCCCGTCATTGTGACTCCCGTTCATTCTATTAACCTTTAATCACGCAGATGGTGATCGATAGGGTGTAGATGAAGTTACCTAGCTAGTCATCCTAAATCTGATTCTACTATTGTATTGCCGTGAATCAAAGCACTAGATATATCATATACAAGTGCAATTTCTGCACTTTGGAATTTGGAGGAGTTGGAATTACCTCGACTGTTGACCTTGAGGAAGATTTTGTGATGGTTTCATTGTACCTCCTGCTGAGCAAGCCACTATTATCTTTGCATCTTTTCCAAGTTTGGAATCGACAGCTGATAGGAATATAAGCAGATAAGTATCAGCTAGCTATGCTAAATGCACAATATGGAACATCAGGCAATGTAAAACCATGGTCGTTTCTACTGAAACATACTCTGAATAAACTCAGGGTTTTCTTCTGTGCCGGAGAATATGCCAAAAAATGCAAAAGCAGCACGCCTGGCAATGTCCCAGGCCGTCCACTCCTTTATAAGCCTGTATATTTGGACATTGATAGCACCTGGTGCATGACCCTTGAAAATCCACACAACAGAAGAACAGATGGGCTTCAGTCTTTGTAAGTACTCTTCATCCGTTCCCTGGATTCTCTTTCTAACTGAAACCTATGTTCAATGGGTTGAACTCTTGTAAGATACAAGCTCTAACAGCCTTACCTCTTTGAATTCAGCTTCTGGTCGCACGTCGAGGATCACAAAGTTGTTTTCTTTCTGAAGTCGAAGAGCTTCCTTCACCTCCACACTCCTCACCTTCTTCTGCAGCAATAACTCTCTCTTCACCTTCCACTCCTCTTCAGCTGGGTCACTCAGCAAGGGACAAGGTAAACTGTAAGATATTGTTCATAGCGACAACTAGTGACAAATGCGGCAGTAGGACAGTCTTATTAAACAGAATCCAGGATAGAGCCATAGTACCTGGTGATTTTGCAGGCTTAGTTGCTGCACATAGGATCTTAATGCCTCCTGGAACAGCCTTGTGAGAGTTTGGTTGTCTCCTCTTCAGTGTCCCATATGATCTGACAGTGAAGAAGGATGGACTATGTGCTCGAGCACCTGTCTGTGATGGATGAATATTGGGAGAAGAAGCAGAAGAAGAGGGGGAGCTGATGGAAGGAAGTGCAGCAGCCGCCATACTGATATGGTTAAATGAGAATTGGGTTTGTGATTTGATCCTTCCTTTTACGAAATGGCTATGTGAAAGGAGGCAAGCGGAGCCAATGGCAGATGTGGCAGTATGGGATATTTTCTCTCTCTAAAAAATCTGTACTTGTGGTTCATATTGGAGAAGACCTGTTCATATTCGGATTAGGGTATCCTTTTCTGCCTTTATCAAACAGTGGCATCAAAATCATTGTTTTTCTCTAAGCCACCTGGTGACTATATGTGATATAAAAAAATTTCTTCTCCAATAAGTAGATGATCAGAAATCAACATGATTGTTTGTTAGTATCTTAATCATCTAAAATACGTTGTATCGTCTTTGATGTTTAGTTTGATATCATGTTCGTTTTCGTGATAAACTACTCAACGCATTGATTAAATTCTGCATCTAAATGAAAAGTTATTTTCAAAGCGGCATTGGGTTCATCATTTCGAGTTGATCAGGAATCTGAAAAATCAGTAGGCTCATTCTGGTCCTTTTACAAACGGTAACAAACATATTTACCAAAACTCTACAACCCTTGGCCTATAACCTACTCATCAAGATACTAACATCCCTATTTTCATGTGCAGTGCCAACGAATCCAAAGCAACATAGATTTCATCTTTCATCTTATGAGATACATCAGAAGCAAGAAACCAGTGGATTTCGTCCCTCTCCTCGATCCAACTACACCCCGGAACCTTCTGTAACCCTCTTTCCTTCATCGAATTCCTCGTTCTATCCAAATCCGACCATCTTTTCCCATAAGCATACAGATTGGCCAACATCACGTAGTTCCCACTCTCATCTGGTTCTACCTCGAACAGCTTCCCTGCAGCGATTTCTCCCATCTCCACATTGCCATGGACCACACACCCTCCAAGCAAAGCGCCCCACAGTACCGAATCAGGCATCATCGGCATCCCCTGTATCATCTCATAGGCTTCTGCCAGCTTCCCCGAACGGCTCAAGAGATCAACCATTGCTGTGAAGTGCTTTAATGTGGGCTTCACATCGTATTGAGCCATCAAGTCGAACAGCAAACGACCCATCTCAATGTTCCCAGCATGAACACAAGAGCACAGAGCAGAGAGAAAGGTGACGTCGTCAGGTGTGCATCTAGTTGCTAGAATACTCTGGAACAGATGGATTCCTTGGTCTCCATATCCGTGCATGGCGTATGCAGTCAGCATTGCGTTGTGGGATACCAAATTGGGGTTTGATATCCGATTGTAAGCCATCTCCGCATGCTTGATGCTACCACATTTTGCGTACATGTCCACGAGAGCTGCTCCTATGTGAAGATCAGAGTCGTACCCTCTTCTAATGGAGAGGGAATGGCATTGTTTCCCTCGCTCTAATGTGGCTGATTTCGAGCAATGGCCGAGAATTATTCCCATTGTATATGCATCTGGGGTTGCGTTCTGATTTTCAGACAGAAACAACTGCATTGCTGAATCCAGGTTGCCATTTTGTAAGTGGCATTCCAGAATGCCATTCCAAGTGTATGAATTTGGTTCATGGCCATCTTCTTTCATCTGCTGAAGCAAAGCTTGGACCTTTCCAGTGTCGTTTAACCGAGTATATCCAAAGATCAAGGAATTCCACGTAGTGATATCCTTCTCCATCACTTCGTCAAAGGCCAACTGAGCAGCTGATATATCTTCACATTTAGAGTACAGTTCCACGAGAGCTGCTCCCACAAATGCATTGCTTTGCAAGCCTCTGGCAGTAGCAATGGAGTGTATCTCCTTACCCTTTCTCAAAGAAGCCATCGCAGCACAAGCAGTTAAAGCACTGCCCAAGGTAAAAGAATCTGGTTTGATCCGTTCCAAGGTTATCAAATCTTTGAACAGGCTCAAGGCTTCGGAATATAGGGAGTTATCTACATATCCTGCAATCATGGAGTTCCATGAAATTAAACTTCTTTGGATCCCCATAAGCTCCATTTGATCAAAGAGTTGTCTTGCCATGGATATATCGCCAGTCTCGCAGTATCCAGCAATCATCGTGTTATAGGAAACTCTACTTTTCACTCCGAACTTGGAGAAGATTGTTTGTGCGCTTCTCACGTCACTGCATCTCCGGTATACATTAACCAATCCATTGACAACATAATTGTTGGCCACGAAACCATGCCTCATGATATAGCCATGAAGTTCTTTGCCAAGTTCATGCCTTTCCAATCTAGCACAAGCTGGAAGAACACTTGCCATTGTTCTTGAATTTGGTTGAAGACCCTCTGCTAACATTTGAGATAGCAAATCTATGGCTTCCTCGTCATAACCATTCTGTGCAAATCCACCAATCACTGCGCTCCAAGAAACCATATCAGGCTTCAAATCGTCGGAAGTCCCCATCTTTTCTAAAAATTCCAGAGCTTTATGAACCATTCCATTAGCAGCAGAAGCAGTGATGACAGAGTTCCACGAAATATTATCTGGGTTTGGCATCAATTCCAGAACTTTAACAGCATCCTCCAAACTACCGCACTTACCATACATGTCTATCAAAGCATTCCCCACAGAGACATTCATATCAAACCCAAACTTAATCGCCATTCCATGCAGCTGCCAACCAAATTCCAGCATTTGAAGCCCGCTGCAAACCTTCAGAACCGACGAGAACACAAAAAAATCCAGCGCAACATCTTCAAGCAGCAATTCCAAAAAATACCAAATGGATTCCTGAAACAGCCCATGATCCGAATGCACGCCAATGATAGCCGTCCAAGCGCGCAAGCTCCTCAGCGGCATTTCGTCAAACAGTTGTTTCGCATCCTGCAAACAACCGCACCTCCCATACATTTGGAGCAGCTTGGTGTTCACGAACTCGTGACCTCGGAACCCAGATTTGATGGCGTGGGCGTGAACAAGTTTCCCCGTGACAGCGGAAGAGCAAGAGCTCATACGCGAGAAATCGAAGTACCTCGACTGTTGTTGATCATCATCATCTTCAGGAAGACTCTGTGATGATGGCTTCAATTTACCTTCTGGAGATGTTGCAGCAGGCATTGTTGCTGCTGCTGCTGCTGCAGCACATTGTATCTTAAGCCTTACTGGGACAGTTATGTGAGAGTTGGACAGTCTTCTCCTCTTGAGTGCTCCATAAGGATGAGCAGTAGAAGTTTCCATGGAAGAAGAAGAACTGATTGAAGGAAGTGCAGTAGCCATTGCTGAGAAGCGGGTTTGGTGACCCTCTCTGTTGCCAAGCAGGGATTTTTGGGAAGAAGATAAAAGGAAGAAATGTGATTATGGGATTTTTGTTCCATTTCTGAACTTGTGGTTCATATCGGGAAAGACCTGCTAACGTTCGGATTAGGATACACATATAGTTACAGTAATATTACCAGTAACAATAAAATATAGAAATTAGAGAGATGTAGACTTTTTTGTTATCTAAGATCGGTGAATAATACTAGAATTCCCAAAGATTAGCCAAAGTATGTGATGGATAGTCTTTAAAATTGGTGAAAAATTGCATCCCAGAAATCGACCAAAATCTGTGATGGATAACTTTCGATATTGGTGACTATAGCATTCAAAAAAATTGCAAAAATTTATGATGGATCAAAATTGGTGAAAAATAGTATTCCCAAAAATCGGCAAAAATTTATGATAGATAGCAGTCAAAATAGGTGACTAATAGCATTCAAAAGGATCAGCCAAAATCTGTAATAGATAGCCTTCAAAATTGATGACCAATAGCACTCAATAAAATCAGCAAAAATGTGTGATGGATAGCCTTCAACATTGGTGAATAATAACATTCAAACAAATTTGCCAAATTTTGTGATGTATAACCTTCAAAATCGATGAAAAATAGCATTCACAAAAATTGGCAAAACCCTGTGATGAATAGACTACAAAATCGGTTAAAAATAGTATTCCCAAGCATTGGCCAAAATCTATGACCGATAGCCTTCAAACTCAGTGAATAATAGCATTCAAAAAAATCGGTCAAAATATGTGATGGATAACCTCCACCCGTTGAAAAATAACATTCCCAAAAATCGGCCAAAACCTGTGATGCATAGCCTTTAAAATCGATGAATAATAGCATTCACAAAAATCAACCAAAATCTGTAATGAATAGCCTTCAAAATCTATGAATAATAATATTCAAAAGAATCAGCAAAAATCTGTGATTGATAGCCTTCAAAAGTGATGAAAAATAGTATTCCCAAAAATCGGCAAATAGATATTGGATAGCGTACAAATTGGTGAAAAATAGTATTACAAAAAATCGGCCAAAATCTGTGATGGATAGCGTTCGAAATCGATGAAGTATAACATCCCTAAAAACCAGGCAGAATTTGTGATAGATAGTCTATAATATCGGTGAATCATAACATTCCAAAGAATCAGCCAAAAATTGTGATGGATAGCCTTCAAAATCAGTGAAAAACAGCATTCCAAAAAATAGGCCAAATTCTGTGACTGATAACCTTCAAAATCGATGAAAAATAGCATTCACAAAAATCACACGAAATATGTGCTTGTACACCTTTGGAATCTGCAAAAAATGTACCCACAAAAAATCCGCTCAATTTGGTTCTTAATAGACTTAATCAACACTAAAGAATAACCTCAAACTAAATACGTGCTTGTACACCTTTGGAATCTGCAAAAAATGTACCCAGAAAAAATCCGCTCAATTTGGTTCTTAATAGACTTAATCAACAGTAAAGAATAACCTCAAACTAAATACGTGATCTGTAGACTTCAAAATCTAAGGAAAATGGTCTTTCAAAAACTCGCCTGAAATCTGTGATGATACCCCTTTGAAATCTTCAAAAAACCACTCAAATCAGTGCTTAATAGACTTAATCAACAATGGAAAATAGTCTCAGGACTAATACGTTATTTGCAGCCTTCAAAAATCAAAGGAAAATGACATTTCGAAAAATTTCCCAAAAACGAAAATGTCTTCCCAAAATATTTCCCCCAAATCAGCCATAAATAGACTTCACCATCGGTGGAGAATAGTCTCAGCCAAATCCGTGTTCTGTAGCCTTCATAATCCAAGGATAATGACTTTTTAAAAAAATCACCTAATATCTGTCATGGTACGCCTTTGAAATCTGCCAAAAATGAACCCATAAAAAATCCACCCAAATCGGAGTTTAATAGATTTAATCAACAGTGAAGAATACCCTCATGTCAAATTTGTGATATGTAGCTTTCAAAATCAAAGGAAAATGACATATCGAAAAAATCGCTCGAAATCTGTGATCCCTTTGGAATCCGCCAAAAATGGAACCGAAAAAAATCCCCCAAATCGGTACTAATAGACTTAATAAAAAATGTAGAATAGCCTCAGACCGATCTGTGAGTTGTAGCCTTCAAAATCGAAGGGAAAGGCGTTTCGAAAAAATCGCTTGAAATCTGTGATGGTATACCCCTTTGAAATCTGCTAAAAATGGTCTCGGAAAAAATTCGCCCAAATCAGTGCTTAATAGACTTAATCAACAATGAAAAATAGCCTCAGGCCGAATCCATGATCTTTAACTTTCAGAATTCCAGAAAATTGGCCTTTCGAAAAAATCATCCAAAATCTGTGATGGTACCCTTTTGGAATCTGTCAAAAATGGACCCGAAAAATTCGCCAAAATCGATACTTAATATATTTAATCATCAGTGAAGAATAGTCTAAGATCGACTCCGTGATCCGTAACCTTCAAAATTCAAGGAAAATGAATTTTCGAAAAATCACCTGAAATTTGTGATGGTACCCCTTTGGAATCTGTCAAAAATGGACTCAAAACAAAATCGATGTTTAATAGACTTAATCATTGGTGAAGAATAGTCTCAGGTCAATTTCGTGATGCATAGGCTTCAAAAAATTATGAAAATGGCCTCTAAAAAATCCGCCCAAATCGGCAATAAATAAATTTCTTCATCGGTGGAGAATAGTTTCAAAACGAATTCATTATTTGTGCAACCTCCATAATCTAAGGAAAATGGTCTTTCATAAAAATCGTCATTATTGAAGATTATCCACCAATAGTTGGTGAAAAGCAAGTAGGACCAAGAAATCGAGTTCGATTTTTTTATTTAAACAAAAATGGAACCAATTTGTATTTTAACGATTTCGATTTAATCCACAAAAACCTATAAGAATTAAGAAACCGAAACCCTCCTTTCAACTCCGTTCCATGGAGCCAACACTGCCTAGTAGAAATTCATCATACTACTACAAGGGGTACAACGAAATTTGGTTTGTTCTAACCGAAACCGAATCCATTAAGAGGCTATTACTTTGTGTTAACCAAAAACTAATAAACCCTTAACCAAATCGATTTTGCCTTTTGAGAAACAGACTAGATCTATCTGTGGCTTTTTAATGGTTTCGATTCAATTAACCGAACCAAACCAAACCAAACCAAACCAATACCCTAAAAGCAAGTATGAAGTAAAGAACAAGAAACCATGGCAAAAGTCTTGAGACATACGACTATTGTAGGTGCTAACTTCATATATACAGGTAAAACCAGCCACTATTTCTATCACTTGCTACGAAGTAAACGTATGCACATTTTTATACTGTACAGAACCATTATCCATCAACACGACATTCCACCATTTCCTCTCCCAAGTAAAAGTGTTGTATAACTAATTACCACAGTTACTCATCTACCTTGCAAAACTGTTTCTTCTCAGGCCGGTAGAAAGCACAGACGGGGCATCGAATCGACCAGTTTGTCTCTCAATCCGATCACTGTGTTCTTCAATATCCCACACGAACTCACTTCGTCGTCAAGGCCTAATTCGTTTTCTACGAGAGCATGATGCCGCCCCTCCAAATATCATCGCAGACTGGCTTCGGCGAAGTTGATTACGCTGATAGACGACGTGTTGGTGTGCATGAACTTGGTGACGAGGAATCCTGCCAAGACGTGCTGATCGGCCTTCACGAGCTCCGATAGAAAGCTAGGGAACAAAAGCCTTGCAAAGAGGAACGAGGACATGTCCTTCTCTGCCATCGACAACTGGGATTCCTGACATTGACGGGAGAAGTTCCCGACCAAATAGCAGAGGTAAGAGAAAGTAGTGCCGTATGAGTTCTGGGTGAAAATGGCAGATACTATGATGCCGGAGGATAGTATGAGCGTCAAGAGCTCATGGTCCGCGGCACTTGTGTCCTGGTTCCACCCTTGTTTTTTAAGCTTCTCATCGACTACATCCAAACGCTGAAACCACAGAGCTTCATATGGCAGAAGCAGCACGAGTTTCAGAGCCACAAAGGAGTCGACTATGCTCTCACTCAAGGTCCTGGCATCATTTTCATCGATCAATTTTCCTTTGGGTTTCGACAGTGATTGGTCAACCAGTGCTAGGACATTGTCGACCTGAGATAGCTCGATCATCATTCTGAAGAGCTGCATCCAACATGCATGCAAAGGATGCAGATGCTGATGACCACCACCAACGACCTTTACCTTCTTCTCTTTTGGGATATTAGTTTCATCTGTTTCCTGGAAGCTTTCCCACCCTTCATCCCAATCGTCATTGCTCCAGTCGTTTCCTGCTACTTCAGCAGCTTCTACAGATGAATCACCTGGTTCACTTACAGTAGTTGCAAAAAGCCCCTCCCACTCTTCCAGAACAGCACACAACACATCCAAATGATGATCCGTAGAGGAGAGCTCACACAGTTTTGAGAAGCAAGAGAAGGCTGTGTCGGTGTTGGAAAGATCTTCAGGGGAGATTTCTGTGTTGATAGAGATGGCTGTAACGAGCTGGGATGATTTCAAGGCGACCAGGGTGCTTGTAAACCTGTTGGAATTGTCCGTGCAGTCAAGCTTCAATCCGACGCTTCCTGCAGAGTCATTCTTTGTAGAGAGAAACTCTTGCCAACCTTCCCATGGCAAGATATTGGACTGCAGCTCAGCCGAGAACCCCTTAATATGACTTCTGTCTGCAATGAACTGCATAATCTCCAAGACATAGACTCGGATGTTGTTCGGTAGCTGCAAATCATCACAGAATTGGGCCAATCTTTCCCAAACCACGCGCCTAACGTGCTGCTGCAGATCCTCAACTTTGTTACCTTCTATCTTACTCAGCGAAGATAGAAGGTTATACAGATCCTTGCTTCCACGTGTTCCTTCATTGATCAAGTCCCTTAATACTGAGTCCAGCATGCTTGTATAGAGCTGAGAAATATTAGTTTCTGCAGTTGAACTGACAGCTGCACTATGTGATGTCATCTCTGAGAACATATCTGACACAGGTCCAAAACTGCAACCAGAAAATACCATCGCTCTGCAGAAGGCCTCAGCCTCAACAATGCAATCACCAATTAAACCATGATTTACATAGCCTATGATGCTCCCCCAGGCCTGACTTGGCGATACATTATCATCCGACACAAATCTCACAAATAACTCCACACAATTTCTTAGGCACACAGGATCAAGAGAACTCAATTTTTCCATTGAACTCCCTCGTGATATTATTTCGATCATTGCTTCGGACAATCTGAACCAGAAGTTTAAGAGGTCGATCAGGCACTCCTGCCACATTGAGTTATCAGGTATACACCCAAAAGCACCAGGTAGAATTAGAATCATAGAGAAGCACCGATTCAGGACATCCATAGCATCTGTTGTCACCAAATGGCTAATAAATTGTCCACAATAACCAAGCGTTCCCTCTAGTTGACCAATGAACTCCTGAAACTTTTCAGAGCTTCCGACATTTAATTCTGTCTTGGCTCTACTTTCCAACTCTGTAAACAATTTCTGAATATATTGTTTGTATACATCCTGCCACACAATCATGCCTTGTGGTACTGGAGCAGAATGGATAGCGACAAGATTCTTCACCATTTCTGCCAAGGCTTCTAAGCTATGTTCATCATTGATGTTAGCGAATACTTCATCCTGGAAATACTGCAAATTCAAACCTCCTAATCCAGCAATATTTTTGAAGTCTAGCTTCTGGATAAAAGAAACTCTTCGACACTCTTGCCCAATGACCTTGTAACACTCAGCCAACTGGAAGTTGGATAAAGGTGATGGGAATGGTGATGGTGCTTCGGCTTTCCCCAGATGAAAGTAGCAGTCAGATAGGAGGGCATATATGAAGGACACACGATTCTTGTTATGACCATCAATTGCAGGGTAAACAACTGATGAAACAGTTTTGATGGTTTCATCAGTACAAATAATAATTTCACCTTTAAATTCTGAAATTTCAATCACAATATCATCATTTGTCCAAGCCTCAGAAGCAAGAATGCAACTGAGATAATACCGAAGCACCTAAAGAAAGAACATAAGTGTACAGCATTTTCAGAAACTGGAGGCTAACAAATGGATTGCTGAATTGGAGGACAGATAGAGGAAGGAACTTCATGTGTACCTCATTACGATTCAACCCATACGTGTCCGCCAACTTTAACACATCCTTGATAATGTGCTTCCTTTCTAGCCTCACTGATTCAATCAGACCAAAAACAGAATGGCGAATGTAACTCAAGTTGCCAGAGAAGAAACCGAGCAGTATCAACACCAGGAATGACTTGCTCCAACACTCTGGATTTTTCTGCTATTCGCTTCTTTTCTTCTAATTTGAGCTTCCATTCCCTCCAGAAAGTGGGGTGGACTGTGTCCATCTTGTTTATTTCATCTGAAATAGAGAGGAAATCTATCAGGGGGAAAAGCACATTAAACACTCATGTTCCATGCAATAGTTGCATAACAATAATATATCCAATAAATTTCCAAGTAAGATGAGAGATTTCTAAAGTCAATCACCCAAACTCAGTGGTGCATGCTTCTCTTTGAACTTTGTCAGAAGCAGTTCTCTCCTCCGAGAAGGATCCTTGCACTCAACTCCAAAACTATGCAATGCGCTGTATGTCATCCCAACGTTCATGATGCTGTGCATTTCATAGTAATTCTCCCTGAGCCGAAGCTGCTCTTCTATTACTACGACCCCACTGAAGGCGTCCACAAGATTCAACAAGAAAGAATAGCCCATCACGTCTTCCTCTTCTGTGACAGGTGATTCTATAATAGACTTTGCCACAGAGGCAATAACACTATCTCTGGGAGAAAATCCATGTCTTCCCAACCAGGACAGAACGGTTACTAATGCTTGGGATCTTATGCTTACAAACTGCTTTCCAGGAGAAAATCCAGAAGTAGAGTTCTTAGAGTATTCAGCTTTGCAACTCAATTCAAGCAACCGCGGAAGTTGAGAAGCGGCAAAAGCCAACAGTCTCCCATTGTCCTTCAAGAAATACTCCAATTCTACTGCTTCTTCAGCAAGGCAGTGTCTAGCAACGGAAAGAAGTGTGTTTGCTGTATTCCTCAAATGGGCCTCTTGATCGCCACTGCTTACATCTTCAGTAAGTTCAGAGAAACCTCTGAGATGATGGACAGTATCTGGAGAACCAAATAAAGGCTGTCTATTCGATGAACCTTGACTTGAAACACCAAAAGAACTAGACGAGTTTAGCAAAGCCTCACAATGCCCTTGCATATCAAAGTCCTTCCAAGCATGAAGAAGCTCCATTATAGATTCCTCATCACAATGACTCAAAGCAAAACCTATCAGCTGCTTTCTGGAGCTTATTTCCATATTTTCAAGCACAGGAACCCTTGCTATTGTAGCACACAAGTCCCAAACAGGTCCATGTCCTTTTCTAGACAAAACAAGGCAGAGGTCAAATGCCAATTGGAGGTCATCAGCCACAGCAGCTTCTCTAGCGATTGCTTCCTCCACTGCTGATATGTCATATGGTGAGCTTAATCCCAGAAGTTTGGCAACCTCTATCACTTCATCAACATGTATGTATGCTCCATTTTGACCAGCAATAATCATTTTGATGATCTCCATTGGGTCTTTTATTTGCCTGTATTGCCCAGGTAAAAGAGTAACTCCAAGGTTTGGCAGTTTAACAGTGAGTGCAAGTATTATGTCAGCCTCTGCTTGGACATTCCTACTGCCAGGAAATACACGGAGGCAATCCTTGGCCTGCTTTATCTGAAAAAGGTAACAGCAGAAAAAACTGAGCATTCCCTGACAGATTCGGACAAAACTAAATGAAATGACTGACTATATAATTATCTAGACTGAAACAGTTTGAATGAATGGAATAATGAAACTCTGAACTTCTAATGGAATCTAAAAACTCATATGCTGGAATTCCGAACACAATAGCAAAGCATATACCAAAGGAATTATTGCTATGTCACTAGGATCTATACATAAGACATCAGAGAATCGCATACTTCAGATGAAGACAAACTTGGAGCCGAGCACAAGTACTCCCGTGCAGATTGAATAACAAGATATTCGGCTTTCTCTGATGCCAAGGACACTGAACTTGTTCCCTTCAGATAGTTTCTAGCGAGAGAAAATTTCCCATCTTTCAACAAGCCTCTGAATGTCAAACCGGTTTATACCGTTGTGCCGGTTGGCAAGTGGAATGGTACGACCGGTGGTATAACCAGTTTGTGCCGGTTCATGCCGGTTAAAAAAAATGTGAAAACAATTAATATCTAATGTATTTAATCATATATAAAACATATTTGTGGACAATTTAGTTACAATCCAACAAATATCATCAACTTTTAGCTATAACAATCATAAAATGAATAATTAATTAATTTTTTTATTCATTAAGTTCATTAAAATGATGTCATTTTACTTAGAATGCGTAAGTCGATCATACCGGTTTCATGACCGGCACAGGTTGAACCAGGTTCAACCGGGTGGCATGCCACCGGCATGACAACCATAGTCAGAAGAATTCCATTAACATATACTCCGAGTCAAGAAAAGGAAAAGCCTTCTCTTGTAAATTTTGCAAATCGCGCCACATGTTTGCCCATTCATTATCTGGACGGCTTGGCCAGAGTGCAAAATTTGAGAGAACGCAGCGTATAATTTTTTTTACCTCTTTTTCATCTACGTGAGCCTCAAGGAAAAAGCTCATTTGCTTTGGGTCCTGAAATTAGAACAAGTACCATCAGTTCAGTAATTAACAAATAGATGGGGGGAAACAGATAGCACATCCTGGCAGTAAGAGTTGCATTTTGGAGGTAAGTCACTACTTTCCCAAGCTAACTGACCAAGAATGGCTTCAAGTTTTAAACCAGGTGACAGGGCCTAGAACGAATGACTATACTTCGTCCTCCAAAGAGAGCTACCTAATGATGCTTCATGCTTAAAAAATAAAAACTAATCTGGGGAGTAGGAAATGGTAGTGTGCACAGCCCTATTGGAATTTCCTTTTCTATTCTCGTAGCTGGCACTGTTCATTGTTTGTTTGCAAGTTAATAGGCACTAGTTATTGACTAAGATACATGTCATGACTCATGATCCAAGAAGCTTATGTTCTATAATTTATTAAAAAGCAAATTACAGAACAGGTACTTTGACAATTCCAAGAATCGTGAAATGCTATGTCACAACTGCTACTTAAACATCAACAATTATCACCCAAAACAACTAATCAACAAATGAAATCAGAAATAATGATTTCTAAAGATGGTTGCAACATGCTAACGCAAATTTAAGTAGCCTGGGACAAGGAATTCTTAGTGTACAGGTTCAACATTTTATGCATTTTCAAAATGTCTGCGGGAATTACAAACCAAATAAAAATTATCATTTAATCAAAGATGCTTGCTACCAAAGTCACTATACTTCAAGCATGAAGCAAATTAACTCTTCATAGGAGAAGAGAGAAAGTCAAAATAAGGGATACTTTTGTGACCCTCGGCAGAACTTGGTGAACTATACAAACCAAGAAGTTATTGTGTAACAGGATCTACTATTCTTGGCTCGCCACTAGTACCACCTTTAACATACTGGGACAAGGGGAATCCAGTTACTTAACTGGCTTACACCACCAAATAAGTCATCTACCAAGATGTTAATTCCCTGTTAATCACAAGACTACTAAACAATATTATCCTCAACAAAAAATTACACCAACTTAATTTATCCACTTCAACCTATGAGGGTTATACCATCCACACCACACCAAAAGGCAGATACAAAATATTACTCCTTCCTAGTTCCTACCAGTCAAACTTATAACTATTAGAGAGACAAACAAACCTGGTAAAATGATAAAAGCCTCCCAGTTTCAATATGACCTTCTGCAAGTTTGAGTCTCTTCTCCAGGGTTCCGCTCAGTGCTCTGACTTCTGTAAGGGATTCCCTTGAGTAAGGAAACAGTTGAAAGCAATGGATAGCCCATGATGGACAATTCTACCAAGTAGGTTCAATTACCAAAAGACGTGTGGAACTGTATCCATAAGACAGAAATTTGATTTGGAACTTTGGATTAGGAGACAAAAGGTAGCCAGAGAACTCATACCATGGAAAGAAGGTTACGACAAGGTTAAGTCCCACAAATTGTAGCGATATGGGGCCTTCACTTATTAATTTTAAGTGACAATGGGAGGAATCAATCATCTTCTTTTCTACTTACTCTACAAAACTTGGTCAGTATCCTAATGTCAGAGATGGAATACATATAACAAAAGACTAACCTTGCTTCTGCGGAAGCTTTGACAATATAGCACTCATGGTACTCCATCTGTCTGTAACAGTGCACAAGTATATGCACTGAAGAGCACATTCTATGGCTTCAGTATCATCTTTGAAGAAACCAGCATTTCCCAACTCCTTGCACCCTTCTTCAATCACCTTCAGGCATATGTCCAATTTATTCTCCACAGCCATCTCTTTAAGCCACCTTATCAAGAAAGACGTATTCTCCTCATGTAAGGAAGACTGGTGGTCTGTAAGCTGATCCATAGTGGCAGAGCTAACAGCAGAGGTTTTACTCAACATAAAAGGAATTCCTTTGTCATTTAACCTTTTGACCACATTTTCAACTTTGACGTTCTTTAGCATCATTCTAAATTTCTCGTAATCAGACAATTCTTCCCATGCAACAAGACTCATATCTAAGCACATATCACTATCACTGTCACTGTCATCAGAATAAATAAGCTGACATAAGTAAGAAATATCCTGATGAAACTGCTCTAACTCAGTGACACCCTTTCGACATGCAAAGTCAAGCAGGCAAAGGCAATTCTCCAACTGACCAGTATAGTAATCAATATCTCTTGCTCTCTTTTTGTACCATATAGAGAGTTCTTCAGTAGATGGCCAAAGATGTCCATTGCAGCGCTGTACAATAGATTCAGTTCTGATCTGGATTCCCATCTCATGGCTATCAGATAACTGATTGATAAATCGTACCATCGCCTCACATTCAACCCAGTCTTCTTCCCTGAGAGCTATGCTGATAAGAGGAGACTTCCCAGGAAGAAGTTGTCCATATGTTTGAACAGGAGTAGTCTCAGGAATTGCAGCTAGTACTTGTAACATAAACGGATTCAGGGAATAGGGATGCCGTTTGAAGAGGAGATTAAGAGCCCCAATTTTTCCACTTTCAGCCAGGATTACAGCTACTTCCTCAAGAGGGGTGACCCGAAATTTGCAGTACTCCTGCGCAGAGAACCTGCATATGATTGTGTAATTATACAGTCAGAGAATAATAGTGAGGCACCAGGTAAAATAATGCTTAGGTTAACCAGCCTTTAGCAGTAAGCATAATACAGAGGACAGCTATAAATGCAAGAAAATTTACATTTCTTCAAACAGAAACGTTGGTTTTACTTGCACAAACAAATATACTAAAATATGAGAATTTACCAACAGAATACGTTTGAATCTAGAAAGTGGCCACCAAGAAGTGAAAACATAAACAGCCTAGCTAAAGGAAAACAGAAAATCCATTTGAATGGGTAACCCAATAAGATTTCATACAAAAAAATCAATTAAGACCATGTGCACTTGCCAGTGGGCCACTAGTTCAAATGCAGAGTGCTTTTCCAGAAATGTCATTCCTTTTAGTAGTCAGGTAATATGACATCATCAAGCAACAGAAAGAAGATCCAGATAATGTAATACCTGCCCATGTTTATGCCAAGAAACGTCTCCAACCTGTCTCTGGATTGCAGTAACTGAAGCCTGGCGATTCGAAAATCCCATAAGTAGCTATCATAATTTTCTTCTTCAGAAATACGAAACTGATCAGATACACCAATACCGTGTGCAAGAAGAGCTTTCATATCATCCTCTGTTGGTCCTATTCTTTCCCCACATTCAGAAAGAACAAAACTAAGGTCCTTGATTCTAGTCAAATACATATTTACATCTCTGATTCGTTTGGGAGATTGCAGCCACTGTGATTTGAATACTTCATCTTTCTGTAATCCATAACGATTGGCAAAATCCAATGCTGACTGGTATTTACCATTTCCAATTAAGATACTGTACATTTCATGAACAGATTTCTGAGAAAGTGACATCAAACTCCAAGACATCCGGGAAACATCAAATTGATCAAAACTGTCTTCTGCTTTTTCCTCCATGCCTTGTGAGTCACTTAATTGTCCAATGTGGTCAGATGGAATTTTTCTGTGATCAGAGAATTTGCTCTCTAAAAGAAATATCGACCCCTGGATTTCCTGTGCTCTGTCCACCATGGGCATGGAGTATGCCAGATCATGTTCCAGGACTTTTGTGCCACTAAGCATATCAAGCATCAAAACAATTCCGCCCCTTTTAATAACAGTCATGATGTGATTTGACCACCAAGTAAAATCTACAATGTCATTCAAGTAAGCATTCTGTTCATTTAATAGGTTATTAGCAGCAGATGGAGTTGATCCCTCCACGTTGTCGAAGCTGGAAAGTGCCCAGCTTTCTTTATCCATCCTAAAAACATGCAAGTGTCCTGTTCCATCCAGAGTAGAGACAAATTGGCTTTCTGGAGATATTAGTACTTTAGGATATGCCAGACACTTAACGGCATCTTGCAGTCTGCAATACTGGCCTTCAAACTGAAGAGTAGACAACTGTTCAAGATTCAAGTTCTGACATCGACGCCAAAGGGAAAGGTGGCAGCCTGATCGAAAGGGCACAATACCAGGCAGAGAACTATAACTGAGTTTAGTCCCGGAAAATATATGGTGCATAAAAATCACATATTTTCACTCATAATCAAAATTTCTTTGGAGCAATCAATGTTTGCAATAAATATCCTTTAAGGTTAAGCTTGATGATGCGAAAAGCAAGAGGATTTCTTAGTTTATACAAAATTACATCACTTGAGAACAATAATATTTTACAATTATAAGTAACTTCATGCCAACTCTTTAGCATAAACTCATTCATTTCATTCCACTCACAGAAGCCTGCCAGCTCATTTCTTAATTCACCAGAAATATAAGTCAACACTAGTAAAATACGTCATAAACGGAAAGAATGCTTACCAGGCTTTAGACCAGAAGTTACAGAGGCACTGTCAATGCCACCAACCACAAGAAGCAGAGAATTCTCTGGGGCATACTGAAAGCAGAAAACATCCTTAGGGAACTGTGGTTTAGCTGCTGAACTGCTATTTGACACACAGCCACTGCTTGGCTCTCGACCGACATCAACATGATGAAGAAGGCCATCTGACGTTACAACTACGAAACTACATCTGCATGTTTTCCCATCATATAAATCCGACATCTAACCTCTATTAATTTTGTGCAAACAGTTTGAAAAGAAAATTACTGAACGGCAAAGTATTTATAGAGATTGCAGAAAGTATTGGCCCTACAAGCACATCCAGAGATATGTGCAAGAAACACTTACACACAAGATCCAAGACCATCACCACAATCCTGGGGAATCAGACCAATTATAGGTGAAGAGATTTTGAGTTGCCTCTTAGTAAATTGTGCTATCTGTACACCACTTGCTTTGATGAAATACATAGTGTCCATGTTGTCAACAACACCAAGTACATTGTGTGATTCTGACCAGGTTCCACAGGTATATAAACAAGAACTGCCACCTGGTGTATCCAAAACAAACCAATAAACACCACAAGCCTCTGAAGGCACAAGAATTATGCAATGATCTCTTATCACGAATCATAAAGGAGAACAGCCAAACAAGGTTTGTTTCTCTTTCATAAAGAGTCTATTCTTCTACTGATTATCTAAGGCATTATCTCATGAAAATTTAAAACTAAGTCTTACCATTAAAAAGACCAGATGGCTCTTGGTAATCATCCTCCTTTTGCAAGATTGTTATCCGACTCCCAGTAGCAACAGCAACATGCTCACCCCTTGGGGAGATAAACAGAGAGGCAGGCTTCTTAACATTTGCTTGATTGCTCTGACCACTCCACTTCTCTTTGAGTTGGCTTATACCTGTTTGCATGATGAAAAGGGAAGGAAAAATAACATGTGATTAAATCATTTCTGAAACCCATAAACCCAAGTCAGAAAGAGTTTCAACGAAGGAGAGAATAACAAATAAAGACAGGAAGAAAGAACAGTTGCGAGTCGCATATCAGGAATGCAGACAGCTGATAAACTGAGAAACAATGAGTATCCCAGCAATATATAAGATAAAGCGACCGAAATGAGCTCTTAACTAGTACCTCTTTTCACTAGAAGCATGGTGATCTAATGCTCAAAACAGACTATTCCTATCAGTCAAATTGGATACTATACAGAAGCAAAATCAACTCTACATTCTTGCTGAACTATATATTTTAATCTCTAATGATCAGTCAAAAATTGCCCCCCGAATCCTACATGAGCGTGGGAATAAGTTTGGAACTCAGATCAATTGCTTAATTCTCAACTCATGCCAAGAACTAACAATGATGTAGCCATAAAAGGATCTTGACTTAAATTGACCGCCGCTATCCACTGCCGAGAAGGAAGTTCTGGTTCTAGCAAATAGAAGGCATACCTCGAATTGAAAGAAACGAGAGGAAACCGCCGCTTCCGCCATCATTACTCTGAAGCAACACGAAATAGCGGGGGGAAATAATGATGAGAAGACGCAACGGAATAAGGAATGGATTTCTCGTCCAGAAATCAAACAGCGGGAGAATTGAGAAGGAAACATAGAGATCGATCTAAGACGGCAATACCTTGGGAGGGAGAGGAGGATAATGGGAAGAATATGGGCCGGAGGCGTGACGTCGTTCCTCGTAGAGCACCTCTCCGACGCTCCGTTCCTCCATTTTGCTTAAATTTCCGACTCTTTTCTCACTGACGCTGGAGACGTTCCGATGATTGGCATTCGCCGCCGGAGGAGAGACGAAGAAGAAGAAGAACGACGATCAGCTACAAGAGAAACCCAACCCGAGTCGAAATTGGTTACCGTGTCCGTGTGTGAATCAAAGACAGAAAGGAAAGTTTATATGGGCTTCAAGACATATGATCCATATAACTCAGCTAGGCCCAATCCAGGTGTTGTATCTATACCAAGCCTAGAAAGGGCTTCTGGCCTCAGAGATTGAAACGGATCCATAAAGCTTTCTGAAAAAACATTCTATCTTTTTCCTATTTAGGTGTTTTTTTTTGTTATTCTATAGGTGTTTGCAACTTTAATTTACCGATATACAGTAAAACTTCAAATTCCTCTTAATAGTAATTTTCATTATAGTTTTTCACTTTGAGTCTACATAATATTTACATTATCATAGTTTAAAGTTTTGTACAATACCAAGTAGTATGTGGGCATCACTTTACTTTACTTTGTTTCATAAACTTCTAGTAATTTCATCTTTCATTGTTCGTCTTTATCATGTCGGTGGTTTGTCGGCTGAAGAATCGAGTTCAACCGGTACTGAACACAAAATCGGTTGTAATATCACCGGTATGAAGTGGTAGTCAAAATCGATAAGTATCGGTCAAAACTGGAACCTCAGTGATCCAACCGGTATGTCCAGTTTTCTTCCCCTACACAAAATGAAATTCTTTGGTTAATTTAATTAACAAAAAAATTGTATTTACATATGAGAATTTTGTCATTATGGTTGTAATGTATTTTTTTAATATGGATGTTGATATTATTTGTTGTTTTCAAATACACATGTTTTGATATTGATATTAAATATTATATTCAAATATGAGTATTTTTTTGTTTATGATGTTGTATTTTTATTTAAATATAGATGTAAATTGTAGGGAGATTGTCGATATATATGCATAATTCATTTACTTTTATAGTTTCCTACTTTTCTGCATACTTTTTTAAATGTGCCATAAACAGATTATAACCTAATCGGACCATTTCACTTGCTAAACCGACAAACGGTATAAACTTGTTTGTTTCTAGCACCGGGTTATCCTTTGTGTATAAATATATTAAGTCGGAAAAAAATAATTGATGAGACTATGGATATACGTTGAACTATCTGCCTAACTCTAGAGAATATATAATACGTTTTAAAGCATCTGAAACTCTCCATTTCAAAATTGCAGCCCTGGGAGTGTTTCCCGGAAGGGCATTGAAGGGAATTGCCAAAATTAAATTCCACAGTGCGTTTTGACTTATACGGATCTGGACTACTATAGTTTCTTTTTCTTCCTTTCCTCCTCACCTGCTTTCCTCTTCTCTCGATGAATCCCTAAACACCAAAAGCAAAATTATTACCGCAGGTTTTAACCTCAATCTTCAGTTGGAGCTTCTCAATTATTCTTCGCCTCATCATCTGAATCTACCCAACCTTCCTAGCTCACCCAACTTCTCTCATTCCGTACCGTCCGAGTTGTGCACAACCATAATATTAAACCCTGTGTTTCCATCTTAAATAGCCCACCCTCAACTCATTTACTTTGAGGGGTCTGATGAGAATATGACTGTATAGATAGCTAGAAACAATATTTCCAATTTATTTGATTTCATATTCCAAATTTGTTGTGTTTTATTTTGATGAATTTTCTCTTTCTTTTTCATATCTCTGTTTACTTTCACTTTTCCATTAGTTAAAGCCTGCTTTGCTTTTTGTTTTTATCGGTATAGATTTTCAGATGTGGTGACATTTACATTTTGTTTAGTAGTTCAATTTCTTTGTTTAGGGTGATGCATCATTTTTATTTTGATTTTATGTTGTTGTGCCCTACTACCTTTCCTCATAAAATACTCTGGGTTGGATTCTAACGGTGCATCGGGATTCCTTTACGTGGAGTTTTGAGTCAAATCAGCCAGAACCTTGCAACTTGAATGTGTACCTTATCCTGCTACGGTGTTGTGATGGATTGAAGTTATGCCAGATCATATATCAGACTCATGAACTGTTGCGCCCCAGCCCCAACTACAAAGCGATAGATTGATGGAAGGTATGTCATATATAGAGCTACAAAGAAAGCCCCAATCCTCCAGCATACGGATCACAGTAGTGTAGCTCATACATTTATTTTCCAAAACTTTAACATTAAGAACAGGAAATCACATGTTTAAAACTATTTTGTTATCATCTAAGGTCATGAGTTTTTACTCTTCCCATTTGGGACATGGATAGGGTGGAAATTGGTACGGTATCGGTATCCCAATACCAAATACCAAAATCCCGAATACCGAATTACACCCTAAAATCAATCCCAATCTCAATTCCTAAATAATTTCGGTATTCCAATCCCAATCCCTAAATAATTTCGGTATCCCAATCGGTATTATCGAATACATAATTAATTATCTTTGCAATTAATAATTAAATATATAAATTTGATTTTATTGTTTAAATTAGGCCGAAGAGACTAAGCAAATAGTCTTGAGTTGCCTAGAGCTAACATCTCAAGTTATTGTAATTGGTAATCTTTAATTTGACGAATTTGAGGTTGAGAGACGACTAATAATAGTGTGAATGTAATGATCTATGTATAATTAAATGATACTTTCGGTGGTTGATGGTCGCGTAATAGTGAATGAGAGAGTTTAGTTGAGAGGATAAAATATACATTAGCTTATATTTCAGTATTGATCGGTATTTCGGTATATACCGATCACAATCCCATAATCCCTAATACCGAATAACAATTGAAATTCAATCCCAATCCCAATCCCACAAAATAATACGTGTATTCGGTAATACTAAATATAGACAAATTCGGTATATCCCAAATACCGGTACCAAACTTCCAGCCTTGGACATGGGTGCTTGATGATATGCCTTTTCTTTTCAGTTTCAGTTTCAGAAGCTAATGATAGCATAATTCAGAGTTAAGGATTAGTGAGGTTCATAGGTCTAGGATTTGGGAATGACAATTTTGATTCTTCCATGGCCTTATTGGTGGAGTTTAGAGAAGGACTCTGCCATTTTCAATTCTCTATTTCTCTCTATCTTTCTATGAATGATAAATCTTCTCAAGAGAATGACTGATCATATTGGAAGACTTTTTCTTTCCAAATCGACCATGGGGAACTTTGAGACGGCAAAATTGATAACCATAGTTTATGAGAAGATTGACCATGGTCCACAATTCGAGGATTTTAGCCTGATAATTTAGGCCCTTTAGGATTGTGACAATTTTGTTCTCTCCTATTAAGCTTTTCTCTTGGTACATCATTGAAAACATATGTCCTTTTTGTCATTGTGATTTTTACTATCATCGAATCATAACATCTTGGTAATATTTTGTTTTTAGTTTCAATTGTTTGAACTTTAATATCATCAAGGTGAGTGTAACTGTAGACAGATTGATTTCGTGAGCTTACAACTTAAGGAATTGACCAAGTACCCCCCCTCCCCCCAATTTAATAGACATCAAAGACAAATTGTTTTTAAACTGATAAAAAAAAGACGAATTGTTTTAAGGCATTAGCGCACTTAGAGATCTTAAGTCCAGGCTTCTGACGATAACATTTTTTATGGTGAAAATTGATTGTATATGTAACATTGAAAAGCAACTCTCATGTTTTTTTCATTGACTTTAATTTAAGTTATACTTTGTTTGGCCTTACTTTGTTAGTAATTTTTTTTTACAAACAATTTAATAACCAAACCTTTTAGTGTTGTTTTTTCAAAATATAGTCAAACCTTTTAAAATCGACGTAAGAGTTAATCGACATAAGAATAGTTTGAGTACTTGCCTAAATAATTCGGCTAACTACAAGTAATTTTTTTATTGTGGTTACCTATCAAAAGAATACAACACAATCGGTCACTAGCGAATTAATCCGACGAGAAGAGAGGCTTTTATGTCACTAAATGATCAGCTTTGTCAAAATTTCTAATACAGTGACAATAACTACTACAAATTAGGGATGACAATTTCGACCTGACCCGATTTACCCGACCTGTGTGGCCTGTTTTTGGGGCGGGGCGGGCATGGGTATCTCTCATCGACCCGACCTGCCCTGACCCGCCCCATTCTCGACCCGTTCTTGCCTAAATTACATATAATCTTAGTCAAATTACTTAGGATTCTACTCTTATTACATTATATTTTAGCTATAATAAAGTTGTAATTAATTGAAAACCTCAATTTCTTCAATAATTTAACTAGATTTTATCATATTATGGTTTCTTTCTTGGTCTTTTAATGAGAATAACTAATATTTCTAATGTTTTTGACATAAATTACATACCCATTGGGTCGACCTGCCACGACCCGCGCCCCGTAATAAATTACTCGGCATGGACCCGACCTGCCATGGGGCATGTATGGCCATCGAGATACTCGCCCCGAACCTGCCCATTGCTATTCCTACTACAAATTGATATAACGACATATTGTATGCTCAACATAAATAAACCAATTACAAGAAAGCATATACAACTTTATTCAATAACCACCATTGATGTCTCCGGCCAACAGGCCGGGCCAATATCTAGTTTTTTTTTTAGTTGTGGAAGGAGTAGGAATTAAACTATAACCTAAGTAATAGAGAGATGGATACTTAATCATAGTGCCAGTTTTTGTTTTTGTTTTTTGACAACATCATAGTGTCTGTAACATCTAGCCAAATCCCACATCGACAAAACACGGGAGAGATCCATGGTTCATAAGTAAGAAACTGACATTAACTAACAAGAAGTGTCTTGGGGTGAAATGGATGAGTTCTTGTGAGAACTCTGAAGTTAAGCGTGCTCAGTGTGGAGTACAACAAGGATGGGTGACCTTATGAGAAGTCACCCTCAATTGCACCCCAAGTTGAAATCCATGCGGGTGTAAAGGCCCAAAGCGGACAATATCTTGTCTGGAAAAGGTTCGGGGTGTTACGGTGTCAGTATAAGTTGTCCTTGTTATTATTATTTTTTTTCTTCCGGCAATAATTCTTAACTTGTGAACTATAATTATTAATTAACCCTTTTGGCATATCGCTTTTTGTCTTTGGTTCTTTCTAATCTTTCGTTCATTTTCTCTTTCTTTGGTTCACACAATGTCCAACCACGATCACAATGTACCAACAACATAAGTGTTACTTACATCTTATGTATGAGGGCACTCTTTGTCTTGGTCACTCTTCTCCAACCAATTACTTCTAACTCCGAATTTTGCGAATTAAACGGTTCATGGCATCTTGAACGTTGCATACTGCAAATAGTAGCTAGCGGATAATCTCTTTGGTCAATTTACCATATAGTTGTTTTGCATATTTACCTTATTAGGGAGAATTCCCGTTAGTTGTTGTATTACTTGTCCAACACGTAGTCCTTCTCCTCCTTGTACTTGTATTCTACAACTCTGCACACATGTATATATATTTGTCTCCTCAATAATACAATATACAGTTCATTGCAAACCTTACATGGTATCAGAGCAGGTTGCGAACCCTAGCTTCTGATTTTTTTTCCGTCACTTTCGTCATGGCATCCGACTCCGCCGTCACGTCTAAGTCTTCCGGCCCGGCGTCGCCGTCTGAAGCGCAGCTGGTCACGTTCAACCCAGCTGCTTCTCTCCCCCTTAAGCTGACCGCCACTAATTTCCCATCCTGGAGAGCTCAATTATTTTCTCTTCTCTATGGTTTGGATCTTCACGGATATCTCGACGGCACCGTCGTTCCTCCTGCTGCTGAGATCCTTGTCAACAACACTCAGACTCGGAACCCAGCTTATCTCCATTGGTTTCGTCAAGACAAACTCTTGCTCAATGGCATCTTTGCCTCGGTGTCTCCTGAAATTGTTCCATTCATCTCCTCTGCTGAAACGTCGAAAGCTGCCTGGGATATACTTCAAAGCACTTATGCAGGGACCTCTTATTCCAGGATTATGACTCTCCGCGACCGCCTTCATGGAGAGAAGCGCGGCGATCGTGATGTGGCCACATACGTTCAGGCCCTTCGCTCTCGCGCTACTGATCTTGCTCTAGCTGGAGAAGCTGTTCGTAACGAGGAGCTTGTCACCATCTGCCTTCGTGGTCTTGGCGTTGAGTACCAAGAATTTGCTGCTGGGATCCGCGCTCGTGATGTGCCGCCTCGTCTTGAAGACCTGCTGGATCGCCTTCAAGCCCTTGAGGCTGATCTTCGTGCTACACGACCAGCCGTTGATTCTCCTGCCACCGCTTATACCACTCAACGTGGACGAGGTCGCGGCCGCCGTGGAGGCTATCCTGGCCGTGGTGGAGGCCGTGGCCAGCCTTCCTCCTCCTACTCCGTTTCGTCCTCACCTGCCAGCTCTCCTTCGCCCTGGGATTCTACTTCTCGTCCGGATGATGAAACCCCTCGACGTTCTCGGGTCTTCTGTCAATTTTGCGAGAAACCCGGCCACACCGCCAAGATGTGCTTCTAGCTCTTTCCCCACAAGCGACCTCCACAGGCTAATTATACTCAGCATCCGCAGCAGGCTCCCCCCTCGTCTGATGGCCCGTGGCTGATGGACACAGCCGCCACTCACAACGTCCCTAATAATCTTGGCAATCTTTCCCTTTATTCTGACTACAACGGCCCTGATGAAATCTATCTGGGAGATGGTTCAGGTTTGCGGATTACTCATATTGGGTCATCTTCTCTTGCTACTAAGACTGGTTCTCTTGAATTGCAGTCCATGTTATGTGTACCTGCAATTAAGCATCGTTTACTATCCGTTGCTAAACTCTGTCGAGCTAATCCAGTTTCTGTTGAATTTTTTGTTGATTCGTTCATTGTGAAGGACCTAAACACGGGGGCGCGACTGCTGACCGGAAGGAACAAAGGTGATACTTATGAGCTCCCAGGAGGTTCGACTGCTGTTCGTGTTGCCCTAGTCACCACCCGTCATTCGTCTGACTCCTGGCATCGTCGTCTAGGCCATCCATCCTCCAAATCCTTGTCTCGCCTACTTCAAGCCCACTCACTACCTCACTCGTCTCGGTCTTTGTCTCCTTGCAATTCCTGTTTGTCAAATAAAAGTCACAAACTTCCGTTTGGTGACTCGAGTCTTTCTAGTAGTCGTCCACTTGATTTGTTATTCTCGAATGTTTGGGGTCCTGCCCCTGTCACTTCTGTTGATGGATATTCCTATTATCTTGTCATTGTCGATCACTTTACTCGTTATTCGTGGATATATCCTCTCAAGTTTAAGTCCGATGTGCTCTCTGTCTTTCTTGCGTTCAAAAATCTTGTTGAAAACTACTTTAGTACCACCATTCGTCGACTTTACACCGATGGTGGTGGTGAGTTTCAAAAGCTCAAATCGTCCCTCGTCCAAAGTGGCATCACCCATCTTCTCACGCCACCTCACACTCCTCAACACAATGGCTTGTCTGAACGCAAGCATCGTCACATTGTCGAGACTGGCATCACTCTTCTTCACCAGGCTCACCTTCCTCTCACCTACTGGTCCTATGCTTTCACTACCGCTGTCTTCCTCATAAATCGCCTTCCCTCATCTGCTCTTCGAGGGCAAATTCCTTTTACTGTCTTGTTCAATGAAACTCCCCGTTACACCAAACTTCGTGTGTTCGGCTGCCTCTGTTACCCCTGGTTACGACCCTACAACACCAACAAACTTCAACCCCGGTCTCGCCCCTGTATCTTCCTCGGTTACTCACATCAACAAAGCGCCTATAAGTGCCTTGATCCGGAAACCAGCCGTGTTTTTATTTCCCGTCATTTTTCCTTTGTCGAGTCTCAATTTCCTGGTGTAGCCTCATCTTGTATCCCTCTCGATGCTGCCTCCTCCACTTCTTCGTGGCTCACGTCCACCATTCCCACTGTCTCCTTTATTCCCTGCCCTGTCCCCGTACCTCCTCCTGCCTCGGCATCATCTCCCTCTGATCAGCAGTCCCCCTGCCTGCCTCACATGGACGGTTCGGCATCCTCAACATCCCTGGATGTTAGCTCGCCAGCGAGCTCCTCGCCACCACAGTCTCCGACACCTCCTCCGCCTCCTCCGACACCTCGGCACCCTATGCGGACTCGGGCCAAGAACAACATTATTAAACATAACCCCAAGTATGCTTCTGTTGCTACTTCACAGGTGTCGCCTCCTACTGAACCGAGCTCCGTTAAAGAGGCTCTTCGCCATGCGGTATGGCGTGCGGCACTCCGGACTGAACATGGAGCTTTATTAGCCAACCACACCTGGGATCTTGTTCCCCGCCTACCTCACTACAATGTAGTTGGCTGTCGTTGGATTTTTCGCATCAAATGGCGTCCTGATGGTGGTATTGAACGTTTTAAGGCTCGTCTGGTAGCTAAAGGGTTTCATCAGCGGGCTGGTGCTGATTTCCATGAGACCTTCAGTCCTGTTCTGAAGCCAGTTATAGTACGGACTGTCTTCACTCTTGCTCTCTCTTCCAACTGGCCCATCTATCAGTTCGATGTCAACAATGCATTCCTTCAAGGACCGTTACAGGAAGAAGTCTACATGGCCCAGCCACCTGGTTTTCGTGATTCAGCCCATCCCGACTATGTGTGTCGTCTACGCCGAG